TAAACCAATTTCTTTATTCTTGAAAATGGAGACAGACTTTTTAATTAATTCTCTATACGAATTTGATGCACCCCCATCTAAAGGAGATTCTTCAATATAGCTGCCACTAGTTATTGTTTGATATAATTTTGATCCAATTAATCCTATTGATTGATAGAAATAATATTCATGAGGCAATCTTTGGCAAATAAAATCATGTACATCATTAGGAATTGGTCTTGTAGCAATACCTTGGGTTGAATTCTTACCATTTGTAGTTACAGAAGCAGATTTATTGGTATTATTAGATTTTTCATCAGAGATATTTTTATTAGAGTTCTTAGTATCATCTTTGGAATGGACTTCATCTTCTACATACAATTCCACTCTACCAGACTCTGTTAATACAGGCATATACCTTAATGCAGAATAACCCTTTTGGTATAATTCTGCATATTTTGGGCTATCTTTATCCATTGGGTTTGAAGATTGGAAGGCGTAAAAGTTTGCTGCTGAAGCGAAAACCATGTCCAATGCTACTTCGAATACTTTTGCAGTTGGGTATATTTGCAATGGTGGCAAAGTAATTGGTTGCAAATCATTACCTACCGCCATTGCAATGTCTACGAATTCTTCGTGTGAGATATCTAGATCTTTTAAGACTCTAGCTCTATCTACAAATCTGAACTCCTTATTTGGGAATTCCATACCGATAATGAATTTTTCAATCTTGGTTAGCATCAAACAATCAGTTGGCCCATAAATAGCATCGATATAATTATTATCTAGTAAATAGGACAATTGAATCCAAGAAGAGAATGGGGCAACTTGGTAAGTGATACCATTTTCAATGAAATAGTTTATCAAATCAGCTTGGAATCGTTTAGTATCAATTACGGTATTGTATCTAAATGGTTCTTGTGGTTGGACAGGCTGGTCAATGTAAGAAGATTCGTTACTTTTCATTAAGTTTTGCCATTGAGTCCATGCCCTATTTCTTTGTTGCAGAGTTAGGTCTCTGTTAGATCTTCTATTAGGAGATGTTGCTGCAGTTCCTTGAGGAGTAGTTGAGTTTGAATTTTTTTGAATCAAACCTAATTCATCATCAATTTGATTTGAAACTAAACTACCTTGAAACACGAAGATCGGAGTTATTTTGTATTCCTTAAAAATCTTCAAATCACTTTCTAAATACATCTTCAAACTTGTAGGAAATCCACCAATGGCATCCAGATATTGCTCTCTTTTATTAGTCAATAATCTGGATAAATAATGATTAACATCTATCCCTAAAGCAGCATTTTTCAAAGCTTCAATAGGGTATGAGCCGACTAATCCTCTTTCAAACAAAAAGAGTTCTAATGACTTGATAGGCATGGTTCAAAATAAAGGATGGTATGTATGTATTAATTTTTTTTTTGTCTCAAAAGGTTGTTTGGGAATATCGACGTTCAATTGATATTGATTGCTCTCCCCTCAAAAAAGATATATCGATCACAGGAATAAATAGCCGATAACAGTAAAACAAAAGATGGAAAACTAGTATAACTTAGATCTTGATACTGAAATATGATTTTGGCTAGTAAAAACAGTAACAAAATAAGTTGATAATATGTCTGGTAAAACTAAAACTAAAAATAAAAAAATAGATTAAATTAAAATAATAAAATCAAAAATATTTCAAAAACAAAAAAATTAAAATTTAAGAGCCAAAATTTACTGTAACAAAAAAACTAACTAAATATTGTCAATTGCTCCTTATGTTCCTATCTAATGCCCCAAAATAGCTACTCAATTGGTAGATCTATTCAATTTGTATTCATTATTTTATATGTTATTTTACTCAAATTGTGTTCATCAAATTTTCTTCATCTTTAAATATTTTCGGAACTTCGATATTATCACGAGATCCGGGTAACCCGTCCATTGGCCAAATAATACAAACACACCATTACTGTTGGGAAATGAGCCTACAATTGAAGACAGACATATTTTGAGCAACTAGTAGTGTCGTTATCAAGAAATCATTCAATATAACTGTCTCATATTAACATGCATGTTCAGTTTAACATTAACCGATGGTTTCAATTTTCATGCAATGCAATATACTGTTGCTTAGCACTGTCTCTTCTATAAATAAGTAGGTGTCTGCAAAAGAGAGTTCAAGCTGTTTCCTGCAATTGACGGGGTGATGATTGCTTCAATGTATTAAAAACAAATTAAATATTTGACTATCAGGATGAAGTCAGAAGTATTTTATAGTTTAATTGTATTAAATTTATGGTGGATAATCTATCAATTGTATCCGTATCTTATGAGTACTAACTGTGTCCATATATGGCATTGATATCCCGTTCTTTTAAGCCCTCGGGCCTGAACTAATATAAAAAGTAGTTTCGAAACAGCATTTCGAAATTAGTTTAAAGGAAAGAAGAGATGTATGTAATAAAAGAGACTGTTTTGGTATTTGAAAGTTGTGTCTTTGTCCAATTGCATTCTTGATCCATTGAGTAAGAGGTCAGGTTAGTGTGTGTGTACGGTACGTGTGTATTTTAAGTTTTTAGATACAACGTTCGTTAGTGATCCTGAAACATATAATACTTTTTTAATTGCAAGAAATTAATTTAGTTTAGCTTTACCACACTATTACGATGAGAAGTTCAATTTTAGTGACATTGGTAACGCTTTTGGTTACTTTAGTTCAAAGTATTTCTAATGATGAATTGTTGAAGTTATCTAAGCAAAATTCGAATCGTATCATTGAATTGAATGATATAAATCATAAACAATTACTAGGTTCTAATAGAGATTCGTTTTTAGTTGTGTTATTAACTGCAACTGCTCCAGAGGTCAAATGTCATGTTTGTATAGATTTTGATCCATCTTTCGAAACTATTGCTACTTCTTGGTTTAAAGATCATCCAAATGGTCAATCGAATTCTGGTGAAAAATCTTCGATGTTCTTCTTGAGGGCAGACGTCAAGGAAACAAAGAATATTCCAAAAGTTTTCAAATATTATAAGATTGAGCATGTTCCTCGTGTCTTTTTGTTCTACCCAGGTGGAGATATTGATACTTACAGCATCATTGAATTGGGTAATGATGCAGGTATTGAACGTGTAAAGAAAGCTTTGGCTAGAGTACAGCAATTAACTTCAATTACTGATATTAAATATTATGAACCATTCGATATGACTTCAAGTGCCTTAAGTGCTTTCACCGTATTCTGTGTCGTCTTTCTCATCAAGAAGTATAGATCATTTGTCAAAAAATTATTCTTCCAAAGATTCATATGGGGAATTGCTACTGTTTCATTTATCATTCTAATGTTAGGTGGTCATATGTTTAATAATATTAAAAAAGTAAGATATGCTGGTGTAGATAATGATGGTGCTATCCTCTATTTCCTACCTGGTCAGTTACAGTCTCAATTTTCTATTGAAACCCAAATTATCGCTGTTATATATGGTATCTTAGCCATATCAGTAACCTCTTTAACAATTGGTATCCCAGCAGCTAAAAAATTCTTGAAGAATGAAAAGAACTCAAAACCTTTAATTGCTGTTTTACCTATTTTACTGGCTCTATTAACCTACATTGCATTTTCTGGTTTGGTTAGTGTCTACAAGATTAAGCAACCATCTTATCCTTTTGGTTTGGTGAAATTGTCATCATTCTTTTCTTAAATAAATATGAGCAACTTTCTTATTTAAATTTATATACTTTTAATTATTATATAATAGGAAATTTAATGATATTTTGGTAATTGTAGAGTAATTTTTAATTTGGCCAATTTACCAAGAGAATGGATTGCGACCATGTCATTAATTGCTACATGAGGTCTGAAAATATCATAGCACTCCTATTAAAAGTGTGAAATAGAAATTAACTATACGGCCAAAACATCAATAAAAAGATACATAAATAAATAATTGTCCTGTAAAATTCATTCATTACATTATTGTTTGACACAGCAATTACTAAGTTTCATCTGGCAAATCAAAAGAACGATCGGCTTTCTTTTTGCTGCCACCGAATAAGTTCTTACCTAACTTACCTACTTGTGTAATAGTACCAATACCAGCACCAACAACAGTTGTACCAGCCTTTAAACCAGTACCTAAACCACTTCCGACAACAGTAGTACCCGCTTTCAAACCTTTACCAAGGCCTTTAGAGGCAAAATCACCTACCTTGGTTTCTCTCTTGGAAACGTTTAAGGTGTATTTAGGTTCAAATTCAAAATGTAAGTATAAAGTACCACCATCTTCACCAGATGGACCTATTACATGGACATCAAGATCTGTTGGATTAGTTGGATCAACATCTGACAAGGGAACAATTGCTCTACCAATAAAGTCATCTTTATTACCTGCATCCCAATCCATAACCTTTATAGATAAAAATTGATTAACACGATTATTGATTTGAACCACCGTTGTATCGTTCCATACTGGATTTAGAGTCTTTTTAGCCACTTTTGTCTTATAGAAAGATTCACCATCACCATCTAAATAAAATTTCAAGTATGGGTCAGAGAAACCGTTGCTATCTGAGGCTATCAAATTGCTTGCACTCTTTGCAGTAATTTGTAACATACCAGAATTTGTAATTAAATCAGCTGTTGGCAATTCACTAACCTTGATTGGAAACCAAGATGCTTGAATCATTAATTTCCCACTAGAAACACCCGATAGATTTAAAATAGATGGTTTGTTATAACAGTTCTTAACTAATTCAATTGTAGGGATGCTGACTTCACAAAGGCATGCCTCTGCTTTATTGGCATTTCTATTCTTCGAAATTCTGAGAGTAGTCACAGACCACTCTAACTCTCTAATCATAATATCACCATTCCAGCCTGTCTTGATAGATCTTGTAGAAATTTTAGGACTTGTGAAACGAGGATACCCATTACCGTCAAAAAATGCTTGAACAAATAAACCTGGAGTAGGTAGTTCACCACTTAATACAGTGACAGCCAATACACCTGAATTGAATCTAATTAACTCGTCTAAAGTTAATCTTTGCTTATAACTGAACATTTCCTCTAAATCATTAATTTCAGCTTCTTCATTTTCAAGAGCTTGTTTCTCATCTTTGGATATTTCTTCACTTTAGCACTGGCTTTCTTGAGAAGCAATTTAGCTTTCTTCTTTTGAACCTTTTCAGCATCACTTATTTCTTCTAATGTCATTACAGGAACAGCCGGATAGAATGACAGGTAATATTTCACAGAACCACTAATTTTTTTCTTTCTTATAATATTACTTACAATGGCATTCTCATCAACATGTTCTACGTATAAGTCATCAGGTCCTTTTTGGAATAAATCTTGAGTTTTTAAATCTACAATACCAACAGGACGATCGTTATTTGATGTTTCGACATCCATACATTCTAAGGATATTCTCTGATTTGGAGAAGTAACAGCAACATAAATTGCTTGATTCCAAATAGGATTTAGAGTATGTCTTTTATCAATAGTTCTACCTCTTGGTATACCATTAACCAATATTCTGACGTAAGGGTCGATTTTTCCAATTGTTTCCAAATTCTTCAAATTGTTTGCTTTATTGATATAAATCCTGACAACACCAATTGGAGGGGTATATGCTATGGAGCTGGACCCTGTATCTAATTCTACAGGCTTCCAATATGTTGTCAGTTTTATCTCAGCAGCTGAGTTCTTTAACGGAATATACTTTTTGTTAACTTCTGTCCTATCAATCAGATCATTTAAGGATTGAATTGTGCTTGCTAAAACTTCACCCTTGTTATTTTTTACAACAATTCTGTATCTGGTCTTACGACGATCGGTAATAATCGATTCGTACCCTTCATTCCATTCAATTGTATCTGAACATTCAGCACTTTTTGTAGTTAATAATAATTTTGTGCCCAAGAACAATTCCACATAGGCAGATTGTTTCTTACCAGGTTCTGCTGGTAATCCACGTACATCCTCCACAATAACCTTGGCAATACCAGTGTTTAAATCTGGCACATCTTCTACTGTACCATCTGGCAGCTTCTTTGATTCCAGAGTTGGGAAAAATCTTAAATCAAAATTCAATGAACCCACATTCTTAGAGTTCCTTAGGAAGTGGGTATAAATATTCTTTTCAACTGGATTATCTTGTAAGGAGTTCAAATTGTATTCAATTCTACCTAGCACTTTATCCTTTAATTTTTCACGTTTGTCATAGACATTAATAGAAAATGGATCAGTGAAAGTGTTCAATAGTACATAAATAGTTTCATTCCATACAGGATTCAATGTGTCTCTTACAGTTCTTGTATTACCTACAGTGGTTCCTGATAATTCAAAGGTCAAGTATGGATCAATAGAATCCTCGACAGACAAAGATGAGCGAATAAGATTCTTCGCATTCTTCACAGTAATTTCTAAAACACCGATAGCAAGAGCAGAACCAGATAGTAGTCTTGGAATGTTCAATTGAAGTGAAAATGGTGGTAGTAGAATTGGTCCCATATACTTATATGCCATTTGCATGGCCAAACTTAGTAGTCCAGGAATTGATAAAATTTCCCAATTAAATATAGAGTCACCTAGTAACATCAAAATGAAGTCGATGTCTGGAACTTCTAGCAATTGAATGTTCACAGTTTCTACATGTGGATATGGGGTCATTAGTTTTACCCCTACCCTAGTTTTGGCACAAAATGCTATGCTTGAAAGATAAATTGGTAAAGTCAAACCGAACATTTTTGCTTTGACTACACATCTTTGATTAACGTAATTTCTCAATTGCTTAGCGCTCATATCACTGTGATCATGTGGAGTCAATGATACCCCCCAATCCATTACAGCCATATCTTTGCTAGTATTTTGGAACGTTTTAACATGATCTACCCTTGGAGGTTTTATACCCAAGGTTAATTGATCGATCCAAATGGCTTTAATAAAGCCTGGAATTGCAGGATGGGTTGCCAATAATTCATTGACTTGTTGAGCGACCATTTGTGACACGGTGGGTTCAATTCTGATCCAATATTTATCTAAGAAATTATTGATCCATTCTAAAGATTCATAATCGTCATCAATCTTCTGAACGGTGAATTCCTTTTGTATAACCTCTCTTATAGATGCTCTGTATCTCTTGATCGAAGTTCTGAAATAGATCATTGATATGACCATAACAAAGAAGACTGGAGCCAAAGACAGTTTAAACCAACCCAATAAGAAAGATAAGACACCACAAATAAAGAAAATTGCAACAGAGTGATACCAGTCACCATAAAATTTATCAGGGATAACGTTATCCAAGATAGTTTCCTTATCTAAATCGACCAATTCATCTTGATAGGACAATTCATCTTTTTCTTCCCAACCACCAATTTGTTTCCAACCAACATAAGAAGCTTCTTTATGTTGTCTTCCAGTAATACCAACCCCTACGTTAACAGCCTTTTCTTCAGAAATACTCTTACTAGGTGGTTCCATACCAGGAAATGGAGGAGTTGGAATGATTACCTCTTGGCCACTATTCTTTGCATTTTGATTATTATTAGCAGCAGCAGTAGCATCAGCATTGGAAACGCTCTGGCTGGCAATAACATTGTTCAAGTTATTACCAATGGTGCTGCTACGAGTAGGTCTCCTATCATTTGTTAAGCTTGAAGAATTCGTGATAGTACGTTCAGCAGAAGGAGTGATATTCCCCGCTGTGGTTGTATCAACTGCCATACTCCAAAACTCGGTTGACTAAGCTACCTTCTATTGCTGATCTTTCGTCCTTTTCTCACCAGCAAATGTATCCCTTCTGTAATCTTTTCGAAGCAACTTACGAAAACCTTGACGAAATAGATATACGTATGTATATGTGGAAACCGACAATGAATAGAACCAACTTCAAATTAAATATGTAATTGGATTTCAATTTTCCCCCTGTAGCTCTCAATCCTGTGATCAAGCTTTTCAATGGCTAGCTCTCTTGATATCAAACAATTGCAAAAGAAGAAAGTATCCAAAGTATCAATCCGCTGTTGAGAACACTTTTTACTTTATCTCGAACCAAGATTAAAAGTGTATACTAACTACAGTACCAAAAAATTATAATAAAAACTCTAAAACCTTCCCTCTGAAGTTTAAAACTTTATATTAAAGTTGCATCCATTGAAACAAATTTTTAAGGTGTTAAAAGCTAAAAACTAAGGGTTAAAAACACTTATCTTTTATACAAATGAGATGTCTCGTAGCAAAAATATTGATCACTTTTCAGTTTTTCCTTAATTTTTCACTTTTTTCACTTTCAGCTTATTTTTGGGATTCGGTCGGTCGGTTTAGTCAAAACGAAATGATTTGATCTATCCGGCAGAGCAGGGGAGGGGGGGAGGGCAGAACGAGAAGAGGAAGAGAAAGGGGAAAATGTGGAAACAAGCATACTCAAATTTATCCATTGTCGCCCTTCGAAGAAAGAATGGAATTGGTATTGGAATTGGTATTGGATTAGGCTGATGTGACAGTGATGTTCGTTTAGGAAATTCATTCAATCTTATGTGATTGGATTGAATTGGAAGGAATATCTCTTTTTAATTGTTTCCTTCATTTTAATATTACATATATATTATATTTATACATCAATACTTGTATTTATATTTAGGTTAGTGGAAATGAATTTTTTTTTCCTTTTAGTTATCTTCTGTGAAAGATACGTCAGAAGCTTCTTCTTCGTCGTCGTCGTCTTCAATAAAACTGTCATCTGATAATTCAATGGCTTCAGTGTATGACTTTCTGTTATTGTTAGTGGCTCTAGATGATCTCTGTCTTCTTGGTTGTAATGGTTCTTCGTCGTCTTCGTCTTCGTCTTCATCTTCGTTTCCTGAATTGTCACTGATTTCTAGATCACTTTCATCTGATAACACAACTTTCTTACCTCTCTTTGGTGCAGGTTTCTTAGTAATAGTTTTAACTTCAGCTTTTGGTGTCGCTGTTTCAGATGCACTGGTATCTTCAAGTTTATCAAACGATTCACTGATTTTTTTGAATTTACTGGAAAATGCACTTAATCCCAGTTCTTCATCTTCTTTCTTTATATCTTTGTCAAATAGCGTAGATCCACTGGCTGGGGTAGGAGATTGGCTTTCTACTTTACTAGTTTCAGACTTGACTACAGATGGTGTTAGTGAAGGTTCTTTGGATTCACTCTTAATCTTGGCTGGGGCTTTCACCTTAACTTTAGTTGATGGCTCGATCAATACTCTTTCAAAATCAGATTCGATCTTGATTTTCTTGGTTTGCTTTCTAGGTTTCTTTGCTTTCTTCGATGGGTCGTAATCATCGTCACCACCAGCCTTACCTCTTTTACGCTTACCCTTGCCGGCGCTTGGTATGTCACCATTACGCAATTCTTCATCTAATAACAAAAATTCTTGGTACTCTTTTTCAAAAGCTTCCAAATCAGTATTCCATAGATCCTTTGGACTCAACTTTAGCAATGTCTCTAATTCAATCTCTTTTTCTTGTTTTTGAGCTCGTAGTTTCTCATATCTTTCCATAGTCAAGTCCCATAATTTCATACCTAACAAATAGTCATAAGAACCTACAATATCAGATGGTTTATGAACCGTGTCATCTTGTTCTTCATTTGCATTCCCTTCTTCTATTTCATTCCCTTCTTCTATCTCTTCAATCTTGACCGATCCATAATGTGGTTTTCCATCTTTGTTAATTCTCGGAAACCCAAATCCTTCTAATTCTTTCATAATTATCTTTTTAGCTTTATTACTGACTGTATATTCTTTGTCAATAATCATCTTCAGGAATTTAACTTGGAATGAAATTTTCTCAACAGTCCATTGTAATTTTTGAGACATATAATCTTTTCTTTTTTGGTAAAATTCTAATCTGACATAATAAAATTCAGTTAAAATGTCAAGAACAGTGTCATACTTCCTAATCTTGCCGTGTGCATCAAATGCGACCATGTTCTTTAAATTAACTTGGGATACCAATTTAAATCTGTCATAGACACCGATCTTCTTAGTTTTAGCCATTTCTTCTGGGGTTAAGGTAATAATAAAACGAATATCATTTGTGTGTTGTTCTTCCATATCTTTGATCCATGGTTTCGTTTTTTCATTACCACTTAAACCTAAAAGCAGATACTCCTTGATACTAGATGTCCACGTTCTAGCTGGCACTTCTGTAATTTCTAATACATTAGGGCCAACTTGTTCTACCTTACCGTACAATCTGAAACGATGATCATCAACCTTCTCAACTACACCTTTCCAACCTCTATACCACGGATACATTTCATCCATTACCTCATCATTCATTAAGTGTCTAATATTCTTAATAATATCAAGGGGATTGAATGAAGGAATGTTAGTACTCCAACCCGTACCAATACCTTCGGCACCATTAACTAGAACCATTGGAATAATAGGCAAATACCATTCAGGTTCAATAGGAGAACCATCATCCTCTAGATAGTTGAATAAAGCATCATCAGAAGGATGAAAAATTGATCTGGCTACTTTATTCAATTGTGTGTGAATATATCTCGCAGCTGCTGCATCTTTACCACCAGTTGCCCTGGAACCAAAAGAACCAGCTGGCTTTAATAAATAGATATTATTAGTACCGACAAAATTCTGAGCTAACCCAACGATTGTTTGTTGTAGAGATTCTTCACCATGATGATACGAAGTCTTTTCTGAAACCTTGGCCGCTAAGGTGCCGACCTTAATTTCATATGTCAGATTAATTTTAAAACAACAAAACAAGACCTTTCTTTGACCTGGTTTAAAACCGTCTAAAACGCTAGGAATGGATCTAACGTTATCAGCAAGGGAGAACAGAATTAATTCTTTGTTGATGAAATCACTAATTGGGATAGCATCTAAATTTGGATCTAAAACTGTACCGGGCTCGTATTGTCTCAACCATTCTTTACGATCATCAGCCTTCTTTTTAGAAAACGCTAATTCAATTAACTTTTTATCGTCTTCTTGCAACTGATGAAATATTTTCAAGTGTCTGTCTAAGTCAGCAAAATATTCACGGAATTCTTGACCCAAAGATGTACCCAAACCTTTATAATACTTATGTTTCCATGTACAATTTTGACCTTCTTCATCTCTCCATTTTTCATAATCAGGTATATTATAAAATTGTATTGTTTGTTTTCTTGGCTTTGATATCTTTACTTTAATAATAGGTGTGATAAATTCTTGTAAAAATTCTGGAATGTTTAGAAGACCAGGAAATGATGTTTCTAAGAAATTAATGATTAAACCCTTAATATGTGAACCATCATGATCTTGATCTGTCATGATCATTAAATGACCATATCTTAAAGATTTTGTGTCCTCGTACTTCTTCTTATGTTGAAGACCCATTATCTTCTTAATAGCTTCAATTTCAGCATTTTTATTGATTTGATCAGCACTAGCTTCTCTGACATTTAACATTTTACCACGAAGTGGATAACAGCCAAAATAATCTCTACCAACAACTGTAAGACCTAGGACAGCCTGAGACAACGCAGAGTCACCTTCTGTCAAAATCAAGGTACATTTATGACCTTCTTTGGTACCTGCTTTGTTAGCATCTTCTAATTTAGGGTATTCAGTAATTCTGATCTTTCTTGTACCATCAGATTTTTTTAGTGCATTTTGGTCATTTTGGTTTGCAACATCCAAAATTTTATCGAAGAAATCAGTCTTCATAATTTTATTTATAAAGACGTTGCTTAATTCACATTTGGAACCAAAATCTCTTACTCTAGTAGTTAATTGTTCTTTTGTTTGAGAAGTGAACGCTGGATTTTCAATTAAAGAGTTTATAAATATGAACATGTTATTCTTGATTTGGAATGGTTTCACAGTTTTTTTTGATTTCTTCTTTATGGCTTCTGATACTTTTTTGACAATTTGGTCAGTGATGTAATTGACATGCGTACCTCCAGAAGTTGTTGCAATAGAATTAACAAATGAGACTTGTTGAAAAGATGCTTCTGATGAGGAAAATGCGACTTCCCAACGGTCGTTTACTTTTTCATATAGGATTGTTGGTGTCTGTAAATCTTCTGTAGATTCACCGCTTTCCGTTAATTTCTTCTTTTCTAAGGACTTTAAATATAATTCGACATAACTTTTAAAATTTCTAATTTTTAAAGGTTTACCATCTAAGTAGACGTTTATATCTCTAACAGAACCATTAATATCATAAACACGACGACGCATAACCCCTACAACATCGTCATCTAATTTTTCCATTTTGAATCTTTTCAAATCAGGTTTGAATGAAACCTTAGTGTATGATGTACTATTTTTATAGGAAGTAATTTTTGGAGGATGGCAAGTATTCATATTATCTTCCCATCTTTGAATATATTTCTTACCAGTTGATGGATCAGCAGTTTCTAATATGAATTCGGTAGAGAATATGTTACATAATTTAGCACCATAACCATTTCTACCACCAGTGACTTTTTTTTCATCGTCATCATAATTTGAAGATGTTAGAAGATGGCCAAAAATTAATTCAGGGATGTAAATTTTTTCTTTATCATGAATTTCAATTGGAATACCTTTACCATCATTCTTAATCTCAATCAAATTCTCCTCTGGATTAATATTGACATCAATACGTTTCATAGACGGGTCACGGACCTTGTTATCAGCAGCATTAACTAAAATCTCATCAAAGATCTTAAATAACCCTGGAACAATCTTAACTTGTTTCTCCTCTAGTGATTCATTCTCAACATTATAAATCCATTGCTCTTGTTCTTGGACTTCAACTGAACCAATATAAGTATCCGGTCTCTTCAAAATATGTTCCAGTTGAGATATCTTCTGATATCTCTCAGAAGCTGTCTTCTCATCGTTATCCATCTCTTGCTCTCTCTCGTATCTATATGAGTCTCAGAATGAAAGAAAGAAAGAAATCTGCTAATCGAAGTATCTAATTATTCTTATCTATGTTTACTGAAGGTCAAACAAAAATAATCAAAAATAAAAAAAATAATAGTACCCCTCTCAACAAATAAGATTCTTAGACCAGTGTTATCTACTAGAATAAACTTATCCCAGAATATAAAAATTGATACCAGATGTGTTTATTCTTTTAAAGATAAGACTACATCAACTAAGAATAAATAAGTAACCATTTTATTTCAAGATTAAAGAATAAAGATACGATACATAGTATGATGATGTTATTAATTACATGATACGCGTAAAGATGGAAAAAAAATAATGTCAGAAAGTAACACGAAACCAAAATTGAAGGTAAAAGAAACAAATCAGAGGGAAGTTTCGAGGATGGAACTGATCCCAAAGGATTAGGAAGGTTGGGGTTGTTTGTACTTTGTGTGTGCAACGGTTGTCAAAGACATGGGATTATTTAGAATACAATAATAGACGCAAGTGGTATAGTATGTTAAATTGGTACTTTTAACGATATAAATAAATCTAAATAGAATTATTTAAGAATATTCGAATAATAAAGAGTAGAATAGAATAGAAAAGAATAAAATAAAATAAAATACACTTTTTGAATATTCATGGTCTCAATAATTAAGGGGGGATATTGGAATATAATGGATGAATATAAAATAGAATAATAGACTAACAGAGGCAATGCACAGTTAAAGGAAGTAGGAAAGAATATGAGAAATGGTAAAATACTTGACTGTAATAGATAGGTTAGAGAGTAAGTAGAATCTCTATATTGCAGCAACGATAAAATAAATTAAAATAAAATAATGGTAAGGTAAACTTCCTTTGCAAATGATAACCGTTAAACGTAGGAAGATGAGTAAACTTGGAAATGAGAAGGGAAATAATCATCAATTTCTTGTTTGAAATTAATCAACAATATCCCATGAGTCAACCTTCATTGTACCCTTTTCTGCTAAGTTTGTGTGGAATTTCAATGCATTTCTTAACATATGTGGTTCATGTAGACAACCATGTTTGGCAGCATAGTGTTCAGATTGTGATAAGTAATCATTTAATAGATCTCTGTAATCTGGGTGAGCACAGTTGTCGATAATGGCATGTGCTCTTTCCTTTGGAGACATTCCTCTTAGATCTGCTAGACCTTGATCAGTAACAATAATATCTAAATCGTGCTCGGTTTGGTCAACATGTGAGGCCATTGGAACAATGGTAGAAATACCTGTTGGATCAACTTTAGTTGGTCTGGCGGATGGTGCGTGCATAATAGATAACTTAGCGTTTCTTAAGAAATCGGCAGAACCACCTAAACCATTCAACATTCTTGACCCACTGACATTTGTGGAATTAGCATGAGCATAAATATCAACTTCTACAGGAGTGTTCATAGCAATGACACCCAAACGACGAATAATCTCTGGATTGTTGGAGACTACTTGAGATCTTAAACAAATCTTGTGTTTGAAGTTATCCCAGTTACTGAACACTCTGTCAAAACCATTCTCAGTTAATCTAATGGAAGTGGCAGTGGCATAATCTAAAGAACCGTTGTCAAATAAATCCAAGAAAGAATCTTGCAAAACTTCAGTCCATACATTCAAATGCTTGAAATTAGCATCGGTCAAACCTTCAATAACAGCATTGGCGATGTTACCGATACCACTTTGCAATGGCAATAGATTGTCTGGTAATCTACCTTGATTGACTTCATGTCTGAAGAATTCAACTAAATGAGAAGCAATAGCTCTAGACATTTCATCTGATGGGGTGTTTGGTGGGACTTTGTCATTTTCATGAGTTTCAACAATAGCGACAACTCTATCTGGATCAACAGGAATAGCATCCAAGCCAGATTTATCATCGACTCTACAATATGGATATGGTTTTCTGTAAGGTGGCAGACTTGGCATATCAATGTCATGTAAACCTTGGAAAGATGGAGTCTTTGTATTAACTTCAACTATAATCTTATCACTAACGGATAAGAATTCTGGGGAGCCACCCACAGCAGGACCTGGAACAATAGAACCATCTTCCTTGATAGCAGTGGCTTCAATAATAGTATAATCTAAGATTTTACCATCGGTTCTCTCCTTTGTATAAAAACCATAAGTTAAATCTTGAGGGAACATAGATAAATGTTTATCAAAGAAATTGATTTTACCTGAATTAATAGCTTTTGCAATTGGTTTACCAACTTGATGAGGAGCTCTCCTTATAATCATATCATTTTCAGCCCAACGACATTCTTCTGGACCCGCAGAAGCACCAACGAATAGATTAAACCTTAGTTGACCTTGCAAATTATTCTTTTCAACATGTTCAGCAATAGCTTCAGGGACAGCCTTTGGAGCACCTACACCTGTGAAACCTGACCAACCGATGTATTGACCATTTTGAAACAATGGAACCAATTCATGAGCTTCTTTAACCCTTGATAGGTAAGGAATATGTTTGACTCTTTCTCTTAAAAGTTTTGAAACAGTCATCTTCAAGTTTAGTATAAACTATTTTTGTATGAACCTTAATTGGGGGATAGCAACAAAATATAAAACTTGTGCTTTAATATGCTAAAAGTTGAATAATCGAACTTGTTGTTGGAATCTTGAAGAGCAGGATCTGATATTAATCGATATGACTTCCAAGAGTTTCCTAACGTAATATACTTTTAAATGGAATGGAATAGAATTGGGGGGTGGTGGTATCGACGGTAACAAATACTAGAATATGCGTATGTGTATGTGTTAACAACGACAGAAATGGGGGGATGTTCTTATATGGAGAACAGGCAGGTTAGCAAATGAGTATAGTATTTGGTAGATCTATAACTGTAATGAAAAGAATCTGTTAAGTCTGCACTGGATTTGGGATAGCTTTGAGATCTTCCTAACAAAAGAACAGTGGATCTGAGCTAATGGGAGGAATATACTATAAGCTAATTGGATGGGGGGATTGATATAAAGAAAGAAAAGTTGATGGCAATCAGATGATTCTTTTCTTGTTGTATTTATATGTTTGGTTTTTGGACCCTTCTACTTGGTGATGGTGATTATTGTTTCTTGTATTGATAATCAACAGTTTCTAACTTTTCTCTCCAACAAATGGTGGGGCAGTGGTGGTGAAGGAAGGGGGGTAAGATCCGTTGTTCTTGTTGTAGATGGATGGGGTGATGGAATTAATAACCTTAACGTTTAGATGATAAAAGAAAGGGCAAAACAGTTGGAGATGTTAGAGGATCAACAACTTCGGTATATCTAACGTTTATTGGTATATTGTTGTGGTTGTTATTTAATTGCCAATCTCAGGAATGAAAGAGAGATCTGGATTGAGATTGGAGAATTGAATAAAACGTAGTATTACAGTATATTGTTTTGAATGTGGTAACTGTAAAGGTGTGTTATAAATTAAATTAGAATCGATATCTTGTGTATCCAATGCTTGAATGAATACGATGTTTCTATAGACTAGAAAGTATTTAGCTGTTAAAATAAATATATAGTTTAAATCGAGGTGGTAAAACTTGTATAGCAAGAGAGATCCCAAAATGTGTATAGAATGGAGTTTGCAATAGCATCAATTAAATTGGAACTGAACATTTATTTATGTTTATATAAGGTTTTTGTCTTTGAACGTTGGTCTTAGAAAAAGGTTTAGTTGGACCAATCATATTGCAAGAGGACCACCCCCGGGGAAGGATCTGTGATTTTAAAATAACAGTTGAAAGAAACCCACTCGATATCTCTGCAACTACTTAACTTAAAACAATGTATTACATTACATTACATGATTCAATTCAAGAGACCATAAACCCTCAAAAAATGAGTTTGAGTGTACATTTACACTTACATTTGAAAAATCCTGATATACATACCATAAGGCAAAGGCAAAATACAAAGCCGCCATATGGGAAACGCAATGCATTAGACATTTCAACTCAACAAGACTCATCCTCATCCTCGTCATCATCATCCTGTTCCCAGCCTTGACACTCAGAAGAGATAGCTGCTAAAAGAAACTATTATACCTTGTAATCAAGCCTATTTTATGGCCTGACCTTTAAAGATAGTTTACATCATCAACCACCAGAAACGAGAAACCAGAAAAGAAAGGCAAGTGAAGAACCAAGTTTTGGCGGCTAGTACTTGGCTAAGACAATATCGACCATGCATATTCATGACCTGAACGAAACCAACTACAAGACAAGACCAATATCCAACCCCCCGTTCTTCTTCTTCTTTTACTAATATCACCCCCCAGTTCAACTATTAATTAACACACATCCCTGTTAAACGTTCAACCAACAAGAAACCTGGTAATTATCGTGAGGTTTTTATAAGAAAGAGTATCCCGAATATGGAAAAGCTTTAGAAGGTTGATGACGGATGGCTTTTCGAACCATTAGTACCAGGCAGCCAGGTATGTAAAAACGTATCGATCAATATCTCTTCTATTGAAGGAATGATCAATTGTTGAAATCGATTGATTTCATTTGCCTTCAACTTCAACTTGACTTCATTTGGCTTCACTTAATGAAATTGATAGGTTCAAGATGGAAGACTACCTACTACATGGAATAACTGAGACAAACTAGAATTTTGTATTGTTGGAAACTAACTAATTCATCTATGTATTAATAAAAAAGGGAAGAAGATTAAGTCTATTATGTAAGTAAGAACCGATTTGTGAGTTTGAGCGTGAGTGTGACGACGACGTTATGTTTGTCATAATATAATGCAATTTTTTTTTGTCTTTAGAGATAATGAAAAGAAACAGGATGAGAAGCAGCTTTAAACGTTGCAGATACGATATGCAAGGTTTATGGCGTTGGCTCGGGGAGCAGGGGGAGAAGGGAGAGGAAGGGGATTTAGTCTATTATTATTAATCCTTTTTTTTTTTAAATTTTTTTGATTTCTGATATTTCCTCTAGATTTATTGAAAAACTATGAAAAAATTTCGTTCCATAATAGTTTTTTTAGATCTTTAGTAGTCAATGAACTTTTGTAGTTATCGAAATCGAAAAATTCTGGTGAAATTGGCTCTCCCGATGGTTCATCATTTGGGTCATGATAAGTGCTTAAATATGGATGTTCTAATGCTTGTTCTGCAGTAATTCTTTTGTTTGGATCAAATATTAACATTCTTGATAACAAATCAAGACCTTCTGGATTAACGTTTGGGAACATTTTAATTAGATCAACAGGTTCATAAATCGGTAATGTGTTGATATAATTACGTGCTCTAGTTGATTCAATACACAACAAATCTTCGCCTGTTGGTGTGCCTAGGAATCCAAATATTAGCATTAATTGATGTCTATAATCTTTACCTGGGAATATTGGTCTTTTCAAAAATAATTCTGCTAATATACATCCACATGACCACATATCCATTGCTTTTGTATATTTGGCTGCTGTTAACATGACTTCTGGTGCTCTATACCATCTAGTTGCGACATATTCTGTCATTGCACTTGTCTCTTGTGGTTGTCCAAAGTTTTGTTCATTTGATATACGTGCTAATCCAAAGTCACATATTTTTAAATCACAATTTGAATTTATCAATAAATTTGATGGTTTTAAGTCACGATGGATAACATTACAGCTATGCAATGTTTTAACTGCTCTTAATGTCTGATAAATAAAATATTGAATATGGTCATCTGTTAAATTTTGAGTGTTAATCACTCTATGTAAATCGGTCTGCATCAATTCTTGAATAATATAAACTTCATTAAAATTTTCAAATGATTCAGGTCTTTGAATATCAAAAATTGATATAATATTTTCATGTTGGAAATACTTTAAAATTTTAATTTCACGTAATGTTCTTAATGCAAATAATGGTTTATCAAATGGTTCAATTTTTTTAATTGCTACTGTTTCAGATGTTGGCTTGTGTATAGCAGAACAAACAACACCATATGCACCTTCACCAAGTAATGATTTCAATTGAAATTCACTTGATATATTGAAAACTACTTTTTTACCCATTTTTTATTTATTTATTAATTTATTTATTATGTTCTTTTATGCTTTATCTCTTAATTAATCAAAAATCTATTGTAAAACTCCTGAATCAATGTTATTGATGATATATGTGATCTAATGGTAATTTTTAAACAATTTGGTGTTGGGTTGGATGCCCTTTTTTACATTAAATTCAAGGCTGCTTGATGATTATATTGTCTAATATTATTAGTCCAGAGCATATAACATTGCAAAACCAAATATTAGTATAACAAGATCTATCTATATATATATAGAAATAGAAATAGAGATATATAGAAAGGGAGTGTAAAGACAATAAGTAGGTTAGATCTTGCTACAAAATTATTAAAATCTAACATCAGAGTTGCAGTTTCAGGTTCAGATTCAGCTTCAGATTCAGATTCAATCAAAGTTTCAACATTTGACATTTGACATTTCGACCTCCAAGGTGTACAACTGTTTCATATAATTCAAACATTCTCTGTTCGAAAGATGTTTCAAGACAAAACAATTTTCAAAATTATAACTGGGCTTCGACTTCGACTTCGACTTCGACTTTGAAACAAGAAATGTCTGAAAGAGCAAGACAGAAGAGCAATAAAGTATCTATAAAACTGGATTAAGTGCATTTGTAAGATCATGTTGCCAGTACCACTACCACTATAATTTTGCAAGAATTGATGGTATGACAACTCCATTTTATCAATGCTTTTTGCTAAAATGGTGTCTAATAGAAATTTTTCAAGATAAGTGGATATAATGCTTATTTATACACGACTGATTGCATATTCTTTTACATTAAATAGATTGGGAGGTATTTTATCCATTTTATAGTTCCAGTAATCTTTGTTGTTCTAGTACAAAAATGAATGTTAGTAAGAAATTACATTTTTCTTATGCAGTTTCTTGTAAATGTTATCGAATATATATTAGGAATTAGAACTTGAATCAGAAATCAAGTATGAAAAGTTTTTCTAGTTTCCTTTGCCTTACCTTGCCCTGTCCTGGAAACCTGTCCAACTCTTTACTCATAAATTGCGGATATTGGGTACTTTCTTTAAAGATATTATTAATCTTTTTATGGTTGCACATTTATGCCTACTTCACAAATTTGGTTTGGTTCCATGACATAAATCTCTGTACCGTTTATAGTATTAGACTAGTAGGAGTATTGATGTAAGAGTACCGTTGTAGGAGAACTGGAATATTTTATTGAAAATAAAAATCTTGAAACTTATTATCATTGGTTGAACTTTTGAAACTTGATGTTGCTATTTAAATATCTTGGTTTTAGTGCTATGAGGGATGTTGGATATATCCTCTGCGATGAGTAGTACCTAGCAGGTGGTAGTCTTAATCGTAGCTGAGTAAAAAAGTAATAAGAAGAACGTTTTGGGAATATATTGAATGGGGTTGAAGAAATCTCTTTGGAGGTGGGTTCCTTCTGGTTTATAATAACAATTATTCATGTTTTTTTTCTTTCTTTTCTAGTTTAGCTAACAAATGTAAATTGCAACGACTACATTGATTCATTGATCGTGATGAGTACAATCGTTAAACCTATTGGAATGCTTATATAGTTTATCTATCGGAATTTTTCTACCATAACTATCACATCACCAATTTCAATGACAGCTTTTCGATATTGAACTCCAGTGGTACTAACTGTATATTATATGAAATTTGATTCTTGATGTTCTTGTTTATATTTTAACTTGTTGGGCTATTAATTAATAATTGTTCAATTCAAGATTTAAGGTGTTACAATAGAATTGGTGTTGTTAATATTTCAAGAAGGTAGATTCTCGAAAGTGTCACTATCAGATTAAAACTAGCTAGCTATCTTGTAAAAAAAGGAAAATTTTAACCCACATTTTTGAAAGCATTTTACATTTTATTAAAACCATGAATCAAGGGTTGATGAGATCGGTGCCAGCAAATTCCTATATCGATAACTTCGTACCTAGCAGTAGTGACAGTAATCATTCTAATAATCAGTTTATAAATGAATTGAGAGAACAAGATAGGTGGTTACCAATAAATAACGTTTCGAAATTAATGAAAAATGCATTACCTCAAACTACAAAAGTTTCTAAAGATGCAAAAGAATGTATGCAAGAATGCGTAAGTGAATTTATATCTTTTGTAACAAGTGAAGCTAGTGATGGTTGTATACTGGAAAAGAGGAAAACTATCAATGGTGAAGATATACTTATATCTTTATATAATCTAGGTTTCGAAAATTATGCAGAGGTACTAAAAATTTATCTGGCAAAATATAGGCAACATTTAGTAATGAAGAACCAAGTATTATATGAACAAGAATTGGAATTGCTTGAAAATGAACAATGATCTATTCTATTTTACCAATTTCAATTCCTAGGTATATTTGAAACATTCTTCATACCACAATCTAATGTCAAAAATATATATTCCTCAAAATCAAAATTACTAATTAATGATATTCTTTAATATTCTTCCTTCCAAAATATAAAATAACTCTTTAACATTTAAAAATTAATTTACAATGGTGCCTTAAAACTCTGTAGGTTATATATGAATTTAATCTTTTTAGATGATATTAATATTTTCAGCTACAAGAGAAAAGTATCCCTACAATAATATATTGAGTTGGTTCTATTGTACACTATATAAAGACTCTATTACAAATATAATCTAATACCTTAACTAAAATTTGAATCAAATTGATGTTTTAATTTGAAACTTCTTTGGTTTCTGTAGATTCATTTGCCTTAGCAGCTTCTTCTGCCGCTTTTTTTTCTGCTTGGGCCTTGGCCTTTGGATTGTCTTTAGCCTCAGTTTCAATGCCAAAAATTCTGTATAATAATTCGTGAGTATCTTCCTTACAAACCATCAAATTAATACACTTGCTACCTTTCCATACAGGTAAAAATAATGATTCAACTTCATCACCTTCTCTCTTAACTTCTAAGAAGCAACAACCAGAGCTCAAATCTCTCATCTTAGTAACAAATTCATCATCTACCTTTTGTTCAGAGATACCGTCAAAGCTTGGGAATGATTCTTGTAACAAGAATTTTAATAATTCTAGAGAACCTTGGACAATTCTGTCTGATTGCATGTGATGCTTCATGATTGGTAAAGCTTCACTTTGAATTCTCCATGGACATTCAATGTCACTTCTTTGAGATACAAATAATTTGACACCGGAATATATAATCTTTAATCTGTCTTCGTTGGCCTTAATAATATCCTTCAAAGCTGGACATACGGTATAGACAACTCTAGTTGGTTCACCAGTAGCATTACGCACCAAACATGTTGTTCTGTCAAAGATATTATCGATACCGTAAAAATTCCAACAACTTTTCAAAGATTCATGCTCTGAATCAATGAAAACAAATGGTTCTTCATTAGCATCACGAGGTAATTTTTCTTTCTTCTGAGGTTCAGCAGATTTAAATTTCTTTTGTAATGGTTCTTCAGAGGCAACAGCATCTTCTTCATCATCTAACTTTTCAAAAACAGTAATGAAGAAACCACCAGTATTTTGTTGGTGTGGGTAGACTCTGATACAGCTTGACAAATCAAATTTTTCAGCCTCTTCTGGAGTTGGCGCAAACCAAGATTCGACGGTGTTTTCGTCACCCTTCTTCTTTTCTTCCATATTTCTGTCAACAACAGGCCAAGTGGAAATACCCTTTGATCTGACTAGACCTGGTAATTTATCATCACAATTAACTAGACGAATTTTGTCACCCCATTTTCTCAAAGCAGCAGCAACAACAGCTTCATTTTCAATTGGATTCATAGAACAAGTAGAGTAAACTAGTCTACCCTTTGGTTTCAAAAGGTGTAAACCTCTGTTCAAAATGTTCAATTGAACTGTGTGTAAACCTAAACCACTTTGAGTGTTCCAGTCTCTCCAAACGTTAACATTTTTTCTCATAGTACCATCACCAGAGCATGGAACATCACATAAAACTCTATCAAATCTTAGGACATCTTTCTTTTGGGTAGCATCTTCATGCAGCTTAATACGAGGGAAAAATTGGGCATCATGGTTTACAACCATTAAATTGGCACTGTTCAATCTTTTTAATTGATGGACCAACATGTGGGATCTCTTTGCATCTGCATCATTGGCGACAACAAACCCACTTGGTTCATCATCTTCCATATGCAAAGCTTCAATCAATTGAGCGGTTTTAGAACCTGGGGCAGCACACATATCTAAAACGGTGTGATGTGGTTTAACTTCCAAGACAATTGGTGGAATCATAGAGACAGCTTCTTGTCTTGAAATGTTACCAACAGCATTTTCAACCACTAAGAATCTTTGAGTCTTTGCGAATTGTTCATTTTTTCTAATAACTGTTTTTGGTACATCTAATTGCCAAGCCAAATGGTTTGGATACCAAGGTAAATTGGCTGGTGCCTTTAATTTTTCACCTTCGAATTCTACATCTGTCAAATTTGGCAAGTGCTTTTCCTTAAATAGACGTGAGACTTCATTGGCATGGTTTCTTGAACCGGTAATTCTAAAAGTTAAAGGCAATGGAGCTTGACAAGTAGTTTTAAATTGGTCCCATTCATTTTCTGGAATGATACCTAAGTTCTTATAATAAGATTCCCATTTTTCATTGTCCTTAACTAGCTCATCCCAGTTTTTTTGAGCTTTTGAATCATCACGAGCACCAAAAGTTTTCTTGTTACCTTTCCTATACTTATTTCTTCTACCCATTGTTAAATATACAGCTTTCTACTCTGGTAAGAAAATATCTTCGACAAATAAAATAGAAATGATACCCAGAGGATAACGTTAAGTATATATTTGAATATTGGATGATTAAATTGTGTTAATATATGTGAAATATGTAAGTAGTTTTACCATTATATCTCTTCTGAGAATCGATGAGCTCTGAACAATTTTTTTTGTCAGAAACAGAAAAAAATTTGATTTCATGAAAAGAAATCGATGTTATTAGTAGTCATCATTAACGAAGTGTGTGTGTTCAGGTGAGATGAGATGAGATATATTTAATAAAGTGCAATCTTGCCAGCAATCACTTCTTTTAGTTTATCTCTATTATGGATGGCATTGTAGATTTTGTACATTTCTGTATCATATATCAGCAGGTGCATCTTCATAGTTTATTACCTTTGAAATAAACTGAGAAGGTCCTTCGCTTAATGAATTTGAGATTATTTCTTCATCACCATTTTCAACTTCTACAACTAGCATATCCTTTAACCATTTTTCTATCAGTAAACCTAATGTTATCAGACTTGATTCCTCGAATCTATTTATTAGATGTGGATATTTTCTTAAACATAATTGTGTGGCATAATAGTGAAGCACTCTTAAATCCAGGTTTGGCATTAAATCATCTTGATATAATCCTTCATTTTGGTCTTTCATCGCAATGAGTTCTAATTCTTCTCTACTTTTAAATGGAATAGGTACTAGGTGGTCAATTTTCTCAGCTAATACTTCATCTGCGCTAACTGGTTGGTTATTAAATCTTTTTATCAGATCGCTACAAGCTTCATAAATATTTCGATCCATCTGTAAATATTAGTGGTTGATTGTTCCTTCTTCACTGCTAGAGGTAGTTTAAGTTGGGTTGCTGGTAACACTTAATTGTATTTTTAACTATAATCACCAAGTTGAACTAGTAAATATATCGTATATGATAAACTATCGTTATAATTAATACTTTATTAGATTAAATGTTAACTATTCAAATTGATTTTTGTAATTACCATAAATTGATACTGTCATCCGGAACTGGTAAAAATAACAAAAGTTACTTAAACTGGAAATAAATTCAGAAATTATGAAGTTCAAAATCAAAATCAAAATCAAAAATTTCGTAACTTGAATGTAGACGCATCGCTATCAAATATGACAGTTCATGTAATGAGCACCGCAAACTGGTAAAAATATACAGAGAGAGGCATTTTGCACACAATTGGTAAACCAACCAAAAAAGAAATGCGGTGGTTCCTGAAGAATAACCCCATATCCCGTTAGACGAGAAGAGATAATTTCACGGCAGTCGATGTGGATCAGAGAACTGACCACGAAGCAGACAGTGCAATCCCGACCGCCTCCATTACGGGTAGCTCTTGTCATTGCTGGATGAAACTCCCCTAATAACGGTAAGAGCAGCACCTTCCTTTTGAGGGGAAGAACACAATTGATTACATTGCTGTACCGTACGATACGACAGACTTCTCATGCCGACCGATATCGGACAACTCCCGCAAGGATCGATTAAATTTTAACCGGGACACATCTTGCTAAAACGACTGAAATACCATCGAACACAGCACAGCTACGCGGACGCAACTTCACCGCTCAAAGACGGTTAGTGACATGTGTCTGACCGTTGGGAATTGATCCCATGTCAGAATTCTCAAGGTTAACAGTTCCACCATGAAGCCATTACAGCCTGAAGAAATTTTGGAAAATGATGTTTTGGTATTTTTTGTTTTGTAGTTTTAAACGGTTATCTGTATCATCACGTGTGGTTAACTTAATATTTTGAATTAATTAATTAAATATCAACTTACCGCATCTCATCTCATCTCATCTTACCTTGTTGCCCAAAAAAAGGGTATAAAAAACTTGGCTTCTAAAATATTTTTATTTATCCATTTAAACATTTTAATTTAAATACCTTTACCATATTTTGGACCAAGTGGGATAGCTCTTTAGCTCGCCTGTATTATAATTTTAAGTTTTCTATGTGTAAAATATGACAAGCTCAAATACTGGTGATGATTTGATAAAATTATCGTTGGCAATGGATCAAATTGCAAAATTAATTCTAGAAAAGAAACAAAGCATCGATAATAATGATGAAATTAGTCATAAAAATTTGGAAACTTTTATAAATTTATCAAATGAATTATTTAAAGGTAATAAAGTAATCTTAGATAAAGGTAAAATTGAGAAAATTCTGATTAAAGATAAAAATAAATTCGATATTATAGAGAATGATAAACATGAAAAATTCATATTATTACCTGTAATAGATGATAATGTTGAAATTGTTGATAAGGATATTAACGACGATAGTAAACTTACAACTAAGAAGAAAAAGAAGAAGAAAAATAAAATCGCTTGTTCATTTTGTAATGAAATTGGCCATACCCGAGCAAACTGTCAAAAACGGTTAATGAAACCAATTTAATAAGAGCATTAACCATTATTACATTACTTCATGGTTAGTTAACATCTTCGCATTTATTGATACATCTTTATCATTGTATTAATATTATTTATCATAGATTTATATGTTCCTATATAAACATTGTATAAAAATTTGATATATATCTACATATATAAGTTTATTTGATCATTATTTATGTTTATTCTTCTTGAGTATCTCTAGGTTTTAATACTAATGGGTGGCCAGTGACTCTGAAGTAGATATCCTTGACATCATCAGTCATAGACTCGAAGTGAGATGAGGCGTCATAAGATTTAGAAATGTAGATGTTGTCCTTAGATCCGTCTTCTACTGGTTCATACAATTCAACCACATTGATGAATTTTTCTTCAATATTACCCAATAATTTAAATGCAGCATCCAACTCTAATGATGGTGTGTCAGTTTCAATAATTGTAGAAACAATAGCTAAATAATGACCCTTGGCACAAATATTATGCGCGTCAGAAACTACGGCAACATAAATATCATTCTTCCTGCCAACTTGACTTTGTGGAATGATAATTTGTAATGAATCTGCATCAGCTGTACCAGAAATTGGATGGTCTAGAACGCAAATGGCTCTGATAACTTTTTGGCCGCTTGGACGACATTTATCTGGGAAATATGTAGGGTCAGCGATAACAAGTGGGGCGGTAAATGTGCCTAACTTAGTTTTCACAGCTTTAAACTTCTTATCATCTGTGTATTCAACTTCATCAATTGGTGTATCCAACATATATGTACCACCATAAATTGCTGATAAACGAGCGAAACCTTGAGGTAATTCCCCTAAACCATATAGTGGATATAGATAAGGAGACTTACCATAACGGGCAACACTTTGAGAATATAGTAGAATTCTTTCAAAAGTTGGTCTTGCTGGTTGATTGATATAATCATCATTAGTCCATAAAGCCATTGCGTGGCCTATGAATTCCTTGGTAGAATTACCCAAACCAAATTTATAATAAACTTCATCCATGGTATTTTTATCTAAATCTAAGCCTTGATGGGTTTTAATTTCATCTTCTTTATAATTTGCTATCCATTCTAAGAACTTCTTCATTCTACGTTTTTCAAAAATACCCATCAATGGTGATGAAATAGCTTCCATTTCATTAGCAGGAACTTTATAAATTTTACCATTCTTAAAAACATAAGAACCTGAGATTTGTTTGAAATCAACATATCTAGTGACATCAGTATGAACCAAGATATTAGTCAATTCACCATTTGCCATCAAGAATTTAGGAATTAAATCAACACTCCAATCTCTATCCTTACCGAACTTATTTTCTCTTTCTTCTTTTGAAATTTGACCATCTTTAAGTTTAGCGTATAATTGTGATAGATTCAAAGAAGCAGCTTCACCACCATAATGGTCTTGCTTATCAATATGTAAAACTTTTTTACCATCAACAGATAGTAAGCCTGATAAGATACATTCGGTTAAACCTGTACCTAAAACGATGACATCATATTCAGTATCTAATGTTTCTTGATCCATTGTATCCTAAATATTAATATTTATTTCAACTTGGAGATTGTTAAATTCTAAAATGAATACAAAAATCAAAAACCACTTATCAAAAGATTGAAATATTAAATCTTTAACAAATTTGAAATTAAAATTAAAATTATTTAATCAATTGATGGTATTGCGTTTAAAATCTCTAATTATTTTGTAAGCTCGATTTCGAAAAGGCATTTTTCAATATACGAAATTGGAAGGGGAGCCTCTAACGACGAAGATGAAAAATATCATGAGATCCGGGTAATTTAGTTTTGATCTAATAATTATAATATGTAAAGAGATGATTAATACAGACAGAGATGCGACTATAGACGAAGGTCATGATTCCTTAATTATTTAATACAAGAACATGGTTTGATAGAGGATAAATCAGTTCAGATCTAGTATCTTGATAGTTGGTTTTGTATTATGGTTTAGTTTATTAACCAATTGAAAAATAAATTTAAGAATCAGATAAATCAGGAACGTCAAACTGGTAAGCTATTGATTAAAAAAGGTTGTTTCCTGAGACATCTATTAAATTTGCATTTTAATATTTTGATTATAGTGGTTCCTTTGGTTTTTTTATGATTGAAGTATAATTAATATCCATAGGTGATAGATTTTTGATTTGGCTATTATATTTGTATACATAAATAATTGAGTTTTCTCTGTATTTCCCTTTTTAAATTTCCACAGTGATTTCTTTCCCTTATTGGCTAGATGACGATATCAAAGGATACTAAACTGGTGGTGAAAATTGTTAATGGACTTTTCAAATCATCGTTAGTCAAGAATTCCAAACCAGTGTTCCCAAATAAAATACAGCATTTTCAAATAAATCGTAAAGAAAAATGGGTTATATGGGGACCTGCGAAATCATTATTTGCTAATGTACTAAGTAATAAATATTTAAACGATCCACCGACATCATTAAAATATGGAAATAGTTGTAATAAGCATAAGAGTGGTGATGCTGTAGGGTTTAATGTCCAGCAGGTTCAATTTAAAGGAGTCGAACCTACAGCTCATCTAAGTGCAAGATATGAGTACTTCAAAGATGATTTTGATAGAACATGTAAGCAATTTATTCTAGACAATGCCATTGGTTCAAATCAAGTTTCATATGATGTAGTTACTACTTCCAGAAAAGTAAATATGGAATTATATGAAACATTAATTGAAACATTAAAATTGAAAGATTTGGAAGATAGATGGATAATGGGATTAAGTAATGGACAGATGAGAAGAGCTCGTCTGGCACATACTCTTTTAAAAGAACCTGATTTATTAATTGTAGATGATCCATTCTTAGGGCTGGATTCAGAAGCGACTACAGTAATATCTGAATTTCTCAGTAGTTACGAGGAGAAGCGCTTAAACAACTCAGGATGCTCGGTGGTGATTGGACTAAGAGTACAAGATGAGATACCTGAATGGTGTACACATATTGTGTATGTTACAGAAACTGGCATTGAATTCCAAGGTCCGATTGGAGAAAATATTGATAACATCATGAAAGTTAAACAAGAACTGATTGTTAGTGAAATTGAAAATGAAAGTGATGAAGACGATAGAGCTTTACTTGAAATAATCAAAGGACATTCATTATACGGTCTGGATGAAGAAGTTATAAAAAAGATGCCGAAGGCGCTTGAATTTAAAGGTGTCAGCGTTTCGTATAAGGGCTGCAAGATATTAGAAGATATTAATTGGGGTGTTGAGATAGGAAGTAAATGGCAAATAGTTGGTCATAACGGTAGTGGTAAGTCTACGTTAATATCGTTAATCACAGCGGATCATCCACAAGGATGGAATTCCAGAATAGTTGAGAATGGGATAGTTAGGAAGACGGGTAAGAGTAATTATTTTGATATCAATAAGAAAATCGGTATGACGTCTCCAGAATTGCATTCTATGGTGATTAAGAAATACGGTGATGAGTTAAGGATAATTGATTTATTAAGCAGTGGTAAACATGACGATTCATCTAGTAATTTTACTAAGAACTGGGATAAGATGGGAGAGGATGAGGCCACAGATGTGGTTAGATATATTGAATATTTCAAAGTTGGAGAGATGTTGAATGAAAGAGGATTGAAGGTAGAGAGTAAGTTCAATGAGTTGAGTGTTAGTGAACAAAAATATATATTGTTCATTCGAAGTTTAATGAAGAGGCCTGAGATATTGATACTTGATGAAGCGTTTTCTGGGATGGAGAGTAAACACATGAACAAATGTTTTAAAGCGTTAAGTGTGTGGCCTGGTACAGTGTTGGTGATATCACACATTGATAGAGAGACACCTAAAGCGTGTATAACGAACACAATAACGTTAGTATCGCCAGGTGAGTACAAAGTAGAGTGAATATGAAAAAAGAGAAGTGAACCAGTATCATCATACACGGTATATATCACATCAGACGAACTGATACACAGATAGGAACGCGTATTATGTTTTTTGTTTGGCTCTCCCTCTCCCTCACACAGTAGTTGTTCTTGCGGATCTGGTCAAACCAGCAACTGAAAAGGAAAGGAAAGGAAAGGAAACAAAAGAAAAGAAAAGAAAAAATTATTTTATTTTCTTCTCGTTCTGCGTTGCCCTCTGAGCCTGTCGGGTGTGTATCCATGCACGACGCCAACCCCTATCACAAACACACGCACCGCTCTGAGAGAAATTTGTGATCGATTTGGTTTGGTTTGGTTTTCGACAGCTACGTGTCTCTCTTACCAGCACGGCACGGCACAGCTACGCGCAACTAAGCACAGTTAAGCACAATTAAGCACCGCACTGCACTGCACTGCGAGCGTTTTCCCTGTAGGCTGCTGTCCATCCCTTTCCGGCCGTTGCAAGAAAAGGATAGGAGTTGGGTATTTTCGAATCTTGTCTCTTTGTCTCTTTGTTAGTTGGTTGGTTGGTTGGTTTCTTAGTTATGGTTGTCGTTGGCATACACAAACTAAGCTATGCCCAACTATGCCCAACTATGCCCAACTGGCTCTTATTTGCCATACTTGCTCATAGGCTACACTTCTCGAGTTGTTCATGGACGGTTGGTTGGGTTTGTATCTCTATTTGTTTGTATGTATTGGTATTAGCATCTGTATCTGCATCTGCATCTCTATTTGTATCTATATCTGTCAACTTATTTACTTCCATCGACATGTCGACCTTGGTCCTTGGTCAGAATCTCCTTGGTTCTGGTCCTCGTCCTCGTCCTCGTCCTCCGCTTGCCATTGCGGGTTGCGATTGTGATTTCGATTCGGATTGCTTTTCTCATTTCAAAACTAAAATAAAATAAAATATACTAAACTAAAATAAACTTATCTATATCTATATCTATATACATGTATTCATATACACTTGTCTCTCCATTCACGGTTCTCATATAAAGTGTACCATCGTCAAACAAGAAAGGGTTTTTTCCACATTGTATTAGAATATACTACTTATTCTTTGGCCTCGCTCTGCTTTGCTTTGCTTTAATACCTTACTTACGATTTAGGTTGCAATACTGCTCTCATCACTTTCACTCAGTATTACTTCTGCCGGATTGGATTGATACATCTCCCATCCTATCCTATCCTGAATTTGGTCATTCAATTGTAGTTTATCAGGTTTTGTTTCATTTCGGTTTTTGGATTTCTCAACTCGTGGATGAACAACAATTACTTTATAAAACTTTATTAAATTTCATATTACAAATTCACTTCTCCAATATCTTTGTTTTTCGAAACCAAAACAAAATAAGACCATACTTATACCCCCATTACATCCTACTTCTATACCACATCATACCAAAATGTCAGATTTTGGTTCTCGTCAAGTACCTTTGATCCCCCCAGAAATCTTACCTATAGAAGTCAAAAGAGAAAATGAATATGGTACTCTAACTTCAAAACGTTACCTATACAACGTCAAAAGTCTAAATGGAAAATCTTTGAAACCTCCAATTTTAGATACCCCCCCATATCACATCTCCTTAATCACCTATTTAAATTATTTGATCTTAATCATATTGGGTCACATTCATGATTTCTTAGGTTTGAAATTTCAAAGAGATAAACATTTAGATATCGTAGAACAAAATGGTTACGCTCCTTGGTTCTCAAAATTCGAAAGTTTTTACGTCAGAAGATTGAAAAAAAGAATTGACGACTGTTTCTCAAGACCAACTACAGGTGTCCCTGGTAGATTCATTCGTTGCATAGATAGAGTCTCTCACGATTTCAACGAATATTTCACCTACAACGGTAAAACTACCATGTGTTTGAACTTATCCTCTTACAACTACTTGGGTTTCGCTCAAAGTGAAGGTCAATGTACAGATGCTGCTATCGACACCGTCAGGAAATATGGTATCAACGTCGGTGGCCCAAGATCTCAAAGTGGTACTACTGATTTACATATAGAAGCTGAAAATTTAATAGCAAACTTTTTGGGTAAAGAAGATGCAATGGTTTTCTCAATGGGTTACGGTACTAACGCTAATTTCTTTAATTCTTTCTTGGATTCAAAATGTTTGGTCATTTCAGATGAATTGAACCATACTTCTATTAGAACAGGTGTAAGGTCATCAGGTGCCGCTGTCAGAACTTTTAAACATAACGATATGAAAGCTTTGGAAAAAATCATCAGAGAACAAATTGTCATCGGTCAACCAAAGACTAACCGTCCTTGGAAAAAAATTATCATTTGTGTCGAAGGTTTATATTCAATGGAAGGTACTTTATGTAATTTACCTGACTTGATTGCCTTGAAGAAGAAATATAAATGTTATTTATACGTTGATGAAGCTCATTCCATCGGTGCCATGGGTCCTCGCGGTCGTGGTGTTTGTGACGTATTTGGTGTTGATCCAAATGATGTAGATATCTTAATGGGTACTTTGACTAAATCTTTTGGTGCCGCTGGTGGTTATATTGCTTGTGATAAATGGATCATCGATAAGTTTAGATTGGATTTGACTACAGTAAATTATGGTGAATCAATCGCCGCACCTGTATTGGCTCAAATTATCTCTTCAATGAAAACAATTACTGGTGATACAAATCCTGGTGAAGGTGAAGAAAGATTACAGCGTATTGCTTTCAACTCTCGTTACTTGCGTCTGGGTTTACAAAGATTGGGTTTCATTGTATATGGTGCCCCTGATTCTCCTGTTATTCCAATGTTATTATATTGTCCTTCTAAGATGCCTGCTTTCTCAAGAATGATGCTTCAAAGAAAGATCGCTGTCGTCGTTGTTGCCTATCCTGCAACTCCATTGATCGAATCAAGAGTTAGATTCTGTATGTCTTCCTCTTTGACTAAGGAAGATATTGATTATCTATTGCGTCACGTGAGTGAAGTTGGTGATAAGTTATTTTTAAAGGTAAGTTCAGGTAAAGCCTCTGTTCCAGAAGATGGAAGACCACCAAGATGGGATATTGAAGAAGTATTGAGAAAAACTCCAGAAGATTGTAAAGATAGTAAATTCTTCTCAATTTAATTATTAATCATCCTCAAATTTTTCTGCAATTATTTTTGAACTTCTTTCAATAAATTATGTTCCCTTCTTATACATTTTGTAAATTGAAGCATTGTCATTGCATCTTCTATTTTATTGAAATTGAATGAGAATAAAAACAAAAAAAATTAAAATCAAGGATAATAAAATAGAATCAATAAACGATAAACTACAATGTATATGCGAGTGGTACTTTATGTATGTTCATGTATAATTTCTCCTTAATTTAAATCATTAAAGCATTATAAAAAACTTTTAAATTATCTTCCAAGAAAGAATGTAAACAATTAACTTTCTATCATAGAGGTAAAAATCGATTTCATTTGACATTACTGATATGATTATCCTACAGTAGGTTGATTAAGTTCTAAAAAAAAATGATAGTGCATTAAGTAAATAATACTTCAAAAAACAAATTTGATTTCGCCCAGGATCGAACTGGGGACGTTCTGCGTGTTAAGCAGATGCCATAACCAACTAGACCACGAAACCAAGTTATTTGTTGAAATTTTTGTTTTTCTTACTATTAACTACAAAACCTGTTGTCACGAGCTATTGTCAGTTTGTACGAAAACAAATAGCCGATGATGTTCTAAATTTGCTGACATTTGGTCATGTGACTTTTCTTATAAAGCCATATTATCATGTCTCACGAGTGTCTGTCCGAAGTGAAAATTCTTCAAGGCATCTTGAAGTATAAAAGAACATTATGTATAGTAATATAATAAATAACTATGTATCAGAATAAAGAAATGATCCAGTTATCTAGTAGAAAAGTGACCACAATGAGCCAAAATAATACTACAAACCAGTAATTATTCATATAGGATAAAGAAATGTTACTTTACACGAAAGTGTTATTACTGACGTTGAAAACCTTTCCAACACTGTATATAAGAAATGATGAGATCTTAATTGATACTTATCATATTATCAGAATTATGTATTATTTCGAGACTACTTCGAGGTTACTTCATACGAACCTTGAAGGTGAAGAAATATGTGTCACTACAAGAATGTTGTTACATGCTATTAACATTGATATTTAAAGAGACCATTGTACATTATTGTATATTATTGTATATTATTGTATATTATTTAGTATCTTACTTTGTACATAAAAGAATATAGAACTTTATTATTATTAACAAGTATATTTACTTTAACTTACAGATCTCAACCCTTAAGATCCTATAGAATAAACGCCTACCAGCCTTCATTCTAACGTATACCAATTTAAAGATACAATTAAATAATAATTACAGGCCAAATAATACAATCATGATGTAACACGTGATATATACGTATTACGACATTATTCATATAGGATAAAGAAATGTTACTTTACACGAAAGTATTACTGACGCTGAAAACTTTTCCAACAATGTATATAAGAAATGATGAGATCTTAATTGATACTTATCATATGTACTATATTCCCATGTGTATATTTTATACTTTAATACAACGGATCAATATCAACTTATTAAGAATGTCCTTGGAAATAAATAAAGAATCTATTTCTATGAATGATTCGGTAGAAAATCTACAACTTAATTCTCTACAAGTAATATACAATAATATCCCTTTATTGCAATGTCGGTAGTCTGAAATATCGTTGTGGACACGACACATATCTCATCGGCTATCGAGGTTTATACAAACAAACATCAGAATAATACAATTGAGAGTTCCTCAAAGTTCATTACTTTGTCTTAAGAATTCTTCCTCTTATCTATTCTTATTAACCTATAAAATATATAAAATTATTGGTAGCCAAATTTGATTTAATATTCTTGTAGTATCATTTGAGAACACCTAGTATCGAAGCTGATACAGACCATATTAAGTGTTAGTAATCTTGGCGGCTCTTTGATTACTTATATTACAAATGTAAAAATTCGTCATTGCTAGTTAATTGATTTCAAAGATAACGGGTAATCATCGGTTGCTGATGAACTAGTTGACATGTTGCGTTTTAGGAATATTTGGTATATTATATATTAAATCTTAGTGTCTAATAACTACAGAAGAAATTTCTTTAACAGAATTGGCATAACTATTAATCTAAGAACCAAATGAACTCACAAGGGAATATCCTTTGTATAAGGTTTCAGGCAGAACCTTCAACAAAGGATATTTTATACACCTTATTTATAGTTTATTTCCTTGATCACATTACAATATAAGTTTATTCTGCACTCCAGCATTGTATTTATTCAATAGGATTTCGACTTTAATCAATCCTTTAATCTGTTGACTTCAAATTCGATAAATATTTCAATTTATTATTCTAAAATTTAATTGGTAGTAGATATAGTAATGAGCTATATATAACTAGTTTCAATAGTCAATTGGACAGTCTATAATGATCTTGATGTATAAAACAATGAGGAAAAAAATATCACATCTCATTCTATGTTAATATTAACTGTGTAGAATGAGAATGGATAAAAAGAAATGGACGAGTCCGGAGTCGAACCGAAGACCTCTCCCATGCTAAGGGAGCGCGCTACCAACTACGCCACACGCCCGTGATTTCTTGGAAAATTTTAAAGAATGTAGTTATCCAGTTTGTAAATGAGCAGTCATGCTTTTTTATTTTTCCTCTATTCTTTGTTGAGCGCTTTCTGAATGATTAGGCTATAGCTATCTAACAGGAGGCATGTTGAATAAGTGCTGGTTGTTCAGATGTAAAAGTAATATCTGATTGATACAAGTGTTCTGACCTAGAAGGTTCCAGAATGTTCCTTATTTGTATTATTTGGCCTTTAATTATTATTTAATTGTATATTGAATTTGGTATACGTTAGAATGAAGGCTGGTAAGCGTTTATTCTATAGGATCTTAAGGGTGGAGATCTGTAAGTTAAAGTAAATATACTTGTTAATAATAATAAATTTCTATATTTTCTTTTATGTACAAAGTAAGATACTAAATAATATACAATAATATACAATAATATACAATGATCTCTTTAAATATCAATGTTAATAGCATGTAACATGTTCAGATGTAAAAGTAATATCTGATTGATTCATTTTGGTGATTGATACAAGATGTTTTTAATATAATATTTATATTTATTTCTCCGTAGTGTCTTATAAATGTAACTAAATAAATATATATTAATATTTGGAATAAACAATATTCTAGATGTGCCAAAATGTCATGCCTTTTTATATGTTTAGATCCAATCTCATAATCTTAATATTATGAATTTAAGATAATAAATTATGATGCCTTTGCACTTCACTTCTTATGATATGATTTGGCAATTACTTAGAAGGTCGAGTATGCCATTTGCGATCGATCAATTGCAATTTGTCATAACCTTTACTGCCATAACCTTGAAACCCATTAGTGTAAACCATACATTTTAGGTTACAACATCTATTATCAAAGGAATTGTATATCTTCTTTTCTAATGTACAAAGTAAGTAAATAATCTACAATAATATACAATAGTTTTGAATGGTGGTTACTATTTGTCTTTATTAATTTCAATAATAATAACATATATTATTGGGCTTATTCCTGGATACCACCATCCGTTTGAAACTATGTATAAACACTACAGGTATCGGCGGCTTCGAAGAGTTAACCTCTCTTGGGTTCTTTTGATATGCTCTGGTCAACATCTTCTAATGTTATCAAAAATGTCACCAAGTACCCTTGTGTATTCAGCAACTGTCCTGATTGCCGGCTCGTAATAACTATAAGCTTGCTTCAATTTCGAACCGCCATAAGTTGCTTGCCCTACCTTTCGATCTCGGTTTCGGAGTTTGCAAATATTCTTAGCTGCAATCTCTTCGATGCGGGACGGTTCATTCCAAGTTGCTTCGAAACTATTCTTCTTTACGCAGAATCTCTATACTGACACTTATTCGCCACGAGTATAAAGGCACGTATTTTTCTGTTTCCTTTCTTGCATTCTTTAAAAACTGTTGAGGAGCGTCTCTGGTTTTTCGCAAAAAACTGCGTATTGCTTGTCATGAAATGAACTGCAAAATTCGTAACAAGGAGGTCAAATGCGATTTCCCTATGTGCATACCCATAAAGCATCCTAGTGTTATTTGACTTACAGCGGCTAAAAACAGGGATATCACATAACCTTTGATGAGTCTCCCAAAGAGGACATTATCGCACGATATCGAGCGGTAGAAGATCGGTCCATGTCAGGTTGGCTATATTGACATCTCCGTCTAAGGCCCACCGTAGATGACCTGTAAATTATTGATGTTGGAATCTTTCCAACTTATTTCTGTCCCCTCCCCTGACAGTATTCGTAGGAGTATCGCACCAACACATCTACTCAATTTCCCTTGATACACCAACATAGCCGCTATAGGCCAGTCCCATGGATCCGTTCTGCTCCAACACAGATTCATATAGAACCTGCCGGACGCAAAGACAAAAATGCCTCTTTTCGCTAGTTCTGGGATAACGAGCATTACTACCGCACATGCTAACAAATTGAAAAAAGACCTGAGCTTCATAGTATTTTGTGATTGTACGCTATAACACATTGTAAATAAACTGTGAATACACTGGAATTGCGCTATCAGATATTATATTTATAGTAACTATAGGAACCCTGATGCGTTCTTTGCTTCTTTATATACAAACAAGATTACATCTTTTTAATATCTCTATATCTACAACTTGAATTCGAATATACATTTTATCATATTCAACCCTTGTCTTAGTCGACCTCTTTATATAAGTTTCTGTTCTCAGAAGTTTGCAACCAATTCAATTTCGATATTTGTTCAAATGGATCATTTTATGTATCAGACAGGACAAATAAGTTAAGGTCTTTAATTCGGTAATTATAGTCGTGCTGTGCTGTGCAGCTAGTGGTGGTGGTTACTATGCAACATCCGCTCTCCTCTAGATTCGACTCTCTTCTTCTGCGGAGCTTCTCTCTCTGTCTACTTTCGTTTTCTTTTCTAAATATGACGTCATTTCTTCTTTCAAATTCGTCTGGTCTCATAACTTTTCTGAGTAGTGATGCAGGTACCTTCATATGGAGTGCAAATTGTCTATGTCTTTGAAGGTATGCGTATAATTCTTGATTCTAGTCGTTATAGTTATATTCAACAATGAATGGTATTTATTTTTCATATCATTTGTTCTAATTCGAGTGTTGTTATCGACTGTTCTCTTGGGTATTCACCAGGTCTTAATGTCAGTTTCTTAAACAAGTATTCTATTAATTACTCTATGAACATTCGATGTATACGGTAAGCCTGGTTCCAATGCCACTTCATTTATCTTCTTTACAATCTTAAATGGTCCTTCATATAAGGGTCTTGCCTTCCAATATTTTCCGCCTGTACGGTGTGTATCCTTGTGAAGTAAAACGAATTCACCAACTTCGTAATCAAGTGGTAGATGCATTCTTTTTTAGTTTTTAGCTTCTATTTTTTGGGTTAGCTGTGTTCTTGGCATTTCAATTATGTTAGAATCTAACATATAGAGAATATTTATAGGTTTCCAGAAGTGAATTATTCCGCTGTTACTTCGTATAGACCTCGCTTGTTTACAAGATATGTGCAATGGCCACAACGTTATTTCAGACTATCAAGGTTGCTATAAATAGAAAAGGGGATCGCAGCATATTAATATTTGTATACCTCATTATACAGATCTCCACCAAAAGCATCCATTGAATAAATTCGAACTCCCATTTATTCTTGAATATACAAAACTAACCATACAATTAAATAATATCTAGAATTTTATTAAAATCTGGCCGGGTGGTACGATCTCCAACGCACATGATTACTTCAATTAAGTTAGAGAAATATCTATAATAATGAATTATACTATGACTTGCGTCATTGCTAAAAAAATGAAAAGATTTGACATAAATAGGACAAGGAAAGAAAGGGAAACGGTATATCAAAATAATACGTACATACATACATGCACATTAATCCTTAATTCTACTTTCCTAGCCTTGATATAATTTATGTATATATGATATCTATACTACTAAATACTACTAAATATAACCAAAATAATACTGATGAATTATTAACTCTACATTGCAAACTAGTCTTTTTTATGCATGGCGCCCTTATTGAAATAAATGACGGGAGTGTCACTCGTGAGGAAAAAAGTAGAATACCAGTATTCCGGACCTGTAATGAGCATCCCTAAAATGAAATTGCTCTAAACCACCATATATTTAATCTATTATAGATGTAATTGAGTACAATGTATATGTTTCTGATGATTCTCTTTGTCAATTAACAGATCAGACAAGAACAAAATACATGAAAAGACAATTGCACCTTTGATGTGAGCGAAAATAGTTAAACTTATTCACAGACTTCACCAAGTATGTACTAACAAAAGAAATAATCATCATTACATAACAAAGATCTCATTCCAAACCTTAACGATGCTAGGGAATCGGAAGGATAAAGAGACATATTGGCACCCTTGGAATATGTTTTTATTCTCTCTTTTTTTTTTGCTCCCCTGACAACATAAACGATATTAATTTAAATAACTTTGTACCATGAGACACATCAACTAACTGAAGGGTTTATTTCGTTTAATCAAGCATAACAACGAAATATTTACTTTTTGTTAACAAAAACCATCGTTTGCATAGACACCTAGGCTTACAAATAATTATTACATCAACAAAACGTTATAAATAATCTGAAAATACATAATTACCACATAAGCAACTGTTTACTTCACACAAACAGTTTCCTCTAGTTACCACTCGACCACAATTACTGACACAAGAACCACCTCACCTTATATTCGTCGTTGTCTTCGTTGTCTCACCCATCAAACATAAAGAAGAATTCCTTTTGTACATAAAATCCACAACCTCAACAAAGAAAACAGGTTCAAACACAAATTTACCACCAATAACCGCTTCTCCTCCAAACACCGTTTCTTTTCTCCTTTCTCTTTTCCACCTCTGCCCATTTGGCCTCGCCCCAATTCCGAAATGAGTAATTCGAAAATGAGTAATTTCGAAATTGATTTCATTTCAATTTTTTTTTTTTTAAGAATAGGAGAAACAGGACCAAAAAAAAGCCCAAGCAATGACCATTCACACGATGAGATGAGATGAGACGAAACAAATTACCATACTAAGTTGGCTAATCCGTTTAGATTGAGGTGCTGTAACTTAAACTATCGATAGTCGACCATTTTTCGATTGTTCAGTTTTTGCAGTACGAGCAATTGTCAAAGTGGTGATTTTAATAGTTTTTTTTGACTCATCGAAATCTAATTATAATATCTAATAAATAGTCTACCTTTCTATGACTGATTTCGAAAGGTTTGAGTAACTAACTTTATAGAAATTTTTTTGCTATTGTATATATATCATTATAAGTGTGAGTAATACTTTTTGACTAATTATATTCTAAGGTAAAGATATATATATATATATATATGCGTGGGTAGATTGGTATATTGGATATATACTTTAGTTTGATCGGTTGTTTGTTTGTTTGTGCATTTGTTCTAAAACCATGTTGCTTTCTTCAGGTATAACAGACTCTCAGTTATCGATGTTTGATGATAATAACAATATGTTACAATTATCTCCAAAGAATCAAGAAGTTTTGAACAAAATTTTCAAAGAATTAATTTTATCTTTGACAAAACCATTTGTCGAGTTTATAGATATTCTATTAGAACATTTGCTATGTTTAGATATTAATTGTAACGATTCAAGCATTGATTACAACATCAAGTTACAGTCTTTGGGTAATTCAGTCTCATTGGAGCTAATATATTCAAGAAATTTAATTACAAAACTATCAAGTTCAATTAAAAATAATTCCGATTTATCACCTGTAGATTACATACCGGTGAATTTAAATATTTTGCAGAAAATTCATTCAATTATGATCCATTTTTTACAAATATTAAGCGAACAGTTAGAATTACCTAATTTTGCAACTTTGTTCAAAAAGATTCTAATCTCAACTTTCAAGGACTTCGAAATAGTCTTCGAATCCTTCAAAATATTAGATCAAATCCTGCAGAATCTATTCATCAATGCAAAACAAACTGGTTTATCAGACTCCTCGATATTCAACGTGGACAACTCTTTGTTAGAACAAATTCAAATTTTTACAAGAAATAATTCAATCTGGTATAGAGAACTGATACTAAATTCAAACTCATTGAATGAATACATAACAAATCATGTCACAAACACCACCCCAACAACAACACCAAACAATCAAAACAATAGTAATGATATCCTAAATATAATAGCTGATATAAAGTTTCAAGATTTCTTGGAGACTAGAAAACTACGTCTGAATATATCAAACAGAAGAATCTTTTAATGAATCAGATACGACCCCCTCCCCATTAAATCATCATATTGTTGCATTATCTAAATTAAATATTACAAAACTATATAGATTCCACATTTTATTGTCATACTTTAGTCTAAGTTCAATATATTAATTTCATCTCTAGTTTAGTACTTACTTTCTATATCCTTACCGGATTCGGTAACATGATAACAAATGTCATCATCACTATAAAGCTTTCTCAAAAAAAAAAAAATCTAGACACACAGGCAAAAGGACCAAAAGGATTTGATCTCTAAGAAACCTTTTAAAAAGCTAAGAACAGAAGTAGTTTTTAGTTGCCTTCACAATTGAATTTTAGTTATTGTAAAATTTTTTTTTCGATTCTTGAGGGAGCCTGTTGCTGAGAGAGTGTTAATTGTTGCGAGTAGGATCTCTTTATATGGCTGGATTGCAGATTTATTATTATTTTATAAATTGATTGAAGTATATTGGAAATTTGTAATTGTGATCCTTATATTTTGTTTCACTTAAAGGGTAATTGCATATCGAAAAAAACTGTTGCTCGTTGTTGATTGTCGTCGTTATTGAATTTTAAGATTCATATTTGTTGGCCAAAGTTATTCATTAATAGTTAATAATTAAAAGAAAAAAGAAAGAAAAGGAACTTCACATTGTTACAAGAGAAAAGCTCAATTTTAAAAAAATATTTGTCAAAAAAACCTTTTCTGTCCTTCCCAATCGTGTATCATCCATCCCATTTTCCTTACTCTATAATAATAGTGGCATTCCAAAAAAAAAAAAAGATAATACATATAGGAGATTATTTTAACCGAAATTCAAGATGTTGGAGACTAATGAAAGCTTAGCGTTCAATGCTAATAGATCTGTCTTATCTTTAACTTCTCCTGCAAAATTAAATGTCATCGCTACTTCAAAATCTAATAATAGTGGAAAAATCACTAAAAATTCATTAAGAAGAACAACTTCTTTGAATATTAAAAGTTCAAATTCTATCGGTGATTTATCATTTAACAGGCCAAAATTAAACTTACCTGCTCCACCGTTGATTAAAAGAAACTCATCCTTTTTCAAAGAAGATTCTTTGTCTGCAAATAATAATTTGACTATGTCCAATAGTAATCAGTTTAGCTCTTCTTTACAGTCTTTCTCAAACAATAATTTAAATTCAATTACAAGTACATTGCCTACAAATTCACAGGATATAGATGATCAACATGTTTTCCAAACTGATAGGTTTATTCCTTTATTAAGTGGCAACTCACAAAATAAAATGGACCCAATTTCAATAAGAGAAGAATTACCACCACCAAATGCCTCCCCTTCTGCTCATTTAAAGGCTCAAACTAAAATCGTATTCAAACAAACTGTAGCGGAAGCTTGTGGTTTAGACGTAAACCAAAGAATTTTACAATATATGCCACAACCACCTGTATCATCTTTTATGAGAAAATCTTTCAGCATGCATAAAAGAACAAGTTATAATTATCAACCTAAAAATTCAAACAACAACCCTGAATTGATAAAATTGAGAAAAATAAATGGGAATCCTGAGAGAATATTAGATGCCCCAGGATTCTTAGATGATTTCTATTTGAATTTATTAAGTTGGTCTTCCAAAAATATCTTAGCTATTGCTCTAAATAATGCTTTATATTTATGGAATGGTGCTTCAGGCGAAGTTTCTATGCTGGCGGAATACGAATCCACCACGATCTCAAGTGTCACTTGGTCTGACGATGATTGCCATATTTCAGTGGGTAGAGATGACGGTAATACTGAGATTTGGGACGTAGAGACTATGTCACTAATAAGAACTATGAGATCTAACTTGGGGGTACGAATCGGTTCCTTATCCTGGCTTGATACATTGATTGCAACAGGCTCTCGTAGTGGTGAAATCCAAATAAATGACGTGAGAATAAAAAACCATGTAGTGGCTACCTGGGAGGAACATTCAGGTGAAGTATGTGGTCTGGCATATAAAAATGATGGTTTACAATTAGCATCTGGTGGCAATGATAATACAGTAGTCATATGGGACACAAGAACATCTATGCCACAATTTGTTAAAAGAACACATAATGCAGCTGTTAAAGCATTGAGTTGGTGTCCATATATTCCAAATCTTCTTGCTACTGGTGGTGGTCAAACTGATAGACACATTCATTTCTGGCATACTACAACCGGAGCAAAAGTTGGATCTATTAATACAGGTTCACAGGTTTCATCTTTACATTGGGGCCAAAGTTATGGAAATTCCACAACCACTCCATCACCTCCACCAACAACAACATCATCATCGTCAACATCGTCATCATCATCGGGAATGAGTCGTGAAATTGTAGCCACTGGTGGTAACCCTGAAAATGCAATTTCAGTATTCAACTATGATACAAAATTCAAAGTAGCAGAAATTGAACATGCTCACGAATCAAGAATATGTTGTTCTCAATTATCTCCTGATGGTACAACTATTGCCACAGTAGGTGGTGATGAAAACTTAAAATTTTATAAGGTATTTGAACCAAGAAGAAAATTTCAAAGAAGAACTAAAAACATCGTCGATACAGAAGACTTACTTGGATTATTCAGTCATAATAATGATGACGATGTTCAATTATCTACACAAGAAGACATGTTAAATGAGAATTCTAGCATCAGCAATCCAACAAACACTAGTTCTACAACAAGAATCACTTCCAGAAAAACAAGTGACTACCTAATAAGATGATAAATCATTTGCAAAAATTCTTCAATAATCTTCTAATTTTTGCATACGAATATATAAAATATTTCTAATGACCATGCATTAAATCTAATAAAGAGACAATTAATTAATTAATCAATCAATCAATAAATCAAATTTAAACCATTAGTTTATCTCCTCTTCTCCTCAGCAATGGAAAATATATATAAAGATTTGATATTGTAATACTGTTCAGACAACTAGATATCTCTTAAACCAACTACCAAACCTTTACTGTGGTAGTCTTCATGATCTTGCCCAGTGTCTTGGATATGTGCAATGTATATCCATCTCTTAAGCGTCTACATCGACAATTGTAACCCGGACTCTTCCTTAACTGATATTTGAGAATATCCACACTTTCGTGGGGGGTTGGGAAGGTGGGAAAGGGAGGAAACAAAGCTTTAACCTCAAACTAGTAGTGAAAAAAAAATATCTGAAATGATAAGAAGAACATTTAAAGGAACTTTGATCCAGTTGCGATTACTTCTGGTTGGGCTTATTCAAGTTGATTAAAGAAATCTAGTTATAGATATTGGTTCTGTAGTTGTTAGTAACAGCTGTATTTTTTTTTGCTTCTTTTTTGAACACCAAAAGAAAATTAATCATTGGTAAAAAGATAAGATAAAGCTAAGGTTAAAAATTCTGGGGTTCCCTTTTGAAGATCTTTGTCGTTACTGTTGTAGAATTAATTTAGAGGACTGTTTTAGTTTTATTACCTTTTCTAATTTGTAGTAGAATTAAAATAAAAAAAAATATAGGAATTAATCACCGATTTTGGTTGCAGTTTGTTGATCTTTGGTGAAATTAGTTGTACGTTAGTTTGTAAAAATAACTGTTAATTGAGTGTATATTGTAAAAAGTACCAGATAAAATATGAATAATTCACAGGATTCTATTGAAGCTTTGGATATGGAGCAGAAGCTATCATTGACTGCTATTAGACAGTTTTTGAAATCGAAAACTTCTTATGATGTTTTGCCAGTTTCATTTAGATTAATTGTATTAGATACCTCTTTGTTAGTTAAAAAGGCTTTGAACGTTTTATTGCAAAATAATATCGTTTCTGCTCCGTTGTGGGATGCTAAAACTTCAAGGTTTGCAGGTCTATTGACTTCTGATGATTTTATTAATGTGATCCAATACTATTTTTCAAATCCTGATAAATTCGATTTAGTCGATAAATTACAATTAGGTGGATTAAGAGATATCGAAAGAGCTATTGGTGCTGTACCATTGGACACAGAATCCATCCATCCATCAAGACCTTTATATGAGGCTTGTGTGATGATGTTGAATTCCAGAAGTAGAAGAATTCCATTGATTGATCAAGATGAAGAAACTTCAAGAGAAATTGTTGTCAGTGTTTTAACCCAATATAGAATTTTGAAATTTATTGCATTAAATTGTAGAGAAACCCATTTTTTGAAAAAACCAATATCTGAATTAAATATCATTGCTAAGGGAAATTTAAGAAGCTGTCAAATGTCAACACCGGTAATCGATGTTATTCAATTACTATCCCAAGGTAATGTCTCATCAATTCCTATTGTAGACGATGATGGCCGTCTAATTAATGTTTACGAAGCTGTTGATGTCTTGGGTCTAATTAAAGGTGGTATCTACAATGATTTATCTCTAAGTGTAGGTGAAGCACTAATGAGAAGAAGTGACGATTTTGAAGGTGTTTACACTTGTACAGAACATGATAAACTATCCACACTACTTGATACTACTAGAAAATCAAGCGTTCACAGATTCTTTGTTGTTGATCAATCAGGAAAACTTGAAGGTGTGCTATCCTTAGGTGATATCCTAAGATACATCCTGTTAGGTGAAAATTAACAAAATAAAAATAAGAATAATGAAAAAGGAAAAAAAGCAATAATATATGAATAACAATAGGCCAATAATGAACCCTTTTAAGACATTACAATATTTATAATGTTAACCATTAACAGTGAAGGAAAAAAAGTTTTAGGAATTAAATCAAGGTGTAAAGTATTGTTTCTCGCATTCATAAATAGCATCGTATTTAAGGTACTTACTTCACACCATTCTGTAACATAATAAACCAATACAAATAACTAATGTTTCATTATCCTCTCAATACTTTGATCAAATATTCCAATCAGAAGTGATAAAATTTGGCAGTATTTTTTCAATTGGTGATCAATCAATCGTTCCTGTATTTTAATTATAAAATAACATGCAGATAAGAGATAATTTGCCAGCTGATCTTTACAAGGACACTGGCACCGAAATGACATGTACAAATACATATGTAGATAAATAATTCTTTTGTTCAAGGTACATTTTCCAGTTTCAATCGAGAATGGGATCTGATATCTGATGACATAATATTCAATCCTTACTGAAAAATTTAATGAAACTATTTGAAATTGTCTCTAAATTATAAAAATGAAAATTAATTCAAGTATTAGTCAACTGAGGTGGGATATTCCCTCGACTAGGACTACAGTCCAGTTTGTATAATTTATAGGACCCTTTAGTCATCTGTTCTCATAGCTACTACTGATCCCCGAAAAATTACCCTACCGTAAGGGTATTACAGAAGGTGATGAGAAACTTTGAAGGTCATATATCAAGCAACTAAAGATAAATGGTTTATACAATAAGACTTATATTCTGACTCAACCTATATAACATTAGTAGATAAATATAGCCTATTGATTAAACACCTAACACATTTAAAGGTATTTTTGATTTATCATTGTATTAGTAGTGAAAAATTTTTGAAGGGCAACCGATTCAAAAGACCGATTGATTACTCATCCTTAAAAAGGGTTAGAGATAAAAGTTGAATTTTTAATTTTGCATTATTGATTAAAGAGTGTTCTGAATCTTCAAGTCTTCGCTGAGTAAAAATCCCTCCATTTTGCTTTTATTTGCCTAGTATCAGGAACTTTTAATATTTTTTGAATGAAACTTTTTGAGAAGTTTGTATTATTAACTGCACGGAAGATCAGATTATTATATTAGATTGACAAATAATGTCAAATAGTATACGACAAACCAGTATACGACAAACCAGTATACGACAACCTAGTGTTTCTACACAACAGAGGTTGGAATTCCATGAAAAACCAAGCATAAAACAAGTTACTTTAAGGGCCACAGTTAGCGGCTTACTAATAGGATCACTGATATTGGTATCCAACTTCCAATTTGGCTTACAGACGGGATGGGTTTCAATGATGTCCTTACCTGCTGCATTGCTTGCGTGTGCGTTCTTTAAACAAGTTTGGCCTCTAATATACCCCGGTGATACTCCATTCACTGACGTAGAGACCGTTTATGTACAAAGCATGGCGGTTGCTGTGGGAACAGGTCCACTTGCATATGGGTTCATAGGCGTTATACCTGCAATTGAAAAATTCTTAACTGCTGAAGAAACTGGTGGAACAAGAAAACAAGGAGAAGCATTCCATTTAAACCAGCTATTGCTTTGGGCATTAGCACTTGCATTTTTTGGCATATTTTTTGCTGTGCCACTTAGGAAACAAGTCATCATCAAAGAGAAGTTACCATTCCCAAGCGGTAGCGCTACGGCTATTTTAATAGCAGTGCTTACAGGATCTGAGATAATGCAGGAGATCACCTGCAAGGAATTAATAAAACTTAGAAATTCTAGATTGGATGAATGTCCAGAAGTTTTCCAACCTGCCACTGAGGAGGAAACCCTACAGCTTTTGTCATCCTATCACAGTAATAATTATAATGCAGTAGGTGAAGATGAAGATGAGATCCAAACTGAGAAATCCCAACTATATTCAAAAAATATAAGTATTTTATTGAAAACATTTTTTGTATCTGCAGGCTATACAATAACGTCATATTTTATTCCTGCTATTAAAAGAATTAATATATTTGGTTCGTATCTATCAAAAACTTATGAGTGGAATTTTCAACCGTCTCCAGCATATGTCGGTCAAGGTATTATTATGGGTTTGTCTACAGTGTCATACATGCTTTTTGGTTGTATATTAGGATGGGGGGTTCTTGCTCCATTGGCTCATTACAAAGGTTGGGTATCTCGTGATACAGATTTCCACGATTGGGAAAATGGAGTTTATGGATGGCTTATTTGGTCATCTTTAGCTATTATGGTCGCAGATAGTGTTGTAGGATTCATTACCTTAACTGTAAGATCGTTAGTTAGATTCATGTTAGTGGATGACAGGGTAAGCTTGATTAACGAAGCTTGGGAGGATTCTTGTCAATCGATGCTATTAGAAGAGGAAGATATGATAAACCGTAAAAATAGTGTCTGTGGGGGTTTACATAATACAGTAAAGTTGATGAGTGCTGAGACAGACAATGAAGTATCTCCAAAACATTTAGTGGCATACACAACAGTAATTAGTGGTCTTATAATTTCTTCAATAATATGTGTCGTTATAATAATATACATATTTGGAGTTGATATAATACCTATTTATGCTATGGTTTCAGCTTTACTTCTAGCATTATTACTTTCCATTCTTGGGATAAGGGCGTTAGGTGAAACGGATTTGAATCCAGTTAGCGGCATTGGAAAGATTTCACAACTGCTCTTTGCTTTGATAGTTCCTAAGAACCATCCAGGTTCAGTACTATTAAACGTTGTAGCAGGTGGTGTTGCTGAAGCAGGAGCTCAACAAGCTGGTGACTTGATGCAAGATTTAAAAACCGGTCATCTGTTAGGTGCATCACCAAAAGCACAGTTTACTGCTCAGTTGATTGGGGCAACTTGGTCTATCATATTATCAAGTGTAATGTATATGTGTTATAATAAAGTATACTCGTTACCTAACAAACAGTTTAGGATACCAACTGCAGTTGTCTGGGTTGATTGTGCAAGGTTAGTGACAGGGAAGGGTCTTCCCACAAAAGCTACGGAATGTTGTATTGTTTTTGGGATTATATTTAGCCTTCTATCATTAATCAAAAATTGTTACAGAGACAGAGATTTCAAATGGATGAAATGGATTCCTTCTGGTATTGCCGTTGGTGTTGGAATTTATAATCCTCCTAGTTTTACCATTGCCAGATTTTTAGGAGGGGTAATTTCTCATTATTGGTTAAAAGGTCATAAGGGCGATTTTAATTCGAAAACTACGATGATTGTATTCAGTTCTGGACTTGTGCTTGGAGAAGGAACATGTAGCATATTAAACATGCTCTTCACGCAATTTAAGGTACCTCATTTTTAAACATGATAATAAAAACATTTCATTAATTTAGTCTGTATAAAGTAAACGAATAATTACGTAATATAATGTATATATAAATATTCCTTGGCATGAAACTAAAGAATATAATATATCGGATAGATGCATTGATTTTTTATTTTATTAATTATTGATTTTGTTCCTGGAATCGTAGGGCCAATTGCTTTTTCCTAAAATCTTTGTATTTTTCATCTTTAACTGACTCAACACGACTCAAGAAATCTTGCTTTGCCAAATAACCATCTTTATTATGTGACTGTAACTCATCAGTAATACCTTCCTTATCAACAAAGGTTGCCCAATCTAATTTAGACTTTTCTAAGGTCGTTAATTTTGGTTTCAATGACCCAGCTATAATCTGCTCCAAAATAGGTGGCCTTTTTAATGGTCTTCGCAGATTTAATTTCAAAATTTCATCAGATTTACTTTTTGTTTTGGTTTGTTCAATATTCTTCACGTCAGTAGATTTTGGCTCAGCTTTTTTCACACTATCTGGTTGCTTTTGAAACTTCAAGCTATTTAAATATTCTTTTGCCTCTGCACTCGATTTCAGTACTTTTTTTCTTTCATTAACCACTTGTCCTGCAAATTTATATGATCTTTCAATCCAAATAGTTTCTTCATCTAATGCTGCATTTTCTTTTTTAGAGCTTTCTCCCATAATAGTATCATTTCTTCTATTCATATCCAATCTCTGTAAACTAGTATTCTTCAAATCATCCCACACACTACGGATAGATTCCGATACATTGCTAGTCTCCAGATGTTCATATTTATGCGTCTTGCTCAAACTCTCTTCTAATAGTCTTGCTCTTCTGGTTTTGATCAATCCTCCAGCATCACTTTCGATGGCTGAATAATCCCTCTTTGATTTTGAAACATCTTTTGGAACTTCACCATCTCTATACCCATCTAGATCATCTTCATCCTCATCACTATTACCAACGACTTCAACTTTAGTTGGATCAAAATCTTCATCATCTTCCTCATCATAACTAGAATCATGTTCTTCTTCAACATTTGGAATATTATGCTCTTCAACCATCGTGAAATATACTATTCTACAACAATAGTACAATAACTAGTCAGCTAATCGATCCTTAAAACTATTCTCTTATAGTTTGCCCTTACTAGTTGCGTTGGTTTTATGCTTAAGTATCCATCTTCTTTTTTTTTCAATGCTTAAATTTAATATCGATGGTGCCTTAAAAATATACATATGTATCGAGATGAGATAGAATTGAATATAACCAAACAAGATCAATAAAATAATAAAAAACACATTAAAGTTGCTGTTTGAGCAGGAGAACAAGGATAATTTGGATTTATTTCTAATCATAAATTGAATTTCCGATTAAAAGAGTATATTAAAGTGGGATTCTTTCATGTTATGTGTTCACTTTTTGAAATTTATTCTATACATGAACTTCCTGATAGTTTAAGGGTTAATAGAAAAAAAGTTAGTGTAATTAATGGAAATGAGTTTCCTGATAGTATTCGAACTAAATTAATCAATTATGATAGTACGTGGCGACATATTTGTCGAGTTGACAATGAGTTTGTATTGTTAGAGAGATACAATGAAAAATATTGGATACAATGGTCAATTTTATCATTTGATATTGAGGATATTAAAAAGGAACATTTGCTATTGACAAAGCTTGAAACTAGTGATTCTATGAGTTCTCAGATGCTTGACTTTAATTCATTGGGTATTAGAGATATTTTGAAGAGTTTACAAATGGAAAAGAGTGAATGTATAGTTGGCGGTGATAATTCAATTCAGCATTTATCTATGACACCTCCAGATATCATGAACTCAGAGATTGAAAAGAAACCACTTGAACCAAGAACATATATTGAAAATAAGTATTTTGATACTTTATATGGAACAAATATTCCAATTGCATATTTTGTTAAATCAAATTTGAGTCGACTAAGAAACATTTGTAAAGCTAATTTTAAAGATCAACCCTTTTTACAATACCAAACGATTACAACAAGCTTACTTTTGGATTTGAATACATTTGATAAAAAATATAATGGTAATGGGCTTTTGAACAATAATTCAGATAATGAACTTATTGAGAACAACCGATTATCATTTTTAAAAAAGTTTAATGTCGTTCCTAACCCTGATTCTAATTTACAAATCACAGAATTAATAACTATATTGAAGGCTCGTGAACTTAAACTGCAAATTATTATGTTATTAGAAATTATATTCATCAATGATTTAGATAGTCGTTTAATAAATTTCGAAAATGATTATAAAACAAAGCTGAAGAAAAGATCACTAAATGTCACACGTAGGGGTATAAGATCAAAGAGAAAGTCATCTTCGAATAATAAAGTAGTTAAAGAGACTATCGATTACTGTGAACAATTGGATTTATATTTAGACAAACTAAATATTCTAGATATTTTGTTAGCAAGTGAACATACTATTAAGGAAGATACAGATATAGATTTGATAAAGGAACAAAAATTGAACATGTTGAACAGACATAAGGAAAACTCTTCTTTAGGTTTTATAAATTACATATTGATTCCATTTTTCACGAAGAAGGTGCCCAATACTGTTCAATTTATTATTAATAAATTAAAGGTCCCAAATCTAAAATCCCAAAACTTGAGGCAACAAAATACTGGTGATTTAAACGCAAAAAGAACAGTATCTTCAGAATCATTAGATCCATCAAATGAGTTTACTTTTTCAAGAAGGGATTCGAGGAGTTCTTCAAGAGTCAGTTCGTCACCTTCTTCACCTAACGTAAGATCACTACCTTTGCTTCAAAGAAGAAATACTACCGATCTTTCAGCAACTCATATGTTTAATTCTAGAACATCTTCTAATTTAACTGAATTTATTGATTCTAACTCCAAAATTGCCCAAAGGCCTCTGGGTATGTCTAAAACCAAGTCAGATCTAAATTTATTACAAAAAAGACAACTTTCAGTTTCAGAATTTTCATCAAATAACACAAATAGTTTCAATAATGATCAATTTTACAGCAATAAGGATAAACATATGAAAAATAGGAATATTTTAATAGATGCTTCCCAACATTCATTTAGGAGGGTCGGTAAAGTGAAGAAAATTTCTAATGTAGTAGGGAAAAGTAGTGTACCTGAGAAGCTTCAAAAATCACATACAGTCCAAGTTACAGCTACCCCACTACGTAAGGTCAGAGAGTCACCTAAAAATATTCCAATGGACAACATCATAGAATCGCCAGCAGATGCTTCTCATACTTCACCTTTAAATAAGGCATCTCCGATTTCATTAAATGTTAGAGAGGATGAAAGCTCTAAACTTAATAATGAAGAGGTTCCTAAAAGGAAAGTTAGAAGGCGTCTATTTGCACCATGATAAATTTTTAGCATTGCATGATAGTAAAGATGGTCAAGTTTTATTTTTTCCATTTTTTTATTATCCTAGTATATACAATATAGACGTGTATTAATATAACTATATATGCGTTGGTATTAAAATTAATCTTCACCAAAAAATACGGCACATATAATTTCTTTGGCATCATCTCTCTTTATTATAGCACTTGATATTGTGACACCAAAACGCTTTACTAATTTATCCTTTTCATCATCTGTCACTGGTTCATCTTTACCTTCATAAACCTCCGGAAGATCCTTCTTCAAGATCAATAAATTTTTAATGACGGTTTCCACCAAGAATTTTGTTTCTTCTGGTGTAAACTTCATATTTTTATTTGTATCAACATTCTCTAAAGTTAAATTCTGTTCATTGAAAACCAATCTTGACCAATTGCATAGGTTACCCAAAAAAAATCTAATAGATTCCGATTCCAGTACAGATATACCACGTAGACAACCATAGTAAGTACCAAAAACTCTATTTGTATCTAAAAATGTCTTTAGTAAAGTTCTAGTCACACGAGGTTTTAATGATTTATAAAATTGTGGGAACTTCTTCAAAACATAATCTAGCAAAGAGGCAGCAAAATCACGCAATGCATTGGCCTTCTCCAGTAGTTCTTGTATATCTTCCTTGGAGTCACTTGCTGGTGAACCTCCAAGCTTTTTTGCCAACAACAATGTTAAGATTGATGGCATCAAAGAATGGATGTATGGATCTAAGAAAATGGACTCATTACTTAATAAAGAATAAATCATTTCTAATATGGTGGTTAAAAGGTCCAAATCAGATAGGTGATGGGTAATTTGTTCAGCAATAAATTGTATAAAATATGGAACCAATTGATGAAGACCACTATCTGTTTTTAATGATGATAATGCAGCTGCTTTCATATACTGAGCATTTGGATCTGAAGTGTCAGTGGAAGTCAATGCAGCAACGACTTTGTTGAAATAAATTTGTAATTCTTTTGATAGAACATGTTTTAGCAAAGGTTTAACCTCAGTATTATGGCCCGGTTTAACAGCGGAAGAACGACTGGAATTCTTATCTTCTGACAATGAAATCGATTCCGCAGATGAAGATGAAGCCTGTAAACTATTATCATTTAATGCAGTGACAATAGCACCTCTTACAATAGGAGGTTGTGAAATTCTTATATCATTTAAGTTTGGATTTTGCGCAATTGCCGGCTGAACACCTTCAACTGCTAACCAATGTGTAGTAAAAGTAGGTAAACGGGGAACCTGAGGGAGAGTATTGTTAATAAGTTTATCAAAGTCTACTTCCTCGTCATTCAAATAATAGATAGACTGTCCACCAGAAGCATTAACTTTATTAAATGATATATTTTTATTTATTGCCGAACCATCATGATAACCATATAAAGGTTCAACATTTAATGCCCTAAGAGCCTTTGAAATATCGTCAGTTGTTAAAATGTCCCTCTTAGAATGCCTCTTAAACTTAACTGCTTGCTCAATAATCTCTAATATACGATACTCAACGTCCATAGCCAAACCTTTCAACACATCTTCACTAATATTATCAATCCCTAAGGATTCGGCAACATCTTTCACGGTGTCTTGAGGAGACCAAATAGTATACGACTGCTGTTGATTAGACATAACGACAACCTGCTCAATTTCCTACCTGGTATACTTCGACTTCATTAAAACCAAAACAATATACGTTAATGTTGCTATAGTTTATCAATTTAATAGTTAAATATTTTTTCATTAGCCAAATATTGAAAAATTGTAAGGCGATATCTGAAATTTGATAAATATCGAAACCTTTAACAATAACAACAATGGATTTAAGGTTAAGTTGTAGTTTTTAGTTTATGTTGCCGTTGGAATATTTGTTAGATTAGGAGTATATATTTTCCTTTGAACAATATTGTTTCAAGAGGAGCTAGTTAAATTAGATTGGGAGTTTTAACCAGAGTGAACGGATAATTCTTCAAAAATGCATGATGAATTAAGTCCATTACAACAGACTGTGTTGGAAAGATATGAAAAATTAGCTAGTTCTTTGCATTCATTAGATGATACGTTGAAATCAATTAATTCTACTGATTCTGAAGTATCGCCAGAGGAGGTGATAAGGCAATTGAGAGAAATTGAGATTAAAATCGGATTAGTAGGAACACTATTGAAAGGTAGTGTGTATTCATTTATTTTACAACAGAAACAGGAACAAGAAAGATCTAATAAGCAATGATCTATATATTTTAGAGGGGTTTTCATTCAATTTTGTGTTTAAATTTGGGAGGATTAGTTAGGTTATTTTTTTTTACATGTTTATTTAATTTAGGATTGCACAATGCATTTATATGATTTAATTTTTTAATTTAAATTATTAATTTTTCATTAAACTATTTGTATATATGGAATTTTTAAAGTACATAATTATACATTGTACAGCACAATTTCACCATCTAGACCACATGAAGAAACTTGAACGACTTGACCATTGCTTTCTTGGAAGGCCTTTAGTTCAACGATAGCATTTTCGTGAGCACTGTGTTGAACTGCAGTCGAGACTCTACCCTTCAAATCTAATTCCTTGAATTTTTTCAATGCTGACATACCAAATGCATTATTTTCTTCTTCGTCATCGTTGCCGTCTAATGAAACTGTACTCTTTTTAGCGTTGGCATCGCTAACTTTATCCAAGTTCTTGGCAAATTTCCAGGCACCATTTGCTTCGCTGAACAAAACTGGGTGACAACTGTAACCAGCACATAGGATAGAATTGTTGTTAATCCAAGCTAAGGATCTGTATGGCAAACCTTCAGGAGCATCAACTGTTTGATGGTTGCCTTGCGAATCAACAACGTTCAAAGAACCGTCATGAGCAACAAAACCAATTCTTTCTTGGGAACTATTCCATTTAACATCATGAACATAGGAGCCTTGATACCATTCTCTGACCAAGGAACCAAATGGGAATTTATCACCCCAAGGTGAGTTGACAACAGCATCTTTACTGTCCAAACCTTTAATGAAACCGGAGAAAACACGCATGTAACCATCGGTACCACCAGCAGCCAACAAAACACCATTACTGTGCCATGAAATACAATTGATAGTTGACTTAATTGGCTTCTTAATATGTTTAGAAACCCACCAGTTGTTCTCTTGTTCATAGTAGCAAACTGCAATAATACGAGCACTGGAACCAACGGCAAACTTGTAACCACTTGGAGCCCAACTAACAGATGTAGCAGCTCTATTAATACGTAATAGAACTAAAGTTGGTCTATAACTACCATCACTCAATGGTTCCCAAACGTAAGCATTACGATCTTGAGAACAAGTAACAATTCTACCATGAGCAGAAATATCGACAGCAGTGACTGTTTTATCGTGATTTTCCAAAGTAGCAACTAAAGATGGAGGAGAGGTAGCACCTTGTAATCTATAAACCAAACACTTGTTCTCACAAGTAATTGCTAACAAAGTTCTGTCAGCAGAGAAACAATGTGAATAGATTGGAGCTTTCACAAGCTTAAAATTGGCTAAAACTGATTTTTCGTTAAATGACATTATATTAGACACTAAGAGACTCTCGACTAATGCCTGTTGCTTTAAATTCAAACTTTAAAGAGATTGTATCATATTAATTGAAAGGAATTAATTATTAACTCAACCATCTATCTGGTTTATATATGTTATATCAAGGTTTCTTTCTATGCTAATAGAATTTCAATATGGAAAAGCCCCTTTACAAGACCATATCCGGGTAAGCTATTTGAGAGATCACATGATATCTGCCTCAGCAGGTGCATCACGTGACTACAATAAAAGATAATGTAATGAAAGATGCATTAAAATCTGGGTATATATACTTTCTATAAGACTAATTATGAGTACCAAGTACTAAAAATATGTACTGGAATGCAATCAAATACCTACTTTAGATAGTTTTTTATCATGTCCCTTTTTCCTATTGTGATTAGCACTAGAGCTCTTGTGTTTTTCATTGTTTGCGTATTTCTTCTTTTTACCAGTACTGTCGTTTGATTTTGAAGAAGACTCTGGTTTTTGTTGCTGTTGCTGTTGCTGTTGCTGTTGTTTATTCTTCTTCTTTTGAGTTCCTGATGTATTTCGAGTTGTTCCTTTTTCGTTGGAATCCTCCCTGTTATGATCTCGATTCTGAACAAAGGAGGTTTTACCACTTTTCTTATTTCCTCTGAACATGAACTTTTCTTCTAGGATCATTGCACGTTTAGGCGATTTCTCGATCATACGCGCCCAACCTTCGATTTGTTCATCTGACCACGACGTGGCCCCTTTCATATCTTTCCTTACTTTACTTTTACGTTTCGATCTTTCAAATAACGTAGGATCTTCTTTCAAAAGGTTCCATAGATATCCTTCGATTTTATCGTGGACGGAGCTCTCAGTCTTCTCATTTGAGTCATCAATTGATACTTTGCCATGAACTGCTGACCTTTCAACTTCCGCTTCCTCATATGTATCGTCGACTTCATCTTCGTCATCTTCATACAGCAATTGTAAAGCTCTTGTCAATGTTTTGTTCTTGACTTCATCAGGTACATGTTTTGGGAAAGATTTATCATTACGTTTTTTAACTTGTGGGTATATCACATCTTCCATTTTGGCTTTATCTTGGGGTTCTTGTTTAGGCTTTACTACAGTTGCTGCTTTTGGAATATCATCTGCGACAGAAGGGTTTTCAAACAATATGTTGGTTAGCAGCTCTACATTATTGTCATATCTCACTAATAGCTCACTCAATTGATAATGAGTAAATATAGGAAATAATTCTGCTAACATATTCACGTCTTCTTCGTTTACCTCGTCAATGGCTCCATTAGTAGTGGACATCCCGCTATCATTACTTGTAGAAACATTTAGGAAGTATATTTTTGATTTAATATCAGGAACTTTTTGCTGATATGCCTCACTCATTAATATCGAGCCTAATAATGGATATAATGATAAAGTATCTATGTCACTAACACCTAATTCTCTTACAACTTTTGAAATCCCAGTTGAAGATGAAGTTAAAAGCGTTACAACTGCTAACTGTTGAGCAACTTCACTAGATCTTCCTTTTCCTTTATTCCACCATGATTCCAACGATTCACACCAAGTAGTACTCATAAATTCATCTGCAAATTTGGTCTTCCTATTTTTACCATTAGATGATAACAAGCACTCAAATGCTTTCATATCAATCCTTGAAAATTTCCCAGATTCCACTAGCTGTTTAATGTATTGTTGGACTTGATGTATTCTATTAATTTGAGCACGCTGAGTGTTAATCTCTGGCTTTAACGAACCGTCTATCAGATTTCTTATGGTATCAGCATTGCCTTCAACATAAAAAGTAACCATATCCCACAGAGTTTCACCAAATATCTGCAAATGTAACAAACCACATTTCTTAATCATTGCAAATACCCATATTCTGATTAGTTCCAATTCTTTTGTAACATCATTGTTCTCACCTAAACTTTGAATAATTCCTTTATCATTAGCCATTTCATGAAGATAACTTCTAAGAAAGATCAACAAACTATCCATAGTACTAGAACTCAACCTCTCCAGGTTATTCCCCTGCATTATAAACTCCAAATGGGCAACATAGGTCTCCAATATATGAGCCCAAACTACAGGATCCTTTTCAATCAGAAGAGCACGCAATCCAATAGGTGGAAATTTAACAATAGGGAAACTAATATCTTCAACTTCACCATCAAAACTAATTATCCTATCAACTACCATTATATATCCTACTTCTATAGTCTCCTCATCCACTTGTACTCTATAACTTCTTCCATTTATCAGCCTACTCTTTTATATGTTGCTTTAAATCATCAAAGTCAAATTCGAAAACTCTTCGATGATCTCTTATTTCAGATGCAGGACTTCACCATATATAAATGACATATTTAATTGAATTTAAATATTAAGATGATGGTAAACTATATATTTAAACAATCAATGGAATATATCTAGTTGAAATTCATTAGATGATTTAGAATTGTTTGTTTTTGTATTCAGTATTTTCTTTTTTAGTTATATAGATAATGTTTGGTTATCAAACAGTATTATTATATATATATATATTGTCCTAGAACTTTTTAAAAAATACAATGATGATGCATTGAAAGAGTGAATAGTTATAAATACAAATATTTCTTTAAGTTGTCATTGTGTTGATTATGCGATGACAACTGCATTAACTTAGTTTTATACTAGTTATATTTTTAGAATTGAAATTGTTTTGGATTCAGGGTTCTCCAGTATGGGAGGGGAGAGATTGTTCTGTTTTAAATTTTAATCATATACCAAATCTTCATTTGCCTTTTCAATCTTTTGCTTCTCTACTTGTTCCACCATTTGTGACTTATGTGACTTAGCTCTCTCTGTAGCTAGTTTCTTTCCCAAGGCACCTTTTGTATCTTTCTCATTACTCTCAGCTAACCTTTTCTCTGCTGCCAGTTTAGCTGCTTCTTGTGGTGTCAACTTAGTTCTATTCTCATCTGACTGTTCAGATATTTTAAAATCAGTAGTATCATTCTGCTTCTTCTTCTGTTTCCTCTTGTTCAAATCTGCGTTTGCCTGTCTTTGAGGGACATTTTTGCTCTTGGGTGTAGATTTCGTCTTAACAACTGGTTTGGGCTGACTAGAAACTGGCTCTTCATGGGTACTTGCACACAAACCCATCTTCAACTATTTATTATTTTTATTATTATTAATATTATTAATATTATCGCTATTATTCGTATTCGAATTACTCTCTTGTAATTCTATCCATGTATCTTTTAATTCAACTTCAAATATTCGAAGTTATCCTTATATTTAAACACAATGAATTTTAATTAGCCTTATTTAAATTAAGGCCTGTGGGAACGTCTGTTAAGGTTATGACGATGGAAATGACAGTAATAATCAAGATTGGAATGGTTAAACATTATTACAAATTAAATAAAAGTATTAAAAGTCTATAAATGGATTCTATCAAAAATATTATGTGAGTGTTATGTTGTTGTGTGATGGTCCTTGTTGTATTACGTTAGGATCTATCATTTTAAATTCAAGAGTGGTCTCCTTTAAATTCAAAATGACTGTTTTAAACTATGCAATTGTGGGATTGGGATATCTGAGGTATCTAAACTTGGGAATTCATTTAGTACAGATTGTAAGCATGAATATTTTAAAGCGGTGCCTGAAGTTAATCTAGTTAATTGTCTTGTATCTCTACAAAATTTTGAATATTTCTTAACAATTTTTAAGTATAAAATAATTCTTTGGTACATCGTATTGGTTGTGCCATATAACGTCATTGGTTTATTCTTCATTCTAACGTCATCAAATGCACCTGATGCGTTAGCTGCTGCAAATGCTGGATGATTGAAATCGATATTTTCTGTTGAGGGTACTCTAGTGAATATTTCATTATTGCTATTTGTTTTACTAATTGGGGAACCTATTGGCGTTGGTACTGCTGTGTCATTAGAAGATACGGATACCAGTAGAGATTGATCCGAAGATGGGACTGTTAAATTTGATTTGTTTGATAAATCTTGGGCCCAAGTGATAGTAGCATCTCTCAGGGCAGCCCAGTCTGCATTTGCTATGAAACGTTGACCGATATGGTCAGATTTGATAACTAGATCCAACCATCTAGATAGGATAATATTATTTTCTACATTGTCTATAGAACCCATTGATTTCAATAAGATTCTATAGGAGACAATAGTTTTTTCAATTTTATAATAATCATAAGAATTATCGATAAATTCAATTATATTTGAATCATGCCAAATTGAACATTTAGTTAAAATAATGTTAAAGAAAGGTTCATCAATTGGTTTTATGTTATTATAAGTGATAATAATCGATTTCAAATGATTGAACCCATCTAATTTATTCGATTTAAAATGTTCGAAGAAAATATTGAAGAAAGTATCGTTTAATGAAGATGAGATACCATGGTTCACATTTTTACCATAATGTAAAGACGAAATATACCAAATTTGATAAACGTGATTAAAGTCCTTTTTCTGTGACCAAATATTATTCAAAAAAGATTTAACATATGATACTTGTAAATCTATCTTATATGGCATTTCATTATTTAAAGCCTTATCGAAGAATAGTTGTGCAACCTCCAAATCTTTACATTCACCAATGAATGATAAATGAGTTTCTATTAAATAACCGAATTTCATTTCAGTTGATTCTTGTGATAATTTTTCGAATAGACTTAGAGCCATTGGTATATTACCGGAAGATAGAGAAGCTCTAATCATTCCTACTGATAAATTTGGATGGAAGTAATTGATCATGGAGGAAGATTTTTCATATAATAGTTGGATTTGATCATAAGGAATACCATGATCATACAATATAGGTAAAATTACACCTACCACTCTTGGATTTAAAAAGATGTTTGAGGTGTAGTTATTTTTTGAATTAATTGAATTTTGCCAAATTGAAATACATTCATCGAATAGTAATAATTCTTTAAAGGCTGTAATTAAATGCATTGCACCGTATTCATTCAAGTTAATTTTATCTAATAAAACATCATTTGCAATAACTCTTAAGGATTTACAAAGATAGTTTGTAATTTCTTTATGGAAAGATTTTGAATCATAATCAGGTTTTTTATTCATTTTAGTTAGTTGATTTCTATTTGTACGTAGACCATTATGTAATAAATGAACTAATTTTGACACTCTATCGGAATTTAAATCAGAAGTTAAAATCAAATCAGTATACAGTTTCATTGCCAATTGAATAGAATTCCAAAATGAGTTATCAATGGATGGACCATTATGAATATTTGAATTTGCATAATTATATTTACGTCTTGGAGTTTGAGACATAAATAAAGTGCTTGAAACACAATTTTCAAAATCTATAATTTTTTGGTTTGACATTGCACATAGTTGTCTGAAGAAATTGGTCGTCTTATAGTTATAGATGGGAGTATATATCCAGTTACTGCCTTTTGGATGGAGACCAGTTAATACTGGTTGAATATTAATAAATAAGTATGTCTATATATATGAATATACAAAATTATAGATGTCAAGTTAGTACTGCAATATTTAAGAGAGATAGAGAGTGTGTTTGCATAAGGAAACTTCCCGATGAGCTAGCAAAAAAAAAAAAGAACAATTTAAAAATTGCTATATATGATATCAATGTTTGTGAAAGAGAAGAGGAAGATGGAATAGAGAGATATGAATACAATACAGTACAATACAGCATTTAATTAAAAATTTTCAAAACATTCAGGGCAGAATATCCCAAGAGGACCCGTACTATAAAACGTATTTATTAAATTATTAGTGTTTTATCAAATTACTTGTTTGTTATACAATCTTTTTTCCCTTCTATATCTATATCTATATCTATATCTACATCTATCTCTTTTCTCTTCAGAAATTTCCCTAACAGTTGTAGTAAAACAGATGGTATCTCTCAATGACATAAATGGCAGGTACAGATGAGTAGCATGAGAGTAGGTTTAGAGGTTTGGCAAAAGTAAAAGAGAGCTTGGTTAGCTAATTGCTTGATAAACAGGAAAGCTTAGAGGTTGAGAAAGAGTGCTTTTTCTCAAATTCCAATATTCCAATTGTAATTGTAATGGGAACTGGAATATTGGATCGAAACGGAACGAGGTGAAACGACAGAAAGAGAAAGCAGCGGAGAGGAGTAAAGCGAAGAGAAGGGAAACGAAGACGAAGACGAAAACGGAAACGAGAACGAGATGAGACGAGACGAGGCGAGAGACGAAAAAAACAGCGAGATGAAACGAGATGGTCAAAGAAACAGCCGTACGCTGAGCCAGATCAGAACAGTTTTTCCATATCATTAACATGTTGAAGGCAATACCCGAGAGCGAGAGCAAGTGCGAGAGATGATCGGATTAATTTGATGCTATCAATTGTGCATAGAATATGCACAATTGTTCCGAACTGGTATGTCTTTTTTGAAGGGAAAAAGTACCGCGCACTGCAGTTCACTGCACTGGGCAGCACCGCCTGGTGTGGCACGGCACTGTTGCTTTCTCAGGTTGAGAGCGACGTGTTGTTCGTGCAAAGAGATGCGATTTTTTGATGTGAACAAAAAAAAAGAAATGCAATTTATCCTATCAGGAAACTACACGTGCATAACGATGAGCAGGGTAACACATACCCACAAACATTATCTCTCATCTCTCTGTCATCTCTCTGCTGCCAACAATAAAAAAAATTGTGTTTTTTTTTTGATCTGGAACCGTCTCTCTCTCTATTATGTGTGTATCTTCCCATCTATTGTTATTGTTATTGTTATTGTTATTGTTATTGTTATTGTTAATGTTGATTTGGGCTGATTTGGGCTGATTTGGGTTAACTTTATGATGTTTCGAATTGTTTTGATATTCGAAATTGTATTTACATATGCTGGATCAGGGATTTAGATACATAGAAACATACATGTACACACACTCATATATATAATTGGAACTAATTTATTTGTTCACTAGTGTATTCCATAAATCAAACAATCAAATATACACATCCACTCTCAACAATGTCCTCAAATAAAGATATCTTCACTCTATTCGATAAAAAGGGCCAAGGTGCCATCCCATCCCAATTGGTCGCCGATTACTTAAGAGCTGTAGGCTACAACCCTACCAATCAACAAACTAATGATATACTCTCTTCTTCTGGTTCCCCAGATACTTTGTCTTTCGATCAATTATCTCAATTGATCGAAGATAATAAAGATACTCTAGAAGCCACTACTACTGCTCAAGTAGATGACTTCATTAAAGCTTTCCAAGTTTTCGATAAAGAAAATACAGGCAAAGTATCAGTAGGTGATTTGAAATACATGCTTACTGGTTTGGGTGAAAAATTATCAGAACAAGAAGTTGATGAATTGTTAAAAGGGGTTCAAATAGATCAAGATGGTGGTATTGATTATAAGAAATTCATTCAAGATATATTAACTCAATGATTTCATTTTTTTTCTTGTTAATTAATTCTTCAAGTTCTCCCTCACCCCCCTCCAGGCAACAACATCAACGCCAATTTAAATCATTTATAACTATCCGTCATCTGTATATTTTATAATTAATTATTCCATATATATACATACATATATATATCTATATCTATATTACTATACTAATCTTAATCTTATGCTTTATATGTACTACTGTTATTGTTTTATATTGAGATTGAATACCAAATCAAGTCACATGACACCAAAATACAGGTTCTAGTAATAATGTCCGGGCATTCTTTTTGGAAAATTTTATTGCTTACCACTTATTTCAAATATAATTGAATGTACTTACTACAGTCATATTTGAATTCAGTTGAATACACATACATATACATTCGAAGTAATCCAGTGTAAAGGGTATAACGGGGCTTATAATTGAAATTAATTTAGTTAACCAATGTCTTTTGTCGAAAAATTCCAAAGTTTGAATATCTCAAACGAATTATCTAGAGAACAATCTGCTGTTGTTGCTCAATGGGAATCAATCTTGTCAAATGGTCAAATCAATGCTAACTTACCATTGTTAAACACCACTTTAAGAGATGCTAGTTTCGTCGCTTCTACCCCATCCCCAATCTTGATCGACGTTCAATTGTTTGAATCAGTTTTGCCAATCATTAGGGAATTACTAGCTTCTTCAAAGGATGTCTCTAACAACAGTGCTCAATATAGACATATAATCAGATGGGTAGATTATTTACAACAATTGTTACAATTACCAGCTGACCAACAATTAGCTATTAACTATGACATTGAATTACCTCGTGAAGTTATCGAAAAGAAAAAGAAAGCTGATGCTGAAAAGAAGAAAGATGATGCTCCAGCTGAAACTAAGAAAAACGCAAAGGCTAAGGATGATAAGCCAAAGGGTAAACCAGATGAAGAAACTTTAAAGAAATTGAGAGAAGAAGCAAAGGCCAAGAAGGCTGCCAAGAAAGCTGCCCAAGCTGCCGCTAACGCAGAAAAGGAAGCTAAAGAACAAGAAAAACCAAAACCTTCTATTATTGACTTCCGTGTTGGTTTCATTCAAAAGGCCATCAAGCACCCAGATGCTGACTCCTTATACGTCTCCACCATTGATGTCGGTGATGAAGAAGGTCCAAGAACTGTTTGTTCTGGTTTAGTCAAGCATTTCCCATTAGAAGCTATGCAAGAACGTTACGTTGTTGTTGTTTGTAATTTAAAACCTGTTAACATGAGAGGTATTAAATCTACCGCCATGGTTTTATGTGGTTCTAACGATGAAAAGGTCGAGTTCGTCGAACCACCAAAGGGTTCCAAAGCAGGTGACAAAGTTTTCTTCGAAGGTTTTGGTGACGAAGAACCATTGAAGCAATTGAACCCAAAGAAGAAATTATGGGAACAATTACAACCACATTTCACTACCGACGAATCTTTACAAGTCATCTTCAAGGATGAAGAAGATAAAGAAATGCCAATCAGAAAATTGACTAACAAAAACTCTGACTCTTTCAAAGTTGAATCTCTTGTTAACGCTCAAGTTCGTTAATTCTACTCTAACATCAATGATAACAACCTTTAACGTGATTTATTAAAACTATCAATTTTTAGATATATATATAAATCTATATAAATAACTGTATATGTAATACTAAAAATTGGTTTTAATCTCTATTATCCTTCTATTAACATCCATTAATATATGTCACTAAATTATCCAGGTCACGTTGTTTTTGCAAATGCCAGGTAACTCTCATTAGAAACAATACATATAAGTCTTAAATCCGTTTTTGAATTCTAAGTGACTATATACAATAAACATCCATACATTCCATGGTAAATATATACACCCAAACATGTCAAATAAAAGAACGAGTGCGAAAGAACAATAGATAATTTAAAATGCTTACCTCAACCGCACATTTCGGACTAATTTGTTTTATGTTTTTGAAAGAAACCGAAATTCCAATTTATTTTTCATCAACCAACGCAAACAAAATTTGGATTGGTGATGAGCTTTGAAAATATTTCATTGATATAGTGGTCGGAAGCAATCACAGTTTGATGTATATAAGAGAATAGGTGAGTGAAACTAATATTTGAAACAGTACAACTTATTTCCTTCTTGTAATTCCTTTATAATATATCTTAAGAAAACCAAGTACGTCATTTAGAAATGCCAACCAGATTAACTAAAACTAGAAAGCACAGAGGTCACGTCTCAGGTATGTAATTCCATTTGGAAGAGGGAATGAAAGAACCAAGACGGCGAATCTCTTCTTTGTTCTAGTGTGTGTAGTAAAACTCAATTAGAGAAATATTTCCTTATGTTTCTTTATATGTCTTTGCCCATATTTCTGTTGATAATTGAAGTGTCAAGTGTCTGATCGACAAACGATAAATAGTGAGATTCCTTACAAACGAGCACATTTTTAAACTCAATTGTGAGTTGTGCAGGATACTTTCGAGTGTCCCAGTGATTGTCAAGTAATTAAGTTACCAAACCTAATTTCTCGATTTTCATTTAAACTCTTCCATCGTTTGTAAGGTTTCTTCTCTGTTTATCTATGTCGGTTGCACCACTGAGTTGGACCTGTTTCTATGTCAGATTTATGCTGTCATGGAGTCAGATTCAATTGCTTCAATTCTCTTAACCAGAGATTTGTGTAATTTCAATCTTGTATAGATACACACGCTTCAAGGAAGTGATCATGCCGATCGATCAATATAAAGATAATCAATATCTTCATATTGTGGTTCTCATTCTCTCCAGGATTGTTCAAATTTAACGATTCTAATTACCACCATTCAACAAAGTTTATATTTACTAACGTTTCTCTATTAATTGTATTGATTTACAATTGGTATTAAATTTATATAGCCGGTAAGGGTAGAATCGGTAAGCACAGAAAGCATCCTGGTGGTAGAGGTATGGCCGGTGGTCAACACCACCACAGAATTAACTTGGATAAATACCATCCAGGTTACTTCGGTAAGGTCGGTATGAGATACTTCCACAAGCAACAAGCCCACTTCTGGAAACCAGTCTTGAACTTGGACAAGTTGTGGACTTTGGTCCCAGAAGAAAAGAGAGACGAATACATGAAGTCTGCTTCTAAGTCTTCTGCTCCAGTCATTGACACTTTAGCTGCCGGTTACGGTAAGGTCTTGGGTAAGGGTAGAATCCCAAACGTTCCAGTCATTGTTAAGGCTAGATTCGTTTCCAAGTTAGCTGAAGAAAAGATCAAGGCTGCTGGTGGTGTTGTTGAATTGATTGCTTAAGTGTATTGTACTTAAATTTTTATCTTCGAAAAGAAATTTAAATCTCCTATGTACAATTTTATTTAAAACTTAATTCATTTACATTATCTTAAAAGACTCATATTTTTTGCATTTGTATAATACATTCATCCATTAATTCGTAATATTGAAATTGATTAAAATCAGATTATATAGCTACTTACCTGATCTAATCCTAAAAAGCTTGTCAGGAGCGTTAGATTCCCTAGTAAAAGAAGAAACTAGATCATTTCCTAAAATTAGTAATGTGTCAATGTTTTATGCAGATAGTTAGTATATTCCTAACTATTTTGCTGTATTGTTCGTAGTCCTCAATGTTTATTCCTTTACCCGATATAGTTCAATATTTGTTTACAAACTTTGATATGGAAGCATCAAAATTTCGAAAACATCTTATTTATTTATTTAAAGAAAGAAGAAGAAGCAGAAGTACAGCAAGAAAATTTTTTTTTCTTTTTGGAATAGCTTTGGTTATATAATTGATATATTACATATTTTAAAAGGAGACATCTTGATAATTGATATCCTTATTCTTGTTGTTTTGGTAAAGTGTCAATTACGAATAAAACAAAAGAGACCACTATTCAAGATGTCAATTTGGAAACCAGAAGACCACGTACCGCAAGAGATCAAAGATCTTTTAGCTGAAGAACAACCTAATTATGTTATGGCATTTTTAAATGTTGTTCAGTTATTGAAAATTCAAAAGAGAACTGGTTGGTTAGATTTTGGTATCAACGAATGTGAAAGTATTTCTGATCACATGTATAGAATGGGTATCACATCTATGATGATTAAAGATCCAAAAGTCAACAAAGATGCCTGTGTCCGTATTGCATTAGTTCATGATTTGGCAGAATCTTTGGTAGGTGATATCACTCCTAATGATCCAGTAGGCAAAGATGAAAAGCATCGTCGTGAATTGGATACAATTAATTATCTATGTGATACTTTTATCGCTAAATATAATGAAGAAGCAGCAAGACAAGTTTTAGACGATTGGTTAGCTTATGAAAACGTTTCTACATTAGAGGCCCGTTATGTCAAAGATATTGATAAATTTGAAATGTTAGTTCAATGCTTTGAATATGAAAAAAAATATAATGCTGCAAAGAATTTAGATCAATTCTGGAGTGCAATGTCTAGTATTAAAACTGACGAAGTCAAATCATGGGCCGATGACCTATTCAAAAGACGTACTGCTTTCTTCAAAGAACATGCCAAATAAATAAATTAATTGTCATCACAATTAGTCTTCATATTCAGACGGATATAACACGGGTTATCTAAAAACCATATTAAAACAAGGGCAAGGTTGAAGAAGCATAATCATCTTTGTTCTTTATATTCCTAAAAAAGAATATCCACGGGATACATAGGTAATTAACTACATATATAGATACCCATCCATCACCCTAATTCAATGCATATTAAAAATTATTTCTAGTGTGATCACTTCAACTTTTCCCCTTCTTAAACAATGATTTTGAAAGAGTGGTGGGAACCTATTCATTAATCAGTAAACACAATTCTCCTTAAACAGTATAGGTTTACGTGAAGGAATAGAGTAACAATTCCTTACCCATTATCAGCCACCTTGGAGACCAATGTCACAGCCTCTGGAGGTGCAATCACTAATACCATCATCTTATTAGAATAGATATAGATCCCTTTATGGGTGTCTTAACACATTACTATTTATCTGGGCAAAGCATAAATGATAGCGCCCAGACCCTTTCAATTTAATCCGGTTTTGATCCGTCGGATTGATCCGTGGAGATGTATCGCTGACTATGGTGAAACTTTTCACCAACCAAAGTTCTCAGACTTTTGCAAACCTCAAACAGACCAGAAAAGAAGCATAACAACAGGTGGCTAAACCGATTCTCGATTCCAGAGGAGATTAGCTAACGAAATGTGGTTGACCTTTTACAACGGGTTGTAAAAATCAATCGTATATCACCTTCTAAACTCCATTCAATTTGTCATCATGATATGCTAAAACAGCACCCAAAAATTAATGATGATTATGATGATTATGATGATTATGATGATGATGTATTGTACTTCAATCTAACCAATATGGAAAGATGTGTAATCTATTAACAATTTATCAAGTATTTCGGTAATACACACCAGCCAAATAACGACTGTCCCTCTCTCTATACACAATTTTTTCTACACTTAATAAGAATTTATATCTTGAAATCTTGCGAAATTGATATATAAATCAAAGGTCTTTCCCATAAAAGAGCCTTATTGAATTCTTTTTAAAGAGTTTAAACCTTTTGTTTTTATGATATAATCTAATCATACTAATCAGAATATATATTGAAGGATAATATTACTTGAATCCAATAAAATACTATAATATTTCAAAGATTTTAGCATTTAGAAACAGTTTCACATTAAAGTCTTTATATCATACTACAAGAACCATGTCCAAGTTTTACGAATTAGCACCAAGTGATAAAAAAGGTGAACCATATTCATTCTCTCAATTAGAAGGCAAGGTTATCTTGATTGTCAATGTTGCTTCAAAATGTGGTTTCACTCCTCAATATAAGGAATTGGAAGAATTATATCAAAAACATAAAGATGAAGGTTTAGTTATTTTAGGTTTCCCTTGTAATCAGTTTGGTCACCAAGAACCAGGTAGTGATGAAGAAATTGCTCAATTTTGTACCTTGAATTATGGTGTCACCTTCCCAATTATGAAGAAGATCGAAGTTAATGGTAACAGTGTAGACCCAGTTTATGAATTTTTGAAGAGTCAAAGGGCTGGTATCCTAGGTTTCAGAGGCATTAAATGGAATTTTGAAAAATTCTTGGTCGACAGAAAAGGTGAAGTTTATGAAAGATATTCTTCTTTGACAAAACCAGCTTCAATTGAAGGTGACATCGAAAAATTGTTAAAACAATAAATGCTAGACACTCATCAAAATTATGAACTTGTTTACCTTCAAATAGAATGAAAGCATTTCGGTTTTGAAGGTGGGACACTTTTGGTTCTCAATATTTAATATTTTCTTAATCTAAATATGTATCTATCTATCTATATGTATATATAAATAAGTAATACACTAAAAATAATATATTATTTTTTAATTAATTTCTTCTATTAAAATATTATGTTACATACATGAGAAATACAAAACGGTTCTACCATATTTAATCAACCTATATGATCCAGGGGGAGAAGAGAACATAATTAGATTGTATCAAAGCTAGAAACTTATTGAACTTTGACCTTCTTGTTAGGCTGATCTTCCTCATCATTCACTGTTTCATCGACTTTAGTGGTTTCATCACTTTCTTCTTGTTTTGCTGATTCTTCAGCTGCTTCATTCTTTATTTCCTCTCTAATTCTCTTACCAGTGCTGTCTTCTTCCTCCATACGCTTCTTTGTTTCATCATTTAACTCAACTCCAGAGTTAAATTCTTTTTCAACACATTGCAATAGTGTGTTACCTCTTCTAGCCAACTCAGCTGGTGTTCTGCTTTGGAAATAGAAATCTAATTCAAATAAAGGACAGTCCCTGATCTCATCCCTAATTAATTCATAGACATCATCTCTGTCCAAGCCATATTTAAACAGCATGATCAAGATAAATCTATCTTCTTCTTCAGAATAAGTCCTCTTGTTGTTTGAAGAAGGAGGATATTTCAAAACCAAATCAAATAGTGGATTGCTGCATTTAGATATCAAACGACGTAGAGCTTCTTGTTGCATCTTCACACGTCTTATCTTTTCTTCTTCATTTTCGATCATTTTCAGTATCTTTTCATAATCTTCAATTCTTTCAATGTTGCTCCAGAATGCTTGAGCATACTTACGTACTTCCTCTAGGGTCTTACCTGGCGCTAAATCCATTGCGATAGCTTGAATAGAATTTCTACCATATTTACCAGAGGAAGAAACAAATTTTCTGAATTCATTCTTACCCCAATTAGAGAAACCTTCTGCTTCCAACTCTACCTTTAATTTTTCTTCTTCTTCAGTTAATGGTTGAGCATTTTCGATACTGATTTTTAATAATTGCAATTTTTGTTGTTTCTCAGTTTCATCCTCTATTTCTCCGTATGTTATTTTGACATCGTCCATTGATGGAACGTAACCAGTCTTCTTTGCAGTCCACATACGTTCCTTTTCGTAGATGACTTTCAATTGTGTTGGCAAGAGTTGATGAGAATGGAAAGCATGTGGTTTTGGCATTCTAGGTTGTGCTGGTGTAGTAGATCTACCAGTTTGTAATACATCCTTATAATAACCATCAATGTTATAGTTCTCTTTACGTTCACGCTTTGAAGGATTAATCCAAGAAGTGCTAATGATTTCTTTTTGAACTTTCTTTTTGAAATCTGTACCGTTCCATTCATAAGCAGAATCTTGGTTGAATTTTTGTAAGTCATCGAAACCCAATGCCGCATATTTTGCATTCAAAGATTTGGTTTTATCTTCAGAAGCATTTAAAATAGAATCCAAATCAATTTCATGTGCACCAGTATTTTCAGTTCCATCTGGATTTGGAGTATTTCTGGAGGATGATGTTTCACTAGAATCCTTGAACACATCCGCGGCACCATGCTGGATCATAGACAAAAGGGCATCCTTCTGATCATTTCTATTTTCTTTCTTATTTACTGGTGTTCTGTTTTGTTGAATGACTAATTGATCTAATCTTAATTTTTGAGTGGCTCTTTCTAAAATTTTTTCTTCAACAGAATTATCAGTAACTAATCTGAAAACTTTAACCTGTTTCTTTTGACCAATACGATGGGCTCTATCCATAGCTTGTAAATCTGCTTGAGGATTCCAATCGGAATCGTATAGGACAACAACATCTGCAGATGTTAAGTTAATACCAAGACCACCAGCACGAGTTGTTAACAAAAATAAGAATTTGTTAGAATCTGGTGCATTATAATCATCAATAGCTTGAATTCTGTCCTCATGTGCAGTAGAACCATCAATTCTACAGTATTCATAACCTCTAAAATAGCAATAATCTTCTAGGATATCTAGTATTCTAGACATTTGACTAAAAATTAGAACACGAGAACCTTCTGCCTTCAACTTTTTTAATAATTTATCTAACACCAATAATTTTTCTGAGTTGTAGACTAGATGTTCGTCAGTAGTATATGGTGGACCTGGTTCTGCACCATCAAATAAATAAGGATGATTAGAACATTTTCTTAATTGCATGACAATATTCAGTAATCTGGTTTTAGATTCTTTATTACCATTTGCACCGTTAACAGCATCCAAATCTTTTTCAAGAATTTGTTTGTACCATTTTCTTTGCATCGAAGACATACCAACGTACAAATTCAATTCCTTCTTTGGTAATAAAGATGTTTCGACATCGTTTTTAATACGACGTAATAAGAAAGGTTGTAAAACTGTGTGTAATTGTTTAACAATTTTTTCTTGATCGTCATCAGTAGATTGAGAAGAAAACCAGTCATCGAAATCTTGAGAATCAGAAAAGATATCAGGCAATAAGAAATTTAACAATGCCCATAATTCATGTAAATTATTTTGTAATGGGGTACCAGTGATCAACAATCTGTTACGAGAAGTGAATTCTCTTAGAACTTGTGATAACAAAGATTCCTCGTTTTTAATTCTGTGAGCTTCATCAATTACGATATATTCCCAATCGATTTTTCTAAAAGCTGCCTTTTCTCTAATAATAATTTCATAGGAGGCAATTGCGATATCAAAATTACAAGATATCAATTTATTCTGAATGATATTGGCTCTTTCTTCTTTGTCACCTTGTAAAATAAAAGCATTAACATCTGGAGTCCATTTATTAATTTCCCTTAACCAATTATTTAAAGTTGATTTTGGAGCAATAACTAAAAATGGGCCTGGTTTTTTCTCAATATATCTCATATAACCTAGAAAAGTAATAGTTTGCAAAGTTTTACCTAAACCCATTTCATCGGCTAAGATACCTGCTAAACCAAATTTATGCAGCGAAATCATCCAATTAACACCTTGAACTTGATAAGGTCTCAATGTACCATCAATAAAGCTAGGAGATTCTCTGAATTGAAATTCCAAACCTTCACTATCATCTTCATCTTCAGCTTCTTCTTCACCTCTTAGCAATTCAGCATCTTCTTCCTTCTCAGTTTTTCTTCTTCTTTTATCCTGATGAGCAGCTTTTGCACTCTTAGCTGCCATATCTCTATCAACAATTTCCAAAACTTTTTGAAACCTTTGATCCTTCTTGGCTTTGGAATCGATAAAGTGTCTGAACAATGCACTCAGAGATAGTAAATGCTCAAACCTTTTAGCAGTACCATCAGCATCAAACATTTTACGTCTTTCCTCTGTCAAAATATAACGTTTCTTATTAGCAGCTGGATCCCTAGAAGGAACACCTTCCTGCAAGGGCTTTAAATCATCCCAATATTTCTGATCAGCAGTCATCTTTGATCAATAAAAGATAACCCAACTACAATAAATTTATGAGTGAAATATTTCTTTGGCCTAGTATAAGAATAGTCTAAAAAATATTAATATTATAAGTTAACAATATTGTCTAAGATGTCCTAATAAAATAAATTTTAAAAAAAAACACACACACAGAAACAAACAATAAATTAATTATTTAAACCAATAGATCACTTACACCATAAACTCCTTACCAACATATGTATCCCTTCTAATATCAACAATTTTAATAAAATGTTTCGTGTATTGCTGACTTTTTATATATTTTTTTCTCTCTTCAAATCTTATATCGAAGCTTTTTTATGTATTTTTTCAATTTGATATGATATTTCACCTTAATTTAGGCAAGCGTAAGCTTCATTATAAAGGTCATCACCACTTTAATGAAGGTATATATGAGGTATCAATTGACAACATAAGGCATAGAATGTGGTCAATTTGTGATCGGATTAGTGAGTTTATGTGCTTATTTATTAATTGGATGATTTTGTAGATTGAAATCCGACTTATTTTTGAGAAAAGACTGGTTTTCTAAGACTTTGTAAATAATTATTTAATCGAAATTATGTATGAATGTGTATTAGAGATGATTGTTATAATTTTAGATTAGTGGGTTTGTAGTATATTGGGTTCTTCTTGTTATGTAAGATGCATCGTTGACTAGTTTTTCTTGGTTACCTCAATTTCTTGTTTATGCAGTGCTAGGAACGTTTGAACATTTGGTGTCGATAAGTTGTAAAAATGTAGCGATTTAAGATGTAGATGAGAATTATGCGGATATATTAAGATGATATCAATGGATATAGGGGATTATCAATTTCGCTGAATCACATATGCTGGAATCTGCTGTATTAGAGTCTGTAAAGACAGAATTACCACCATGTTGTTTAAGAATATTCGAAGATAAATTCGTGCTAGTAGGCACTTATGAGTTGGATAAACCTACTGGTAATAGAACGGGTTCATTAGATGTATATAATGATAGTTTGAATCTACTAAGCTCTTACCACTGTTATGGTGCCATCCTGGACTTGAAGTTAAGTCCCTTCGACAGCACTTTGGCTTTAACTGCTCATTCAACTGGTAACGTAACAGTTTGGAAGATTAATTATGATGTTACAAATGATGAAATTAAAATAGACCAATTGACAAATTTACAAGTATTTGATTCAGAAGTTTTAATCACTTCTTTGCATTTCTCTCCATTAGATAAGAACTTAGTTCTGGTGACAAATACCATTGGTGAAGCTGCAACTATTGATATTACCACTGGATTAGTCGAATTCACTTTTGATAAACCAGATGAAAGTTATTCAAGGATTGAAACTAAGTCGTATGATGTTCAAGGGAATTCACATAAAGCTATCGAAGCAATTCCTGAAATATTCACTTCACAACATAGTCTAGAGTGCTGGACTGGTGAATTTGGACATTTACAACCACTACAAAACGTTATATTCACTGGAGGTGACGATGCAACAATAATTGCCCATGATTTAAGATCAAAAGACATGATTTGGTCAAACGGCAGGATACATAGTGCTGGGGTAGTCGGGATCAAAGCAAGTACTGAAACTTTTAGAACTAACCATCCCACCTCCATAATTACTGGCTCATACGACGATCATATAAGATCAATTGATTTGCGTATGTTCGGTGAAGATTCTATATATCCTGGAACTAACACACCTGCATTGAAAACAAGAGAATCTAATCTTTCTGGGGGTGTTTGGAGATTCTCTGAACGTCCAAATTCATCTAAAGATCAATTATTAGTTTGTTGTATGTATAATGGTGCCAAGGTAATTGATATTAACGATCAAGAACCTGACAACGAAGACAAATACTTCCAAGAAATTGCATACCTTAAGAAAGGCCATGATTCAATGTGTTATGGTGGTGATTGGGGGAATAAATTCATAGTCACCTGTTCATTCTATGACAACTCATTACAAAAATGGAATCTAGAATAGTTTCGTGACACACTTGTGCACACACTTTGTACACACAAACATGGCTATTCACCATGTAATTTATAGTCTAAATTATCTTATCCACCTAATCTTTATAACCAGAAACCATCATCTGTTTATCATCCAGATGGACTTAGTTTTATATACTAATTAATATGCAATTTTTCATCAAAAAAATCGATGAGCTTTTCTTTGCCTATAGTTAATTAAAAATGGAAAATTAATATGCGGATGAAAAATTATTCATATAAGAAAGTTAACTCATCGCATTAGTAATTATTGTCTGAAGTATTATCATATCTTGATATGAGAGGCCAAGAGGTTGCTAGATTTCATATATATATATAGTAAATATGGCTCAAAAAGAAGCTCCTAAGAAATGGAAGGCTCCAAAGGGTCCTAAGCCTATTCAAAGAAAGAATAAAAATGTTATTGGATTAGGTAGAGCTATTAGACATGCTCGTCAACAGGAAAATGTAGTTGAATTTTTGCCAGATGGTGAAATGAGATTTACTACTGATAAACATGAGGCTAACTGGGTTAAGTTGAGATCAGTTACCCAAGAAAATGCTTTAGACGAATTTTTAAGTACTGCTGAATTAGCTGATAAGGATTTTACTGCTGATAGACATTCAAATGTTAAGATCATTCGTATGGATAATGGTGGTGATTCTGCCACTAGTCAAGGTTTTTCGTTGACTAACGAACAACGTGAGGAAATCAATGCTAAACAAAGGGAACATGCAAAAGAATTAATTGTTCCAAGGAGACCTCATTGGGATAAGGATACTACTAAATTTGAATTGGATAGAATGGAAAAAGAAGCATTTTTAGATTGGAGGAGACAGTTAGCACAGTTTCAAGAGAGTAATGAAGACTTATTGTTGACACCATTTGAAAGAAATATCGAAGTTTGGAGACAATTATGGAGAGTTGTTGAAAGATCCGACTTGATTGTCCAAATTGTTGATGCAAGGGATCCGCTTCTTTTCAGATCCATTGATTTAGAAAAATATGTCAAGGAAATTGATGAAAGAAAGCAAAATTTATTATTGGTTAATAAAGCTGATTTGTTAACTGTAAAACAAAGAATTGCATGGGCTAAATATTTCACATCAAGAAATATTTCCTTCACATTTTACTCTGCATTGAAAGCAAATGAAATCTTAGAAAGGCAAAAAGAATTAGGAGAAGAAACCTCAATCGATCATGATGATGATGAATTTTACAAACAAATTAACAGTGAAATAGAAGGTGAGGACCTTGATGAAGACATTATGGATAAGATCAAAATTTTAACCATTGATCAGCTAGAAGGCTTATTTTTAAGCAGAGCACCAGCAGAACCTTTAACTACCCCATTGCCAGGTCAAGATCCATTAATTCAAATTGGTTTAGTGGGTTATCCAAATGTTGGTAAATCTTCCACTATCAACTCGTTGGTCGGTGCTAAAAAGGTCTCTGTTTCCTCTACTCCAGGTAAAACTAAACATTTTCAAACCATTAAATTATCAGATTCTGTAATGCTATGTGATTGTCCCGGTTTGGTTTTCCCAAATTTTGCTTACAATAAAGGTGAATTAGTTTGTAATGGTGTTTTACCAATCGATCAATTACGTGATTATATCGGACCATGTACTTTGGTCGCAGAAAGAATTCCTAAGTATTATTTGGAAGCTGTATACGGTATTCACATTCAAACCAGATCTGCTGATGAAGGTGGTCAAGGTGAGGCTCCAACTGCCCAAGAGTTATTAGTTGCATACTCAAGAGCTCGTGGTTATATGACCCAAGGTTTTGGTTCCGCCGATCAACCTCGTGCCAGTAGATATATCTTAAAGGATTATGTCAATGGTAAGTTATTATACGTTAACCCTCCACCACATCTTGAAGACGATACTCCATACAATAGAGAAGAATCTACAGAGTTCAACCAAGATTTATATACTTTTGAAAGATTACCAGAATCAAGAAGAGAACAATTAAGAACAGCTGCCAAGGCAAAAGGAATAGATGAATTAGATTTAGCCCGTGATCTAAGTAAATTAACCTTCTCGCAACACACAGGTTCAGAAAATGGCGGAGAAGCAAAGTCAGTCACTCATGGTGGTAAACAAGCTGCACTTTATAATGCTGCCCATGATCTGGATAGAGAATTTTTTGAAATGAACAAAGTCAAAGGTCAATTAACTTCACCATTCCATAAAACACAAATGGATTCAGGTAACGGTAAGAAACACAATAAGAAGAACAAGAAAAGCAAAAAGAAAGCCAGTATGGCAAGTTCTTAAATTAAATAGACATACATAAAGCCCCAACATGTTTAGCCATATAATATTGTAAATTAATTTCCCGATTCAATTATACTTGCATTTCCTATACTTTAACCCTAATACAATTCTTAATGAGTGATGTACTTCATCTAAATTATTATCAACATAATTTTGATTACCCGGACCTAAGTTTTGGAAAAAAAAATTTTCCTCTGTTTTATACAAACCAATTCGGTAAAATTTTGGCATTTAAATATAACTTTTAATACAACTTACAGGTTTAATTGTAACAATCTTTTTCAATTACATTTTATTCTTTTTAGTTTCTATTCAGTTTTCTTTTTTTTTAATCTTTAAAAACAGCAAGGCTCTTCAACACATTTCGACATGCTCAACGTAGGTTTTCTAATTATTTCTGTTGGATGAATCGTATGATAATTCGGTTTATATTAAGAGTTTTTCTTAGTTATTGAATATTCAAACTTTTCACTTAAAGTCTAATAGGATTATGTTGGATATTTTGGCTTACAAATCCCACGCATTAAGAAATAAGCTCAAGATGCCTATATTAAATTTTACAACGCCTTTTTTCGCTAACAACGGCTGAAACACATCCACAGTCTGTAGTTTGATAGTAGATGGGCGCAAATTCTATTCATATACATACATATTTAGATCATCTTGTAGTAATGTTTACACAGCAATTCAAATAAAGTATAAGCACTGATACTTCTCATTAGTAAGTAAAGGTGCAGTAGTAAACTGATTTATTAAATCAGTGGCTGTTTATAATTGTACTTTAGCACTGAGTACTTGATTGCATCCAGGGAATTAATATCTGTAATAGTTCCCAAAGAGTAGTTTAACCAGTAACATATTAGTCAGACTTCCCTATTATAAAACGATGGCAAGTGTTGACATGAATTCTATGCTTTTATTCTTCTTTTTGAGAACTGCGTACTGATGAAAACAGATATCTACATTTCAGTATTAGATGTATAACATCATCACCTTTTTTTGGATTGAATTTGAATATCAAAATCAGGCAGTAACCAAAACACCAATACATAAATTTATGCTTATTTCAATATAGAATAAGCTATAAGAAAGGTATTGGATCTAAGATATTCGATCAGTTTAAGAAACCTTCAAGTCTTCCAACATTGTATTGATCTATTAACTTTAGTTTATGTGGAACTGGTTCAGTTGATGCAATGAATAAGAGAAGTCAAAAATCTACATTTAAAAACATACGTAAGTTCAACCAAGGGTTAAACTAAATTCGAAATACACTAGAAATATCTTCATCTTGTCAACTCTATTCGTAAATTGGATATATTGATTCATTATGCTCAAGTGCATTTCGGAACCGATTTTTATTGCTGAATATTGCTTAAGTTCGGCCGAGTATTTATCGGATCCGAATGCCGCCAGAATGCTGAGTCCAATGTAATTGTTTAAATTATAGATGTCAAACAGGTAGTTCAATATCACCAAGTAATCTATGCTTTAAAGTATTTCTGATTAAATCCAACCTATTCATCAATGAAATTAATTTTTGGAAAGACCAATTCCTCATTAGATTAATTGTTATGCAGTCAGAATAGATGTGTGTGTTAACAATACCATAGAATAATGTAGATTGTTTGAGCGATTTGGATAGCCATTTTTTAAATTCTTTTATGATATTAACTTCAATCGTTCCCAATTCCGAAATTTACTCTTGCATAATTCAATTATTGTATAACCTGTATAGATCCCTAAAATTCAATTCTGGAAAACAGATGAGAAATGTCAAATGGATATCCACGTTAACCCCCCTCCCTCCTTCCCTATTCATAAATGTTACAAATGCATTTGAATTTGTAAACTTAGAGGATAGAACACATAAAGCAAAAAGTAATCATAAAACGTTAGGTAAAATCTTTTAATAAAGTTGTGGCTTTAACCAAAAATAACAAGGATTTAGCCAAGAAAAGCCAGGAATTTAGAATTACCCAATTCAATCTAGATAATAACATGCTATTATCCCCTGAACTCAACAGTACATACAAGATCTATAACTGTATTAAACACTCTGCCAAGCTGAGAAAGATACCCTTCACTTCCTTGTTCCTTATATATGAAAGCAAGATATATATATATATATATAATTGTTTTTGAAACCTGCAACCACACTATGTGCATCCATATTGTTTTCCTTATTCAATATCGGCACCTGCATTTACCACTTCTAAGCTTCCCAACTAGAACTTCTTCTCTTGCGTTTACGACCCCTCTAAGCTTATGACCTCGTTTATATCCACTTATCTAATATACTAGGAATAGATTACAAACCACATGCAATGCCTTTTACATGCTCCTGTGCTCCTCCCTTATCCTATCCATATAAAAATTGACCGATTAACTGAACAATTCATATCTTTGTTCTTATTCTCACTCGAATTCTTATTCTCACTCGAATTCTTGTTTTTATTCGAATTCGAATTCAAGTTCTTAAATTCTTTGCATTGAATCGATTTTTTTTCCTCTTTGAGTAGCGAGAACTTTCAGTTTAACATCATCGAGATTCTTTAGCTGCATCTCGAGGTGAAAGAAAGGAAAGGAAAGGAAAGGAAAGGAAAAAATTCATTTGGGATAGAGAAGCAAAGACAGTTGTTATACAATATACTCTTGCCTGATTAATATAATTCCCAGTGAATTTATATATCAAGTTCCTAAATTATTTTTGTTTTTTTGGTATCAGTATTTGAATATCTACTACCTTTTTGGCTTAAGGTTCAACTTAGCAAGAGAATATTCCAGACAAAATGGTTAGAAGACCTTCAGTTACTGAGGATAAAGCTCCAAAGGAGCGTAAAATATCAAAGACCCATGCTGCTCATATAATTAATACCCAAGATGATTATAAACATAGATACATTTCTGTACAACCTCTAGACATTTTCTGCTGGGGTAGTGGTCCAATGTGTGAATTGGGTTTAGGTCCATTAGCCAAGAATAAAGAAGTTAAGAGACCAAGATTGAATCCATTTTTGTCAAAGGATGAAGTTAAGATTGTTTCCTTTGCTGTAGGTGGTATGCATACCATAGCATTGGATTCTGATATGAATGTTTGGTCTTGGGGTTGTAACGATGTTGGTGCCCTTGGTAGAGATACTTCTGGTGCTTCTGAAAAATTAAAAGATATGGATGCTGATGATTCTAGTGATGACGATGATGGTGATTTGAACGAACTAGAATCTACCCCTCACAAGATTCCAAGAGAAAATTTCCCACCTTTGGCTGATGGCCACAAGGTTGTTCAATTAGCTGCAACTGACAATATGAGTTGTATTCTATTTAGCAATGGTGACGTTTACGCTTGGGGTACTTTCCGTTGTAATGAAGGTATTTTAGGTTTTTACCAAGAAGAAATAAAGATTCAAAACACTCCTTGGAAAGTTCCAAATTTCAGCAAGTATCAAATTGTTCAATTAGCTCCAGGTAAGGATCATATGCTATTCTTAGATGAAGAAGGTGTTGTATTTGCTTGGGGTAATGGTCAACAACATCAATTGGGTAGAAAAGTAATGGAAAGATTCCGTTTGAAAACTTTAGATCCAAGACCATTCGGTTTGAAACAGGTTAAATACATTGCATCCGGTGAAAACCATTGTTTTGCCATTAAGAAAGATGGTAAGGTTGTAAGTTGGGGTTTAAACCAGTTCGGTCAATGTGGTATATCTGAAGATATCGAAGATGGAGCCCTAGTCGAATCTCCAAAGAAGGTTTTATTGCCAGAAGATTTCAAGGTTAAATCAATTGCTGCTGGTGAACACCACTCTTTGGTTTTATCTGAAGAAGGTGATTTATACACATTTGGTAGATTAGATATGTTTGAAGTTGGTATTTCCAAAGATAAATTACCTGAATCTGCTTACAAAGATGAGCACGGTAAAGCTCGTTCAATTCCAATTCCAACTAAATTAGAAGATGTACCAAAATTCAAGACTGTTGCCGCCGGTTCTCATCACTCTATCGCTGTTGCTAAGAATGGTATTGCTTATTCCTGGGGCTTTGGTGAAACATACGCAGTTGGTTTGGGTCCTTCAGGTGATGATATTGAAATTCCAACCAGAATTAAGAATACTGCAACTCAAGAACATAATATAATTATGGCTGATTGTGGTGGTCAATTTTCTGTATCTGGTGGTGTCAAGTTATCCGAGGAGGAAGCTGAAAAAAGAGCTGATGAAATGGATGATTAAGTTTCATTCAAAAAGTTGTATAATTAGTACGAATTGTATAAAATCTGTATTTGAACAATTGAAAAAATGATTGGGAACATATATATTAATATTTACTTAAATTATTTAATTTAAAGATTATCGATCCTAACTTTTAGACCATGTTCCATTAAATAGTCCTTAACATCTTTAACCGTATATTCTCCTCTATGAAACATACCTGCACCAAGGCAGGCATCGGCATGTGCCAACCTGAAACCGTCTTCAAAATGCTTAGGATTACCAGCTCCACTAGATGCAATAACAGGTATCTTTACGGCTTCTTTAACATGCTTAATCAATTCAATGTCATAGCCTGAATTTGAGCCATCTTTATCTATACAATTCAATAAAATTTCACCAGCACCAAGAGCTTCACATGCTTTTGTAAGTTCGTATACACCTATATCTCTAGCTTCTCTCCCACCCTTTATTGTACACTGATACCAACACCAATTTTGATTCTTTTCATTTGGATATTGAGTTTGGAATACCTTATTTTTTGTTTCTTTTGGATCAGATACATATACTTTCTTTGGATCTACAGATATCACTACAGCTTGAGCACCATATGCTCTTGAAATAGTTTCAATTGGAGAGGTTCCGTCACCAATACATCCATTTTCATAATAATTTTCAGCGGCATAAACAGCATCTGTACCAATAGAAACTTTATCAGCACCAGCTTTGAAGTATAAGCTTGCTACTTCTAGTGCAGGAACCACCGTGCCATCCACATCTATTATATCTTTAATACCACCGCCAACAGTTAATGGTACAAATACAGTTTTTGCAGCCAATTTTAATACATCTAACATTGGTGTATCTCTTAGGGGACAATTTTAAAAGAAGTAATATTTAAGAAAGTGATCTCATCTGCACCTTGTTCATAAATATTTTTGGGCCAATTCTACTGGTTTACCTAAAATTCTGACATCTTTATTGCCTTCAGATTCTCTAACATCGTACTGATCACCTTTAGTGACCACTAGATCCCCTCTATCATTAGTTCTCACATCGAGACATGCAATTAGTCTTCTAGTCAACCCATAATTAGAGTAATCATTTGCGAGCAATTTTTCTTCTTCTTGACTGTAGTTAACCCTTGGATGGTTTTGTCTCAAGAAATTATCAATTAGATCTAAGCCTGCTTTACCTGATTTTTCAGGATGAAATTGTGTTGCAAATATATTATCCTTATATACTGCCGCTATAAATTCCTCAGTACCATATTTAGACTTGGCAATTTTCCAATTTTCATTCTTAAGTCTTCTTTCAACTTCAGGGTTTAAAATTGCAGCATAAGAATGAACAAAATAATACCTTCTATAGGGATCTAATCCATAAAACAAATCTGAATCTGATATTACGCTATTCCAACCAATCTCAGGAACAGGTTTATCGTTGTCATCAAATCTTGATAATTTAAAATCCACGTAATTTAGACCACTACTTCCAGGACTTTCCTCAGAACCAGAGAATAGGGCTTGTAAACCAACACATATACCCATAATAGGTTTCCCTGATTTGATATAATCCCTTATAGATTGTTCAAATCCTAAGGAGAATAAATTATCGACAAAATGACCATAATTTCCAACACCTGGCAATATCAAAATCTCAGCTTTACTCAATTCAGGGTCTTCAGGCGACTTCACCAAATAAACATTGAATCCTAAACGTTCAATTGCATTTGCCAATGACTGAAGGTTACCAGAATTGACATCGATAACATGAACTGTAGCCATCTTCTTAATTGTAACAATGTTCCCTTTAAAAATTCCTGCAATGAGATAAGATGGTCGTTAGGCAACCCTTTATCAAGGGCCTAACACTAACCAAAATGAACATTACAATAAAACAAATGATAAATCAATTAACAATTCCACTAGATATTCAGACATCTGTCTTTTTATAATCGATTTGATCTATTCTAAGTTTAGCTTCTCTGAGTCATATCGTCATTATTCGCTTTTTACTATTAAAGGCTCTGATTGACTCTGGAACTCCTGAGTTAAAAGAACAAATTAATAGATCAATAGCAGTACAATCAGTACGATGAAGACTCCAAATCCATTGGAATTGATCACATTTGTAGTTCCACTGAATTGCTATCAGTGGTGTTTTAAATTCCACTTTATTCTAGTTATTTATTTATTAAGATAAATAGGTCAATAACTTCTATATAAACGCACATATATAGATATAGATATATATATTTGTCATTAACATGGAGGAGAATTTCATGATATTGTTGTAATTTTTCCAATAAAGTCAAATAACCTTGGATACTCGAGAATATTCATTAAGATTCTTTTGATTTTTTAATTGAATTTTGGTTTAAAATAACAGTATTATTCGTTTGCTTTTAGATCTAGATGAGGAAAAAAAAAGTGTTACAATTGAACATTAATTATCATATTGACAAAAGAGATTATAATGATCAAATGGATGAGTAGTGGGTAGTGAGGGGGGAGGGGATGATATAATAAGAAGAAGTTTGTCAATTGATTTAATACTTGATTCAATTTTTGTTAACTTCTCTTCTTTGTCTGACGGCAGCAGCTAATTTCCGTAGAACTTCATCAGTGGTTTCCCAACTGATACAAGCATCAGTGATAGAGACACCGTATTTCAAACCAGCTTTACCTTCTGGTGGAACACATTGGTTACCTTCGTTAATGTTAGATTCGATCATAACACCGGTAATCATATTTTCACCATTAGCAATTTGTTCACAAACAACGTCGTTAACCTTTGGTTGATTTCTGAAGTCTTTGTTAGAGTTACCATGGGAGAAATCGATCATTAAACCGTTAGAACCTTCTGGTAATTGAGCTTTAGCTTCAGCTACTGACTTTGCATCGTAGTTGGTACCTTTTTTACCACCTCTTAGAATGACGAAACAATGTTCATTACCTTTAGTAGTGGTGATTGCAGCCAAACCATGCTTAGTAACACCCATGAAATGGTGGGAGTGAGAAGCAGCTTTGCAAGCATCGACAGCAACTTCCAAAGTACCATCAGTACCATTTTTGAAACCAATTGGGAAGGATAAACCGGAGGCTAATTCTCTGTGCAATTGAGATTCAGTAGTTCTTGCACCAATAGCACCGAAGGATAATAAATCTGCCAAGTATTGTGGTGAGACGGTATCCAACATTTCAGAACCGATTGGTAAACCAATATTAGTCAAATTTACGAACAATTGTCTTGCTGATTGTAAACCTTTATTGATATTGAAACTATTATTAACATCAGGGTCATTGATTAGACCTTTCCATCCTACGGTAGTTCTTGGTTTTTCTAAATAAGCTCTCATAATAACACATAAATCATCTTTTAGTTCTTCAGAAAGTTTCTTCAATCTTTGAGCATATTCTTGAGCAGCTTCTAGATCATGAATTGAGCAAGGACCGACGATAACTAGAAGTCTATCATCTTGACGAGTAATAATCTTAATAGCATCTTCTCTACCTTTCTTTACGGTTTCGAGACAAGCATCAGTTGCAGGAACTTGAACCTGCAATAGAGCAGGAGAAACTAATGGATCGTAACCAATAATTCTAACATCTTCAGTATCAGCATGTGGAGCAGCCATTTTCCCTGTATTATTTCCTTATTTAAATGATCGATAGAGTACGAATGACAATTGACAACAATAACCCAAACACTAGCAGTAATCAAGGTATAATTGATTAATTGATTAACTAGTTATATAATTAAACAGAATACAAATTATCAATACAAGAACTGGAAAAAAAAAAATTTTTTTTTTTTCTTATATCCAATACAAGAACTTAATGAATAAGAAAAAACATATGAATATATAAATATATGACAGACAGACATACTAAATCAAGACCATTGAATTACTCAGCACCCAAAGAAAAAAAAGATACAAATAACCCAAAAAACTTGAAGCTAATGAACATGTCGTAATACTACTTTTGACTCATCAAGTAATAACATACCAAATTGACAAGGAAACGAACAATAGCAACAAGAACCACAGCAAGAACCACAACAAGAACAAGAACAATGAGCAATGAGCAATGAACAAGGAAATGATATAGAAATGTCTGCTAAAATGCACCAAAGCAAAAAGAATACACAGACAAATCCCAAAAACTGAAATTGTAGTAAGTTCAGAGTTAAATTCGAACCCAAATGTATGTAGGGTTCAACATTACCATTAACAATAAGAATCAATTGAATTGAATTGATCACAAAACAAGAAAGTTCCTTCAAGGTGTAACTTCATTGATAACTCAATGTTTGTCAGTTCTTGTATATATCTAACTCTCCAGTTTGTGTTATACTAGAGACTACAAACCGTTCTTGTTAAAACCTCAAGTACTGATCATTCAATGAGCAATGAATTATATCAATTGTACAAGTTGAGGCTACTACTACGACAATACAACTCTAGCTGAAGGTGAGATGAGATGAGATGAGATCAAAAGTGAAAAAAAAATTTGTTCAGTTTTTTGGTCTTTTTTTGGCTTAAATTTTTCACTCTTGGTCAGAGAGACAACCAGAGGGTATTGTATATACCTCTTATTTCAGGAAGAGAGGATACTTTTTACATTACCATTTCCATTGGTTGACTTTGGATTACGATGGACTCTACGTCGGATTAGAGCTTGAACTTGGACTTGGATTTGAACTTTTCTGGCCAAGCTTAAGTTACGTTACGTTACGTTACGTTATGTTAAGATAAACTATGTTTCTTCTCTTGAGAATTGTCATTCATTCATTCTTTGTTTTTTAAACAGTTCTTTATGGTGTGGTCTATACTTTGTATTCAGTAGACCAGAAAGAACATACTTGAGTATATATATATTTAATAATTAAATTATAGTTAATTATTTGTTGATATGGATATATATGTATATATATGCAGGTTTATATAGTACTTTTTGCTGGTTTTTTTTGTTAATATTTATTTTATTTTTTTTCTTGTATCCTCAGTATATAATATGGCATTAAGTTAGTTTTAACCTTTGGTGTATATCTATTGAGGAATGTAATTATCTTCTTCTTGATCGTTTTCAAATGTAGCCATTGTTTCTGGTGGTGGGACGTATCTTACTCTTCTCGCACCAAAGTTTCTATTGTGTGAATAGACCCCTTGAGACCCATTGGCATTACCAATACGGTCGGCTAGAGGTACTGCAAAGCCACCTCTGGATGCGTCGTATTCGAATCTTAATTCATCACTCACTTGACCTCCGCTCTTACCACGACCGAATTGTCTTCCATCTTCAAATCCTGGATCTAAATCGATAGTAATGGTTCTATCATCTAACTTGGTATCGCTTAAATACTTGACTGCATTTAATGCTTCATCTGGGGTGTTATATATTATAAAACAAAACCCACATGGTGTATACTTGAATCTATCCAATCCCATGATAATTCTTTTAATACTACCACATTTTGAAAATAATTCATAAATTTGTTCTTCTGATGTATAAAATGAAAGATTACCCACGTAAATAGTTGCTGATTTCATCGATTGACGCAACTCATCTAACCCATTTGCAACATTTTTTCTTGCTTTACGCAGTAGATATGTAGATGGCTTGTCTAAACGATCAGTGGAATGATCAAATTTAATCTCATCAAATTCTGCTAAGGACATCTTGTTATATCTTTAAAATACGTTGGTGTGTTTTTTGTAGTTCCTTTCCTTTCCTTTGTTGACTTGTTGTGTATTCTAAATTGTCAAAAAAATTGATAAATGCTTTGGCTTTCAACCTGTAAAATTCCACAGAAAACTATAAACTATAAAACTAGTAACAGTGACAACAATTCTCCCTTGCTATTGGTGTTATATCCCTTTGCTTTCTTCCATTCCCAGTATAGTTTCCAACAACTTATTTGCTTAAATACAGCTTTAAATATCAAGTTTTGGCATAAAATCGGTGATGTGAAAACCACAAAGCAAAGATGATGTCCGGGTAATTTATGAAATGTCACTCTATGATACTTAAAGGTTACAGTGACAGTGACAGTGACAATGATAACGTGGTCCATTACAGATAAGAGACATTGGGTTAATTCATATAAATAATATGTAATATCTAATGATTGTTAAAGTAAGTCTTCCAATTTCTCTGGTAGCTAAAATTTAACATTTTTCTCATCCCTTCCAGATTTTAAAACCATTACTTTTACTAAATTATGAATAATAACTTCAACTAATGGTAGATTTTTTCACCAAAATTTGATATCATTTTACTATAGTAACATTTAACTAAAATGTTACCAAATCATAATATTTGGCTGCATTCGTCAAATCCAGTCTCCCATCCAATAGCCTATACTTTCCAATTATCAACTCTTTAATTATTGCGTCTACTGTATTTCCTTGCCAGTGTAACAAATATCAATATTTAAACATATTGTTGTTGAGGCTTAAGAAGGACACGGGGTTTGTAATTGATGTCGAATTCTCTTTGCAGATGCTTGGGATATTAAGTCGATAGTAAAGAAGTATAAACTTTTTCAATAGGTTGTTATTATATATTGGATATAAATAAGTCCAGATGTTATAACATCTGATAGGGCAACCCTTTTATATATCATATCAGCGTATAGTAGACATTTATTATAATTAAAAATTGCAACAAAAAAGAAAAATGGTATTTCATTCCTCAACCGCCAACTACTATTCAGATAACTCATATGAACACTAAGATCGAACCACCCAGAAAAAAGAAAGCACAGTAGTTCCTAGATTTGATCAAAATTTTGTCCCAAATTTATTGGCCATTGTTCACCTAAGGCAGGATCCATAAATCAATCCATCACTGACCCGAAGATAGGATGGTTACAAGAACAACATAAATGCTACATAAAACCAAATTCCAATCTTTGTAATCCACATTTGTTAGTCCAATCACATGAAGATGGGTTATACCGGTTAACAATAGTTGTGTCAACAGAGGGATATGGAGAAGTGCTAGAAGAAATTGATATTAATCATAACGTTATTTATTTAGGAGTTGCGGATTATTTTTCAAGATCATTACAGAAGTCACATCGTAATTATACGGTATCTGGTTTAGAATTACAAGCAATTACAGGTGCTCTGCGGTATGTCAGATATATTCTATATGAATGACACTTGGAATAATGAACAGATCATCGAGCACTTTTAACAGTTTAGTTAAAAAAGAAACGAATCAGAAGAATAGCCAGAGAGTTAAAAATTTCAGCGGATCTCACATCCACCGTCACTCATCTCCCAGGCCCTGGAAACCCAGCGGCAGATGCCATATTTTATAATTTTATCAATGAGATTACAATGCTCAAACCATAACAAAAAATCGGCAAGAAGTCTAGCATGAACTATGGAAGGGCTAACATTTTGGATTAGTTATTGCTGACATTGGTCATGTGACTTTTTTCTATAAAGCCATATTATCATGTCTCACGAGTGTCTGGTCGAACCGAAAACTCTTCAGGTTATCTGAAGTTTAAAAGAAGAATATTTATAGTAATATAACAAGTAACTATGTATAAACTAAAAGAACGATCCAGTTATCTAGTAACAGAGTGACCACAATGAGCCAACGTAATCCTACAAACCAGTAGTTATAAATCTAAAACACCCAACAATTTAAATTTAGCATTCTCCAATAAACTACAGCTAAGAAACTCCAGAATTCACATGAAAGAATACAAAAAAATATGTACACGTGATTATTAGGATCTGTACATGGTTGTGATATAAGCTACTTTGTTTAAAACACACATAACTTTCCTATCCGATATAGTGTAACGGCTATCACATCACGCTTTCACCGTGGAGACCGGGGTTCGACTCCCCGTATCGGAGTATTTTTTAAATTTTTCTTCCCCATTGCTCAACCTCCTTCACCCAACGCTAATTCATACTTGTAGGTTTCATAGCTACCACATCAATCACAAACACAAACTCATCCATTCATTACCTTTCAAAGTGAGAAAGTAAAAAGAAAGCCAAGCTGAGCTAAGCTACTCAAAACACACCAATCAGCTACTTAATACTACTATCACCACTACTTTCTTGACCAATCTCCACGTGACCAACCGAATAGCAACCGATAGTAACATCTTGTTACTATCCGCAAACAAAAAGAAAAAAGAAACGAGTTTTTGAAAAATTGCCAAAATTGCTGTAAATTACCCGGCTTTCCGTATGGCTTAGAAGAGTTTGGTGGTTATAACCAAACTCACCGAAAATTGATTTTAAAGGTCTGTATTGGTATATAAAACAATATAAAAATATATTCAAAGGATTAATTATACTGTGATTGAACCTTTGAACTCAATTAGATCTCAGAACTAGTCTGAAGTGTTTTATTTTCTTGCATATCTAGGGTACAGTGTATTACAGTGTGTTTGATTTTGGCTTGCTGTTCTAGGTCGTCGTAGCTGGTAAAAGAATAGACTGAGTTTTATCCTTAAATTTTGAGTTGTGAATGGAAATACTGCAATATAACAGCATATATTAAGATAAGGTGAGCTAGAAGTAAATTAAGACTGGATCAATACGGACTGGTGACTCAATATAATAACAGAAAAAGATGTCTGAAGACAATAGCAAGAGTACTGAGTTGGATGTAGAGCCAGCTTCTGGTGGTAGTGATGGTGGTGCTGAAAAAGTCACCATTGAGAAAGAGAGTCGAGATGTAGAATATAAAGTGGATATAGAAGCAAAGGAGACTGAGACCGAAGAAACTGAGTTGGCTAATAAGGGAGAAGTCGAAACTGAAACTGAAGCAGAAGCAGAAGCAGAAGCAGAACCTGAGGTTGGTATTGAAGTTGAAGAAGAGGAAGAAGAAGGTGAAACTAGATGTATCTGTGGTGAACTAGACCCTCCAGATGATTCAGGCCTGTACATTCAATGTGAACAGTGTGGGGTCTGGCAGCATGGTTACTGTGTAGGTATAGCGCAAGGCGAAGATTCTACTCCAGATAAATATTGGTGTGAACAATGCAAACCTGATTTGCATCGTATATATACAGTAGAGGCTACTGGGGAGTTGAGATCTTCTTACAAGCCTGTTCAAGAGAAAAAATCACAAAATGAAAGAAGGAGAAGAGGTGGTGATAGATCAAGAAATAATGGTTCTAATACTGCCAGTAGCGGTAGATCAAGTGGGAACACTACCAGTAATTTGGAATCTGTGAAAAATGAACAAATTGAGGAAGAAAAGGGAGCACCTATTAGTACGAGTAGAAGATCAAGAACTAGTGAGTCCACCGAAGATCCGATGGAAGAAGATACGGAAGAACGAGAACCAGGCGAAACAACCCCAAATGTTACAAGAGATGCTAGAGTAGGAGCTGTCGGGGAAGAAGATGAAAATGATGATGGTGATGATGATGATGATGATGATAATAACGAGTCTAGCAGAAGATACCAAGATAGAAAAAGAGCTACGTTTTCCGCAAGAGAAGAAAAGCATTACCAATTGATGCTGGAAAAAGCTATAAAGGAGAGCAAACGCGCAACTAATAACTCTGCAGAAGAAGAAATTACAGATGAAAAGAAATTAAGTACTGATGCCGAAATTAATAGAAATGATAAACCTACGGAGAATAACTTGGCTGATGACACCACTAATCCAAATACAAGGACCTCCACTAGGAGGAGTCCAACAGCAAGGTCAGAGACAGTATCTTCAACAGAAGAAAATGATATTACCGATAGTAAAGATTCTTCAAATTTAACCGGTTGGAATCAAAATAAACGTACAGGAACAAGAAAATCTCAAAGAGTATCAAAAGCTAACAGTAGGAGGAAAGCGAAATCACCATCAAATACACCAAATGTTACTGGTTCAAATTCAAATCTATCTGCAGAGCCAGATATCAACAAACCGGTAAAACCAAGACTCCCCCCACAAAGGACTTCCTTAAATGAAATGAGAAGGCGTGTAGCGGCTATACTGGAATTTATATCAAGAACACAGTGGGAATTAGGCCAAGAACAAAATTCAAAGGACGATCTAGTACGATTCGTTGAAAACCAACAATTCATTAAACAGGTCGATCTAATATATGGTAATTATGATGAGAGTTTAAAAATTATGGACGATTTAACTAGAACTCTACTGTTGTGGGAAAAGAAATATTCAAATGGATCTTCATTTAACGATTAGTGATATTAAGTTAAAAAACACAAATATATACATAAAATATCTATAGGTTTAGTTAATAAATTCATAATAAAATATCTATAGGTTGAGTTAATTAATAAATTCACAATAAAATTTTAGAAAATACCAAAATCAATTATTTTCTCATTGAATCTATAAAATCCTTTGTGGATACCATATTCGAACCACCTAAAATTAATCTAATGTTACCGTGATTACTCTTCATAGTTTCATTGAATTCATGAACAAGTCTAGCTTCTTCAAATGTGGCACCTCCTACAAAAAAGATGATTACATCTTGTGGAGGTGCCATATGATGTCCTTTATTACCATTGGCATTGAAATACTTATATCTTGTATTCGCACGCAATTTGTTTTTAGATAGATCAGATAAGAGATCGGATAAATCAGGAACATGTTGCATATACACATTATCCGCTATATTCCCACTTTTACGGTTTGCATCTCTTCTACCCATACGGTTATTGAACTTTTTAGCTAACTCACTTAAAATATCTTCACGTTCTTTATGTTGTGTTTCATTATTTGTTCCACTTAATAGGTCGACATTTGTCGAATTTCTTGCGTTCATTGTACTGAAGAAATAATGTAAGAAATTTACATCCTCTATTGGTACACCTGAAAATTTAAGTTTATTTATAATTTCTTCTACTTTTTGAGGATGTTTTTCACCATGCCTTACTATATATAGAGTCACCAATTTGACTTTATAGTATGGAGAGAGTTTTTCATCTGGGTAATCCAAAAGTTTTAACAGAGTAGAATAATCTTCTTGGTTATCATCATGAACCGACAAATTTTGTTCTAGTTCACTCAATTCCCATATATCCTTAGCCTGCAATTGTCTATCCAATTCACCTACTATTGCCATATGTTTTGCTACATTTCCTGAAAGTTTTCTAAATTCTGGATATTTTTCAATGAATGATTTAATGTCCTCAATGGAATTTATTTGACTGTTCGATTGTGTTTTTCTTTTATAAGTCTCAACGTATTGTTTTACTTTATCCCCTAATTCACCAAAATTCAGAAACATAGTTTCATTATAGAACTGATCTTGTTTTGAAGACAACGTAACTTTTTCTAAATCTTTATCGATGTCAGGAATAGACGACAAGTCCACAATATTTCTGGTGACCCCAATATATTCCTTTATCATTGACTGATATGTCCAAGGTTGAAGAAGAGGAGTTACCGGATCATTCATACGATCTAGTAAAATCAATAATGGCGGGGAATCCTTTCTAGGGAAATCGAACAAACTTTTTTCATTTTCTGATATTTTTTTCGAGACTTCTTTAGCCAATCTAGCACTTAGTTTACTATTATTTTCGTAAACGATCTCAGGCTTCAATTTCAATGACAACAATAGAGAGAACAACGAATTACTACAACTTTCTAAACCAATTTCATCCCATAGCAATTGATTGCGGAATAAAGTCTTAGAAGGGATCTCCAGTGAAAATAGATCCTCACCTAAAATCTGATAATCTTGAAAAATCTCTTCAACTTTTGAAACTGCCTCCATATCATCGGATTCAGCCAAACGTTCCAACTGAGACTTGTTAACCGTATTACTGAAATAAATGTAATAATCGGCATATCTAGGATTCTGCAATTCCTCCAATAGATATTCAATAGTATCATCCGAAGGTTTAACATAAACAATGCACTTTACATGTCTCATTGTATCACGGTTTTTATTTTCAATTGTATCTATCAAATAAATATTATGGTTTAAAAGATCACTTTGAGTAGCACACATAGAAATCGTAGAAGTAGTGTTCTTATCCAATAACAATGCCTTAACCCTACTACTATCCAAAACAGAAGCCTTGGACTTTGCTTCCGAAGTAACTATTCTATTGATATAGAAATCAGCAACATCAAATAGATTCATATCCCTTTACTGTTCTTACCAAACCTCTTTTTTTCTTTCCCTCTAATTTAATCACTTTTAAACCAAATTTGATACCTTAAAACACAGATACACAGACACACACACAAACTTAAAGGCAATTTCAATCAAAAACTATCTCAATATAATACAATACCCATCATTATCGCATCAAACCTTTATATATCTTATGTTAGTTGTCACTTCCTTTAATTGTTTAATTATCAATATCTCGGATATTTTGGTTGATATCAAATCCATAAAAAAGGAACAACTAACTGATAATATCTTTAAGAGAAAAAGAAGTTAATGTTTGCTAATAATTTAAGAGACCTATGATACATTTAGGATACTAAAAGCTTGTTTAAGGTTTGATTAGAGTTTAACCGAGGGGATTAGATATAGTTTGCAGTTGTAGTAATCTAAATTGTTTCTGGTGTCCCTATTGTTTGGTTCAATTTGGATTACTTTTAAAAAAGTTGTCAGTTGCTATTTGAAATATTTTATTTTATTTCAGTTTCTGATAGGTAGTAATTGCTAGAATATTTGGTTTAAGAGTTAGTTAGTCTTTTGAATTAAAAGGGGGTGGTGGTGCTTTATTTTATTTATCATGGGTAATCGTGGTAGGACTATGAAGCCAGATTCCGAATTACAAGAATCTGGTAATGGTGGTGTTAGAGATGGGAATAACTCTCCATTGGGTACTCTATCTAATCCAAATTTAAAGTATATTAGACAATTCTCTACGAGGTCAAGGACAAAAAGTTCTGCAAGTTTCAAAGGTTTAAACCGGTATTACAGCAGTGATGGTACTTTCGATCCTGAAATTTCAGGTAGTACGAAACATGGCTCTTTAAAGAAATGTAAAAGTTCAGATATCCTTTATAAACGAAGAACTTGTAGTGGATTGAATATGACTTCGATATCTGGCAAAAAGGGTCACGAAAATACAGGCGAGAGTCGTTGGAATACCGTCATTGATGGACCTCTGAGTTTTGGTGGTGGTGGCTTAAAGCCAAGAAGAGGTAAAAGTACTCATTCAGTTCTAGAACTACATGATGCCGATGAAGCAAGAGATGATGATTCAACTACTGATGAAGAAGTAGAATACTTCACAGAGGAAGATGAAGAGCAAGCACAAAAGCAAAAAATGGAATCTCAAATGGATAAGAGCAATCAATCTCAGTTAGGGAATCCAAGAAACGAGAGATTTCCTGAAGGTGAAATGGTTAAGAATAACATCCCAGCAGAGTCCAAGCTGCTGAGGAAGGATTCTGATGTTCTAGCGGAAACAAACAATGACGCACCATTGTTGAGAGATAGAAATAGAGATAATTCAAACACTAAATTAACAAATCAATTAAGTTACAAACCTCCATCTCATATGATAAAACCTTCTAACTCAAGAAGTAGTGATTTCAATAAAAGTGCTTCAAGTCAGGATATCAAGGCAAATGATAATGATGAAAACTTTATTAACAATGATGAGATCAATGATGATGATATCATAGATGATGATATCATAGACGATGTTGGAGAAGATCACATCGATGCAGTAACGTCTCCAAGTGACCTAATAGAGACTGAAGCACATAGTTTAAAAAGACAAGGCAAACATAGTTCCCAATTGAATGCTTTACAAAAGGAAAATAACAAAGTTGAAGTAGTGGATGAAAATATAATTAGTAACGAGCATTATGTAAAGCCAGAAGATGGCCATACTGATCAATATGTCCCTGATATGATACTCTCACAATCAACAGGAGTAGAAAGACATTTTGAAAACCAATTATCAATGTCGAATACATTAGGTGCAAACGATTATAATCAAATAAATGAACAAGGGGAAATACCTAAAGAAGTTTTAATGAAAATGGAAAATAGAGAGAGTATGAAAAAGAATAATGGAGCTAATGAATTGCAATTCAATACTATTAGAGAACAGCAAAATCAAAATTTACAAAGTTCAAGGCCAAAGTCAAATTCCAATTTCTCAAATTCAATTTCAAGTTTGACAAATAATTTACAAAGAGGTACACCTGAGGGATATTATGGAGGATCTAAATTCAACAAATCATCTATGAAGAGTGCATCACAGAATTCACTAGAAGCTCATAATGAGAGGGTTCCATCGAAACATAATGAAAGCTTACTATCTCAAGCACCGCAAACAAGACAAAATAATACATCTTTAAATAATTTTGCACAATTTTTGAAATCAGATGGCATGGATGGCGATTCTAGGACACAGAGAAAATTATGGTTGCAAAGAGAAAACTCGATTATGGATTTAAATTTACAAAATGATCATAGTCATGCAGTATTCATGGCTAGTAACATTGAAGTTAAAAGAGAATTTGAAAGGATATCACATGAATATACGAGTGTTCGTAGGTTTTATAATCCAATCCGAGAAGCATTAACAAGAGTTTCTTCAACTCAAAGACACCATTACAATAATGGGTCTCATTCCCAAAGTTTGAATGCAGATTTAGGAGAAATACTATTTTCCAATTATGGAGAACAGACGAAATCAGTTAACGAATTGACGAATTCCTCTACTCAAGCAAAACTAAACAGAGTTTTAGCAAACATTTGGAAAGAAGAGACCGCGAATTTCAATAAAGACACTAATCCATTGGCCAAGAATAAATTAGCTTCATCTGGTCATCATATGAAAAATGCACAGCCTGCTCGTCATTCATTAAGAGGAGTGATAGGATCCGGAACAGGATTACATCATCAACGAACAATAAACTCATTCCAACCTACAACGAGAGCTGTTCATCGTAGAATGGAAAATAATATGAATGCACAGCAACAGCAGCAACAACAACATCAACAAGTACAGTCACATCAGAGATAATTCAAGAAACAATAATTATAAAACATGAACTAAAAGAGAACAATATGCATAAGAAAGCTACTAAAAAAACAAAAAAACCAAATTATTTGAATTTAATATAATACAACAGCATTAATCTAAATGATCTTTATTTGAGACGTTAACTGATATCTTTTATCATCATTAATATTTTTTCCTAATTTTAGTAGTTATTTCAATAATTATAATAATAAATATATATATTTATATATTCGATAAATTAATGACCATTGATCCTAAATTTAAATAAACAATAATAAATTAAATTATCTGTTAATCAAGATGGCCATTTAAGACTTCCAACTTGTTAGTCCATCAATTAGGAACAGGAAGTGTCCATCTGGTCAAGTTCATTCATCTAACGTTATGTTCACATTTGTTTACCCGGCTTTTAATATTTTTCAAATTTAAGCTCATCGAGACATCGGATTTGAAGATAGTTCAAAAGCAGCTTAACAATAAGACCATTAAAAATGATTATAACTTCTAATTTATCGATCGAATTGACATCGGATTAGGGTCAATTACAGTGGTTGAAGTTGATATACTGAAGATTCCTTCCAGTTGTTTTTATTCTTTCATTTTTTTTTAATTGAGGGAAAAGATCAAATAGCAAACTGAGAAAACTGATATTTGTTCCAATTGAATTGAAAATTTACCTACAAAGATGAAGGAAATCTCTCACCATGGTCCTGGATTATGTGTAAAATTCTATGATGAATTTGTTTATGCTGGTTATGGTCCATACATTGAACAATATAATTACAAAAGCGGCGAATTGATCAATCGTTGTAGAGTTTTCAGAAAGAACAAAGTTCATGGAATAAGCATAAGTTCTAATGGTTATATATTAGCTTATGGTGCAAGATCAGCTGCTGTTTGTAGCTTGAGTGATATTAGTGATAATGTTTCTATTCTTCAAGAAGAAAGGCTGTTGGCAGAATGGATCACTTGTGGTGAATTCAGTGCCGATGGTAATAAAGTATTCTTATTAACTTGCTATAATAAAGTTATTATATCTGATATTATTGGTACCATCATAGGTGTCAAAACTATCAAAGGCGAACGTTCGATTTTATATTCAGGTTCAATTAAACCTTTCAGTGACGAACTTGTGTATATTAGTGCAGGTACTGTCATGGGAGGTGTATTGGTTTGGAATTTATATGAAGAGTCCATTGTTCACAATTTAAAAGGCCATGAAGGCTCAATCTTTTATTCAACCATCAGCGATAATGGGAAATATCTAGCAAGTTGTTCAGATGATCGTTCCATTAGGTTATGGGATTTGAAGACTGGTGCTGAATTAACCATTGGGTGGGGCCATACCGCTAGAATTTGGAATTTGAAATTTTTCCAAGATGACAGGAAAATTATAAGTGTCTCTGAAGATTGTACTTGTCGTGTTTGGGACATTATTGTCGATGAAGATGGAAAATCTGTACTCCTTCAGCAAAGTAACATTTATGAAGTACATCAAATAAAGAATGTCTGGGGCGTTGATGTAAACAGCGACCACATGATAGCGGTTACATCAGGTAATGATGGTAGATTAAAAATTACTGACCTAATCCAAACTAGTAGAACTGGTAAAGAAACTGGTTCATTTTCCATTCAAAAAATTCAAGATGAATTAGATATCCCTTTTGAGAAAGGTGAAATTATTAAGGGCTTCCAATGGTTTTCGTTTGGTTTAATAGCAGTGACTTCATTTGGTAAAATTTTGAAATATGGTGATGTAAATAAAAAATGGACATTGGAATTAGAAGATAAAAGATTTTCTTCTTTTGTAATTGTTTCTGGAATTTCATCAAAAAATATCGCAATTTTCATGAACAATAAGGCTGATATTCTTTTATTGAGATTCGATGCTGTCGGTAATTTACAATTAAGTTCAGATTATAATATCAAAGGATTAAAAAAATCTACTAATTGTTTAGTTTCAATCTTTGATAGAAAATCAATCATTTTGCTTTTAGAATCACCAAATCCTAGAGATAGGTTAATCTTTTTGAAAATCGACAACTACAATTTAGATATATTACAGGAATTCAGATTTAATAGACCAGATAATTTTGTTACAACATGTATGGAAGCGTTTGAAGATTACATTTTACTGGGGTCAAGATTCAGTACGATAGGTATCTTCAACTTGAAGGGCAGCGATGTCGACCCATATTTAATAAGAAAATTAACGCCTGGTGATACTATTACATCTGTATCATTTGTAGAAATCGAAAAAAAGCTTCCAATATTTTCAGTGACAAACAGAGATGGTTATTTCAACTTCATAACAATCGATCTGAAAAGATCATCATGTAAACGGGTTCACTTTAGTGTCTTACATTCTAATAAGGTTTCAAAGGGTTTCCTTGAAGGTGCTTACATAGATGATAAAAATCAATATATTACCTATGGTTTTAAATCAAGTTTATTTTATATGTACAATGAAACTAATTGTTATGAAATTATGAGTGAACCTTGTGGCGGTGCTCATCGTCAATGGAATTTATTTCCCGATGGTCGTGGATTTGTTCTGGTCTACATAAAGGCATCCGATTTGCATTATAGAAAGATAAGAGAGCCCAGGTTCCCAGCGGTATTGAAAAATGGTCTACATGGAAGAGAAATAAGAGATATTTCAATTTTGAAGTCACAACCATATAAAAATGGTTATTTATTTTGTACTGCATCAGAAGATACAACTGTTAGATTATCGCATTTTGACCAAGATACTGGCGATATCACTAACTACTGGCTGCAAAGGAAACACGTATCTGGGTTGCAGAGATGTAAATTCATCAATCATCATTTAATGATATCATGTTCCGCAAGAGAAGAGTTATTCTTGTGGGATATTGATCAAGATAGTTCATCTCGTCCTTATATTAGCACAAGAGCTACTCTACCTACATCGAGTGATATTCCTGATTTAAGAATAATGGATTTTGATGTCAAGTTTTTATTAAACAGTGATAGTTTTCTATTAGCAACAGTTTACTCCGATTCCGTTATTAAAGTTTGGAGTTTTGACGAAGCAACAAACAAATTTGCCTTATTGATAGAAGGCCGTTATGAAACTTGTTGTCTATTAAATGTTAAATTAGAATCAGTTGCTAAACAATTATATTTAATTACGACACCGACCGATGGTCATGTAGTAGTGTACAATATTACTGATTATATTCCATATGAACTCGCTGATAATTTCCAATTTTTGTTAGAAAATTTCAATGAATGTAAGACTTTACCATTACCTAATTACATTACAAAATTTTTAGTCCATCAATCTGGTATCAAAACATTTTGTACTGACTCTGAGTCGTTACCAAGGACTATCAAGATTTTTACTGGTGGGGATGACAACGCAATTGCAATGAACATTTTAAAAGTTGATGCTGATTCCTTAGGTATCATCAGTAGTTCTTCATCTTTCATTGAAGATGCTGCCTCCTCCACCATCACTTCGATTAGTTTATTTGACAAGAATAGAAAACTGATGATGACATCAGTAGATCAGTTAGTAAAAGTATGGGATGTTACTGGTGATGATCTTGTCCCAATAGATAAAAGATACACCACAATTGCTGATACCGGTTCATTGGATGTTGTGACACTTGAAGATAGTAGTACATTGTCACTGATAGGTGGTGTAGGTATATCATTATGGAAATTAGCATTTTAAGGACTTTTTCCTGAATCAATACGTAATTCAATTCAATAATCAATAGACTTTTAATACGTTATATTATTTCACAAGAAAATAATCATTTTATTTTGACAAATCAAATCAAATCAATATATATATATATATATATTCTCACATTTTTGAATATAGAAAATGTCATTACATTTGTATTTACAGTACTAATAAATCATGTCAAACATCGAAAAGCTTGTTGACACAATTTGGGCTTTATGTATAAGTTTATTTATATATATTTTTATCTCATCTAAAATTTTGATCAATCTTTGATCGATAAAATATGTGGTATCTCTATAACTTTGTTAAGCTACTCTGATAATATGTCACCTGTTAATTTTTGCGTTACTTTACTTGCTATTCATTTTAAAAAATAAATATCTTTATCTGTGAGAAACTAACCTTGGCGTTGCTTGTGTTTCTTGTTCGACTTACAGTAAACGTATACCCTGCCTTTACGTCTCACTATGTAACAATCACTGCAAAATTTTTTAACAGCAGTTTTAACTTTAAAACCTCTTGTAAAAGCAGGAGTAATCAAATTACTAGAGTTCAAAAGGCTTCTAGCCATTGGAAATAAAGAAGCTCTTTGCAGTATACTACTAGCTCCAGCTAGTTGAGATCTACTCAATGAGCTACAAGCTCTAACAAACGGTATACCAAAAGATGCACGTAACATTTTAATTTCTCTTCTTAACTGTGCTCTTAACTTGAAATATCTCAATGGTCAATAAACAGAATTACACAAAATTAACAGCAGTAGATACCCAATCAAAATGTCAACAGAATTCCTATACTTAGATCAACCAATTGGCACCTTAACCTCTTCTCTAAACCAAGTTAAAGATCATATTCTTCCTATAAGTTATCTATAATTTTTCATCTTTAAATCTTCGATATATTTTTTTTAAAGCCTTAGAAGGAAAAAAAACATCAAGATTATAACAAAGGATAAAACCGTCAATAACAACAACAAAAGGTTCATCTCATCTCTCAGTTTGAAGGGTATTTAGAAAAAAGCCAGTGATTGTTTGATATATTTTTAAGTTATTAGTTGCTTATTTAGTGGTAATTAGGAGGGAGTTTGGTTAATAAGTGGTTGCTGTGGTAGTTTTAAGATTGGTAAAGATTTGTGATATTAGTTTGAGATGACTGGATCACAATTACCAAACGATAAAGGTATTGATCAACCTGCTAAGGGGATATTGAAGTCGGATAAAGGGAATAATGGCGGAGAGTTGACTTCTGATGGTGTTGTTACTGGGAGCATTAATTTACCATTGTTTCCTTTGACTAAGAGTGATGTCTTGGAAGGGAATAACACAACTTCAAGAATAAATACTATAAATTTACAAAACAAGATTAATCGTAGGGTATCATTTGCTCCAGATGTTACTTTGCACAGTTTTGATTTTGTTCCTGAACAGAATAGAAAACAACGTGAGCCTCGTAGGAAAGTTGTCAGTGAACCTGTGAATGAACCTATTGGAAATGACGATGGTAATAGTAGGGATGAAGCTTTAGTGACGTCTACTCAAAGGGAGGATAAAGTAACTGAGGGCGAGATAATAAATGGAGAGCAGAAAAAGAATGATGATATTGAGGACATTTTGAATGAAGATCTTGAGGACGATTCCATGGATATTACTCAACTATTTAATAAACATGGTTCAAAACAAACAGACGATCAATTTAATGAACCCAATGAACTCAGTAAACTCAATGAAACTATGGAATTGACAAAAATAATTGTACCGCTGAAAAGTAATACCGATGAGCAAAATGAAACTATGGAGATGACAGAAATTCAAGTCCCACAGATTGTTGACAGCTCTCAACCTATGGACGTCACTGAAATTTATCAAAAAACTCAAAGTATGGATATGTTAGAAAATAACGATGGTGAGACTTTAGAGTTCACAGAAATTAAAGTGCCAAAGCTCACTATTAAAAATGATAAAGATGGAAGGATCAAGCCTAAGAGAAGGAAGTTGAGTGTCGATGGATCATATAAAGCGTCTAATGAAGAATTACCAGAAAATACCGTAGAACCTGAAGATCAGGAAAATTTTGGATTAGAAATTTCCGATGATGAGATGGAATTGACTCAGATGGAAAGAATGTCTCCTATAAAACTTCGTAATTTAACAGGGACATCCACCCAAACTAATACTGAAAGTGATAAGGAAAAGGATAAAACCAATGACAAAGAACTTGTTATATCTCAAAAGACCTCTCCTTTTGTTGAAGGTACCAATGACAAAGAATTTCAGAGTTACTCAATCAAAGAATTCTTAAAAGAAATAAACATATCCTTTAAGATTGATAATGAAGTAGGAAATAGTGATGAAAGTACTTTGAATTTTACATTGATAGATCCTGCACAAATTACTGGGATTAGGATAAACCAATTGTATAACACTTACTATGTGGACATACCAATTCTTGAAATGAATACATTTATATCAAAAGAATTATTAAGAAGGATCAGTCAATCGAAAGTATTATTTGAAGATTTGGAAGAGCGTGTAATAAAAGAATCGCCACCTTTATTGTTTCGTGAATACTTTTCATCTGAGGCAGAGATCAAAAATATTGCAAAGTCTCAATTACAACTAGTTAAAAAATATTCTTCACTGGAAGCTAAAAAGGCATGGTACGAATGGAGAATACAGCATTTGGTAGGTATTAAGAATGTATTAATAGAAAATTTAAGTATATTAAAAGAAGAGTTCGAAAAAGTTAATACGGACTTAGAGAATATCCAGGAAATCAAAAATAAAGTAGAATCATTGAAAGATAGAATAAGACAAGAAATCAAACTAATAAGAGAATTACCTCCAGATTACTACCAGAATCATCCAAATCTGAAGGATAAACTTAGATTGGAACAATTAAAACAGGAGCTGGTCTCTCATTCAGTCAAAATAGGGCAGATAAAAGAATTACAAAATAAAAGGAATGATGTTTTAACTAAGATTAGTAAAACTAAAGAAAGCCTATCTCAAACGAAACTAGAATTAGAAAACTCAAATAGGGCTCAAAGACTGGACTCACATTTTTCAGAATTCGAATTGAATAGGTTAAAAAATAGATTTTCTATGTTTCAGACACTTTCCGGAATTGAATTTGTCAGTTTAAAGAAATCCACATTAATAGTAAAGTCTCCTATTGAGGAGTTCCCAGAAATAGTAATAGATCTTTCAAAGATTGGAAAGACAAAAGATATTAGGAAAGCGGTTAAGTTGACTTCTAGCAATGAAAATGAATTTTATCATTATTTCTTTACTCTACTACTTGCTAATGTTACTGTAAGAAATGGGGATAACTTCTTACATACACTTTCAGAACTAATTAAAGAATTGAATTCATCAAGATTATTATTAGCACAATACAAGTCATTGGAAATGTTATTTCCAGTTTCATTCGTTCAATCCAATGATAAGCTTAAAACTACAGCGATCGAGATTACTGACTATGACATTAGAACGAACTCAAAAGTAAAATTTTACTTATCAGTAAAAGACTTTATAAACCTGGGTTTGTATAACTTTGGAAAACTTTTTATATCTGTTAAGATTTTGAGAGGTGAAAGCATTTCAAAGGATGACCTTTTCATGAGAATTACGAAAAAGATTAATAAGCTAATACCCTGGATTAACGAGAACTCAATAAATATTGTGATATCGTAATGTGAATTCATTTCTTATGTTTCTGCATATTTCATGATACTAATGCTCCTATTGTGTATCCTGTAACGAATATTGGGCAATATTATATAATCTATACTAAATATTGGGTAATCTGTAATATTATATTTATAAACTTCTTTTTTCAATTAAGATGCATGTATTGTTTTTATATGTCTGATCTATATAATAGAAATGTCAAATCATTGACATTGATGCTTTTCCTTCAAATTATCCTTCGATTGCGTCCCTAAGGGCCTCCACCACGTTGATAATTGCTTCTGATGCAGGACTTTCTGGGTATTCATCGAGGAAACTTTCACCATCATCACAGCACTTCCCAATTCGAGGATCCAAAGGTACTGAACCCAGAAATGGGATGCTTAATTCCTCACAAAATGCTTTCCCACCTCCTGTTGTTGGCCTAAAAATTTGAGATTCACCTTTACAATTAGGACAAACAAACCCACTCATATTTTCTACCAATCCTAAAATCTTAATCCCAGCTTTTTTACAAAAGTCTATTTCTTTCCTAACATCAAGTAATGCTACTTCTTGGGGTGTTGTTACTATAAGAGCCCCATCAATACCCGAATCCTTCAAGAATTTGTTGATTGATATATGTTCATCCGAAGTCCCTGGGGGGGTATCAATTATTAAATAATCTAAATAATCCCAATTGACATCTTTTAAGAACTTCTTTATTAGTAAATTTTTTTTGGAACCTCTCCAGATAATTGCCGAGTCATCCTCTGGTAACATATATTGTATCGACATGGTTGCCAAATTATCAGCCACATATACTGGAGTCCAACCATAGCTTGATTCATGAACCAAGTCATTATTACACCCAAGCATTCTTGGCAATGAGGGACCACATATATCTAAATCCATAGCACCAATTTGAAGGTCTTCATCAGCAGATAGAGCCCAACTTAACATACTGGTAAATGTCGACTTCCCAACACCACCTTTACCAGAAAGGACTAAAAGTTTGTGTTGAATTTTTGATAAATTTTCATTAATAGCAGGAATATCAGGATCTGGACCCTTTGGCAAACTTTCACAAATCTCTTTATTAGCACATCCCAGACAAGCATCACTCTGACCTGCGTTTTCTGATTCTGGACCTGGACAATGTTCAGGCTCAGGTTGTTGCAACTCATACTCTGGAGGCAAAATCTGTTCTGAAGAAGAAACATTCAACTCAGAAACTAGTCCTGTGGTCATATTATAAATTCAGATATGTAATTTATCTTCGACTTGATTATTACCTTTAATTAAAATTACTTGAACAATTTTATATTGAATTATCAAAGGATAATATTATCCAAGCTAACTAGAAATATTAGACCACTTAAAACGCACTCAACTTTTCCAGATTGTAATTTACTTAAACTACAACTGTTGAATTGCCATTACGACATCAACAAAGTTTCGAGATGAGATGTTTAAAGCTTGATTTGTAATAAAGTTCTTATAGAGACATATGACATTTTAATATATCGAATATCACGTGATAACCAAGATTAAATCATATCTGACTTATATTGATTATTGATTCGATGGGCATGAATCAACTTAAAATAATCAATTAGATCGTTTTATGTCTAATGAATGATAACCTTTAGATTCACGACAGATGATATGATGATTTTAACTATATTAAACAGCCATTCCTTTTTCTTTTCACCTTTTACAATAGTTAAGTAACGTCCAGCAGCAACGGTAATGGTTGAAACGTCATCGAAGGTCACTGGAACCTGACAAAAGACTGAAAGAAATGGAAGCCAAATGAAGACTGTTGATATTGTTAATGATGGATCAACATATTTCTGGTCTGGGTTATGTATTTCTAGAGCTAATTGATTAATTCTGATTTCTACTAATCATCTGTTGATATATGAAACACGCAACGCGATAAAGGTGATGAGATAGATGATGAATAGACAGTATTCTAAGAGAAAGATGAGGATTAAAGTGTTGGTAATATAGTTGATACATGTTAATTTTGTTGCTAATTATATTTCAATCTGTAATGGATCCTATGGTTTTATCCTTAATCCTTTTTATATTTTGAAGGCATCACTTTATTAAGAACTACTAGAGAAATTATCACTGTTCGAATCGAAGCTTAATATATCTTATATACAAATTAAGTTTAATTAAATATACTGAAGTTTGAGATTGTATTTAATTGATATATTGTGGAACTGGACTATAGAATAGGTCTCACTGTTGAATTGGTAAATTCTTTTTATATTTGTTCATGATGGAATTTATCTGTTGTGTTCCAGGAAGACAAAATCTACCTAATTATGTAGCAGAAAATGATGAGGAAACAATTGTATTTTGTAAGAGTACAGTTGATGATAATCTATTATTACCTAGCAATGAGGAATCATTGTCAAGTTTCCAGTTTCAAGAAATAGTTTTGAGTGAGGGTTCCGATATTTTTAATGGTTTGAACATTAATATCAATAGTTTAAGGTTATTTAAAACAAATCTATCTAAAAATAGATCAGAAGCTGAAAGAAGTAAATTAGCATTATGGTATGAGTTCGTTAAATTTGTCACTTGCAATAAGGTCAGAATATTAGCTTTAGAAGGCTTAACAAAATTTACAAGATGGATTGTAAATATTAGGGAGGCAGGTTTATGGAAATTTGTTATGGAGTTTGAATCTGAAGGTATAATTGAAAAGCTAACAGAAATTGAATTCAATAAAGTCTTAAATGGTGAAGTTGACCTTTTCCAATTAAGCAATCAATTGTTCAAGTATTATTCTGCAGCTAATGATGAAATACACAATTTGGAAAGAGCCAATGAGGTGCTATCCCATGAATTGAAAGAAATGCATGAGAACCAATCAATTCTTGATAGACTGATAAAGGAAAGAGATACTAAAACCAGAGATGTAGTATTAGGACTTTTAAATGAAAAGAAGAAGAAAATATCCGAATTAACTGAGAAATTAATGAGTATTGAAACTAAATATGGTGAGGATAATGGAGGCGAAGACAGTAAATTAATTAATAAAAATGTTACAAATGCAGTATCTTCATTGAATTCACCAGGGAAACGAAGACAAAATAACAGAGAGACAAATGAACCAGATAAAGTGAAAAGAAGATTGAAGTTCCCAATCAAGGAAGAAGAAGAGAAAGTTGGTGATGGTGACGATGATTTTGAAGACTTCCAATTTTTTGGTATCAACAAGAAAACTTCATCGCCTGCAAAGAATGCCAAGAAATACGAATCGGAATTGAATATCCAGTTAGAGGATACGCCAAGAATAAAATATGAGGCGGGAGATGACCCTTTCATCGATGATGAAGTTGTTTCTAAAAACAACAATAAAGTGATGACAGAATCGGAAACCAACACAGAAGCTGAAATTGAAATTGAAATACCAACTCAGATTAATGCTAATCCAGAAAAACAAAAACAAACGCAAACGCAAACGCAAACGCAAACGGATACAGACACAGATACAGATACAGATACAGATACAGATACTGGAATATGTACAAGTCAGAAGGCAGGAAATGAAGGTGTGGCTCCAGATGAAATAAATTCGGAATCTTCAACGGAAGAAGAATTAGACCCACATTAAAAACACTGCCAAGACTACCCTTATTAGTCCCCAAGCAATATGCACCATTGACGGCTCTCATAGCATCCAAATAGTAACACAATATCAAGTAAACCTCTTCTACATTTCAACAAAATTGGTTGCCTAATCCATTAGTGGAAGCAACCCACAGCAAATATAAAAACACAACAACAACAACAACAACATTAAAAATAGATATAGAATTGTACATTACAAAGAAACCACACCAAACAAACCCTAAACTGAACTACAATTGATGCATAAATCTACCTCAACTGCACTCCCAACCTCCAAACCCATCAAACAATCAAACAATCGAAGTTTCCCTCTTCTTGTAGCATCAACTCTTTACTGTCCTGTGCGTGCGTACTCTTATCTCGACAAAAGTTCCAAGGCGAAGCCTTTAGAAATTTTCCAGATATCGATCAATTTGAATATATTTCCATTATCGTAACTGTTATAATATAATAAAAACAGTTTTGAAGGTACAACTGTTATGGTAAATACCTGATGTTTCACTGGTTATTGGTTGCCACTGTACATTTCTTAGCAAGATCACTAGTCAAGTTCATTATTATTTAGGTTTCCATACCTGTTGTAACGTCACTGATCTTTGATATTTGGGTTACAATTTTTTTGTTGGTAACAAGATAGAAAAAAATAATAATAAAAAAAAATTATTGATTCTTATTCAGGTATTTTTTTTTAATATTTGAGCTAGGAGGCCCCAATTTATTTCTGACAGATTCAAGATCTCCATATACAGTGGTATTTGTGGTTAGACCTAGAGATTAGTTACCGCTGAATATATTGAGTTTTGTTTGAATTATAATCAACCAGGAAAGATTCAGGGAAGAAAGAAAAGAAAATTTTTTTTTCTTAGAATAGAAATAAAATATAATAAATTATTTGGTTTGCTATTGCTGGTATATTCAGTTTAAGCAGATTTCGTCGTTCATTTTCCATTCTACAGCTTTTTTTCTTCAAAATACTTTAGTTCATCGAGTTGGAGATAATTGTTGCTCTATCTAAAAGCCCTTTTCTATCCAGAACTATTGATCTATTTCGAGAACACCCGTATATACAAGTACTAAGAATATCAGGAGTTTACTCAGTTTGATCTAATATTATACCAGATATTAAAATTTTTTAGAAAAAGATATTTAAAAGAGCAAGACATTTCGTGATTATTTTTTTTGGAATTTAAACCTTAACTGAATTCTAGCCATTATTATAAACATTTTCAGTTCATTCACTCATATTTCATTTAAGCAATTAGTCTTTGATACCCATAGTGACTATTTGCGATTTATTGATTCAGTTTACTTAGATCGTTTCTTTTTGTCATTTCATCTTATTATTGTTTTTTTTATTTTTCATTCATCAATCTTACATTAGATTACAATTTTGACTATTTCATTTGCATATAATCACCAATCCATCCATCTATTTAAAGAAACTATAATCCAATTAACATATCATCAATCATCATCAATTTTTATTTTTAGCAATGTATCCATACGAAAAGAATAATACTCATATTCTAAATGCTGATTTAGTAAATCAACAATACTTATATTCTAGCAACGAGCGAACCCCTACTCCAGGTTTTGAGACACAACAGATGTACAATGACTTAAACAATATGTCATATTCAAATAATGGGCTTCAACCTATGAATGGTACTATGTTACAACAAATGAATAGTCAAACTTCCTCGGATGAAGCTTCCCCAGAAAATTGGTCTGGTTATCCATTCCAAGAAAATAATTTGAATCATCAACAAATGTATTCAACTATGCAACAAACACCTACTGGCCATCTTTATGGAAGCTTTTCTGGAAATGGCCATTACTACACAGATGAGAGATCTATTAGTTCAGAGCAAGATCAGATTGCAGAATCCCCATATCTAGTGGCGGCGGCAGCAGCAGCAGCTATCTCAAAAACTGAAAACAATTTACCATTACAAAATTCATTCGAATCTCCGGTCAATTTCACTAGTGCCCCAAGTAGAACTGTTTATTTAGGTAATATACCCACAACGTTAACAGTCAAAGAACTATTAGATCATGTTCGTAGTGGTGTAGTTGAAGATGTTAAGATTTTACCTGAAAAAATGTGTGCTTTCATTTCATTTGTAGATGATAGCTCTGCATTACTATTCCATTCTGATGCAATTTTAAAACGTCTAAATATCGAGGGTAGAGATATCAAGATTGGTTGGGGTAAACCAACCAAAATAGATCCAATTGTCGCAAATGGTATTACTACAGATGGTGCTACAAGAAATGTATATATCGGTCAGTTATACACTGATGCTGAAGTTGCGGAAAGTTTAAATATTCCAAAAGAATCAGAAATTGTCACTGAAGAGAGATTAATTGCCGATTTAGAAATATATGGTGATATAGATTCTGTTAAAATTGTTAAAGAAAAAGGTATTGCATTTATACATTTTGCATCTATTTTAAGCGCCATTAAAGTTGTTAATAATTTAGCTGCTTCAAATAGGTATTACCAAAATAGGAAGATTTTTTATGGAAAAGATAGATGTGCATTTATTACCAAGACTCAACAACATAACGCTGCACAATTTTTAGGTGTCCAACCTGGCTTAGCATATTCTGGCCAATTTTCTGATAGAGAATTTATTTCTAATGCATTGTTACAACAATCAGCAGCAGCAGCAGCTATTGCAACTTCAGCTGGTGGTCCTAATAATCTTGGGAACCGTACGGTTTATTTAGGAAATTTACCAAAAGGTATTAAAATTGAAGAAATCTGTAATACGGTTCGTAGTGGATTATTACAAAGTGTGAAATTATTATCTGATCGTCATGTTTGTTTTGTAACATTTATTGATCCAACAGCGGCAGCGCAATTCTATGCAATGAGTTCATTACATGGATTGATTTTGCAAAGAAAGCGTTGTAAAGTTGGATGGGGTAAACATTCAGGACCATTGCCTAACCTTATCGCATTAGCAGTCAGTAATGGAGCATCCAGAAACGTTTACATTGGTAATATAGATTTTGAAGAAGATTCCAAGAGAAATGAAAGAGTATTTACAGAAGATAATTTAAGGAAATTATTTCAAGAGTATGGAGAAGTCGAACAAATTAACTTTTTACCGTCTAAGAATTGTTGTTTCATTAATTATACAAATATAAGTAATGCAATTTCTGCAATTGATAAAATTAAATCGAATCCATATTTTAAAGATTTAAAAATAAATTTTGGTAAAGACAGATGTGGTAATATCCCTCACCAATTGCATTAGAAACCCACAAGGAATAAATCATGTTTATTTTATTTCAATTATTTTATTTTATTATTCTATTTTATCCTATTTTATCCTATTCTATTCTAATCTATGTGTATTGAATTATTCAAATGACCATGAAGTTAGTGTGTTTTATAATAAGCAACCAAGATAAATTCAATTTTTTTTTAAAAAAAAGACCAAAATTCGAAATTCAAACTTCCCAATAAGAAGAAGAGAAAGATTCCAACAGAAGATCTTTTGTTGATCTTTTTTTACCAAATATATAAACATAGTTATTCACCCATAATACGTGTATCAATTCAATTAAGAAAATTGTAATATTTTATAGATATATTGTGTTTTATATATTACTACTGTCTTTTACATATTTAATAGTACTATCTATATATGTTAAGAATGAGGCACTGTATTATCTAGTCACGTGATACCAAACAAAAACAATACAATCCAATCCGGACAAAGACCATGGTTTCCTAGAATGCCCGAAAAGTCACATGACCATTTTTTTTTATTTTTATCATTGTTTCAGCAAGTAGAGAAAACCCGCAAGACTAAACTGGAACGAACCAAGACTCCTTTCTCAGTGCATCATTTTTCACCATCCCTCCTCCCATTTCCCTCCCCCAATGCATTTTTACCCTAAACCAAGTCTTTCACCTCCCTCTCAACTCCCATATCCTATGCTGTCACCCACCCCCCCTCTCACAAGAACGAAATGAACTACTATCCAGCCAATTATCCAGCCAAATAACAGTACAACAGACACGAATCAAAGAAACCTAATCAACTAACTAACCTACAACGACAAATTAAGTGAATCAAGATTAACAAAAGAGGTATATGATCGTTCAACAATTGCATCAATCTGTAATCGTAACCTATAAGCTGTGTGTGCTTTAACAAATCAACTTAAAAATTTGGCATATTGCCTTCTTTCTTCTTCAAGTAGTGCATTGCATTAATCACATCCTTGTCGTCGTATTTCATTCAAATCAAATCAAATCAAACCAAACCAAATCAAGTCAAATCAACTTATACCGAATTCGAATAAGCAAGGGATATATAATGACGATAAAGAGGGATGGATGATTTTGGTTACAAGTGAAAGTGAAATTGTATAATGCCCCATTAAGAGTTTGTTCTGTTTTATTATCAATTTCTTTGGCAAGAAGGAGTTGTTAAGTAGAAATTTAAGTGCAAACTCAAATTCTCTAGACTCTAATATCTCGCATATTCAAGTAATCATATTTCATCTCATCTCATTTACTTCAATCAATTGAGAACTTATTCCCTTCCTATGATTTTTCAGTTGTAAATTTGTGAAAAATCGTAATGTTTAATTAAATTACTGTCTCTTACTCTCTCTATCTCACTCTCTCTCTTATACAATTCATATTTATATAGATATGTTTATTCAATTTATTCAATTGTAGATGAGATTTTTGTTTGGTTGGATTGAATTGTAGTAAAATTTAGTAATTTGGTTCTTATCTTGTTTGCTTGCTTTACTTTGCTTGTTGTGAATTAAAATTAAAATTAAAATTAAAATTAAAATTAAAATTAAAATTATCCTTGTTTTCTCTTCCTTCATTCCTTTTTTCTTTTATAGGTTGTTGCTTCTTGTTAAGTTCACACTGAGTGGTTCTTATTGACCGATTCATTCGAGTGGTTCCTTCGTTTTACAATTATTTGCTTTTATGGGGTGTGTGGCCTGATCCCAAATTACATATTAAATTTAAACTATCTAGTTCAATTCAAAATTTAATTGTTCTTTATATTGTTTTTTTTGTTCATCTTGATTCAATTAGTTTATATCTCTGTTGACTATATATATTAAATTGTATTAATTTCACCTAGACTTTGGGTTGTTTTATCATTTTATTGGTCGGTTCACTTTTTGTTAGGTTTGTCTTTGTTTTACTTCATTATTATTACTATATTGTCATAATTCTTGGCTAGAAGGGGCTTGATACTCGTGTTGATAAGTTCTAGTTATATTATTGCTGCTGGTAAGATAATAATAACATATATATACATATATATTTGCATATTGGAATTATAAATTAGCATAAGAAAAAGATTTTTGATAACACAATTACATAAAAATAGAAGATGTTCAAGATTTTATATGATCATCCATCAAGGAAGTTTAATCAACTAAATATTGCAGGTGATTTCACAGGTTGGAAAATTACACCTATGAAAAAGGATCCTAAGAACCAAGACAGATGGGAAATTCAGATTAATGAAGCCGATCTACCTCAGGGGATTAATAAAGTACATTTTAAATTCATCGACGATAATGGAAATTGGTTCACAGATGAGGAATATCCAAAAGAAGTCGATGAACATGATAATGAAAATAACGTTAAAATGTTAATTAAAGAGAAAGAGAAGGAATCAGGAAATAACTCAATCTCAAATGAAGGTGATACCGTGATTGATGAAGAATTAGACGATGAGGGTCCTGTATCCCCTGCACCTTCTTTAAATGCAAATAATACCACTAGTACTAATTATAATGACGATGATGGAAATGATACCGAAATTCAAAAAAATGTATTGGAAAAAGAGTCGGTGCAAGATGATGATGATTCAAATAATTCAAAGAACTTAGAAGACAGTCCAGATATCGATGAAAGTACTGCAACTCCTCCTGCTTCTTCCGATTCGAATGCTGTCATAAAAAATGAAGAAACGGACGCTTATAGAGGAATACTTGCTACAATTATAGCATTCTTCGCAAGATTATTCAGTGCACCATTTGGTTAATCAATTAAAGTTTCTCAACTCATTAGAGATATTTTGACCCTACTTTATATATTCAACCACTCTATAGATTCCAAAGAGCTATCCTTTTTTTTTAATATTATAAAAAGATTTCTCATACTTCATTTTTAAATTATCGTTTATCAATATAACAATATATTATTATAGTATTATATAATTAATCTTATGATATTTAATTTTTATTCACTGTAAAAGAAGTCGGTTAACACTTAAAAAGATATTTGCATTTAATGTATATATATATAAAGTTAAATAAGTACGTAATATTTAGTTTACATTACCTATCAGTCGAATGGGATAAAAGAAACTTTAGGTTTCGTGATACTTTCTCCAGGAAGAAACCTAATATGATTAGAATTGAACAATGCATTTAGTAGATTGGTTGACCGTTGTCCAATTCCAACCAGTGCCAAGCACCAGCCTTAGCTTCAGCTTCTCTCTTGTAGATTGGTTGACCGTTGTCCAATTCCAACCAGTGCCAAGCATCAGCCTTAGCTTCAGCCTTAGCTTCTCTCTTGTAGATTGGTTGACCGTTGTCTAATTCCAACCAGTGCCAAGCGTCAGCCTTAGCTTCGGCCTTAGCTTCTCTCTTGTAAATTGGTTGACCGTTGTCCAATTCCAACCAGTGCCATGGCTTAGCTTCAGCATTAGCTTCTCTCTTGTAGATTGGTTGACCATTGTCCAATTCCAACCAGTGCCAAGCATCAGCCTTAGCTTCTCTCTTGGTGTTAGAGTTAGAGTTAGCGTTAGCTTCAGCGTAAGCAGCCTTTAAGATAGTGCTGTTGACGAACAAAATACCATTGTTGGTAGAGTTAGAGAATTGCAACATAGCAACATCGTTAGATTGTTCCAAGTCTAAGTAGCCGATGACAGCTTCAGCTGGAATTTGAACAGAAGAGGCGTCAGTGGTGTTAGTAGCATCCTTAGCGACTGGAGCAGCTAAAGCAGTAGAAGCCAAAGCGACAGCGGATAAAACATTAGTTAACTTCATTTTTGATTTTTGTAGAATATATTTGTATGTTTTTTTTAGTCTTAAGATTATATTCTTAGAACTTGTTGTTTTTGTTGATGGTTTTTTATTATAAATAGATATAATAAAAGAAATAATCGAAACAAATTTAAAACAATATTCGAAATAACCCACATATTTATATGCCAAAAATTCTGATCAAATTGTATATTAGTTGTCATTCAATTAACTCAAAATAAAATTCTTTTGTCGAATGATAATTAATGTAATAACTTAAGTTAGGTTAGGTCAATTAAAACTTCCTGATCTAGTAAAAACAATATAATAGTACCAACTTCTTATTATTAAATTACGCCAAATTAATAAACCTCATTAGCTTTCATTCAATCCCAATTTAGGCAATTTTGGGTTTTACCTGTTTCTGGTAACCTTGAATATCAAACATTCATCAATTAAATTGACGAATAAATGAATGGAACAGTTGTTCAAAGCATTTTTATTAGTGGCTTCCAAAAATAAATTACAGACCTAACCTAATTATTTCCAATTATAATCGTACCTTCTACGATTTACCCATACCAATCAATATAATATATCAACTTATAATACCTAATAAGGCAAAGTAATTAACAAGCACCCAAGATAATATTTTTAAAAATAATTTCTCATGACTCTTGTAATTAATTGATCCAAGAAAAAACATTACGTTTATCCCAATACCTCACCAACCCCTTCTTATGAGTTTCTCTGATCTCTCTCATATCCTCATATCCTCATAATATCCACCTATTCATACCATTTCTTATTAACAAATTAGCCTGTCCTCTGACACTTGCCCATTATTCCATAATGCATATATTTATTTTTTTTCACATTTGTCTATGTCCTTTCCTGTAGAGTGATATTGACATGGAGATAATAAGAACTGTAGATGCCCAAAACCACAATTCTAAAATTTTCTTTTTTTTTTTTTAATTTTTTTTAATTTTTTAATTATTCGTTATTATGTGGTTTTTGTGGTAGGAAAATTTATGTTTTTGTGTTAAAAATTATTTCAATTTGTTTTAAGTTTTGTTTTGTATTTTTTCAATAAACCGCAGCACAGTTTCCTAAAACGGATATCCGTCAGATCTAGCTACGGTCTTCTACATTCTCCGTTTAGATGTCTCAACAATAATGGGATATAGAGTGATGTGCGTTTCTTTTGTTTAGGAATTTGTTTTTTTGTACAGATTTAACCAAAAACTAGGACAAATCTTGTTGATTTTTACATCAAATGAGGTGTCGATCAGAACATCTTGCAGGAAAAAGGGGGTCAGACGTGAAGCGGTGACATAATATTTTATGATAGTTACCCGATTAGGTCTAAAAGAGCAAGAATTTATTTATTTTTAAATTTATGAAACTTGGTAGATTTCGATTTCAGCAGCGGTTTCCAATACAAGAACGCAAATCTGAAACATCAGTTTGAGAATGATGTTCTCGCGTTGGTTATTTTCAATTGAAAAAACAGCTGAAGTTGTAGAATTAGTAGTAGTAGTTGTAGTAATGGTAATGGTAATGGTAATAGCAATCGTCTATTGATCTAATTTTTTAATCGATTGATAGTTATTCATTTTAAATTACTTTAAGGTAATTTAATTTTATTTAATTTTAATGTTATTAATTGGCTTCTACATAGATAGCTCAAACACGTACAGAGTCTGGTATGCTTTATGAGATTGAAGTTTTTTTTTCATTTGAGAGCTTGAATCCTTGTTTATTGTTCATCTCTTTGTTTTCTCTTAGATCATTTTTGGTTGGCGGTAGTATTTATTCATGAATTGGATCAAAAATCAATTTTACCCTTTTAGGTTAAATCGATTTGAACAACGTAAATATATTGAAACAGATATTTGAGGGGAAGGTCAAAGTGAACATACAAGAGAAAGACAGTAAAATTACATTAGATGTTTAGAAATTATGAAATAAAAAGAAATGGTTTCTTATCAACCCACTAATTAATTATCGTCAAGGTTAAAATTCACAGAGACTCCAAAGCAGAATGAGGAATTGAGAAAGTAAATTAACAAGCAAACTAATTGTTATGATATTTGCAGTTTTAGGATAAAAACAAGCGTCAGGTTTTTGATATTTGTTAATTCGTGATTCTGTTAAAATTGATTATTATTTTTTAAAAAGAAATGAATCAATCAGATGGTAGAATTATTAAAGTATATATGTTATATTATCGTAAATTAAAGTTAAATCAAGTACAAAGAAGAGAAGTGAAGAGTAAAAAAAATAAAGAAATACACCCAGATAAAAATTACAAATGATAATAAAATTGAAAAGCTAATACAACTTAATTGAGTATCAAAAACCTCAATTTATTTTATTGAAACTTCTCCCATTAAAATAATGTTCTTGGAAATTTAATACCTAATAAAGGCAAAAAAACTAAAACATTACACTACATTACAATACTAATGAATGTCAGGGGGGGGGGGGGGAAAGCTCGTTCATGTATTAGTATCATCAATTTTATTCCGTATATGAGAGAACCTAAAGCTAGAATTAAATCCCAAAAGTTCATTAATGCCTTGCGCCCAATCATTTTCAGTTTTAGCAACACAATATATTCCTGAATTCTTAACTCCCGGCTTCTTCTTGAACTTACCAGAAGAACAAGAAGCTGGCAACTCTGATCCATTTACATAAATAGTCCCAACTTCATTAATGACATGGATTTCATCACCGACCTTTAATGTTTCTTTAGGGACACCATCAACGGACAAGTTGATTTCATGATCATTTGGATCAAATTGAGATTTTGCTCCAACTTGAATTTTAATATGTGACGACTGAGGTAAAATTAAAGGTCTAAATGAAAGTGAACGAGGGCAGATTGGAGTTAATAGTATACATGGTACTAATGGTGATACAATTGATCCACCAGCTGATAAAGAATATGCTGTCGAACCAGTTGGAGTTGATAAAGCTACACCATCAGCAGTAGTCCGTGTCAAGTATTTACCGTCGATGAAAACATCAAGGTAAGCTAAATGAGGCGCGCTACCTCGATGTAAGAAAATATCATTCATTGCATGAATTGAAGAAGCTCTCGCATCTTCCGCCTTCTCACCTTTTCGTACTACATGGCACTCTAATCTTGTTCTATGAAGGCATTTAGCTCTTGAACTTATGACTTCATCAAAAACCTTTTTATGTTCTTGAAAATCAAATGGTAACAAAAAACCTAAAGTACCTAACGAAAAGGCTAATACTGGAGGTACTTGTCTATTGTTAAAATTTGAAACCGCATGCAAAATCGTACCATCACCCCCTAATGTAACGACTAGTTCAGTTCTCGAAACTATATCAGCTTCAGGACCCGTGAATAAAACATGTGGTTCATTTGGAGTTTGGACGGGACTCATAGTAAATTCTTTTGAAATTTCATCAACTACATCTGGTTGTACAATCACATTAATTTCAGGATAAGAATCATGCAAATGTGAAATAAATTTGACCATAGCATCGGTGGTAGTTGTTGACCACGGTTTCTTAGTAATTAGAATATTTCTTAAAGGATTATGCCATATTAAGGATTGCAACTTTGAACTTGGTGATGATATGTAATCTGGATTTGAACCCAACTTCAAATCAGAGACTGGCTTGATCTTGACATACCTTGTTCTTTCACCAAATGTAGCAATAGAATAAAACTTAACAAAATTATGTTTACAACTAAATATCCCAAATTTAGTTCGAGCCAAATACATCACTCACTATCTTATATGATAATCAACTTTTTAATCGTGTATATATAAAAAAAGAAAAAGAAGACTTAAACCAAACTCAATATTGACACTTGAAATAAAGTATGCTCTGCTATGACCTGACTTGCCCTTTACTTTCCAAAGCAATAAGAAGTTTTAGTTTTCAATTTGTACAACAAAATGAAACTTTTCCAAACCAGCTAAAAATAGCTATACTGAGAACCTGGAAACCAAATGCAAAGCAACAGAACTCCAAACTAACAATACCACTGAACGTTTACCAACCTAAATCAAGAGTCTGATATCCAACTTATCATCAGAATAGTTCAATAAATACTCTTGATCCCTAAACTTTATTGACAAATATTTTTAAATTCCATTATTTAAATATATTTTTAATTCATGTATCTCCGTTTAATTAGATGAGTAATCATCAGTATTTAAGGCCAAATAGTTTGGGTGATATCTGGTGGATCTAAGGGATTGAATCAACAAGGAAGTCATTTCAGGATGATTTCAAGTATTCTAATGTGACAATCGAGTTTGGTTTATACTATTTCCCTTGTGGATGATGAGAGAACAGTTCAAATTTGAGAATGTTGTTGAACTTTATGAAGATGAATTGATATCGAATTTCTAGTAATAGTAATACTTTATGTACCTATATATATGGATATATATTAGTGTGTATGTGTTATTGTATAAGAATGGTATGGACCCTCGGATGATCTTTAAAATGTAGTACCTTCTTTTGGTTGTCCTAGTTTTTTGTTTGCAGGTAATGCCATTTCTTTTCTTAATTCTAGTAATATCGTTTCCATAGTGTAGGATCTTTTCCAGTCACGTAATGTGTGGAATTCTGTAGGCTTAACTTCACCAGTGTTGACATCGACGCATGGTAAGTTTACTCTCGATATGAATTTAATCTTTGGTGGTTCATCTGGATAATTTGGGCCACATTCAATGGATAAAGAGTAAATACGGTTAGCATGATTACTATGTGGGGGTCCTAATATGGTGCCGTTCCAATATGTCATAGCAATGTCATCGCTATCAGCCAACCCATAACTACATGACTCAGGTCCAAACCCCTTTTCACCTTTCTCTAATTCTTCTAACAATCTGAAACTTCTTGGTCTAAAATAATAAATAGCATAGCAAACAATAGTAATTAATAGAAAAAAACATAGAGATAATAACAACACTTCTTGGAACAATCAAACGACTGAGTTAATGATAGAAAAATAATATTTCATATCTCATTGTAGAATTAAGAAGATCTAAGTCTGTGACAGTACCATTAAACTCAACCCATTGATCATCTCCCTCAAAAAAAGTATGATTATTATTATTATATTCTTTTCATTTTTTTTATTGAAATAAAATGTTAGTATCAATTAACATAACTCATTCATTATTCTCCTTATTCAATAGTCAATTATTGAATCACAATCCATATAACCATTGAATAAATTAGAATCAATTCGTTTCATCATCTCTCCTTTTTATTCAAGTGGGTTCATATCTATTTGCAACACCAATAGAAATCGAAATATAGAATTTGAAGAACTGTTAATACATTACATACACCCTTGACATCTTAATATACGTTCCTTAACCTGATAACCTAGTCTAAACCAATGCCTTTAATGACTATTCTTGTGTTGCTTGAAAGTATCTGTAAAGTTCTTATAGTTAGTAGCATTTTTCAATATCTCTTCTGTTAAATAAGGAACGGATATAAAATATTAATGAGATCAAAAAGTAATAGACATTTAACATTGAAGAATAACAAGCTTCAATTGCCAATATTTATGGGTTCTGAGTGGATTATAAGGAAGCATATGATCGGTTTTGATAGCTGAATTGGTTATGAGCAACAGTGGTGGATCTTCTCCGTTTCTTGATAGGCCAAATATCGAGGATTTAAGGAAAGAAGATGATGTAGTTAGAGATGAATTGATTAAAAGTTTAGAATATGAGTTGAATACTGTTCAGAATGAGTTTGAGATACAGAATATGCGGTTACAGAGGCAGTACAACCATCTGGAAAAGCAGTACAAGTCTAATCTGGATACGTTGGAAAAAACGTTAAATGACATGCAGGAACTTCATGTTAGGAATGAAAGCTTAAATAGGAACTTATCAGAGTTGAAGAAAGAATATTCTGAAGTTATCGAAGAAAAGGAAATCCAATTCAAGACTTTGAATTCTGACTATGATGTTGTAAAGGAGGAGTGTGAATTCTTGAGGAATCAATATCAAACCATGGCTTCAAGAGTGGGTGATCAGGAAGAATATAAAAAATTAGAAACAGAGGCTTCACAAAATTTGATAAAAATGTATGAAAATGAATTAAGTAAACAAAATAAACAAATTATTTCATTAAAGAAACTAGTAACCGAAAAGGATGGTGAACTTGAAGATTTAAAGGCCAATGGCGTTATTAAAACTCATCAAAACTATAATACCGAAGAATTACAAGAATTAACAGTGGTTAACAAACTTCTGAAAGACCAACAAGTGTATGTAAAGGAACTAGAAGAGGCTAATATGCAACAAGCGAACGAGCTGAAGAAGATAAGGTTGCAAAATGAATCTCATCATTATTGGAAGAATGCATTTGAAAATTTACAAAAAGAGAATAGTAATTTCAATGCAACTGTTCAAGATTTGGAATTAGAAAATATCAAATTAAAGTCACAATTAACTGCATGGGAAGCATACGGTGATGATGATAAACCTGATAATATTTTAAGAGAACTGAGGTTATCTAAAGAAGAATATAAAAATCTAGCTTTCGAAAATGAGAAGTTAGTCATAGATATGAATAACATGAAAGAATTAAATGATGAAATGGCGCAAGAACGAAACCAGCTCTTGGAGATTCATAGTAATTTTGAAGTATCTGTTTTGAATCTAAAGAAATTGAATCATGAGATTGAGCAACAAAAATTATTGTCTTTTGAAGAATGTAAAATATTGAGAAAACAATTGGATGATTATTTGGAGGCACCAGAAAGTAAAATGGTTAATATACCCACAAAAGAGGTGAATAATTTGAAAAATTTAGAAAATATGGTTGATGACTATAAATCACAAACCGAGGATCTAACTAACGAACTTAAGAAGTTAAATGATCAACTAATGTCACAAGAGCCAGCTAATAAGAAAAGGAAAACTAGCGATCAAGTTACAATCAATTATTCAAAACGTTTAAATGAGCTTCAAATAGAGAATATACGCATTAACAAAGAATTACAAAATTCCAACAATGTAGTTCACTTACTGGAGGAAAAATTAAAGAAGCTAATTAATTTAAAGGAGAGAAAGATTAGAATTTTACAATTACGTGACAGTCCCTTACTAAAGGATCAATTCATAAAGAAGAAGCAATTAGAATTACTTAAAGCTGAAAATGAAGATCTACTTTCGAATATAATTAACTCTTCAACAAATGATTCAATTCCAAGATCTGTATTTGAAACCATAAGTTTTGAATTACAACAGAAGGAAGAAGAAATCTTTAAAACTAATAAGAAATTTATCAGACTAAAGGAAATGTTCAATAAGAAATCTTTGGAATTCATAGATGTGGTTAATTCTTTATTAGGGTTTAAATTAGAGTTTCAACAAGATGGTAGAGTTAAAATATTTTCTTGTTTCAAACCAGATAGATATCTGATGGCTGATTTAACTAAAAATACACTGAAATCTAATTTGCAAACAGATGTAGACAATTTTGAGGAATTGCTACATCTTTGGGTAGAAGATAGAGGTCAGATCCCTTGCTTTTTGGCAAAAATTACTCTATTATTATGGGAATCATCAAATAAGTACCAATAGAGATGTAATATTGTAAACGGTATATATATGCTGGTATAGGTTTACTAAATAATATAGTTGTAATAGTAGAATATTAAAAATAATCTAATAGATACGATAATGATGCAAATGAATACATGAATAGATGTTAATTCTCTTCGAATATCAACTTGAATATTTGTTGCCAGGAAATTACATTGTTGGATAAATGTTACATAATAAAAAATTATTCCTAAATCACCTTAATACTTTGAGAGCAAATAACCAATAATAAGATATATATAATCTAATTGTATCAAACCAATTGAAGGAAATTACTTAGAAGTTGATGAGTGATATTGATGAGAAGAATGATACAAAAGAAAGTTCGTTTTCCAGTGATGTTGTGTTGCTTTCATTGCTAATTTCTGGTTCGACACTTGGTGCAATTGCTGGTTATAATAGATATTTAAAACAAGTGACAAAAGCAACTGATATCCCAAATTATATGTTTCGTAAGAGATGGATGTATGGTAAAGTCACTGCAGTTGGTGATGGTGATAATTTCCACTTATTTCATACCCCAGGTGGCATATTTGGAGGATGGGGGTGGTTAAGAAAGGTTCCAAAATTACCCAAATCCGATTCCAATGGTTTAATTGTATCAAGGAAGAAAACTTCCAATTTCTATTCAGGATTAAAAAATTCATATCATAAATTTACTGGTTCTTATAGATATTCATCTGAATATTTTTTGGATTTAAAAGTGCCATACAAGAATTTAAGAAATTTACCAACTGTTCCAATAAGGTTATGTGCCATAGATGCACCTGAACGTGCACATTTTGGTAATACTTCACAGCCATATGGTGATGAGGCACTGATATGGCTTCGTAATAGACTTTTAGGTAAATATGTTTGGGTTAAACCTTTATCTGTTGATCAATACAACCGATGCGTTTCAAAAGTTGTCTGTTGGAATTGGCTTGGATGGCAAAACATCAGTTTACAAATGGTAAGACAAGGTTTAGCAGTAGTTTATGAGGGAAAGACATCAGCAGAATTTGATAGAGAAGAATTCTTATACAGATTTTATGAAAGAAGATCAAAAGCTAAGAAGAGAGGTTTATGGAGGCAAAGAGTAATTGAAACTCCAGGCGAATATAAGAAAAAAATTAAAAAGTAATTAATTATATATAACCTTCAATAGTTCATAAATACATACATATCATTAATAATATTCATTTTAGATTTTAGAGTAATTCAACATTTTAAATTGATACCTCTTCTTTTTTCCGATTCTCTTTGTTCAAACATTACTTGAACTGCAATAAAGATACATCCACTTGAACCGATAAAGAACAATATACCGGACCAGGACATAAAGATATCTCTAAGTAGGAACATAGTGCCATCTTTCCCTAAACAGAATCCAAATAAATTAGCAATCATCATCATCCAAATGTTAATGACAGCACCCAAACCACATAAATGTCTAAACCAAGGCTTTCCTTTATACCTTGCGCAGAAGGATGTTGCAAATATTTCAGGTAATAAAAATAGAACAATTAACCAGCCCCACAACAATAGTTTTAATTCAATATCATGCCAAATCGCTACAAATGAGAATACCGCTAATGAAGTCAAAATTCTTCTCTTTGATCCACCTAAAGGAATATAAATATAACGTACTACCCACTTGTTATAACTTCTATGCCATGCTCTCCAGAATGCAACTGCACTGTAATTATTATCAACACAACGAATCATATTTTCTGGAGTATCAACACCATCTAACATTGCCCATAATCTAAATACTCTCCATGGAATCATCAGCTTTAGCCATATAATGTTTAAATTTAACAGACCTATCATTGAGATTTGGAAAGGGGAGTCACCTTCCCAAGCTTTCCGCTTTGAAACAGCTACTACATATGCAAAGTGTAAAATAATTTCCATTGTCATTATTGCAACAAAAACTTTAATAGCATATCTTATGATATTTTTAACATTAATCCAAGAAAGTGTTCTTCCAGTTTGATAGATATAATCATTAAATGTAATAATTGGACCAGCAATGTACAAAGGAGTATAAGTAACGTATGCAATGTAATTAACAGGCGAATAGGCTGTTAAAGGATGAGGAGCTGTAAGTCTTTCCCTTTCAGACAATTCCATTAATGTATTATGTGGAACAGTCTTAGAATTGGAATTGGAGTCCAATCTTTTCTTATTCAAATCATTGCTCTTCAAAGTGTGATATCTTTCTAAATAATCCATATTATAACTCAACATTCTTAACAATGAAAAGTTAAAGAAAACATCCCATCTCTCAATAATACCTTTAAAGGAAGAATCCAAAGGTGATAAGAAAGGTAAAATATCACCAAAAGGATAGCTTCTGTAATTGTCATTAATGAACAAAGAAGAAATACCATAAGTCCACGATAAAATTGTTGCAATTCTTCTCTGAGATTTAAACAAATGTGCAATTAAATACATAATAAACATATGTGCAAATACTCTCAATGAATTAACACCATGTGCAACAATCAAAAAGAAGATGCCAAAGAAAAAATCAAATCTAATTTTTGGAATATTAGACCATTTCAATATTATTCTTTTCAAAATTACATGTGATGACATCAAACTAAAGATCAATACCAAATTGTCTCTGAAAAATCTATATTGAGCATCACTATTATCTACTTTTCTACCAAAGATCCAACCTTGTGATAATAAATTTTCAAATTGAGGATAATTTGGGTTAGTCTCATTGCTGGCTTCCATACCAACTTTTAACATCCATGGTACCACAATTAGAAACATAACATAATAAAACTTGAACTCCAATGTTCCCCATAGTGGTTTAGTGCCTTCTATGCTAATTGTATTACCACTAGAAGACTTTAGATTTGATCTATCAGGATAGTTTCTCTTATTCTTCTTTGATCCCTTTTTCGACTTTGAATCTGGTTCTTTTAATTCAACATTCTTCAAACCTGTATTAGGTACTATCCTAGAATCTAAAGATTCCACCGACAAGAAGTATCTTACTTCTTTATAAATATCACTGAGCTTCATTCGTAAAAAATTCTGGCTAAATGATTAGCAGTATCCTTTTCTCGCCAGTCAAATTATTCAATACCAATCTAATTTCAACCCAGTTAAAATGAAATTTTATCAACTCCAAATTAATTGAACTCAGTACAATTGCATTCGACGATCCTATATAGTCTATAGTCAGCCTATATGAAGTTCCAAATCTACTTGAACTAACCTGAAATGAATTGATGTTTTAAGATAATTCATAGTTTCAATTTTGATTTGAAGCCTTTAAACTTTGATAGAGGAGAATATATACCTATATATATCGGACATTTCCTCAATAGTATATCTATTACTAGAATAGGTAACTGTCACGTGATAAAATTGTCTCGTGTAAATTTCACGAAAAAATGACACTTTCTTATTCCAATTTAGTTCAACTGGTAACAGTTACTTTAATTCTTGATTTTCATTTTGTATTGTTTACTTCAGTTCGACTCCCAGTGGTCACTGCTTTACAGCTTATCTAGGTTCTTTTTATTTTAATTTCCCACTATTAATTTTTTATCGATTCGAACCATATTAAAGATAAAGATGTCTTGATATTTAGATATGGTTAAGTGAATATTATACTAGTAAATGTAACAAAGTATTGAAGATTTTTAATTATAGTTGCAATACCTAATCGAACAGGGATATTCAATTGAACTGCCACTTACTGGATTATTTTTTTATACCGTTGTTGGTAAATTTTAGTAATTCTATTTGGTATCTTTTCAAAACTTTTAAGTTAGCATCGATATATTTCAGTTACATTTGATTATTCAGATTATATTGTAACTTCATTAAAATTAAGTTAAGTAAAAGGTAAAAACGGCTATTGGATGTATTAAGGTTGCAAGATGATGTTCTGGGGCTCAAAAACGGGTATTAGTTCGAAATATTCTTTCTCATCGTCTCCTACTTTTTCTTCTGAACCTTGGAGTGTTTATACAGGTAGACCAAAAAGTACTTCTAGTACAGCAGGTCCAAACCGTGTATCCATCTTTATGTTTGATAAAAAAATCTATGAGAGTTATTTATTGCATTATGGTATTATTAAATCTAAATCCTCAACCAATGATAAAAAAATTATCCAGGAAGGTTATGATATATTAAGAAATCAAGTTAATAATTTAGCCAAATTGAAACATCCAAACGTGTTAACTTTAATTGAACCATTGGAAGAACATTCCAAGAATTTCTTATTTGTTACTGAATATGTTACAGGTTCTTTAGAGACAGTTTTTGTTAAGAAAGATGATGAACAAAGTTTTTTGAAGGGTCATGTTAAAGATGATGTCATTATCCATAGAGGTATCTTCCAATTAGTCCATGCATTAGATTTTATTCATAATAGAGCAGGTTCTGTGCATTTAGATATTCAACCAAGATCGATTTTTATTAACGATAACTCAGATTGGAAAATATCAGGTTTAGGACACTTGATGAAGATTCCTGATGGTTCAAACTCCACTGAATATTTTATGCCTCAATATGATCCGAGAATTCCATCATTTATGCAGTTACCATTGGATTTCACTGCTCCAGAAATAGTATTGGATAGCACTGTAAGTATAAAGAGTGATTTTTTTTCCTTGGGTATGTTGATGTATTTATTATATGCTGGTGATAGTTTATTTCGTACTGAAAATTCAACATCTCAATACAAGGACGAGTACGCCAAGTTGGAAAGAAAAATTAGCACCATGTCATGGGAAAATGTGTTTAGTAAATTACCTCCAAGATTGAGGCAATGCATTCCGATGTTGATGAACAGAGATATTTTTTCTCGTTATGATAATATAACCGATTTCTTAGCAAGTGAATTCTTCCAAGATCCAATAATTAAAACTTTGAATTTCTTAGACGATCTTCCAACAAAAAGCAATGAGGATAAATTGGTCTTTTTAGAAGGGCTGGACGAGTTGCTACCTCAATTCCCTGAATCATTATTACAAAGGAAGTTTTTAGCAGTTTTGCTTGATTTGTTAAACCAATTGTGTGCTGAAAGAAATGTTAATAGCCGCTGTGTCACATTGAATTTAGGTCTAGTAATTAAAATAAGCGGGACTCTATCACAATTATCGTTCCAAGAACGTTTATTGCCAGTTATGACAAATAAAACAAATTTCCCTATTCTAATGAAACATGCAACAACTAGTTTAATCGAAAATTTACCAATTTTGAAAGAGAAGGTTAAATTACAAGATTTCTTAGACGTTTTACTAAAACCTATTCTTACATACGTTTTGAATGAAATGGAAGGTGATGCAGCTGTCGTTCCTCAAGAAAAATTATTAGATCAAATGGAATTAATTTTAGATTGTTTAGATTTCTTAACTGTAAAGAAATTTTTACTACCATTATTATCACAGCTTTTCACCAAGACAACCAGTTTAAAAGTTAAAATTATCTGTGTTAAATCTTTCCAAACTTTAGTCGAACGTAAAACGGTTGATACATATATATGTTGCGATGAAATTTTACCATTATTTAAATCAATGAAAAGTAGAGATCCTAGAATCCTGTTGAAATCATTAAGTTTCTTTGAAACTTTACCACAAGTCGTTGTTGATGAAAGTGCATTAGTCGGTCAATTGTTACCATTATTATGGAACTATTCTATGGCAGATACTTTGGACAGTACACAATATAATAATTATACAAAAGTTATTAATAATATCTCATTCGACATTCAAAAAAATCATGCCGACCAACTGCAAAAGACTAAAACTACTAATACTGGTAGTTCTGGTAACGAGTTTAAAAAAATGATAGAGAATAACTCTAATGAATACATTAATCGAGAAGCTGCACAAGATGCTGCCAAATCAGTTTCTACACCAACCATTAACCCAGTAAGGAAACCGAGTGAGAGAAAACCAGCATCGACACAATCTCGCATTTCTGTAACCAGTGCTACCACCAGTACCACTGGAGGTATGCCACCAAAAAAATCTATCCCAACTCCCTTGAATAGATCAACAAGCAACACATTTACATCGCCATCAAACAACAATAGTACAAGATCAATAACTAATTCTAATTCAAATACAAATACAAATTCGAACTTTGACGATTTCGATGATTTTGTCACCGCATCTCCTACAGCTTCTATTGCAACAAATCCAGTATCAACTAATCAACAGGATACCACACCATTTAGATCAAATACTACATCATCTTCATCAATACCAATTCAGAATTCTTTGAATTCAAGTTTCCCACCTGGTTTTTCAGTATCGTTGCAACCAAATAAGAAACTTTCCAATAGTATGAATCCTATGCAGCAAACTTCGAATTCAAATTTATCAGATTCACTTATCTGAATTGAGAAAACAATAAGCCAAGAAAGAATTTTTCAACTGATCAAGTTTCTAAGCCTTCATCAATACATTATTTCAGCCATTTGATCAGTTTATCTAGTGCATTGTGGCCCTTCTAAATTTCCTTTACTGTTGCGTAGCATTTATAAACGCATTACTGAAAAATATCGAAAATAGTGAAAAATTTCAAATTTCGATGAGATGAGATGAGATAAGATGTAGTGGGAAAGGTACCAATATTAGTCTTGTAGGTATCAATTTTTGAGATGATCTTGGGTGCAAAAGTTATTTTTTGAAAATTGTTCATATATAAATTATCTCTTGGCAGGGATTTCAAATATTCTTTTGATTTGAGTCATATTCATGTAGTTACCGGTTAATAAAAGAGATGGAATTAAGACAGATAAAAATCTACTTTAAGAAGAAGGTAATTGTGAGATCAAGTAGTTAGAAACATTAATTTTTGTATATATGAGAGTTAGTTTAAGTATTCACACATTGGTGGTGACATCAGCTGCAACAATTATATTATTATTGATTAGTTTTTCTGCTTTATTGGCTGACAAAAATGGCATTGATTCCATAATTTCTAGACCTGTCTCTAGAAATAAAATTGTTTGGGATAATTTTAATAATTATACTATTGATATTGATCTTGATAACAGTACAGCAATTTTCAATTCTATATTGAATGCGTTAAAACAAGGTGCTTCAGATATTCATCCATTAGGGGTCTCCTATTTTCCTGCTGTTATACCTCAAGGAACACTATTATATCGTACCGGTTCTTCACAAATTCCAGAATCATTTGAATGGTTAGCTTTTGATCATGAATTTAGTTATAATTTTGGTTCCAAATATAAGAGTTATGGTAGAAAATCGTTAGATGATAAAAGTCATTTCAAGAAACCGACCCCTAACATTGACAATGACATGCCTGCCAATACACCTATCACACATCCTCCTCCTAAGTCAGGACATCGTTCAAGAGATAGCTTTTTGACCTTTAGAGCAACAAGGGATATGAATAAATTCTTATATCTTGATGGTGCCTCAGCTGCAAAGACAAGTACAGGTGAAATGGATTCTCAAAAGTTATTAGCAGACGTAGCTAAAGTTAAATTGAAGTTAGGTGATGATGACGATAAAAATGGTGGTAATATGATGGTCGAACGTCTATATGCGTCTAGAATTTGTAAATGGGGGAAACAATTTGGTTTAGATGGTATAATTAGAGTTGAAATTGGGTTCGAAGTTGTTTTATGCGATTTTTTCACAGATTCAATTGAACTAGTTTCAAACATTACGATGGAAGCACCAGGTACGCTATTGGGATTACCTGAACCGACTCTATTGACTAAAGATAATGGTTGGCCAATAAACGAAGAAGGTGGCCTTGATGAAGATAAGCTAACGGAAGAACAAATTGCAATTCTAGATAGAGAAGATTACTGGCAACAAATTCTTGAGAATTACAAATTGGCTCAAAGTTATAATTGGTTACAAGCTGGTAATTCTCATGATTCTGGTGAAAAAAGAGTAAAACTAGACTATAGAAATTTCATCACAGGGATTAATAGAACGTATATTAGTCCAGATCCAATGAACAGAAGGTTGTTGAGTCATGGTATGACATGGGAAAAGCAATTGAAAATGGTAGATGATTTGGAAACTGTCTTGAAGAATGACTTTGATGCGAATGAGAGCATAGACTGGCAGCAAGTTTTTGAAGAGATTGATAACAAATTCTCACCGATGTTAAAGGTGATGAACAATACATTATCCCATCCTGATTTCAGTGAAGAAGATATGGCAATTCATGTTACAAAATATACTTTGAATTTTGTAGCCAGATTTTTCGCAAATAAATCTGATTCAGCTGACGATACTCAATTTGGATATGGTCGGGAGTTTGCAGTTTATCAATATTCCAAACCATTGAAAACTTTAGAAACTTCTTCAGATTTCTTAATCTGGTCCTCTAGTGTCAGAGTAGTAAGAGAAATTATCAATGTCATTTATGACATTCACGAAACATTATTGCCAATTGTCACAGCAGTAGCACACAATGACAGCTCAATGGATACAACCAAGAAGCAAAGAGTCGACAGTTCTAGAGAAAAAATCAATAATCTAGTAGAAACTCTAAAATGGATCTCATTAAATTATAAATGTGAACATGCATGCGATTGGGATGAAATCTGTTTTACACCATCTTGGGGACCAGGACCCCTAGCTGGTGGATTCGGATTCGACCACAACAACAAAGAACAGTTTGGTAAACATTACGACAAATCAAGAGGACGGTTTCTCATCAATGAAAGCTTACAATGTGTTAAAATAGATACTATACAGAAACATAGATCTCCATAGATAAATATCCCTTCCATCAATTTGACTCCTGATTTATGAACAAGAATTAGTCTGTAGATATGATTAGATATTCCCTGAATAACATAACATCTGTAAAATATAACAAAGAATAATACATCGATCAGTGTATCCATCAATATGTAAGTATACTTGGCTCATCCCATCTCATCTCAGGTACACTTCATTTCCTTCTTATGACTATTAACTATGTAACTACCAAATATTCCGGGCATTTTATCTTCTTAAGTACTGGAATAAAATAAATTAGATATATAAAAAGGGGGACCTTTACGATACGAAGTACTGTTAAAGATGGATTAAAAGAACAAGTTAGTAATGGATAGTAAGAACTACAAGGTTGATAATCATCGGGAAAGATTAAATAGATTGAATTGTTGAATTAATTGGAGATTGTTGTGGTCCTATTTTAAAAATTGTGTTCTTTGGTTGATAATTCATAAGTTTGCTATATTGAAAGAGAGGTTAGGAAAATATGAGTTTATCTTTTGAGACCAAGCATATCCAGGTTAATGGTATTAATAAGAAGATTATATTACAGAATGAGAATGGTCCTTGTGCTCTTGTGGCATTGACTAACATTTTACTTATATCTCCTGCTCATGCTGCGTTTGCCACTGATTTGGTTAATTTTGTTCAAAGGAGTGAAATTGTGAGTTTGCAAGATTTAGTGCAAGTATTGGCAAATATTGGTATTCAAAATCCTAACGGTGCTAATGTTGATGTTAATCAATTGCTACAATTGTTACCTCAATTGCATACTGGTTTAAATATTAATCCAACTTTTAATGGTTCTTTTGCAGAAGGGATTGAAATGTCCCTTTTCCGTTTATATAATGTTGGAATTGTCCATGGTTGGATAATTGATCCTGAAGTTGACCCTATAGCATTTCAACATGTCTCAAGATATTCATATGAGGAAGCTCAAACTGTTTTGGTTCAATCTTATGATATCAGTAATGGGACTTTACAAGTAGCAAACCCGCAAGAAGTTCTTGATGATGCATCCTATATTAAATCATTTTTAGCAAGGTCTGCTACTCAATTAACTGAGTACGGGTTAAAGCATTTAAGAGAAGTAATTATGGAGAACTCTTATGCCGTGCTATTTAGGAATGATCATTTCGCTACAATTCATAAATACAATGGTGAATTGTATACATTAGTGACAGATTTGGGATATAAGAATAATACAAATGTGATTTGGCAATCATTAAAATCTGTAAATGGATCACAGGATAACTTCTATACTGGTCAATTCATATTCACCAACGCTGAACCTGAGGAAAGGCAATTAGCAAATGCAGTTTCTAATCCATTTAGTGACCAAAATGAAGATTCTGCCGTTCCGATGAATTTAAACCAAGCTGTAACCCAAAACAATGATACAGTCGAAGACGACGAAGAATTGGCTCGTAGATTACAAGAAGAAGAAGATAGAAGATATGCTGGTACCATGCAAAGAAGTTACCAAGCTGCCCATGAGAATTGGAGAGCCTCAAGACAGACAGATTCTGATTCAGTTATCGACAACAAGAAAATCCAAACAAAAGGGAAAGAAAACTAAAAGAGATAAAATAAAGAAGAAGTGTATAATAATGTAAATTCCAAATGTATTTTTTTTCTGTTATTTGTATTACTAACCAAAAATTTAATCAATATGGTAATGTAATAATATAGTAGAATATTATTTTAATGAATTATACTAATTTTCAATATTGTCTGTAGTATCATGTATATATTTATATATATATATTTATATTGTATTTACATAATTGTACAAATAAGTAATAATGATGTTCTTATATTTTTAAAATGCATGTGTAGTGTTTTTGATCTAATCTTTATGGTATACTTGGTTCCTTATTAGTTTCCCTTTTCTGATTGTATCTGGAAACAGTATTGTTGTTACGATTGAAATTCCTTGATTTATTCCTTTGGTTAAATCCATTCCCTCTTCTTGTTGATTCATTGTCGTTACCTCCAAATAACTTTTCCTTTTCCTCGTCATTCAATTCATAATCTAATAAATTAGCATCACCTAACTCTTGTATGAATTTTAGCAATTTTTCATTTTCTTTTGCCATTTCTCTTTGAAGGATTTTGACATTTAAATTTACCTTGGGATTAAACCTTGTCAATTGATTTTGAATGTTCTGGATAAATTGTTTTTGCTTTTTTGCCTCATGCAAAACGTTTTTCCTTTCTTTTAATTCATCTTCTTTAATACCCATCTTGTCCATATGCTGTCTCTTGTTATTAGAGATCTTTAATAACCACATCATCTTTCTTTCTTCTCTCCATTTAGCTATTTCTTCTTCAGTAACCAAAGTGATGGAGGTTCCATGAACAGGGACTACATTGTTTGATCCATTTTCAGAAAGTAGTGTTGAATCTTCATCTTTATTTAATGAGCCGGTATTTTCTATCTTATTAGTATCAGATTCATTATCTGAAAGGCTCTCTTCAGATTCTTCATCAGTGATACGCTTATCGTTGGATTCATCTTTTGGGCAAGTTTCTTCATAATTATTATTTGAAGGGAGGATATTTTGATCTGCCATCTCATGTTTAGCTCTTTTTGATTCTAATACTGGTCCATTACTTGATTTTCTCTTAGTAGGATTTTCTTCCTGGTCAGTAGTAGGATTTCCTGATGATTTCTCTTGATTCTCTATAGATAACAAATATCCATCTTTGTTAACATCAACGTAACTTTCAACTGGTTTATATCCAGTATTTGGATTAGGGATGTTATGTGTACCATTGACATACATAGCTGAATTGTCCAAACCTTGATTATAATTTAATGAACCATTGATATTGTTCACTTGATATTGTTGGACATTCTGATGTTGTTGCTGATAATACATATGATTTCTAGTATCATAATTCTGATAACCATTAACCTGTTGATAGTTATAGTAACTGTTTTGATAGGGCTGTTGAGGATACTGTTGAGAACCATAATTATTTATTGAGTAATTATTATATTGTTGCTGAAAAGCTGGTTGTTCAGCTGTATTACTTCCCAAAGTACCTGAAGAAGTAGGTTTTGGTAACTTTCTTGAATTATTACCAGCATAATACTGATGGTCACTATAATTTGGATTCATGTTTAGTACCTTACTCCAGCTGTTATCCTTTAATATCCTTGCGATGAGCTATTCTTATAAACTAATGAATACTGAAATTTTTCACTACTACGGGTACGGTGATGTCTTTTAAATATTAAAGCACATATCATGGATTTTAACTATGTAAGAAACTGAAAATATCATAAATTGCATACAATATGTATTTATTGTTTGGGTAAATATTGATTATAACTAAGTAATTGATATAGAAATTAGAAATAAAGTACATACAATTTTCATTAACGATAAATGTTTATTTCTTAAAACGATAACAGCAAAAAAAGACAGGAACAATTCATTAGCTCTGACATTCTCACTCGATAAAAGAAGTTAAACAAAATATACAGAAAATAATAAACGAACATTCATATTTGTGCACCATAGGACAAATATATAACAGATTCTTGTTACAAGAAAGAATCTCTTTCAATTACCCTTTTAAAATGACAATCAATATTGGATAAGACTATATATATTTATCCTCATTAATATTTATAGCCCTTTTAATGAATGAAGGTACATTTTAACGTAGGTGGAATTGAATTTGACTCTAAGAAAGTGGCCAAATTGTCTATATCCTCATTTAGACGTCTTAATAGATAATTTCAAAATTATATTGGACATGTCGATGAACTTTAACATATTGATTCAAATTTTCCACATATAAATTATATCTAATACTGGCTTCTTCCTCATAAACAATGATGTACTGACAATGTTAATTATCGACACAACTTGATGTTTAATATCTTGTATCAACCTTTTCGGAGACTATCAAAGTTATTAAAAACTTATAATCTTCAGGAAAATTTAATAGTACGAAACGTACTCAATACCATGATTCAAAAGAATCAAAAGCTAACAATAAGCAATCTGTCGCTGTATTCTAATTCAAGTTGGAAAAAAGAAGACACGCATGACAACAACTAGGTGAAATCTTAATCTAAACTTGGCATATCAAACAATACAACAAATTGTGAGAGAAAACCTCTGGTCTTTTCTAACAAAATAGGTATCAAAACTTTAATAGTAATATATAATTCTCCAATTAACAAAGGAAAATTCTCAAATTTAGAATTAACCGATCAAATGCCATCAGTTTATATATCATGGAAGTAGATTCTATTTGGATCAATTTGTGTCGAAATATAAGAAGAGAATTCACGGGGATTTCCCAGAAAGATATTCAAGAACACAACCAAATTGAATAACAATACTCAGCTTCTCAAGAGAAACTTTAGTATAACACCAGACACGTCTCGAGATTAATTACTAATTAATTAGGAAATGCCTTACTTCTAACATTTTGAGAACAAAAATAATAATAAATACCCAGTGACACGAAAATTCTGATTTATTCCATATCTGTTCTCTCTATTCTCTTCTGCATATTTACTTTGGATTTGTAAATAAAACTGCAATTTAAATTATTCACTAAAACTTACATGTATAACAGATATAATCAATCCAATCAGTGATCATAATAACATAATATACAGGGATTGATAGTAATAACAGTAGCAACAAAAAAGAACGGCTCACAGATAACCAATTATTAGTCCACGTACCAATATTTCTCTCTTTCTATTAATATGCAAATAAGCACTTTTTCACTTCGAAACGGTTAAAAAATGAAAAATGTCCATGGTGAACCTCAAAAGGTTCCTGCAATTGCAATTATCCATTTTCTAAATCTGGTAACTGTCGCAGATTTCCTCAGAAATTAACAAACTTTACTAAGCGAAGTTACCTTCATCTTGCTGCTTGATCTTGCTTTGCATGTCCTTCGAAAGAAGCAACAGTTGGACATTTGTTCGGACAAGCTTCTTTCTGAGTTCTACACATTTGGAAGTTTTAATCAGAACAAGGCATGGGACTTAAGCAACAGTTGATATTTCACTAGAAATCAAAGAGAGTCAATAGAAAATAAGTTTTCCACCGTAAATGTTCACTCTATTAAATTTGTATTCCAACCCAGCAAATTGACTGCTTTTATTGCCTTCCTTCGTTATAGTGGTTCTTTTAAAATGGCAATTCTTAAGAAGCATAAAAAATATAGGTAACAGTATTCTTTGCATATTTTGGGGCTAGAGTTATTGTTACATTGAAATACTATATCCCCCAGACGTTTATATCTTCATCAGAATACATTGATATAGCAGTAGAAAAAACTATTTTTAATTTTATTCATAATCTTGGAACTCAGGAATCTAAGAATACTATTTCGTATTCTATTTATTGCTTCGTGAGAATTTGATTTTTAATTCTACAATTAGATTAGGCTAATCGATTAGGAATAGTTCTTCAAAATTGGATCAAATTTAATTTCTTTTCAATACTTGTTGATGTTTAGTGGTTCAGTGCAAAAATATCTCAAAATTCTATTAATAATTCAAACTTAACTTAATTTGGTTTGATGTGCTTTTTAATCGAATAAACCCTTGGGTGTATCAGGTTGCGTTGGACCAAAACCAAGATCCAATTCGTTTTTTGGTTGTTTAAGTCTTGGTGTTTCGTTCCTCGTATTTGAATTTTCCTTATCCATTGCGCTATCTTGATTAGATGTTTTAGCTATTGTTGGTGACTCTTGTTCTTCTCTCATCTCGTTAGTTCGTTTACCCCAGCCAATTGTGGTTCCATGTCTTTCAGCAATTGGTTCATTGTTAGTCGTGTCTATATTAAAATTATTTCTATTGAGTGTGTCTAAGTCTTCCTTATGTTGATCAGTATTGTGTTTGTCATTAGAATGACTATTGACATCAACAAAGTCATCATCTTGAGATGCATCCTCCACAAATAGCTTTTGCGCTGCCTTTTTTAACTCTCTTGGAACTATTTTATGTGAGCTGTTATAACGGTTCCCTGTGATTATTCCTTCTGATTTCAGACGTAATTCCTTTGTTGGACTTATAGGCTCCGGCTTTTGATTCGGTTGTAGTTTACCATACCTCCCTTGGTTATCTAGTTTTTCTGGAGAAACAGAAACCTTTATTACTTTACCCTTAGTTGGAGAGCTATTTACTGGAGTTTCGAATTTATTATCAGTTGAAATCGTTACTTCAGCTAATTGGAAAGTCACTCCAGGCCTTTTCATTTCCATTAATATTGGGAACCCAGGGCGACAGAACCAAACGCTAATATTGTCATTGTTGGATATAGAATTCTTTGGTGCAGAAGTAATCCCAATGAAATTTTTGAAATCTTTTAGATAATAAATTATGCTTTTCATTGGATGTTTCTTCATTGTTTCTCTCTCTATGTCGTCATTAATTGTGGTGAATAAACAGTAATTATCCAATGAAGAAGTACTGATTGTGTTGCTCATGCTTATTGCATTTTTTAATAAATCCTTGTTTTGATCTTGGATAGATTTCGAATAAGCTGTTATTGTCAAACGGTTGATATTTATTTCCAATTTAATATTATCAGTAATTGCAGGATTACAATTTTCTAAAAAGTTTCTGAATAAAGTTTGATGGCAACAGAAGTAATTGATTTCATCATCCGAAGTTAATTTATTTTTATCATTAACGCCTGATACTAGATTGATATCAAATATAGAACGATCTAATTGACTTTCAATGTTTCTAAAGACTTCGAGTAATTTTGAATCCAATGGTCTTTCTGGGGTAGGTGCAGTACTATAAACATCTAAGAACTTTTTCTTGTAATTTAAATTAATCATCACAGGTTCATATTTAGTTGGTGATATCTGTGGTGTATATTCCTTTATCATTGCAGATTCCATCTCTATTTCGACCAGTAATCTATTTGTAAAAATTTCAGGGCATGTTGATGTATTATTGATCTTTAAAGTGAAACTCTTAATTACATCATTTCCAGAAACTTTAGAAATAATTGCCAAATGTTTGCCATTGACATTAAAACTATAAATCCTATGGTAGGTACCCTTAGCATCAGTAATCACTTGTAACCCTTCTTCACCAAATACAATTTCATTAGGTTTAAACTCGAAATCTTGGAAAAAATCCTTTTGAAATGTTACTTGACATAATGAAGTATCCGAATCATTCATTGCAGAGATTGTAACGTCATTAGATGTTATACTAAAACTAATTTGTTCCCTTATATTATACAGGGCATTAAGCGATTTAAACCATAAAATTTGATTCTGCGTACCAACAACAGTGGCTCGAAAAGACATTGCACAACAGACCCTATCTTCTTTCACTAGTTAAACGTCTTCTGGTAACATCTAAAACTCTTTAGTCTCATTTATTCAATGATATACTTCACCTCATCTCTTTTTATTTAACTGAATATCTTGAAAGTGTTAAGTTCGTGTCTGTTATTATTACGCGTAAAGTAAATATATACACACTATATAAAGAAAGATTAAGATATATTCTATACATAAATACATGACAGTTAATGATGATGGTTTGATCGATAACGTTTGGATATTGGCATTAATATGATCATATTTATTGAAGAAGTTATTATGAAGGTAGAACTTGCTTCAAGAAAATTGTGCCATGGATGATGATGATTACTATTATTATTATTATTATTATAGTAATAATTAAAAAAAAAAGGATGTTTAAGAAGAAGAGAATAGAAGGATGTAAATGATAATAATACAATAGATCAATTAACTTCTTCTTTTTGTTTATCAAGCATAGGTGTTTCCTCTTGTTTTGACTTCTTTTTAGATGAGGACTTCTTTTTCTTACTCTTTCTTATGACGACTACTTCTTCATCAGAGTAATTGCCATTGTCATTAATGCCAACATCAAAGTTTTGTTCTGCAAACTTCTTACGAAGTTCTTCTAAATCTTCATTTCCATTTTCAAATGCTCCTGAAGGAGTTTGAGGAGTTGATGGTTGTGAGAAATCAAAACTTTCTAAGCGAGACTTAGATTGCAGTGAAATTTTTCTTTCTGAATCAGAAGGACGACCAATTCTAGGTGACTTTATTGAATGTTTATCCATGGATGGAGTACCTGGGGATTCAAGTATTATTTCATCAGGAAGAACCTTTACTTTATTTTTCTTTTTCTTTCCTCTAGTCTTTTTCATTTCAAGACCAAATTTTGTTTGATCAAAAGTTCTGATATCTATGGAAACTTTATTTTGACGAGGTGATGTAATCTGTTCACCTAACAGATTATTTTTCAATTTTGGTGATAAACCACTTTCAGGTTCATCATTTAAATAATATGGATTTAATTTTTTGTCCTCGTCAATTTCTAGTTCCATTTTTTTTATTCCTTCATTTCTGCTTTCTTGTAAGCTTTCGGCTTCACCTCTATCAATTCCATTATCTTGATATGAATAGCCAATGTATTTGCCCTGATTAGACATTACTGAATCAGTAGAAATAATGGAGCAATTATCAGAAGTAACATTATACTGTTCTTCCTCTAGTAGTAACTTTAAATCTTCATCTTTCAAAAATGGAGTTTCCAAATCAATTTCAATGTTTTGTTGCAATGCTTCCTGGGTCCCCATAGCAATTGGTTTTAACTCATATCTATTATAGAAACTTGGAAGAACTTCTGTTAACAAAACTGGTAATTCATCTTGTTGATCTTCTAATGCCTCGGAACATAATCTTAAGAATTCCAATGCTTCAACAGAACGTTCTTGCAACTCAAAGTCATTTGAGAATGATAAGGGTTCCAAATAAGTCATTAGTCTATCCAATGTTTCTTTGACGGTTGTTATCTCTACATGACCACTGTTACTCCAATTTGAGAATATTTTCATGAATGCAGTAACTAAAATATGTTTAGTCTCTTGATCTGGGTGTTCCTTTTCCATTAGTAAAGTAATCAAGTCGTTTCCGTTATCGATGTAGTTAGAATATTCACCTACTATCCAATAACAGTACTTCAATACAGATGGAAGTTGAGAAGAAACGTCTTCGTTGGAGATTACGCTAATTACAGTGGATATTGTTGCTGATCTTAAATCTGGAATTCTAACCATAATGTCTCTAAATTGTAAACCAATTCTAATACCGAGAGTTTCATCTGCGATATCCTGACATAAAACTGCTAGATCTACCAAAACTGCATTATACCACTCAAAGTTACTTATATTATTATAATTGTCCATTGAACATATATCAATAATGGTATTTACAATTTTTATTTTGTATTCTTCAGGGAAATAGATAGGTGAAACGTTTAATTTGTCAATGAATGGAGTTTCCAATTCCATATTTTCTGAGGTTTCATTACCATCAACTAACTGTTCTACTAGAGAAGTAACTACATCTTTAATATTGTCGTCGTCAACAACTCCCTTCAATAGTTCAATTGCCTTTGATCTAATGGAAACATCAATATCGGATACTAGGCGAATTACTAGCTTGTCATATCTAGAGATAAAATCAGTATTGATCTTACCAATTTTATAAAACAAGCCGCAGCTAATGTATCTTAAATTAGGATCTTGTGATTCACAGAATGTAGATAAACGCTCTAAACATTGTAAAGCTGTATCATAATCATCATATTCCAACATATTACCCTTGATAATACAATTCATGGATTCGTACAAAACGGAAGTAGCAGAAGTTGAATCCATTAACTCCAAGATTTTTGGTAATAACTTTGGTCTTAATTTTTCTTCGAATTTTGATAAATTTGTAAATAGTTTTAATAACCTAATAATGATCCAATTATTATCGATAGTAATCAACAATTGATACAATAGGGGAGATAACGAAATGAAAGGTTCTGGATTTTTCTTTGACAATTCACAAATAACACTAACCACAGCAGATAAAACAGAAGTATCGTCATCTTCTAAAATAGCTGTTAATTTATCGAAATTATCCCTTAACGCTTCAGGATATTCTAAAAAGACTTTGAAAAGTGCAGTTACTGCCTTCTTTCTAATATAAGGTTTTGTACTTGTCAACATTGTAAATAAATCATCGCAAATATTAGCAGCTAAAGAAGGTGTAATAATAGTAGACAATCCACTCAATGCAATTCCAACTTTAACAGTATCATTTCCACCTGCATACTTTAAATCCTTCCTCATTAAATTCGTAGCTAACATTAATATATCAGAATCCTTATAGAAGGATTGAGAAGCAGCTAAATAACCTACTCGTTTCTGTTGAATCTTGGAACTACTCATAACCTCTAAAATATGAAAATTGGCCCATGACATATCAAAACCATACATCTCCAAATAAGTCATCTTTAAGATTGCATTGGTCTTCATGTTCAAATCCAAAGAATTTACCTCATCTCTACATTCGCTCAAAACTTGTTGAAGAAACTTATCCAAATTCTCAGGGCTATCATTATGAGATCTAATGCCTCTAATCAAGTCCTTCAAAGACTTTTCAAAAAAGATACCAAAGGGTCTCAACCTCTGTTTAACATCTTCAGCAGCTTGGCTATACGGTACCATTTTCAACTATAAATTGAGGGAATCAAGCCAAAAAAATAAACCACACAAACACACTACAAGTAAAGCTTGATCACCAGAAAACAAACCACACTCCAAATGTATACCTTCCTATTGAACTCCTCTATACTTTCACCTCTTCTAATTCAAAATACATCTCTCTTATATGGTGAAATATTTTTTGATTCGATATTTATATAAAGGAAAGGTTCTTCAATTTTAAAGGCTATAAAGGTTTAAAAAGCAGTAATTAAGAGTAGGAAGACAGTTGGACAATTTATACAAGAATATCAAGGCATACCATCATTGGGAGGTGATTCTATTTAGTGTATTTAGTGATCTGTTTGGTTTATAATGTCTAGTGACGGTGAAGAAGGTTCTTTTGAAGGAAGTCAATTGGTTTCTCAATCACCGAGTATCAATTCTCAGACTTATGCAATACCAATACCTGAAGGGATGTTAGATCAATTGGATATTAGTAGTAGTAGCAGTAGTGCTGGTGGTAGGGATGACGAAGATGAAGAAGATGATGATGCTGATGTTGATGTTGGCGTTGGTTCAGAGTGTTTGGTGGGCGTTACAGGTCAAGATAGATTAATAATTGGAAGTGGAGATGATTCCGACAATGGCGATGGCGATGAGGTACATGATAATGCTCACGCCACAAGTGATGTTTCCTCTACAGCTGAACTCAATCATGTTTGTAGTGAAGAGACTGAGGATATGGATAACGTTGATGAAGGGTTACTTGATGATATAATGAATAACACTGGAGGCGGAGGGTTTGTCAATGGATTTGAATTCCATGAAAGTGAGCCAATGTTTGATGTCTCGAAATATGTATTTGAGACTTTGATACAAGCTATTAACTCTGCTGATTTCTCAGAATCATTAGCTTTCCAAACAAAGACTTCTGCTGTGATCAATGCAAAAAGTTTGGAATTGAAGCAATTGATAAATATGTCCAAAGATAGACTGGTAGATCTGCAAGATAAATTTGAAAAAGGTGTACAAACCTCTAATAGAATCAAACGGAATTTAAAGATGTCAAGAGAGAAAATTCAATTCTTGAATGACGAATTCAGAACAAACTATCCTATTGAATTCAATCAAGCTAGAGATAAAATTATCGAAAGAACCATTGATTCTTAATAAAGAATAACCATTCATCACAAATACAGTTGGACAACCCATTTTTTATAGATGAAAAGAAGGTCGGTAGTTGATCACTGCAATGGTAACAACAATATCTATCAAGATGGTCCCTTTCTCAAATACCTTTTCAACTAAAATTGGGCTGTTCAATTGCATTCTCTCAAGTACTCAATTACCATCAACGAATTATCCATTGTTCAATATCACAGTCGTTAACGTCACTTTGAATGGTTGAATAAGAGTGTGTGAGTATGTGTGTGTCCTGTGTGTGTGTTAGGTTAACCAGATTTTATTTTTTTTTTTTCCTCTGTGCAGTGTAGAGGCATCCAGTAGTAATAATTCTGCTTACTGAGCTTAAACCGTCAGGGTGAAAAATTTTGTTAACGATTAATTTGATAAAAAATAAAACTGAACTAGTTATTGTTGTTTAAATCAGATAACAAGTTGTTATAGTTCTCTATATCTAATTGAATCAGGTTATACTGTTGAGATTGTACCAGATTGATAAGTTTGTGAACAAATTGTTACTCGTTGGGTTTCATTTGAATATTTCTTATAGGTTTTTGGTATAGGAAGAAGATATTTATAAAGGTGGGAAACAAAGCAAAAATATATACTGATAATTATATAATTGGGAAAAATGTCTTTACGTTTGTTGACTAAGAGAAGTGTTTTTAATCAAGTTAAGGTATCTAGTGGGTTTGTTGCTCGTAGAGCTGTTGTTCCATTGGTTTCATGTCGTTTGAACTCTACCGTTGCTGAACCAGCTGCTACTGGTGCTGCAGCTACTCCAGTTGATCCAAAGATTTCTAAGATTGTGGAAGAAATCTCTAAATTGACTTTATTAGAGACCTCTAGTTTGATCAAGGAGTTGAAGACACAATTGGACATTCCAGATATTGCCATGCCAGTTGCAGGTGTTGCAGCTGCTCCAGCTGGAGGTGCTGCTGCTGAAGAAGCTGCTGCTGAAGAAGAAAAGCCTCAAGAAAAGAGTGTATTTGGTATTAAATTAGAATCCTTCGACGCTAAATCTAAGCCAAAGATCATTAAGGAAATCAAGAACTTGTTAGGTTTGTCCTTGGTGGAAGCAAAGAAATTTGTTGAAGCAGCTCCAAAATTATTAAAGGAAAACGTTGCCAAAGATGAAGCTGAAAAGATTAAAACTACCTTAGAAGGTCTAGGTGGTAAGGTTACTTTGGAATAATAAGTACAAATTATACGTGTGTTTGTATGTGTATGTGTGATTGTTTTGATTTGTGTTTTTTATTTACTTTCCCACTGATTTCAAATTTCTGCCTGCCTCAAATTTGAAATATTAATAAAGTAAAAATGGCATCGATATATTGCAACATCATCCAATTCACTGTTTTGTTTTACTTATTCTTCTTTGTATATTCAATAAGCTAATGGTGTTAAAACGAATGTTGCATTCAAGGTTAACATTTTAAGATTGTTAAATTAACCCCTGTATATATTAATATCAACGTTCGACTATGAGTGATAATGTACATAAATATATATATATAAATAGATTTATATTAAATACAATAAAAAAATTAACAATTAGAACAATTGATCATTAAATGTGTTATAATGAATATATAAAAATGCGATGAATTCATGAATTATATAAGTGAAGTAGTCATAGCCAGATATTATCACCAAGATTATTGTTGTTGTTGTTGTTGTTTGCAGGTTGAATATTTTGAAGTTCATTTGGAACATCTTTACCTGTAGTATACATATTATGAGCAACGGCAGCGGTAACGGCAGTAGTGGGACTAGGGATAATTGGCAATTGCTGTTGTAAATTATGAGAATAACGATCATTTGTAGTTGATTCTTTTCTCAAGTTTTCCATACTTTTATCAATAGCAGCTAAAAGTTCAGAAGGCAGTGATGAGGCTGCATTGTTATTTGAAATTGATTGTAATTTAATTTCCTCTACCGTTGGGAAATGAGAATCGTTATTATTGCAATAATGGAAATGATTAGCGAATTTTCTCATTGTCAATAACTTGATCTTATTGAAAGATTCTGGGTTTTTCTTATCATCTTGGTGATTACTGTTATTATTGCTATCACTACTATTACTATTTTCTAATAGATCTTTCTGCTTTTCAACCATTGCCTTAGTGTAACGTAGCATGGTCCAATCGAATAGATGGTCATTGTGGTAGTCTAGCCTAATGGAGAGGTCTTTGAACAACTTTGCAACATATAGATAATCCGGTCTTTCATCGAACTTTAGGTTTTTGCAATACAAGATAAATTCTGAAAATTCTTTAGGTAACCCAGCACATAAAGAATCTACAGTGATGCATAATTTTTTCTCTAAGATTCTATCATATTTTTGTTTCTTAGTGGTAGCTTTCAAACCTTGCCATGGTAATGATCCTTTACAGAAATAAATGAGGACATAACCTAGGGACTCCAAGTCGTCTCTTCTACTCTGTTCTATCCCCAAATGAGTATTGACACTGGCGTAACGAGCAGTACCGGTCAATGACTTATTTTCTCGATATGGAATATGACGGTGAGTGTTGAAATCTCTGTACTTCTTGGATAAACCCAAGTCAATCACATGAACCGTAGAACCTCGACGTCCCACTCCCATCAAGAAATTATCAGGCTTCACATCTCGATGGATAAAAGACCTGCCATGGATATACTGGATCCGGCAGATCATCTGCAATGCCAGCATAATAACCGTCTTGAAAGAAAACTTCCGATGACAGTAATTAAACAAATCTTCCAAAGAAGGACCCAACAGATCCATCACCATGGCATTGTACTCACCTTCCCTTCCAAACCATCGAACAAAGGGAATTCCAACTCCACCACTCAAATACTTATAAACCCTAGACTCGTAGTCCAATTGAGGATGTCTAGAACGTATACTCTCTAATTTAATAGCAACCTCTTCACCACTAATTAGATTGGTACCATGGTAAATATCACCAAAAGAACCACTACCAATTTTCCTACCAATTCGAAACTTCCGACCAACTCTTAAATCCATCTTGGCTCATATATATCCAATATCAACACACATTACAATTTACAATTCAATAATACCTTACCAATCATACCTGGATATGAAACCCCCACATTCAACTGTGTCTTGTAGACAACTTCTAATTCCATCCATTGCTTGATCCCTTTTATATTAAAAGCATTTTGTGATATTCATCACTGACGACTGAAAGATACAACACTTAATAAGAACCCAATCAATACCATAATGGTTAATGGAATACTTTAGATTAGTCTCTAAGAGATACAAAAATGTTTAACAGATATGTTTTTAATCGTTTGCAGTTGTTGAAGGTCTGTTCTGATGGATCAGTTGCTGAGACATTGGGTTCTTTTAGTTAGCGATGAGGCTTACTAATGTGGGAATGGCTAAGATGAGATAAGATGAGATGAGATGAGATGAGATGAGGATAAGGATGAGGATACAAGAACCAAATAGATGTTTTATAAAACATGGTTGTCTTGGTTTGGATCACCATTTGGTCATTAGTAAGCAAGTGACATCATCTAGTTGATACTAAAGAAACGAACATTTTCTGGAAAAATGAGAGAGAGAGAGGAACTGAGAAGTGGAAAAAAAGTTTCAAAGCATCTTGACAACTCGATGACAGTAACAGGTACACATTTCGAAAGCTTATATATAATGTCATCGAGGTTTGAAAATGTTGGTTATTTGATGTTTGTGAGAGGTTAGAAAGGTGAAGCTGTCGAGAGGGGGACAGAATAATCTAGTTCGTTGGAATATATCATGTTTTTTGGTGAAGCTGCTTTGAATAGGGTTTCCTTTCTGAGAAGTAACAGAGACTTTATCAAAATTGCTTTGTCTCATGAATCTACTACTTTTATACCTTTCATTAATGGGGAAGGTTTGTTGGATGCTGCCAACCATGATCTGTACATGTGCAGCTTGAAGCAGGATGCAGAGATAGGTTCCATCGTGGAGAAAGTGGCTGAAGCTATCGACACGCCGATGGGGAGATGTGAGATTACTGGTGTGAATCTGACGTTTTTGGGTTTGGATGAGTCCAATGTAACTAATTCAGCCAGCCCAATGCCATCATCATCCGCTGCTGCTGCTTCTGCTTCCTCCTCTGGATGTGGGAGTAATTGTGTCGAATTCTGCAAGGGCAAATATAGAGGTGCTCCTTACTTTGCTATCGACCTGCGTTCTGCTAGCAGCAACAGCAAGACAGTGGTTCAGCCTTCTGATTATATAAATCTATCAAAGAGATTCAAACCAATCTCTTTGCTAGAGATGATTACTTTGAACAACAAGTCGGCGTCTCTGTACTCCCAAGCAAAGATGTACCTGGATTGGTCTTCAAAATTTAAATTTTGCCCAGGTTGTGGTAGCCCAATGTATGCAATTGAAGCAGGTACCAAAATGGCTTGCAGCAATAAGGATAAATCAATAGTTTGTAACGTTAGAGACTCAAGATTAAACAACGTCTGTTTCCCACGAACTGACCCGTCAGTCATCATAGCCATTGCAAACAGCGACTATTCAAAGACTTGTTTAGTTAGAACTAAAAGACATATGAAAGATCGCAATAACAATCCAATCAAAATGTACTCTACAATTGCAGGCTTTTTGGAACCTTCTGAAACGGTGGAAACTGCCTGTTCAAGAGAAATATGGGAAGAATCAGGGATCAAGTGCCCTCAAGAAAACATTAAAATAATCAATACTCAACCTTGGCCATACCCTGCTTCAATGATGATAGGTTGTGTCGGTATTGTTGATTTCAATGGATCTAATGAAAATATCGATTTGGATAACGATAAAGAATTGTTAGATGCAAAATGGTTCAATACAAAAGATTTGATACACGCTATAGATAGTTCTCACCAATGCAAAGGGTTTTTCGTTGATTTCATAGATGATATCAAAATACCAAATGACTCGACAATCGCTTTCCAATTAATGAATCATATTTGCAACAAGTATAAAGCAATTAATTCAAATTCAAATTCAACTGCACTTCTGTAATACAATGTTTCATTTCACAAAGAATATCATCCTGAGTTAAACTTGAATATCTAATTCCATTAATTAAATCTATATAAATTGTCCTCTGTGACCACCTTTTTATCATTACAATACATCATCATCATCATCATCATCATCATCATCATCATCATCATCGTCATTCATACAGCTATATATTGCTTGGCAACTTATTCGGAATTTATAAAAGGGGCCTTTAATATAAAAAGCAAGCTAACACAACTCACATTTATACAACTTAAAGATTGATTTAAAAGTGAACACAGCTAATCGAACTTATCATCCATTGGTTCAGTTGGGTATAGTTTAATCTGTTTTGTTTTATTCTGTTTTGTTTAGGTGAGTCTTCCATATACATTCAATATTAGAGTTATTCGACATTAAAGTGAATATGTTGAAGATAGTTGGGCATAGAGCTTACAAGGGAAAATATCCAGAGAATACCATTGAAGCTTATGAAAATGCATTTGCTAGTGGCGTTGATATAATTGAAACTGATCTTCAGATGACTAAAGATGGTGTTGTAGTGGTTAATCATGATTCCGATACAGGGCGTATGTGGGATAAGGAATTGATAATATCTGAATCAACTTATGAGGAGTTACAAGAATTAAGATGCAAGGAAAATCCGGATTTGAAGATGTTAACTCTGGATCAAGTATTAGAATGGGCTGTTGCTCATCCTAGTGCTAAGATGATGTTGGATATTAAATTTACCAATAAAAAAATAATTCTAATGAAATGTTATTCTGCAATGATGGCAATTAAAAATGATAGAAAATATTGGCAGAATAGAATAATCTGGGGGGTTTGGCTTTTAGATTGGTTTAAATATGGTGTTGAAACTGGCGTATTTCAAGATTTTAAAGTAATAGTCATTACGCTGTCATTGGACATAGCCAAGGATTTCATCGAATATTCTCTTCAATTGAATAACGCTCATTATAGATTATATGGCATAAGTATTCATTTCGTTGCCTCTTGGACCTATGAATACACGACAAATATTGTACCTATGATGAAGAGGCAGAATGTTAAAGTGTTCCTATGGACAGTAAATAAAGCCGTCGATATTAAATACGCTTGCCAACTACCAAGTGTATATGCTATCATCACCGATGACCCAGTAGAGGCCCGCCATCTATCAGCAGAATATGTACGCCATCATGAGGACATAAAGAAATTTGAAATCCCATCATTGATCTCAGCAAACGGTATTAGGTTCCACTCTTTTGTTAAAGTTTACAACATTGTCGCTAAGATTCTTTTCGCTAAATGGCTACATTTTAAAGTGTTTGGCTGGTCCATTGCATACGTTATATTTCTATTCTTAAGATCAATTAAATTCCTAGGATAAGTGCAACCACCACATTCTTTCACGACTCATCGTTTTCTTTTCACCTCTATTCTTTTTTTTTACTTCTACCTTATTTTGTTTTGTTTTGTTTTGTTTGTTTAACATTAAAAATAGACACTTCTCAAATGGACTCTTACAGTTAATGACATTTTTTACTTCTTTAATTATATGATAACCTTTCTTTTAAGTATGAACCAAATATATCTTGTTTTTATTAGTATTTTTTGTTTATTATGCCACTTTCACTTTATAGGACAGCATTCACTACATATACGCAACCTACTAGACTAGATTACCAATGATGCTGTACTTCTAAAATTAGACTTGAATTAGTTTTACTGTAATGTATCTATGCATGTATGTCATCATGGTTCTTGTTTGATATGTTTGTAGTTTAATAGAATATAGTCACGTGATATATTCTTAAAATATCAAATTCATCAAAATTTGTTACTTTTGATTAAAAATGAAGGAATGAAGTAGTATAAATCAGAAGGGTTCAAGACGAAACAAGAAGGTAAACAAAGGTCAAACAGGTTCATTCACTGGGTATCTGTGGTTCAGTTGGTGGGTTATTTTAATTAATTTTAATCCTCAAGTTTTTGAAGCTACGCAACTCGATTTTAATTGATTAATTTTTGTTAATTTCATCTAGAAAGCAAAAATAAAAATAAATAATATATACATATATTTCAACAATATTATAGTGGTGGTTTTGATCTATTTGAAAGTAAGTTTCTGTTTTGATTAGATTTTATTGAGAATTTTAAGGAGTAGTTTGGTACTTGGTTGTGTTTTAAGAATTTAGGATCGGTGGTGTCTCCCAATTGAATATATTTTTTTTGGTTTAGTTTTTGGTCTGGTAATAATAGTAACAGTAGTAGAAGTAATAATAACGAGATATATTAAAAATATATAGAATATATCAAAAATAATTTTAAGAGAAAGAAAAAAAACGTAATGGCTGATATTTATACTGAAATTAAAGGGATTAAACAGACCATTAAGGATAAGTTTAGCAATATTACAGAGACTATTGAAAATAGTGGAACAACAAACGGTAAAAATAAAGGTTGGAAACAACTTTTATCAAGTGCAAAGGGTAGTCCATTTCAATATAGTCATATTAATTTGGATCATAAAAATAAATATTTTAACGCGAATACTCATTTATTGGAGAATACAGTGGAATCTAATAGTTCTTCCAATTACAGAATTTGTAACAGTTGTGGAAGACCAATTAGCTTAGAGACAATTGTTGATCATTTAAATAATCATTGTAATTCAAACTCAACTGAAAAGGATAGAATGAATTCTTCAGATAATATTGATATAGGGGACACTTCAAATGTCGAAGATAATTCTATCATACTGGAAAATACAGATGATAATAAACGTTCAATGTCAGAATTGGCAATGTCAACACCAGAACAGCCCTCAACTCCTAGTAAGAGACAAAAAACTAGTCAAGGCCAGAATGGAACAAGGAAACAAAGAAAAGTCAAACAGAGGAATCCTACTGAAAAGCACTTAATCGATTTTGATAAACAATGTGGTGTTGAATTACCAGAAGGTGGATATTGTGCACGCTCGTTAACCTGTAAGTCCCACTCAATGGGGGCTAAAAGAAGTGTATTAGGTAGGAATCAGCCTTTTGACGTTTTATTAGCTGATTATCATAGGGAACACCAAACCAAAATTGGTGCGGCTGCTGAAAAAAGAGCTAAACAACAAGAAATACAGAAACAACAGAAACAAACTCAAAAGGAACAGAAAAAACAGGCCCAGGCTAAAGCAAGATCTAAGAATTCGGGTTCTTCAAGGAAGTTTGCTGCTAAGCAAGACCTTGTTGCTGATGACCCTAACACTAATGTTATAATGCTTACTCCAGAAGAAGAGACTACTCAGGTATTAAATGGTGTATCAAGATCGTATCCATTACCTCTTGATTCTACTATATTGTACTCAGTTAGACGCAGAACAAAATATTTTAGAATGAGAGAAATGTTTGCGTCATCATTTACAGTAAAAGCCGGGTATTCTTCACCTGGTTATGGTTCTATTCATTCTCGTGTAGGTTGTATTGATATAGACAAGTCGACAGAATATAAATTTAGAGTAAGGACACCACAGGCCACTAATCAGCTACAGCAACAACAAAGTTCACAAAACTCACAAAATCAAGCACAACAACTTCAAAAAGCACAACAACAAAGGTTGTTACAGGCACAAATCATGCAACAACAAAAACAACAACAACAACAGTTACAAATGCAGAGACAAAACCAAGGTCAGAACCAAAATATAAACCAGGGCCAAAATCAAATATCGAATAATGCTGTGCCAACCAGTAATATACCTCAATCAATAAAGCAGACGCCAGAAAATTCCAAAGATAGTGATTTAACACCTCAGGAGATTCAATTTCAACAACAAAAATTACGACAGCAACAGATTCAACAAAACAAATACGAAGCAGCTGCTTACCATATGGCAAATAACACTAAACTAAGTCCTGGCTCACCTTCTTCGATGGGACAAGTTGGAAGTCCAGTTGGTGGTGGAAGGGTTAACGTAGGAATAGGAAGTTCTGTTAATGGTACTGGTGCTCGAGTAAACTGAATATGGTTTGATATTTTCTTCCAAAGAGTTGCATCATTAACTATTGGATGTAAATTGTAATGACATGTATGTATTATATTTATTGGGATATAATTATGTGAATAACAGTTATATAAAGGTTCAATTACATTAATTATTTAAGAATACAAAAGTTTATGAAAAATATAGAAATGCTGACATGGCAAGCCAGTATAATGACCAAGTTTTACTTTTAAACACTACACCAACTAACAACGATAAAAATAAAAATGGAATTATATTGTTAGGAAGTATCTTAGAAATTGTACTTTGAAGTAAAATATTAAACGTCACTGTTAATGCTATTTCCCAAGGATATCTCAAATTATCCTTCCATATCATTTTGTCAATATTGTTCTCGATATTTGCTGTCATTGCATCACGCGAAAATAGTTTTGCAACTCTTTTAGGACCACTCTTCTTGAAATTTACTTTATCGTATGTACCTGATTTATCTTTTCTGATTTGGGCATATTCATTAATTGCAGAAGCCCAATCTTGAGGATTAGGTTCTTTCAGCCAACCTGTAGTTTCAGTGGCATTAATATTTATGTCAAGGGACTCGACGGTCTCTAGGGGACCGCCGCAGTTTACAGCTAGGACAGGTTTCCCATTTATCATTGCTTCCAATGGTACAATACCAAAATGCTCGAATGAAGGCGTGTACAATAGCATTTCTGTTTTCTCTAATAATAATTCTTTTAAAGATGATGAAATCGACGTCAAGAAGATAACTTTTGCATTTGAAGAATCAAAGGAATTCAAATAATCTTGATCAACTAATTTTTGATAAAATCCTACTACGAAGTCCATACCAAGTTCTTTGGTTTCCTTTTTCAATTCCTCTAAGTATTCGACATTTTCAGTGACTCTTTCATCATATCCACCACATATAACCAATCTGCAATTTTTTGAGTATCTTTCTACAGATTGCCCAAATGATTTAATTGCCAGACTTATGTCTTTTTTCCTTTCATAACGGTTAATACTTAAATAAAAGATATCATCTTCCTTCAAAAGTTTCTTAAATATACTTTTGTCTACATCTTGAATAACAACATTCGCTGAGGTATCAACACATGGATAAACAACATCAGGTACATTAGATATGTATTTAAATGTCTTTTCATAAATAGATTTAGTAAAATTAGAATTAACCACTATGCTATCAGCAACACTGATTGTGTATTGTTCGAGTATATCAAATGGGATTCTATAAATTTTCTTTAGTAAAGATGTCCTAGAGGCTAACAACATATCTGGGAAATGGCAGTAAAATAATATCTTACCACTGCTAAATAAATGTATCAATGGAACACAGGTTGATAATTGGTCTACAAAGAATACATCATATTCATTGATTTTTCCACTAAGTATCATTCTAAATATCAGAAACAATTGCCTTAAATTAGAGCAAATAATGTAAAACTTTCCACCAATAGTAGTTGGAAGAGAATCACCATGAACTTCAACATTAAGCTTACCTGACTTGACCTCTTCAAAACAATGGGACATATCGCAATGACTAGTGAAAATATCAATCTTATGGCCTTTCTCTTGTAAGCCCATAGCAGCATCAACAACCAAACGCTCAGCACCACCAATCCCTAAATCAGGATGGATAAAGGCCACCTTCAACTTCTTTGTATCACTTTCTGACATGTTTAAATGTATTTACTCAAATATTTCAATCAATAACTATTTATCAATATCCACTAACTGTATCTTAGTCTGTAAGTTGCTCTTTCAAAAGTAACAAACAGATATATATATAAAAGAACGACTTTGGAATCAAATTCACAATAAAATTGACAATCTTGAATGCAAAATACCTCTTCAATTGCCCTCTTATACCCCTTTTTAACTTCATGATAAAAGTTCTTATTTGCTAAATTCGTGATATTTTTCATTTTATACTGCGATGAGGAAGATTAAGCTATGTGTGATATTAGGAGAAAGTGCTATATAACAAAGGTCACGATGTTAGATTTAATTATAAATTGTTTCGATTGACTATTTAGAAATATGTGTATTATTTGCATGGAATATTATAACTTTTATTAACTAAAGTGTAAACTCAATTATATAATTTGTCGGGCAGTTGTGGAGGAATTCTAAAGGAATTTGGCATATACACTATTAATGATGACAGAATCCTTCTCAAAAATATAATGACAATTAAAATGGATAAATAACGAAGGTATTGATTGGGTATGTTTGATTAGTTTGCAACGGCTATTGGTTCAGTTGTTTTTACAATTTCTGCCTCGATTTCTTTATGTTTGTTCTTATTTTTACCCTTTCTATATACTCTTGTATTCCCTGGAGCAAACCCACCATTACCAAATAGTGCCCATTCTGGAGTCTTAGCCATATAGTCCAAGTGTGTAAATTGTTCTCCTGAATTTAATAATTCAAAGAATTTGTCAAAATCGATATGGGTGTACCATTCATCTTCGATTTTGAATTTATTTGATGCTATTAAAATACAATTAGAATGGGCATGTTCTGCGGCAATACCATAACCTAACCCTCTTCTATTTAATTCTTCAGTAAATGCTTTTACGAATGAAATACATTCTTCATAAAATGGTATGTTTTGCATAGTTAAAGGATTACCATTTCCTGCAGAAGAACCAGCAAATGTGGCACCCTTAACTTCAATAAAACAAGGTAACCCTCTTTGGACCAAATCGGCATATGAACTAATATCACCCATGTTAAAACCTTTTACCAAGGTTAATCTAAACACAGTTCTTTGGTGAGATTGAGATGTTTTCAAAATGTCCAAACATTCAACCATTCTTTCCCAAAAATCTTTGTATAGTGGCCTATCGACCTTTTTCAATTCAGATTTTGTTGATGCATCAATAGATACATACAATTGTGTAACTTTGCCCATGTTTCTTAGTGCATCAGGATGTTGAGCATTACAAACCAAGAAACTTGATATTTCCTTTTCGTGTAATAGTTCAACATATTTATTGATATATGGATACATTATTGGTTCACCAACTAATGACAAAGCACAATGGCGAACTTTGAAAGCTTTGGCAAATCTCTCGGCAATAACACCTGGAACACCTCTCATTTGCTTAATTTTAGAATAGTGTCCCTGTAATGCATTTTCTAAAATATATTCTGGATCATCGGTTTCCCAACGCCAATTTTTAGAAACTGGATTTGTACCGTGTCTCCAGCAGAATACACATTTGGAAGAACATGCCAAAGATGGAGTCATCTCCATACATCTACTTGACACAATATTAAATAAGGATTGTTTATAACACGAACCTGTACCTCTTAAATCACTTTTCGTCCATCTACAGATCTTTACACCAGAGTGAGAACCAACAATAGTGTAACCTTGTTTAGTCAACTGTTTATAGGTTGGACTATTCTTAGCAACCATTTTTTTGATCTCTGTTGAATTGCCATCGATTTTACCGATGTCTTCTAAATCCACCAAATCTTCAGTTGCGTCTATATCTTCTAGTCCAGCTTCCTCTTCGTCGTCGTCGACAGTTTCATCATATTCATATAAAATAGGTTCATCATCCTTTAAAGTATCAGCAAGTAAATTAGCCCATGCTTCGACTTTGGAATCACCATCAAGTTTCATACAAACTTCACCTACTGGAAAAACTCTTCTACCACCTAAACGAGCAATCCAATGATCTGTCTTTTTAGCTTGGTAACAGAACTTTTCAGGCCAGGATTCTGAATCACCAAGACCTAATACGGTATACCCAACCAACTTTCTTAAAGGGTATTTGTCAATTCTGAAATCATTAAAGTTTTCTTCTAGAGTTTGCAAAAAGTAATCCAAAGGACAGTCAGTGTCGTACGAAGGTAAGATGAAGACATACAATGAATTCTCATCCGGTACTTCAACAAAATAATCATCCAAGTCATCTAATTCATCAATACATAATAATTTTGGTTCTTTTGACAATTCACTCATTCCGGACAATGTTTTGTGTACTATCTTGGCATTTCTTTCAGCCGCACCTTGTAGAGAGCTATAAAACACATAAATTTGGGAATTTAGTAATTTTTCATTAGATATGGTCATTGCACTTTTGATCAAATCATCATTCTTTTCATCATCTTTGGATTTTGTGAACCTTTTTAACTCTTTAGCAGGACCTTTTTTCTTCTTACCTTTAGATTTTGGTTTAAAAGATTGCGTGAAATCGACTGCAACAGGGAAAGATGTAGATTGTTCCTTCTTCTCAAATTCTTCTTGTTCTGCTAAAGCTTTTTCAATTTCATCAGCAATATCCTCTAACTTCTTTGACTTACAGGCACCTCCACAACAAGAGGATTTCATCCCACCAGAACCAGCACCAGATTTAGTAGAACAACATCCTCCATTCTTACCGCCACAACACTTCTTTTTTGGTTTAGATTCACTTTGTAAAGAATCAACGGCTGTAGTAACTACTGTTTCCCTTTTGCCCCCAAGATAATTACCATGATCCCTATCATAAACAACAGAATAAACAATGACAATAGAAAATGCAATACTGAATCTACCTCCAAAGTATAAATATAGTGAAACTAGTAAACCAACTAGAGTACTAGTTATTTTATTCAATTCCATTATTGAAATCTAACTGTGAGATATGAGAAAGTTCTTAATTTCTAACTAATTTTCTTAAAAATACAACAGGAACAACAAAATTTTAATTAGAGTCAACTTTTAAACAACTAGACTGTTAATATTGAACTTATAGTTATCAAAATCTATCTCTAATACTCAATTATTTGTGTTGTTAGACGCTTAAATCATTCATTGCTTATATATCATTAGAAGGTCATCGATAAATTTTTCAATGTTCAATTTTGAAGTCAGCTTATCACGTGATCTGAAGAGTTTATAAATAGATAAGACGTAACGAAGGCAGAGACAGTAATAAGACCACAACGAATGGACTATTGAATCTTCTATACTTGTATTATATAAGTTTCTAATTAATTATTGTTTACTATCATTGTTTCATCTGATGAAATTCTGGTAAAAGAATGAGATTCAACGAAATTCATGGCAATGTTTACATTTTCCAATTTTACATTTGGTGTATTTGACAAAATAATTGAAAAGAAATCTCTGGCATCCTCTGTTATTGGTAAACATTGTTCAATTTTTAATATCTCATCAATCCATTTGTGCTTCTCTATAAATGAGTTGTTCTGTAATTTGGAAATAATCCAAAGAACAAAAAAGTCAAATGAACTTTCAATGACAACTTCCTCTTGATTTTTGCCAGGAAATAGATTAGCAATTTCATCATCTATGAATTTATTGTCACTTTTCATTACCTTTTTCATCGTCAATAACTTATTTTTACTTTCTGAGATCCATGATTTTTCTATATGTTTTAATTCAGATATTGAACTCTTAAGAATCTCTAATTGACTAGTTTTATAGATTTCACTACAATACTGTCTATATGTCTTGATCGCGTATTTGGAATGTGATGGTTCTATATCTTTCATATTTATCACTTTGTGTTCTAATGCGTTTCTTAGATTCTGTAAACCTTCCAATTGTGGTCTGAGATCTTGCCATGTTTCTCCCTTATGAATTGATAAATATGAAAATAGATTAAGAAGGGGATTTAAACTTGCATCTGTATGTTTATTAATAAAGAAGAGAACACCATCTTTGTATTCCGATAAATCATTTGCAATTTCTTTATTATTGCTTTCATTGCCATTGGAATAATCAAATGCAAACCAAGTATAATTCGATATGGTTGGAAGCTGTAACATTGGTTCTTCTTTTAGTATCTTTGTAATCAAAGTATCCTGTAATTTTATTTTCAATGCAACTGAATCATAGATGTTATTTTCTATTACAAAACCATATCCTGACAATAACTCTTCGTTACCCTTTCTGCCGTAGTTATTTGTTAATTCTGTATTTGCTGGGATTGTGTTCATATTTTTATATTGAAAGTCGCCATTATCTGAAGACCATTCAACAACTGAATCATAATCATGGTTTAGCAAATCTAAAACAGGAAGTAAAATAACAGAGTTTTGTTTGCATGTTTTATTGACAATATATTCTGGAAAGGCTCTCGAGGTAAAGATTAAATGAGACCAAAGAAACGCTGGGAATGAATACCAAAGGATATCAGAAGACGTTTCAATTGGCAGTATCAATTTTTCATATATTTCTTCATAATCTAATTCCTCGATTGTTTCATGATAGCTTAATTGAGACAATATCTTTGTTTTATCAATACCTTCAACTTTCTGAATAGTATCAAACCATTCTTTAAAAACGATATTTAACTTTTCTCTTATTGAGTTACCAATATTTGTGGAATCTAGTAATTTGAACTCAGTAGGATTCCACACTAGCGGTGAATCGACGACAGATGGCAATGCCTTGATATAAGGTTCAAACTTTTCTGAAATTTTCTTAATTGCCTCATCGTCATCACCAGCATATCTCATCCTAGCAACCAAAACCTTCAAGAATGAATTCGAATCATTCTCATTATAATTTGGAAAAACCTCATCCAAATATCTTTTTGAAATAATCAGATTGGATGGCACATTGACAATAGGGTTACTTATTTCCTTTGTTGTCATACAACAAAAGCCCTTATTCTTGACATGGATAAATTCAACACCATCTGGTAATTGAATTCCATTCTGTTTCCCCCATTCTATCAGAGAATGTAACTTAGTGTCCTCCATAGTCTTTACCTCTTTGGTTTCTATCGATTTAAATATCTAAACTCATCTATCTCATCGATGATAATTTTTCAATTTGATTCATTTTTATATAGCGCCTTAACGTTAACTATGTAAAAGAGATGAGGTTAGATATCAGAGAGGTGTCAGCAATCGTGAAAGTGGGAATAAGACTTGAAGTATAGGTCTTTAAGAAGATAAGAGGTTTATCAAAACTATTTGATTTAATATTTGAATTTAGTTTTAAGGTTCGTTGGTGTTTCTGTAAACTTTTCGAGTCAACGTGTTGATAATAGAATAAAAGAAGGTCCTTGGAATAGATAAATGACAAGCAAATATATGGACAATTAGAAAATTGTTGATAAATTGTTGGGTGTGGAAATGTGTACCAGAAGAGTACCTTGGCTGTCATCATTAGATTGCTTTAAATTTTAGTTTCCATTCTTCTTCATCTCAATAAAAAATTATCCTATAGCATTTATCTCGAATGCCCTTACTGGAAACCAAATCGTTAAATTTTTTTTTGATTTAATTGAATTATCTTTAAAAGATGGTGACTATATACTATTTACAAATTCTATCAATCATTTTTTTTACATATTTATATTCGTAATTGAACGCTAAACTTATTTTAATGTCATATTCTTTTTTATAACCTTTGGTAATGCCTTGGCCCAGGATTTTGTCTTTTTATCCGTGATCATGAAGACTCTACCACGTTGTTGCATTCTTGCTGTTCTACCTACCCTATGAATCAAATCAATAGAAGTTTGAGGTACGTCATACAGTACCAGGTTACGGACACCTTGGAAATTTAATCCTCTTGCCATTAAATCTGTTGATACTAGTACCTTCAATGAACTCTCACTGTTACTATTTTTAACAGAAGTTTTTGAAGAAAAATCCCCAATTGTTATATTGGAACCTTCAACTTCTACACTATCTTCGTTTTCAATTTTAGGAGTTTCCTTTTTCATTGTTATTGGCTTTGGTGGAGTAATAAAATCATGAATTTTTTCTAACCTTTCTTCAACTGAATCATTACTTGTTAATCCAATACAGTCATGCCCATAAGTGACTTTTAGTTTTTCTACTATATATGGCACATCCTTCTTCTCATTGGTGAAAACGATACAACGTTTTTCAAATCCTGGCTCTGAGCTGTCATTAGCAATAGCATACAATGTTTGGGCAAGCGCTTTTATTTTAGAACCTTTAAATGGATTGATCGAAGAGTCAATAATCTTGAAGTCTACCGATTTAGGCAGTTTATGCAGTCTTGGAGTTGTGATTGGGATGGTATTTGGGAACAACCTTTCCAAAGTATCATTAAAATCATTTGGAATAGTTGCAGAACAGAATAACAAATGATTAGTATTAGGTAAAGATCTTATAGCACGATGGGTATCTTCAACCCATGACTTATCTAATAAAGTATCTGCTTCATCTAGTACCACGAATTTCACTTCTGATAAAAGTCTATCTGCTCTACTGATCATACGAATATTGAAAAGATTTAATAGCTTTGCTGGTGTAGTTATTAAGATATCTATTCTATTCTTTAGCTTTTCCACAATTTCAGGATATTTGGTACCTGAATCCCATTTATACACATGGAATTTCAAATCATTTTCTGTTTTCTTGACGGTATTATAAACTTGGTCCACTAATTCATGAGTAGGTAGGAAGATCACAGACCTAATGATCGCTTTATCTTGCATAAATTCCCAATCTTCAGGGAATTCAGTTTCCTGTCGTTTTAAATAATCAAATAATGGAATCAAATAAGCCATAGTCTTCCCAGAACCAGTTTCTGCCGCTATAGCGTGATGCTGTAGTTTTGGATCCATCAACGTTCTAGACAATTTCTTCATTGCAATCAATTGAATTGGAGATGGGATTACATCCTCACTTTCTTTAGCCTTCTTCGATAAAGTTTCATCTTTAATGATATTTTTAATTGAATTTCTAACTTCTGGTAAGATTTTTAGCTGATCAAAACTCGATAATTTATCCAACAATTCTTTACCTTTAGTCTCAGAACCAGGATCTCTTTCCTTCAAGCCAACGTATTTACCGTAATTAAAAATGTCAACCTCTTTACCTTTCTTCTTTACTGTTTTTTTGGATCTTTTAGCACCAATACCTACTGAAGAAGCTAATTTGGAAGGTTTAGCTCTTATGGTAGCTGCTCGTTTGGCATAAAAACGCAAACCAAAACAACTAGGCAACCTTGATGTCATCATATCTCACCAGTAGCAAGTACAGTCAGCGTCTTTCCACTATACAACTACTCTTAATCTTTACTTAAATTTGCATTGACTTGTAATATAGCTCGTTGAAACTTTTCAAATAATATCTGTATTTAAATTAGAGCGATGAGATGAGCCTCGAAGACTGTTAATGAATAGGATTGATAAAAAATGTATATGAAAGGTATCCACAAGTTTACAACTAGACGAGTCTAGTGGTATGTTGATGGTTTGTTATAGAGATCAATTTCAAAGTACGAAATTTGGGTTATTCTACATCGAGATCTGACCGTTTATCTACAATTGAACACTGAAAGGTCACTGTCACTGTTTTAATGTAACAATAATAGAATGAGAGCTCTGACAGAGACAAGCATTATGGAGAATGTTAGAATTAAAAAGTCTCAATTGTTAAATGTAAGTAAACTTGGATCTTCTGGTTACTGCGTACTTTGCACTACTAAACAACGAATCACAGGTACGCACTCCAAGATGCTTCTACAAGAACAAGAAAATTATATATATATATATTAGTACAGAGAGAAAATATATTCACACATAGCATCTCATTGCAACATCCATCAGCTTCAATCATCACAAGCTACAGATTACATTCGACAAAAATCATTGCAATTACACTGACTTTGTTGTAGTAAAAATCTAGAAAACAAATAACCAGCTAGTGAGTATCAAGATGTATATAATACAGATAGGCACAAAGTATCCAATAATAACTCAATGGACCTACCAAACAACTACAATAATGTGACGTCTTTGTAATGACAGATTGTTTCCTCTAAGTCAAAATTGAAACAGTCACTTTATATCCTTGATCTTGTACATAACCTACATAATTGAACCCACATTTCCAATATCAAAACTACTTCAACAATAGATTCCAACTGCTATCCAACTACCAAATCAATCCATTAACCTACGTTTTACATCTTTATAGTCATCGTCATTGTTGGTGATATTAAAATATCCATCAAATTTGAAATATCTAACAGCCGAGACAGAAAGAAAGCTTTAAAAGTAGCTTAAATTTAAAAGAAAGAGATTAGATTAATTTTAAAATTAAATTGATTGTAATTGCCTATTATACCAGCATTAGATGGGACTGCTATTTGTAGAGGTTGTAGTATAGAGTAGGTGCTATTAGAGGTTACTTTGATTTAAGTTGGTCTACTATTTTTGTTGAAGATTTGGAAGGCTACGAACGTGCTATTAAAAATCAAAAGAATATAGGAAAGGTTATTGTTGATAATAGCTGTTATGACGGAAGAAGAACTTTTACCTCATAGGAGGAGGGCTACTACTAAACGAGTTAATTATAGTGAGAAAGACGCAGATGCAGAATTGCTTAAGAGGTTGAAATATCATGAAAGTGATGGCAAGAAACCTAGAGATCATTCGAACAAGGGTAATGGTGCAAATAAAGATTCTGCTACGACTTTAAAATCAAGGAACAAGTATAAGAATGGTAATAGCAGTGGTAGTGGTAGTAATGGTAACAGCAGCAGACAGAATCAGGATAAGAAGAAATATCAAAAATTTTTAAATGAAAAGAATAATTGGAATTTCATACCGACGTTGCCAACTGTCTCTAGGAAAACAAGTAGATTTTCACATATTTTAGATTTTGATGATGCATTAGTAGATATTAAACACCATGTTGTTTATAATGACGAATCGACACTCTTAAAACAAAATGAAACTATATACATGGTTTCTGAACCACCGGGTGAACCTTATTATGTCGGAAGAGTAATGGAATTTGTTTGTAAACCAGAATTTAGGAAAAAAATTGAACTAGCATCTGAAAATATTACAATTTTCCCAGCAAAATATTTTCAAGTAAGGATGAATTGGTTTTATAGATCAAGAGATATCCAAGAAAGTTCTAACAATAGCGACCCTAGGTTATTATATGCATCTTTACAGAATGACCTGTGTCCATTGTATTCTTTTAGAGGTAGATGTACCGTCTTACATATTTCTGATATGCCTGATATAGAAACAGAAAGAGATGAATTATTAACAAAACCAAATATTTTTTACTTCGAGCAGTTGTTCGATAGGTATACTTTAAAATATTACAACACTTGGGACATAGAAAAATTATCGAAGAAATACAAGAATTCATCATATTTGAAAATGTTAACACGAATTTATAGATATGTTTACACTGAAGAAAAATTCCCATTTGAACAAGTGTTAGAAAGATATGTTGTCGATACAAAAACAGAATCTAAATCATTAGATTACTCTTGGGATGACACATGTTTTCAATGTCACGAATGGTGCTCGCCGTCACAGAGTATTAAATGTGATGACTGTGGTATATCAATACACTTATTTTGCATGGACCCTCCTAGGGATAGAAAACCTAACAAAGGGATTATTTGGATTTGCCAAAGTTGTATCAGTATACAGGATAATCTTAAAGATGCGATTAAAGAAAAAGAAGAGCAAACACAAGAAAATTTAAAAAATATTAACATTGCCAAAGAAAAGCTATCCGCAAAATCCAATCTGATTATGGCAAAAGATAAAAATACCTTTCCACATAATTCATGGTTTCAGTATTTAGGTGAGCATATGGTAACGCATTGGGAGGATAATCTATATAGGGAAATTAACCTACCATGCCCGTTCAAGTGTTCTAGAACTGGTCCAAAATACCAGTGGTCTCAATGTCTCGACGTTTCACCATGGAAACCTGAACCATATTCAAATGATACGGCTGCTAACCAACGAGGTCTCGATGATAAAGAAAATGTATTATGGAAATTGGATAAAGCAAAAATCACAGAGAAAGAACTGGATACTTATGTTAGTCAATGTAAGAGATTTTTCCCTCCAAGACTTAAAATGCAGCCTGAAAGTGTCAACTTTCTAGATATGATAATGGAAATTTTAATGAATAATGACTATAACATAAATAAATCATTGGGTGATTGTGAGAACCTTTTAACAAGAGAATCACTGAGGGAACCTACATTTTCGGCGGCAGAAATTAAAAAATTTGAGGCAGCTGTCAAGGAACATGGAAGTGAATTGCATCCAGTTTGTAAAGAAGTGGGCTCACAACCTATGTCAATGATCGTGAGATTCTACTACTATTGGAAAAAGACCTCAAATGGAAGGAAAATTTGGGGTAATTTTAAAGGTAGATCTAAAAATAAGAATAAAAATAAAAATAAAAATAACGAGAAGAATAAAGATACTGATGGTGAAGGTAGCTCCATAAACGGAGATAAATATAAGCAAACGAGAATTAGAAAGCCTAGTAGAATAGTGTTGGAAAACCAGAAGAGTAATCCAGAAATTGAATTAAAATACATCGACGACTCTTCTTTTGAAACAGAGAATTTGAGTTCTTTGAAAAGTTGCTTCAAGTGCCTATATTGTAGTATTGATTATTCTCCAATGTGGTATAGGGTAACAGGTGGTTCTGAGGATGACAATATAAATACAAGAATGAAAACCGGTGTTAATGAAAAAACAGAATCATCGACTAAAGGTGTTCACACAACACATACTTTGTCAGAAACAAATGATAGACTAGAAGCTTTGTGCATTCGTTGTGCCCGTCTATGGAGAAGATATGCAATAAGATGGGACAACCCAATTAATGTTCTAAAGAGGATTCATGGTTCAAGTAATAATAATGTTCAAAAATTCCTAGATGAAATATTTGATGAGGAAACAGTAGGAACATTTACTACAACGCCAGTGTTAAGCAGAGAGAAGAATATAGAGTGGGAATTAATACAAGATTCGGAATTAATTGTGAAACAGAGGTCTGAGGTAATACAAAATTCTGATCGTTTAGCAAGATTAAAAAAGAATGCATTAAACTCACATTCACAACTTTATAAGGCAGCAAGAAAAGAATGCGATAAAAATGCCTTTAAATTTGATATTATGGATAGTGAATTGAATGTATATATCGACAAGCTGGTAAAACCAAAACAGGTACAAAAGGCTGCAATTACTTCAAAAATCAGTGTTGCTAAGAAGAGAAAACTAGAGAACGATGAGTTACAGGAACGAAAAGACCAGAAGTTACTGAAAAGCAGTCGTGAAAACACTCCAAGGTGCGATCCAGATAAGTTAAAGTATATTAAAGAACTGGATGCTCGTTACGAAAAGAGAATATGTAATAATGGATCACTAGAAATAAGACTATCTCCAGACGGAAAGTCAAGCAATTATTTTACAATGGATACAGAAAATAATACTATTCAATGTGGAGATGAATTACTGAAAAACCTTCTATCATTCGTGTCCAGACATGTCCAGAAGCAAGTGATTTCAAAAGAAAATATCAAGGTTCTAAAACAAGAAAAAGGGATTATAGTGGAAAAACTTGAAAGTAACAGTATCATTAGAAAGACTATAGATAATAATAGAATCCCAATTGTTTCAAGTGACAATGATAGTTCAAAATTACTTCGTGCGTACCATAAAGATAATTTTAGTCTACCTAAGAAACACTATAATATTCATATAGAATCATTAAAAGTAGAAAATTTATGTTCTTCTGATAAAGATTCCATAACTTCACAAACTACTAGTAATAAAACAATCAATTCTGGATGCAATGTTTGTAGCACACAAGATACAACAATGTCAAATAGTCTCATTAGATGTAGTAATTGTACTTTACAAGTACATGCTAGCTGTTACGGTATCGAAGTTCCAATAGAAGTACGTTCAAGCCAGCCTTTACTTAATTTCCGTTGGTTATGTGACCCATGTTCAAATGAATTAAATCCTATTGCTACAACTAATTACAATTGTGTAGTATGCAATGGTTGTGAGGGAACTACTGACTTTCAAAAACCACAGGAGTGTGGAACAAAGAATGCTCTAAAAATCACGAGTCATGGTACATGGTGTCATATTATATGTGCGTTATTCAATGATGAAGTTAAATTTGGTAATCCAAAATCATTGCAACCTATTCAGAATGTTTCCTTAGTTTCCAAGACTATAAGACGGCCATGTAGCCTTTGTCTAAAGCCAGTAGGTCATCTTACTGCTTGTGAGCTCTGTGACAACATCTTCCATATTAGCTGTGCACAAAATGAAAAGGAGTTTTCGTTATTCTTCAAGAAGAGAATACCAACCGAGTATGAAGTTAAGACTAACCGATTTATTACTGATAAAGTAACAAATGAAAATTATTCACTAAAGCCTACAGTTATTTGTAACGCTCATAAAGATACATTACTACCAAGTTGTTATTTACCACTGACTGGTACAACCAATTTTGGCTCAAAAACTATTCTGAACTTATACATATCTTGTTATAAAACGAGTGATTACCGCAGTTTTATTTATTCAAGATATATGGAGCAGAAAAGGTATCTAAGCGGAAATACGCCAGAAATAGAATATGATAATGATGAAAGTATCAATATGAAGACTCAATATTTAGAAGAAGAAGCAGAGGCACAAGTTGTTAATAGAACAAAATGCAGGGTATGCTCAAGCACCAGAAGTGTTATCTGGTATGATAATAACCTCTGTCATCCATGTCATTTAAGAGGATCATCTAAGAAATCTAAAATGCAGTTTTCGAATAAATTTTCAGATATTAATAAACCTAATTTAACATTTGGAGGAGGCGTGTCATCTGAATTCAAAGCTCTATTGCTTGAAGGGATCGAAGTTCCTTCTGTAAAAGATTCAAATTTATCTAAAGCTATCCTTGGGAAAGTCATTAAAAATCAAAATATTATTAAGAAGGAAGAGCATTGCTGAATAAGCTTACAATTATATATGATGTGATATTTAATTATTATTACATTTATTAACTAGATACTGTAAATACTTCCGATAAATTTTGTTTTATTAAACAAAAGCTATTTTTGTTTGTACTTTATTCTACACCACCAGATAATAATTTTTCCAATCTGAGAATTTCATCAAGGGTAGTAGCATTAGCTAATTGTTTCTTTAAATCTTCTCTTTCCTCTTTTGTCATTTTTTTAACCACCATATTTATTAATTCCACAGATTCATCATAAGGTTCTTTATGTTTAGCATCTCCAGTTTTCTGTTTCTTATGTTTCGGCAGCTCAAAAGACTTGGCAGCTTTACGTTCTTTATCAGTAACTTTTGTAAAATCTAACACTTGTAAGTGTGGCATTAATTTAATAATATACTCTCTATAGCCCTCCATATGACACACATCGTTAGCTCGAAGACACAAATTGGTAAGAGTCTTGGGACCACTTTTCAAGCCGTTCAATTCATCCAATGAAGTAATATTATTATGACCCAACACTAGATTCTCTAGTCTTTTCGGCAGTAATTTCCCATCAATATATGATACTCTATTCCTAGCTATTAATAAAGTATGTATATCTGTACGTTCTTTCAAATTTGGTAACCCAGAAATTTTATTATTGGTTAAATCTAAAATGTTTACGGGTTTATTCATATACCCAAAACTTTGGTTCATATATTCAGAATCAGATTCTAGTCCCAAATCCCTCAATATCAAACATTTATCACTGTTACATTTGCCATTAAAATGATTAACATAATATGCTGGTGCATCTAGTACAATACTTGGTGTAAATTTCATCGTCTTACCACTCAAATAATCGATCTTTTCACTTCAAGATTTTAACAGAATATCAATAGCCAATTATAGACTCGATTACAACGACTCCATCAAATTCAAAAGGACTCTTCCCAACATCAATTACCATTTAATCCCAAATCAGTTCCTGTTAAATACTTTCGAATTTAATCAATTCGAAGCCTTTTTATCGATGATTCTAGGAAAGCTACAAACCCTAACCGAACTTTTTCACTTTCCATAGAAAATAGGGCAAGCTCATCAGGTTTTGAAATCAACCCTACATTTATACACTTATTAAGATCAATTGGAAACTATTAGAACCTTTAAACTACAAGAAATAAACTTATATAAAGAGGATTGTTTTAATTGAAGTGAATCAGCTTGGAGTGTGGCCATTATGTGGAATCCATAGTATAAGTCGATAAGTTATTGAATAGCTGCTAATTTACGCCTGGAAGTTAAACCGTTAGGGACAATCACTATCGTTTATAGATTAAAACTGGAAATAAGTTAATTCTACAGTCATTAGAGCAACAAATCAAGAAGAAGCTTCACTTAAAGTTATATATATATATCAGAAATTATTAAAAGTATAGGTATAAGATGGTATTTACTAAGGATCAAGTCGATTATTCTTTGTATTTGGTGACTGACTCTACAATGTTGCCCCCAGGGGCAACATTGAGTTCTCAAGTAGAAGAAGGTTTAATGAACGGTGTCACTTTAGTTCAGATACGTGAGAAAGATTGTGATACCAAGAATTTTTTTCACGAAGGTGTACTTATCAAGAAGCTCTGTACTGATTATAATGTCCCATTGATTGTCAATGATCGTGTAGATGTTGCCCTTGCCATTAGAGCAGATGGTGTTCATGTTGGCCAAGATGATATGCCAATTCCAGTTGTTAGAGAATTATTAGGTCCTGACAAGATTATTGGTTGGAGTGTTAGTAAAGTTGAAGAAGTCGAGAAATTGGCCAATTGGGGTCCTGGGATGGTTGATAATATTGGTATAGGTATGGTTTTCCCAACTCAGACTAAAAAAAATCCAAAAAAGTCACCAATGGGCACTGCTGGTGTCATTAAAGTTCTTGATGCTTTGGAAAATTGCGGTGCTTCTTGGGTTAAAACTGTCGCCATCGGAGGTTTACATCCAGATAACATCCAAAGGGTATTATACCAATGCAGCAGTACTAATGGTAGAAGATATCTTGATGGTATTGCTGTCGTTAGTGATATCATGGCTTCTGAAGATGCAGGTTTGTCTACAAGAATTTTGAGAGATCTTTTGGATAGTAACTCATATAAATTTGTCGATTTTGGTTTAAGCAATGAAGCTTTGCAAGTTTCAAATATCAATGCTGCCTTACATCAAGTTCACTTTGCCCGCCCTCTTGTCCAACATATGACTAACAAAGTCCATCAAAATTTTGGTGCTAATGTGACTCTAGCTGTGTTTGGATCTCCAATAATGTCTGAAGTTGTATCTGAAGTAAAAGATTTATCTAATATTCCTTATGCTTCCCTATTGATTAATACAGGAACTATTGCTCCGCTGGATGTATTGAAAGCAGCAGTCACTGCTTACAATGAATCAAAGAGGCCAGTTGTTCTTGATCCTGTTGGATACAGTGCAACCCCAACCAGAATGTCATTAAATAATGACTTGCTATCATATGGTCAATTTTCTTGTATCAAATGTAATGCAAGTGAAATGTTGTCACTAGCGGAATTATCTGATGAGAGAATGAAAGGTGTAGATTCTAGTGGTTCGAATATTAACAATGACACTGTTATTAAGGCTACTAAAATAGTTGCCTATAGATATAAGACCATTGCTGTCTGTACTGGCGAATACGATTTTATTGCAAATGGTACAATGGGTGGACACTATTCATTAGGAACTCAAGAAATACGTGGTGATAGTCCATCAATCCCATGTTTTGTAGTGCATGGTGGTAACATTCCAATAATGGGCGATATTACTGCTAGCGGATGTTCATTAGGCTCCACAATCACTTCATTTTTAGGAAGTTTAAGTTTCCCAAATGAGGCTCAAAATGCAGTAATTGCAGCAGTTACTTTGTATAAAGCTGCTGGTAAATTAGCTGCAAGTCGATGCAAAGGTTCTGGTTCTTTCCAAGTGGAGTTCATTGATGCATTATATCAACTAAGCCGTGAGAATATACCAGAAAAATGGGACGTCAAATATGAATTAATTCTTTAAACTATTTACAATACTGTTTAACTTATATATATAATGATGAGTCATGATGTATATTATTCTTTAATAGGCTCATGTATGAATATTTTAATTTCTGTAAGATAATTTACTTCTTTCACTTGGAAGTAAATCAGAATCTTTGTCTAAAGCTTCGTATTTCTCAATTACTTTCGTTTTCATTTCTTCTTCTTGTTGAGGTGTCAAAATTTCAACTGTTTCATTAGGTGGAACAAATTTAAATTTACCAGTTGCAAATTCTCTATCAGACATCCTGCTCAACACGTACACTTGTGAACGAATGTATCTAACTACTGCTTCCAAATGAACAAAATCAACATTTGAACGACCACCGAAAAGATTTCTCCATACCGCAGTGGCTAAAGTCGCATCATCTGTGTAGAACCCTTCATCGTAAGCAAAAACAGCACCACGAAGTTGAGAATTGAAGTCCTTCAAGTACTGATCTGCAATTCTACCTGATGAAACATTTAATTCTTCAAATAATCTCATTTCTATGTCTGAGAAAGTTCTGTCAACCAATTTTTGTTGATAATTCCTACCGTATTTAAACGGCATTGCACGCATACGTGTGAACAATATCCACTCATGAAGTATGGTAATTTGGAACCATTGAGAGAAAGAACGAGGTAGTTTCAAGTCTTCATAAAAGAATTTTGCACTTTCAGATAATGGTTCATTTTCGAATTGTAAACCTTGATTTCTACATAGAGAATAATAATATGAACCTGCCACAGCACCTGCTCTAATTCTATCCATATCCAAACGAAATGACTTGATCAATACTTCACCCAACGCTTCCTTCCATTTTGGTAATTGGTAATCAGTGGCTTCATATTTAGAAGAACTCAATAAATCATTCTTTGGAGAATCCGGAAATTTGCCTAAACTTTTGGAATTATTCGACGGCTTCAAATGAGAATTTTTCACTAATTCTTCAGGAGTTTGTTCAGCTTCAGTATTCTTGTTAAACCTAATTGATGACTGGTGCAAAAATGCCCTATTCGATATGGCATAAGGTCTCAAAACTGACAAAGCATCACGGCAAATGGTAGTTTTAAGCATTGGAAATTATCTGGTAGGCCAATATCACCAGTGAGCTGGTATCTGGAATCTTATAATTATAACTTCTGGTCTTCTGTATGTGCAAATGAAGTTAACACTTTTAGATGTCTTTATACCATTTGTTAAATCGAGATTGCATATTTCTCTTGAGCTTTAACGATTTCTGTAAAGATTATCGTTATTAATGAGGTTAATATAATCTAATATCATAATGTACGGTATATCAGGATGGTATAGTCAGTGATGGCCTACAACTGACAGACAGTAACTAATCAAAACCCGAGCAATACCATTTATAAATGTGTTTTTATTCTTTATTTTAGTTGATATACACAACGATAATGTCATTAACCTGATTTTTCCATCCTAATATTGCTTTTGCACTTGCGCTTACTCTTACTCTAGCTTTGCCAATCAATAATTGCTGTCACTTCTATTGAATGGTACTTTCATATCATTAACCGAACCTTCTAACCTTTGAATTATTATTTGTATTATGTTATTTATACGAAATTACATATTAATTTGTTACAGATATGCTGGAAGTTCTTGAAGTTCGATCCAAGATTTCTTTAAATCTCGACTCAACGGTATCAATTATGTTTGTTTTCTTACCTCCAGATGCATTTTTACGTAATGCAGTCCCCCACACTTTATTCGCCAATGTATTCTTCCATTTAATTACATCTTCCATAGCTTGGAAGTGCCTTAGGTTTAATAAATCTGTTAATATTTCAGATTGTTTTTCTATTTTACTTTCACGAGTAGTCTTGATACGCTTCTTTTCGGCTCTCAATTGTACTCTGGCCCCTGGTCTTTGTGAATTTTCCCTTGCCTGTATCTTCTCTAGAATTTGATCTCTACGACTTTCCAATTCCTGAATTTGGTTTAAAATTTGTCTGGTCTTTGAACAATCATCAAGTTTCATGATTTCCTCTACAATGTCTTCTAATTCAGTTTCATCCTTAGAATCGTCATTTTGATCAGATGAAGAACTATGCTCGCCACCTTCATCTACAGGATTTAATTCAGACTCAGTTAGTTCATTTTCTTTAAACTCTTTCAATAATGATGACTCACGTTGTTGGAACCCTTTATTGTTGATCACTTTATTCTTTAAAATAAAACTATCCTCAAAGATTGATTCAATTGGTCTAAATTGCCTCAATAAATCGTGTTCCCTACGACCCCATGTATCCAACCAAGTCATTAGGCTCTTAACATCCTCATAATCATCAAATGAATACCATTGTGTATCACTTAATAATAATCTAGATGGGGTCTCATCAATAATCTTTCTCTGTATTGGAGTCAGTTCCACAAGGGAATTTAGCACTCCGTTTTCATCAACTAATTTAGCTCTCACATCTCCATCTACATAACAATAAGATCCATCTTTTTCTTTACCAATATTGAAAACCTCTAAAGTTGCAGCCGCACTTCCTCTTTCAATATATATATTCCTCCAATTATCTAATTGTTCATCTGTCACATGCAAAATAATTTTTGCTACTTCTGGATTTGGTCCTCTTACCCATAACCTACCAGAGTGATAGTTGATTTCTTCGGTGCTATCTTGTTCACTTGACTCCTTTTTATGAATACCATTTAATTCGAGCCAGAAATACAAATTACCATATCTATCCATTCCTAACGGCTTTAATCTTTGAATATCATTTTCTAATAATTTCATCTCTAAAAATGATTTATCCATAAGAATACCATCAACTTTTTGTTTTTGTTCTTCAATTTTCTGTTCTAGTTCTGTTTTTCTCTGTTCGATCTCGGGATTTGATTCAACTTGATTTAATTGTGACAATTCTATTAACAACATGGACAATTGATTTTGTTCGGTTTTAACATCTTTCGAAATCTTAAACCTTTCACTACGTAGTTGACCACATAATTCTAACGATTCTTCAATTGCATTCTTGATATCAGGCGAATAATTGCAAGATAAATCAACCAATATCCATAATATATCTAACTTTTCATCTAATGTTAGATTACGGCAGAAATTTTTCCACATTTGCTTTGGTAATTGACTAGCCGAAATTTCTTCTGGTATTACCTTTTCTGTAAAATTATGTACAATATCTGTGTATGTTGGAATATGCATACTGTCTTGAAGGATACCGAGTAAAATTAAGAGCCAAAAGTTGTTATTAAATTGTCTTTTTGCCAATCTTTCAGCCCAATTCACATTACGATAATTTAGACACTTCTCTAATTTGGCGTCTAAATCACCTGTACTACCTTCATTTTCTTCTTCGCCTGCTGTATCTTCTTCGACTTTAATTTCTTTGCTATTTATGTCTTCACTGTCATCCTCTTCTTTTATTCCATCTTCTTTCGAATTATCTTCACCTGTTTTAATATCTTTAAGTTTATCTTCTTCAATCCATTCTTCAGTGACTAGTGTGACCCAGTCACCATTTTCATCCATGAATAAACGTAATAATGAAACAAATAATTCTATAATTAGCGCAGTACCATTGTTGTTTATATTATCTAGAACTTCATCACTTGCAGGTTCATCTTTTTGAATTTTATACGTTATTCTATCATTCTTTTGTAACTTAATTAGATTTCTGGATTCAGGATTTCTCACCCAATCACTTTCTGAACTTTCATCAAGATCATTTTCTACTGGAGTTTCGTGATATTCAACATATACAACTTCACCTTTCATTTCATAAGGATCTGTGCATTTTAAAGTTGTTATGAATTGATCTAGGTTAAACTCAGAAATGTATATTTTTCTACCAAAGGTCGCAAAAAATTGATAAACTTGTAATAATTTTTCAAAATTTTTGAATGGTTTCATCACATTTTCAGAAAGAGGTAATTCTTCCAATAGATTATTATAAGATGTCAAACGTTCAAAAATATGTGGAGAGCCCTGATATGGCAAAAGTAAATCTTCCATAATAACAGTAATTGGAGCAGAAGATGCAGCAGCTTCTTCTACAGCAACCTCATCTTCTTCCTTTTTAATTTCATCATCAGTTTTCTTCTTCTTTTTCGATGGTTTCTCTTCGCTATCTTTTTTCTTCCCATCAGAATCGTCGTTAGTCAACTCTGATGATTGATCTTGTAGAGATTCATTTTGTACATATTGATCTTGAGGAATTTGTTGATTCTCTTCAATTGCGTGTGAACGAGATCTTTTATTATTATTATTATTCGTTTTTTCTTCGGGTTTTGGCTCATCTTCTTTATATTTCAGCATATCTATTGGCCACTCCATGGTCAATCCATAAATTGGTAAATATTCTTCTTTTACGCACCATGGTGCACCCATTTTGGAAGAAGCTCTAGTTAATGTAATTTTACAAAAACATTTAATCAAATGTTTAGTGAACGATGATCTATCTCTATAAATCTGTGTTTGGTCTGCTATCAACGAGCTATGAACATTGCTCTCTTCAATTAACATATATTTTGCATAAGCAGGTACGATAATTTCGCCGGTATTTGAATCAATAGCGGCATTGAACTGAGCCTTTTCTTTTATAATATACGGTTTTTGAAACTGTGGATAAGAATTGTCCATTGACACAGTGGAAGTGATTGGGACACTCGATATCGATTCTTCCGGTGCAGGGGTAGTCTGATGAGAATTTACATTTGAATCTTTATTTTTCCTTAAAAACACTACTTCACCAGGAAAGAAATCATTTTTAAATCTTGCATATACGCTTTCGACCAACGCATCCAGTCTCTTGACACTGTTAAAGTGTAAGAATCTTGCAACAGGTTCTCTCAACTTTATTGGAAATCGTTCTTCGACATATTTAAATTGGGATTCCTCACTGTCTAAAGCTTGGAAAAAAGTTAAACACGAAGTACCAGTAATTTCACAAGTAAAATAATGTCTGGTATAAAAATCCATTCTCTCTAAAAACTCTCGATACGTGAGAAACCATTCACCAGTTTCATCGATATGCCATACATTGACATTCAAATCTAACGGTAAAGGTTTCGGATCAGGTAAAATAATAGGTTTACGTTTATATAACACCATGGTCGAATAAATCACACATACACACACAGAAACCTCACCTCACCTCTTTACAATCAACACTTATTTAAAGATATAACACAAATGATATGAAATAACAACGAATATAATTATATCTATTGCAGTTTATATCAAAAGAGACACTCACGTACAGTGCAGTTTTATAATAATAATAATAATAATAATAATAATAATAAATAAATAAAAAAGTTGCAAACTCAAGGTCAACCTAAAAGAACACAACAATAAACCGGAACAGCAGCTAAACGTCTCTTACTGCAACTTGGAAGAACAATTCAACCATCTAATTGTACTGTTTCCAATAACAAAATTCTTTTTATCGAAATAAAGTTTTTAGTTTATATATATTCGAATTTCGAAATCGAAATCGGTTAAAGAGTTGTAAAATGACGACACGGTTAAAAGAGGGCAGAAGTTACAGAAGGATAGAGGATAAAGGATAGTTAGTATTAAGGAAAGCTGTTGATGTTGTTGAAGTTGTTGTTGATAGAGGAGATGATGAAGGGTGGATTGGTGTATTTTGTTTCCAGTTGTGAAGGGTTCATGGTATGTTTTTCTAACGGTGGAAAACGTAAAGCAAAATAAGATAGAATAAAGGTTATGTTTTGGAGGGAAGTTTGTGTCGTTAGTTTTTAGGTAAGGGAACAGGAAGGGCAAGGGCAAGGGCAAGGTCAAGTTGGAATGTGTGGGATCGATATGGGTATGTTTGTTTTTCAAGTCAGTTAGTAACTGTATGAGTGGGTGTTCATGTGTGTGTGTGTGCGAGTGTGTGTTTTTTGCTTGTTTTATGTCTTAGATCTCATGTCTATTCCCTCATCATAATCCCATTGTAACGTTTTCTGCGGTAGTTTCTTAACCCTTATTTTTTCCTTTTTTATGCTTCGGTGTGTCACGTGATCCGGTATTTCATTTCGAACTGCCTATAAAAAAGAAAAAGAAAAGAAACTAAAAATAAAAAATTTCGATGCTCATCGATCGATTCGAAATGATGATGGGATATAAAGCAAGCACTATAAAGGAACTGTTATATCTAAGAGGGTCAACTACGTTTCTGTATTAGTATCCAGTTTGGACGTCTAGATATATATATATATATATATATATATATACATTTAGGTTTCAACAATTGAGATTATTGCTTAACTGGGGTGAAGATGGAGCAAAGTAATAAGCCTCACAGGAAAGTGAAGGAAAAGAATACTGCAAAGAAGAAATTGCATACTCAAGGTCATAATGCAAAGGCTTTTGCTGTTTCTGCTCCTGGGAAAATGGCAAAGACCATGCTGCGTTCTAGTGATGTTAGGGAACGTAAGTTGCATGTCCCAATGGTCGACAGAACCCCAGAAGAGGACCCTCCTCCAGTCATCGTCGCTGTAGTCGGTCCTCCAGGTACCGGTAAAACTACTTTGATTAAATCTTTGATTAGAAGAATGACAAAATCTACTTTAAATGATATCAATGGTCCCATCACCGTTGTTTCTGGTAAGCGTAGAAGATTGACCTTCATCGAGTGTCCTGCTGATGATTTGAACGCAATGATCGATATTTCAAAAATCGCAGATTTAGTACTACTGATGATGGATGGTAATTTTGGTTTCGAAATGGAAACTATGGAATTCTTAAATCTGGCCCAACACCACGGTATGCCTCGTGTTTTAGGTGTCGCTACGCATTTGGATTTGTTCAAGTCTCAATCAACTTTAAGAGCCTCTAAAAAACGTTTAAAACATAGATTTTGGACCGAAGTTTACCAAGGTGCTAAATTATTTTATTTATCAGGTGTCATCAACGGTCGTTATCCAGATAGAGAAATTTTGAACTTGTCGAGATTCATCTCCGTTATGAAGTTCAGACCTTTGAAATGGAGAAATGAACATCCTTATCTATTGGCGGATAGAGTCACAGATTTAACTCATCCAGAATTGATCGAAAAAGAAGGTAAACAAGTCGATCGTAAAATTGCTTTGTATGGTTACTTGCACGGTACTCCTTTGTCTTCCGTTCCTGGTGCAAGAGTTCATATTGCTGGTGTAGGTGATTTTTCAGTTGCTCAAGTTGAAAAACTACCAGATCCTTGTCCAACACCTTACTTTCAACAGAAAATAGACGACTATGAAAGGGAAAAAATGAAGGAAGAAGGTACCTCATCTACTGCTGCAACTACCACAAGAAGAAGGAAAAGGCTGGAAAACAAAGATAAATTGATATATGCTCCAATGTCTGATGTCGGTGGTGTCTTAATGGACAAGGATGTAGTGTATATCAACGTTGGTAATAAAAATGAGGGCCAAAGCTTTGTTCCTGGTGAAGAAAAGGGTGAAGGTGAAAAATTGGTCACCAACTTACAAATGGTAGACAAGAGTATCGCTGAGAGATTCGATGGCGTCGGTTTACAATTATTCAGTAACAGTACTGAATTGAAAGCAGTAAATGATAATGATGAAGACGCAGATGATATTGAATCGGATATTGAAGATGAAGATATTATTGAGGGTGAAGACCAAGGTAGAAAATCATTAAGACGTCCAAAAATGTACGGGAAATCTGTCCAAGATGATGATGACGATATTGACAATCTACCATCTGATGAAGAGGTTGAAGAAGGCAAACCTGAAATGGTTGATATTGATTTTGGTTCAGGTTTACCAGACAATGAAAAATTAAATTATGCAACAGATTCCGAATTTGAACTTAGTGACAACGAAGAATCATGGGCTAAAAATACTGCCAACAAGTTAAATGGACAAATTTCTCGAAAGAAAAAATGGGACATTGGTAGATTAATTTATATGGATAATATTTCACCAAACGAGGTTATCAAAAGATGGCGTGGGGAATCTAATGGCGACGAGGATAGTGACATTGAAGATGAAGATGCCGAAGATGCTGATTTCTTCAAGAAAAAGAATGATTCAGCAACAGCCGCTCAAAACTATGATACTGATTTAGAAAAGTTCGTTCCATATTTCCAAACTTTTGATAAACTTGTTCAAAAATGGAATGATTGTAAAGCTCTAAAAGGTAGATTTGTCGGTGTACCAACTATGAAAGAGTCAGAAAATGCCGAAGATAATGAAGATGAATTGATGGAGGAAAACGAAGATGGTGAAGTATTTGGTGATTTTGAGGATTTAGAAGAAGCTGAGAACAACGGTAACGAAGAAGAAAGCTCAAAAGATGATGAAGGAAATGAATCCGACGATTCATTTGCTGATTTTGAAGAAGAAGAAAAGAAAGATTTAACCACTGAACAAGAACGTGAATTAAATGCTGCCAAAAAGGAAAAATTGAGATTACAATTCGAAATGGAAGAAGGTGAAAATTTTAAAGAAGATGATCCAGATAACGAGTACGACACTTGGTATGAACTTCAAAAGGCAAAAATTGCTAAACAATTGGACATTAACAACGCTGTATACGAAGAAATGACTCCAGAACAACGTCAAACAATCGAGGGTTATAAAGCTGGTTCATACGTCCGAATTGTGTTTAATGATGTCCCAATGGAATTCATTGAAAATTTTGATCCACAAGTTCCAGTTGTTATAGGTGGTTTGCTGCCTACAGAATTAAAATTTGGTATTGTAAATGCTAGATTAAGAAGACATCGTTGGCATAAAAAGATCTTAAAAACTAATGATCCTTTGGTATTATCATTAGGTTGGAGAAGATTCCAAACCTTACCGGTATATACAACAAGTGATTCTAGAACAAGAACAAGAATGCTGAAATATACTCCTGAACATTCTTTCTGTACTGCAAGTTTTTATGGTCCACTATGTTCACCAAATACTCCTTTCTGTGGTATTCAAATTGTTGCTAACAGTGACACCACAGGTAGCTTCAGAATTGCTGCTACTGGTATAGTTGAAGAAATCGATGCCTCTGTTGAAATTGTAAAGAAACTGAAACTAGTTGGTTTCCCATATAAGATCTTTAAAAATACTGCATTTATCAAGGACATGTTTTCAAGTGCAATGGAAGTTGCTAGATTTGAAGGTGCACAAATTAAGACAGTCTCTGGTATTCGTGGTGAAATCAAAAGAGCATTATCTTCACCAGATGGTTGTTACAGAGCAGCATTTGAAGATAAGATTTTGATGAGTGATATTGTTGTTTTGAGAACTTGGTATCCTGTTACTGTTAAGAAATTCTATAATCCAGTTACTTCTCTGTTGTTACAAAATAAGAAAGAATGGAAGGGTTTAAGATTGACAGGTCAAATTAGAGCGGCCAAAGCTATTGAGACACCAACCAATAATGACAGTTCTTATAAAAAGGTTCAAAGAGTTGAAAGACACTTCAATGGTTTGAAGGTTCCAAAGTCTATTCAAAAAGACCTGCCATTTAAGTCTCAAATTCATCAAATGAAGCCTCAAAAGAAGAAAACATATATGCAAAAGAGAGCAGTTGTACTGGGAGGTGAAGAAAAGAAGGTTCGTTCTATGATGCAAAAGGTATTAACCGTTTCGAAGGCTAAGGATGAAAAGAGAAAAGCCAAGAAATCTGATCAAAGAAAAGAAAGATTAAAGAGATTAGCCAAGGTTGAAGAAGAAAAGTCTCAAAAGGACAAAGAAAAGAAGAAAGATTATTTCTCTAAACATGGTAAGAAGAGAACAATGGATGGTGATGATATGTCAGGTTCTCAAAAAAAGAGAAAATAGTTTTAAGCAGTATCAAGTGAATACTTTGTCATTTTATTTATCAAGATTTGAGATTATATATGTGTATATATGTATATATATATGAAACAGATGTACACATTATTTCTAAAGATAATTTTAGTGGTAGGTGATCTACTTTAAGTATACATTGCGAAGTAAATTTGGTATATATAAATATCTATGTACGTAAATATTTTTCATTTAAATGTTATGAAATATATTAATTTAAAATATTACTTGTACTCAATAAATTTTCTTTCTTCATTTTCCATAAGTTGTTGTATTAAATTTCAAACAACTAAAATTTGATAAAATTGATTTAAATATGATATTGGATTGTTATAAGATATTGGAATTTTAAAATCATTCAAATATATTGAGACAACCATTGGAAAGCTTCAGAGTAACCATCTCTCATGACTACAGAACACATGAATAATTCGACAGGTCTTTGGCCTTCGACTTTGACAGAACCGGTGGTTGACATTAGACCTAAAGCGGAACGTAATTCAGCTTCAGACACGGCGTTTGCAGAATCAATTTTGTTACCCAAGATAACAAATGGTACATCCTTTAATTCAGCAATGTTGAACAATTGATCCAATTCAACACGAGCTTCGTTAAATCTTTCTGGGTCAGCAGCATCGACTAAAAAGACAATACCATTGACTTCTGGGAAATAATCTTTCCACAGACGACGAGCTTGAATATGACCACCTAAATCAAAAGTAGTAAATTTAATATTACCAATAGCCAATTCTTCAGAAGTTGGATGCCAAGTTGGTTGTAAAGTAGCCAATCTATCATTTTTTAACATATGCAATAGGGTTGTCTTACCAGCATTATCCAAACCCAAAAATAGTAATTTACCATGTTTATTCCATAAACCTAAAGATGCAAGAACATCTCTGAACCAACTGAAAACATCCCACATAATTGACTTGTAAAAATTAAATTTTTTAGATCGAGTCTATCCCAAAGATATCTGAAAAGAAATGGATTGATTCTTATAATAATCACTACCTTCTCCCCACAAACAATCAATAAAATAAATACCTTAAACTTTTAAAATAAAACCTTTTTCTTTGTATCTGTTCTTGAACATCATATATCTTTTCTAATTTGTTATACTCTTAAATATATCAATTTTCCATTTTCATAACGACAACGAAAAATAAACAATATGAAGGATACGGTGAGGTAGGGTAACGCTAGACAGCATTTTAAAAAGGCGATGATGACAGGAAGGCAGGTTTTTTATGTATGTTAAAGTGTTTGAGTGGCAGTATTTTTAACGGATTACCATGAGATTCTTTGGCAATTAACTGATCAAGATCTGTGTATTTAAACGATGACTCTCAGTTTCTTCTTTGAGTGCTTCCGCTATCTCTCTTTCTTGGAGCAGAGGTGCTTTTAGCAGAAGAATTGATAAGAAATAAAAAGAAAAATTAAATGAAAGCTTATTGCTTCAAAAGTGATTCGACTATTCTTAGTTGTTCATTTATACTTGAATTGAATTATACAGTGCAACATTTATTATTAAAGAAAAAAAACTAAAATTTATTTAGATATATTATATAATATAGATAAATCCCTTTCATTTTTTTATTTGAAATTTTTCAAAATGCTTAGTATAATCTGAAAGCTGGACCCATGGAAGATTTGATGACCAAGGAACCAACATTTTGCCAGTTCTTCTTCAACAAAGAAACCAAGAAGTTGACAGACATCAAGATTTGGTTAACCAAAGTGTCTTCGTCCATTTCGACGTTACCGACGGCAACAGCCAAACATAAGACCTTCTTCAATTGAAACTTGATGGTGGATCTGACATCAGTGACCTTACCGTACAAGTCATCGTTGTGGGAAACTGGGGTTGGGAACTTACCAGCCTTGGATAATTGAGGACCCAATAATCTTGGAACTTGCTTAATCAAGACTTCGGAAGCAATGAAAGCATTGTACTTCTTGGACAATTTCTTGATCAATTTCTTGTTCTTGTTCAATTTCTTCAAATCTTCAACAGACATGGCATCAACACCACAAGACTTAGCTCTGTCAACATCGAAAGCATCACCGAAGATACAGATGGACATGTTTGGTCTTGGACAGACTGGCAATTTCAAAGAACCAGAGAAACGCTTGTCTCTTTGAGGGTCATAGTTCTTCAAACCAACTTGTAATTCAACGGTTTCCAAGAAGTTTCTCTTCTTGGTTTCGTTGGAGTACTTCAACAATTCTTGAACATTTTCTCTAACGTGAGAAGTAGTGATCTTAGACATCTTTGATGATTTTTATTTATTGTCTTCCAAAAGAATTGGTGGTCCGTTAGGCTTGCGACTATAAATATCGATGGAGTCTTTATATATGAAACAAAAGAGTGAACAGGAATACTACAAGAAACAATAAATGAAAAACTCTGTTACTAAATAAAAAGGTTTTAAAACTTTAAATCGACATTGCAAAAAAGTTATCTCAAACAATAAAAGCATCAAGAGAGTAGTAATACCGAAGTTACATTCATTGCAATCAAACAGTTAATGATAGCTTAAACAATATATTTCCAATTCCAATTGCATCCATCCATTCATTGATTCAATTAAGAAAGCGTAGTTAGCACTACTATTCTCTGAAGCTATGTGTGTATAAGCTTATGAATATTCATCTCATCAATCCAATAGATGATCTCTAGTAGTTTGCCTATGCCATTGCTCAGTGTATAGATGAAATTTTTCATTTCTGCTGAAATTTCCAAAAGTTTTCAATTTTTGTGCGTCGCGTCATCTATTTATTTGTGCTTCTGCACACGATTTGGCGTTTTGTTCTGCGCTGTTTCTCAGAAATCTACGAAAATAAAACAAAAAATCGAAAATTGAAAAAAAGTGAAAAATAAAACATTTTGAAACTTTCTCCGACGGAAGTAAAAAAAAAAGGTCTTTATCTATGCTTCAGATGAAGATGTATGGGTGGCCAGTCACTTGAAATTTGTATTTCCTGTTATGGTAATATATCTTTGTATTTGGAAATCGTGTACCTTTTAAGTAATTACATCAATTACATCAAATTGAAATTTAGCCATCGAATTGAAAAAAAGTCTATCAACCTTATATTTAACTATCTACTTTATCTATGTAGATATAAAGATTAATAGAAACCTTTTCAGTTAGGTTTATGTTTATGGATTGACAAGAAATTCCATGAACATATTGATATCATGCAGGCATGGTTGTATAAAAGTCTTAATTCAAAGTTTTGTAGAATCCCTGTGAATAAAAATTGGTTCCGTTTAATTCAATTAAGGTATAATTCTAATTCAAAAAGTAGATGGTTACAGAGACAATGGTCTGATCCATATACCCAAGAGGCAAAAGATCAGAATCTAAGGTCTCGTGCAGCCTTCAAATTAATTGAAATTAATAACAGATTTAAATTATTTGATAAACATAAAAAATTGAATGTTTTAGATCTTGGTTTTGCACCAGGTGCTTGGTCCCAAGTAATTAGAAAATCTACTTCTGATGATTCATTGATATTGGGTGTAGATATCTTGCCTTGTGATCCTCCAACTGGTGTAAGTTCAATTCAAGCCAATATCCTTTCTAAAAGAACTCATGATTTAATTAGACTATTCTTCAATGAATCCTTCCAATTAAATAGGGAAGATAATTTGCATAAGGATTATGGTTATTTCCAAGATTATTTGGAAAATGAATTGGATTCAAATTTCAAAGAGGATTCACAAACTTTGATGACAGACAATGATAAGCCTGTAAATTTTTCAATTTCAAAATACCCTATAGATATTGTGGTTAGCGATATGTATGTACCTTGGCAAGTTTTTAATACACATCAGAATAACATTACTAATATTCCTAATTACAGGATGGCTAATACTTCAGGTTTGGCGGTGAAAGATCATGCTCAGTCTATCGATCTGTGCGACGCTGCATTAGTGACAGCAATTGATTTAGTTAAGCCAAAAGGTTCCTTTGTATGTAAACTGTACTCCGGTAAAGAAGAAAACCTATTCGAAAAAAGGTTGAAAAAAGTATTTCATAAAGCATATAGGTTCAAACCGAAATCATCAAGATCTGAGTCAAAAGAATTCTATTTTATTGGCTTAAATAAACGTGAAACTGTTGACAAATTAGATGTCTTCACCACCTGATTAACACTAAACATTACTGTCTCCTGTTTCTGTAAATATATATACCTTACTTAAATAACATTCAATGGCAAATTGTGATTAAAGAAATTTTTTATTTTAAATATACATGTAAATATGAAATATTACTCAAACTGATTTTATTCTTTGCATTAAGATTAATTCTTATATAAAAATTCTATTCCATAATTTAATAAATTTTTTACTTATTCTTGTGGAGTTGATAAAAACCCAAATAGTCCAGAATAGGTTCCACCTTAAGATCTTCTTCGGACATAATAATAATCCATCTATTCTTTCTTATCAGCGGCAACACTTTCTTCTTCTACTACCACTGATTCTTTCTTTGGTTCATCCTTCTTTGGCTCCTCTTTCTTTGGTTCATCCTTCTTTTTTGATTCCTTTTTTGGAATGTCTTGCGGTTTTTCATCTTTGGTAGCTACCTTTGGAGCATCTGCTTTGTCAGTGTTACTATCCAGATCGATTAAAGAAGCAGTATTACTGCCAGATTCGTATGAACAGATTCTTTCAGCTACATTAGTTTTACCTTCCAAAGTCAAGTTTTCCTTCCATAGTTCTACAATATTATTTATATCAGCAGTACTATTACCATAAGTAGAAGCAAATATAGCAGCTTCAGAGAATCTTCCTGTCTTTGCCAATAAATCTCTAGCCTTATCAACTGCACCAGCTAACCAGTAGGCGTTAAAAGCTAAATTGTCCTTTCCAATATCTTCGGCATCTTTACCTAACGCTATTAAACCATCAGTATTGTTGAAGGAGGAATGTAATAAGAATAATGACTCTAAATCTTGTGCCTTGCCATAAGCTTCGATAGCTAGCTTGAAGTTAAAGTTTTGCAAAGATGCATCACCTAATGATCTCCATTGTAATTCATTTTCAGTTCCATCCAGAAGTTTGTAGGCTAATGACAATTGACCAACCTTCAAGGCCAGTTCAAATTTTTGATCTTCATCCGGAGAAATCTTTAAAGCTTCTTCATAATATTCTTGGCCTTCCAAAAATCTAGAAATTTTGGATAAAGTGTCTTTATCTTCAATATTAGGTAAGATTGTCTCTATAGCGGCTTCTAATTCACCTCTTAATGTTAATGTTTGGAATTCTAGGACCTCTAGCGATACAACATGGGCATAGACATGGATTTCTCTATCAGCTAAATAAACCTTGTTATCACGAGCCAAATATCCCAACAGATACATTTCCTTGGAGTAATGTGCCAAGTTATAACTTTTACCACCGACAAAGTAGTTTAGTCTATTAGTAGCAGAAGTATAAATAAAAACATCACCAACCCATTTACCAGATGTGACCGATTCATTTAGTTCATGTAAAACCTCAAATGCATCTTCAACACCATCTTCTTCGTTTACATTACCTTGAGCAGATGCTTCGTCGTATACTTCCTTGTTGAATAATAATGAGTATGCACTTGCCTCTTCATCGGCGTTGTCATTTGAGTTGATAATCATGACCAATTCACCATTATCGGACCAGATAACATCACGAGCATTAACATCGATTCTTCTGACCAAAGCACCAGATTCCCAATCAAAGAAATAGGTGAATCCATCAGATTTAATACCTAACAAAGCACCAGCGAATAACTTATCAATATTGTAACCTAATGGGATAGACCATGATGTTACCTCTTTGAAGTTCTTATAATATTTAACTTGACCATTTTCATCGATTAATGCATAACTGTTAGAGTCAGGACCCCATACAAAATCATGGCACTTACCGAAAGATTTGTTTCTCCATGCTAAGGCTGTGTAGATAACGTATTCACCATCTCCGACGACAGTAACAAATCTACCGTTTGGTGAATGTGCTAAGGTCTGTGGGAATACATCTACAGAGCCTAATTCTTTAGTTTGTAATGCAAGTGGTTCACCTTCTTCTACTTCTTCATTACCTCTAATAACAGCAGTGAAGATATCAGAGGCAGTTGCATTCTTACCACCTGACCAGACTAATTTACCGACAGGATCTAGGGACAAAGTTGGGACATCATTACCCAAAGATAAAACAGTGAAACCACTGTCAAACCCAGATGCAATGTAGTTCTTCTTACCAGTTGGGTGAGTAGCAATACACCAACTTCTTTCTAGACCCAAATTTAGAGTCTTTTCTACCTTATAAGTGGATGAATTCCATAATTTCAAAGTACCATCTTCAGAACCAGATATGATAATTGGTAAAGTTGGATGGAAGACAGCGAATGAGACATTAGACATATGTCCTTCTAAAGTAGCAACACATGATTTAGTTTGATAATCCCAGATTTTGACTGTTAAATCATCAGAGGAGGTGATTAAATATGGCTTATCTGGTAAAGGATAGTAATCGACGTAGTTCACACCTTTCTCTTGGCCAGTGGTTAAAGTAAAGTTTGGAGTTGGTTGCCCTAAAGACCAGACTTTGACGGTACGATCTAGACAAGCGGATGCAAAAGTGGAAGGGTCTTTGGGGTTGAATGCAACACACATAACAAAATGTTCATGGCCTTCAAAAGTTTGTTCCAATGCCCAGTCTTTTTCCCAATTCCATAATTTTACGGTTAGATCATCACTACCAGATAAAACATAAGGTTTAGTAGGATGTATAGCTAAAGAACGAATATAATCAGGATGAGCCTCAAAATCAACGACTTTTTCACCAGTATTATAATTGAATACTCTAATTCTAAAATCATCACTCCCTACAACGATCCAATTCTTTCTTGCAATGAACTTACCAGATCTAACTGGAGTTTCAGTTACTTGAATCGATCTAACTTCAGTTTGAGTTTCATAATTCCAAATTTCTACACGACCGGAATATAGGGTGGTTAGGACCCATGGTTCCGTTGGATGGAAGTCAATGCCTTTGACTCTATCGGATCTGTTACTAAATGTTTTCTGTAGGAATTAAAATATAAAATAAAATCCATTAACATTAATCTTCAACGTATTCTTTGGCACCTCTTCATACCTAGAAAAAAAAATCAATAATATAATAAAAAATATTACGTGGGTAAAAAGGGTAGATAACAAAGAAACCGTTAATGAAAATCAATAATTGGTATAGTATTTAATATAACTTGTTAGTAAAAAAGTTCAATATTTGTAACTTGGAAAATAAAATCAGCATTAAAGGCTTCAATTATGTATGAGGGGCAGACGTGTAGTCAACGAGATAAGAACAGCTGTGTAAAGAAAAAAAAGTGAATGAACAGGCAATTGAAAAGAACTTATCCCATACTTCTAAGACCAATTGCCTAAAATCAAAGCAATTCACTCTGCATTGCCCTTTAACTTACCATTTTCAACATTTTTCGTCTTACAGCCCTTGTATACCTAAAACAAAAAGTTGCAGCCTATTTCAATCTGATTCTTCCTCCAAACAAAAAAAGATCCAAAGATCTTATAACATACTTTTATATCCAATTTCATCTCTAGTGATCCTTGATCTAAAGATTGACCATATAGTCTTGATCAAATATCCAATGATTCGTAAACCTTCTTTATATTAGTTCACTTTTATTTCGATTTATTATTATATTCATAGTTTCATTATCTCATAATTAACTACGTAACAAATTTCGAAATTTGTAAATTTTGGCCAAAAAAAAAAAACCAAAGTCGGGGTAACTTACAGAAATGAATATCATCATTAATAACGGAAGCTCTAATACGTATAATTTCTATTTTAGGCAACATATGCACAGATTTGGCAATTGCCCTAACATCTGTATACGATATTAAGTAATGATACCTATTTGGGTAATAAATATGTTTTTTGTTTGATGCTGGCGACACATATTCCTCAAGTGACAGCGACGATTTTGCAAGTTTGGTCATAAAGATAATCAAGTTCAACTTCTGATATTAAACCTTATTATATAAGATATGAGACAATTTGTTTTTGTAGAATTTGTTTGTACTTCGAACACCTTCCCCCCTCCAACAACAACAACAACGGTAACAACAAACTGGTAGACTTATGAAACACTGGTGTAGCTAAAATAGGTTTTCATAACTTCTTGTTGAATACTTATACATTATAACACTGGATTATATAGACATTGGGGTTTTTAATAATTGTTTAAGATTTGTTAGTTTGTGTATTTTGGATTTCATTTTTAATCGATCTTGTACATTTGTGTTGTTGAAGGTAAATGAAGTCTAAAAATTGATTAAATTCTTACATTTACAGACACGTTTGTAAAACTTTTAATTGATCCAAAGTTCCTATTTTCTTGTCACTGAGCGAATTGCTGTTTTGATTACTCTTAGATTATTCCCATGCAGGAGGAAGAAATTTTCTATTGATATAGCAATATTTCTTGACATTTTGAAATGGATATGAATCTCTGCATATATATATATAAACATATCCATATATGAATACCTTTATGTGTACCTATGAAGTTGTAATGCCTAACTCTGTATAAGAGATTTGGATATATACATATTATGAGAGTGGAATGGATAATAATTTTTAATATCTCTTTGAATTCGATACTTTGTTGGGGATGGTCCCTCAAAGATAACTTTATAAAACCGATCTTTGAAAATCAAGATAAAGTGTGTACTATGAAATATCAAGATAATGAACCTGACTATGAAGCTCTATTTGAAACTATTACAGGATTTGATTTACCCTATTTATTTAAAGATTTGGGTAACAAACCGTATTCAGGTTTCAAATTGCAAAGAGTGTTCACTTTGAATCTGTTTCGATTGAGGTTTGATAAAATATTTAGAGTGACATATTGTGATCATGGCAAAGCTCAATGGGTATATGATCAGCCATTATATGAAGATATTGAATGGGATTCTCCGATTTGTGTTTATATACCTCATGCATTTGAAGCGGCTCATAAGCCAAAGAGAAAAATCTGGCAAAAGAAAAAAAATGAACCACTTGATAAAATATATATGAAAACACATTTGAAGGATATTGCTTCAGAAGATTTAAAAAATTTCCATTGCTTTAAATTGGCAAGAAGAAACAAATATACTAATAGGAAATATTCTTTATTTTTCCCAGGAAGTTGGATTGGTGGGCTGTTTTATTGTGATTTAGAAGAAGATACTAAAATGGAGATTTTAGATAATATGAACAACAACTTAGTACCACTAAATTCATTAGGATTTGTTGATTGTGATAACTCTAATTCTCTTCCATTACTCCCTATTATATCAGATGATTATGGAAAAAATTGGGTTGAAATTCAAACCAAATTTGTTAAAACAAAACTTGGCAGAAGCCCTTATTTACAATTTACTAAATATATTCCATATATTTTAACACCAAATTCTCCAAATGGTGCATTGAATTTTAAGTTGTCTAATATTAAAGGTAGTAAATACCTCACTAATACTTGGCACAAACCGTTTAGAGAACAAGTGTCAGACATGCTACAAAGTGGGAAAAATCAAGAAAATTCTGAAGCCTCTTGGTATAATGAAATTGATGTTCAAGAAGATTACAACATTGATCCAAGAGATGAGCGTCTGTTATCGTATCTTACAAAAGAAACAATCACAAAATTTTTAGAACTTATAAATTTTACGAATCGTACAATTAAAAGCTTTTTCGTTCCAATAACTTTAACAAACGTTGAATTTAAAGATGAAAAGAAAGAAGCTCAAGCTTTTATTAAAAAGTTCGTTAATAGAGTTGAAATTGAACTTTGGAAGAATCTATCTATTATAGAGAAATACATTACGATAATTTCAAAATATAGAAATGAACTTAAACCAGTTGAACAGAAATGGAAAAATTTAACATTGTCAACGGAACACTTTGATTATTTGTTAGTTGATCCTTAAAGTATTTAAATAATTAGTATTCAATAAAATTTAACTACATTAATTGAATTAAATTGCCTTACTTTTTTTTTGAATTAATTATTAAACTTTTTCTTTAATTGATAATTTATACTAGATTAGTAACTATAAAAACTTATCATTACGTAACTTGATTAAGATTCCTATTTTTCCAACTTTATTAACTTCTTTTAGGAACGATGAAGTGGCCAGAGCTGCCGACGTGATCTTCTTGGAATAGCAGGAAGTTCTAGGAAATTACTAGAGTGACCATCTGTTGAAATACTTACGGTGTTGCTACTAATATCAAAGTCAATGTGTGATATTTCTATATCAATATTTAAACTGTTGCTGTCATTTACTCCATAGCTTTGAACCGGATATAATTCTGCTGTTGTTTCTATTTTTCCTTCTTTCTTGAGTCCTTCCTTATTAAAGGAATCGTCCACTTCCTCATCACCAAATGATTTATATGAACTTCTGTTATCCATTGAATCTTGGAAAATAATTTTTGATGCTTTAGGAATCATTAATACGATTAGGATCCCTAGAATCGTTACCATTAGAAAGAAGGTGAGCGCCGAATTTAAAATAAAGAATATCCATCCAAATATTGCTGACACAGAATACGTGTTGCCAAATAACTCCGAGAAGAATACAAAGGACAGAGAATTGAACGTGATTACCCCATATATTATTAGATTAACAACGTTGTTCAACATATTTAAATAAGGCCTCCATTTAATAAGAACAACGAAATAGAGTAGATCAGTAATGAAAAGAAGCATCGCTTGAACTTTACCAAATTTTTGAAGAAAAGCGACTATTATTGTCTTAATTAACAGAATAGCAAACATTATTGGTCCCCACCAATAATATTTGATTTTGAATTTGCAATACAAGCTACCAAACCTTGTCAGTATATGTTGGTTACCGTATATTATATAGCCAGGGTGTCTAAAAAATTCTTTAGACATTCTGCCATTTCTTATATATCTGAATGAAGAAATTGATATGGATCCTATCATAAGAAGGAATAATAAGATTGCAATTGTTAATAACGCAGGAGAATCCAGATGCATAAACTCCCAAAATACTAATATCGTAACTGGGATAAACCCTATTGTTAGATAAAATAAGATTGTTCCCTTAAACAAATCATTAAAATTATTTTGAATACTTTGAAAACGGATAGGCTTCAATTTCTTTCCTTTTAATAAGAATATTGATATTAGCTTACAAAAGCAAACAAATATCCCAATAATAATTCCAAAACCTAAAAATGATAAGAAACCAGTTGCCGCAATAGATGTGTTTTCTATTCCAACTTTATATGCAACTCTTTGAACACCTCTAAATAGAAGAGTATTTTCACTTTCATAGATCTTGTTATTTAAACGTCTTTCTAACTTGTTTAAAAACTCTAATCCTCTCTGGGTTAACACTGACGATTTAGTGGCCGTCAAATTTAAAGTTGGATCACCTCCTGTAGCCTCTATATACCATCTCATTATTTTTTGAATGCATGGGACTGGTATAAGTCCTAGAGACCAGATAAAATTTTCTGTCCATGCTGTCGCAATGGGAGGAACTCGATTCACAGATTGCATACTAACCAACAGCACAGTTTGAAAGTATTGGACAATTGATAATATAATTGCCAAAACACTTGAATATGTATTTAAATTACTAAACAAAAATAAATACACTGTTAGAAATATCCCAATGCCTGTGATAATTGCAGTGAGCCATTGAATGGCTAGATGTGTGACACTTTTACCATTTGAAAAAAATAGTTTAACACATGCAACGTCAGTGTTATCTGTATTCTGTAATTTAACTACTGCATATGCATCAATATCAGGTACAAAATAGGCTATATTTGGTATTCTCGAAGTGTAATTGCTTGGTAAATATTGAACGGCCTCAATCCTAGGGTTTCCTTGATAGATTGGGCATAGTTGCTTTAGTTTCATTTCACAGAAGTCTAATTTTTCTTCCGCAACTTTAAAACCATACGCATATATTTCAATATTTGCATGTATATATCCTTCAATGTTGTTAACCAAGTCAACATTATAGTGTAGAGAATTATCGTTACCATTGAATGAAACATCAAAACTGTTCGCTGTAATCAGAGAATTTTCCATACATGGTACTAACGAAGTAGATATCAACCTTTTATTTGAACTTGAAAGTTTATCCAAGGTTGCTAGACTATAAGCAACTATTCTCCTTATCTTCATCCTTTCAACTTGTTTACCTTTATAAGTGTCAGTAATGAAAGCTTTCTTTTGAAGGAAACAAAGGAGATCTTGTATGTATATATATTTAAAATGCACAATTGTTTTATAAATCATAAGTTAGTAAAATCACATTTAACTAATTTCATAGTTTGTCTTGTGTTTTGATTAATCAAAGGTGGATGTATATATACTTATATGCCATAATTATTCAATATTTAGACCTGTTGCCTCTCTAGAGTGACATCCTTAAAATTTAATTAATCGAACAATATAACAAAATGATCCTCCAAAGATATTTAGATTGGATATTATGCTATAATTATTTATTGCTCTCATCGCATCTTTTCGATGCCCAAATTTTCTATCTTTTATAGGCTTTTGCTCCAGAGCAAATGTCACAACCAAAAACCTTTTAAATTTTAGATGTATAAAGCCTTCTCATTATAAACTGAATTAAACAACAAGTGACTAATTTAGTTTAAGCAAAATTAAATATAATCGCTGTATTTAACTTCCTATTCAATTATATTTTGTATGCTTATAACAATTTGGTCCCGAAAGCATGTATGGTGATGGATGATATATATTAAGAGTTCGCTACAAAATCAATTTTATAGGGTGAAAGACACAGTAATGCTAAAAATATATGAATATAAAATTTTGAAAGAATATTTTAATATTCTTCTCACCTAAATTATTTTGAAGGTTATACTGACATTAGTCCTCATCTTTTCATTGAAGTTGCATGAATTATTGTATAACGTCAACTTTATAAGAAAAATAGATCGAAGTTTGTATATAGATACCTTATTCAAGTAGACAATGATTTATGAACCAAAGGACAAAACTGGATTATAATATTTATATTCATTAATTCATATATATATATATCATGATATATAGTTGTCATCAATGAGATGATATTAAAAACGACGCTGTTCCTCTGAGGGATCGTTCACTTTTAGGGATTTAAATTGTATTTCAGATAAATTTATCAAACTTTCTATGCTCCTTGGCTTTGTTTCATCATTATCATTATCTAATGTATTATGTTTTTCTTTAGGTTTTTTCTTACTCGTATTAAATCTCTTCCTTATGAAAGCACCTTTTTTAGAGTTTGCTTTGTCCTTATTTTGCATCGAAAACCAATGTGTATTGACTCTTGGTTCATTCCTTTTGGATGGTTTCCCACAACACATGTCAGAAGGTTCAACTTTATAACAATGGTGTAATGAATTCTTTAGAGAACATTTTATGCAATTATTGATAGGAGGTACAGTACTAAATGATTTCCAACTACGCTTATATGTATAACTGTCATCACCTCGTTCATTAGGGTTGTATAATAAGGAACCATCAATAGTTTGCCATTGCGAATTCATATTGTATAAATTGTTATCATCAAATAGGTTATTTGAATCATGGTCATGGTATTCACTACTTGCTTCAAGAGCCATTATTGCGGTGTTCGATTTTTCTATCTTTTATTTTATAACAAATAAATAAACCTCTATACGTTTGCATATATATTATTTTCTTTCATTAATAATAATCACAAGTAGAAGAAAACATTTTAAAAAAACATCATTAACAATGTATTTAGAATATTATTCATATTTATATATTTATAATTAATTGACTAGCAGCTAATCCCGCCAGTGTCAATTCGTTTACCAACCTTATTTTTTAATGAAGCTTATGGCTGGATTATTTGCTGTATGCCAGTCACTTCTGGTGACACTTTACCATTAGGGGTACCATATTTGATCAAGTACCATTTTCAAAAAAGAAAATCTAATATATTATTACCATTTAACTTGAGCAAGTACCTTGCCTCATAAACTTTTCCTTTTCTTCTGGTGGTACATGTCTCAAGTTTGACCACTCATTCTCTTTCTCATTTTTTAGTGAACTATCCCACTTCGACGAATCGTAAGGATTTGAGCTCATGAGGTATAATTTCTTTAATAATGAGGTATCTAATATAACTTTTTCTTGATTCAAGAGGTTACGTTGGTTCATCATAAAATCATCAATTACCTCATCAAAAATCCAGTTTCTTGGGGTAAACAATGGGTTAACTTGTGAGGAAATACGTAATTTTTCCTTATATTTAGGTATAATTTTAGTATAAGAAATGGTCCACTCTTTTAATTGTTCAAAAACCTGGGGTAATTTTTCCTCCCAAATACTATCTCTTGTGGTTTTATTATCATTAGAAAGGTTCTTTAAGACATCAAATTGATTCTCATCAAAAAATAACTGCACATAATTTTCATCCAACCCTTCAAAATTGTCATTTGGTTTATCAATAAAATATTCACCTTCATAATTTTGTAAGTTAACAAAAAAATTATTATAATCGATTTGAGTAGATTGCAGAATATTTAATAATGGTTCCAGAATTGTGTCACAAAATTCTTTTGTCACTTCTGAAGCTCTTTCTATATCTTTCATTTCATAGAACGATTTGGGTATTGATAGATCAATTCCTAGACGCTTACTCATGATACCAGCATATTTAGTGGTAAATCTAAATCTATACTCATTATAAGCTAGCTCGATTAACTTATTAGCACGATTGACAAGTTCCATTTCTAGTTCCCGATCCATATCGTTATAGTTCATATTCATGACAAACTCTAGATGTTTCTCACTAGCTCCAATCAAAGGAGACAAAGATTGTGCAAACTGTACTAAGTTCCACCATATTATACTTGGTTGGTTTTTAAAACTATATCTATTGGTCGAATCATCGTGATTTGGCGTGAAATCTGGTTGAAACTTATCAAGAAAACTGAATGGACCATAATCCATAGACAATCCCATAATTGAAGTATTATCGGTATTAAGAACACCATTTACAAATCCATATGATTGCCAATATGCTACACATTCTGCGTTTAGATTAACGACATGTCTAAAGAACAAATCATATTTTGTACATCCTTCTAATTTTGTTTTATGCAACTCTTCATCTTTATTGAAAGGAATTTTAACTTCTCCACTTCTACTATCTGGAAAATAATTCTTGTCAAACATGTTGATATCCAATTCTTTTGGAAAATTGCTGCCATTGTCAAAGATGCTATCAATACAGAAATCAGTTAGAGAAACCAAACCTTTCAAATCAGGTCTCCATCTGAAAAGATCGAAATTACCTAACCTTATCCAACATGGTGAAAACCTACATACCACTGCACATGGCTCGAATTCTGCTCTTCTCGCTCTTGTTTTAGGTAGAGACGTAAGTTGGATTGCTCTTGTTGACGGTATACCTATGCCATGTAATGCCTCGCTGATTATAAATTCTCTTATACTAGACCTTAAAACTGCTTTGCCATCAGCAAACCTCGAAAAAGGAGTTAATCCACTTCCCTTTAACTGAAATGTTTGCCATTTATTATTTCTATCTCTTAAGTCAAATAAATTAACTACTCTTCCATCACCCAGTTGTCCGGCAAAATTCCCAAATTGAAATCCTGCATATGCCAGACTGTACGGAAACACTTTATCAGTATAGTAAACTTGTTCACCATCGAATATTTTATAAAATTCATCATCAACTTTCAGTCCCATATCCTGTACTGCATTGTCAGATACAATTAAGGGTTTATAAAATGGTCTCTTTTCTGGTGCAGTATAAGCAAAGTGACTACCCTTAGCGATCAATCTTGGAGTATGGAAATTAGAATCTTTATCTAGATTTGAAACATCTTGATTCCCTTCATAAGCACTTATAGCTGAAGAAATTGAAGGGATCAGATGATCCGGAGTCAGCTTCTTGATTAATCTAGAATTACCACCTTCCTTCAAAACTTGAAGAATAGATCTACTCTCACTCATATCAAACCTAAATAAATGAATAAGTACAATGGTGATAACGATAATGATATACTTATCAAATCCCTCCTAAATGATTTATTCAAAATAAAAATAATGTCCCTTAAACGTTTCTCGTCACTTTCGAAGACAATATATTTTATTTCTTTGTCGTCATTACTTAAAATTACCAAATAAAAGCTCAAAAATTAACTTCCACCAGTCTAATTAATCTTGATCCATAATTATTATAACAAGAATAGCTTCTAAACTTTTAAATAGATTCAAAACTATTTTAATTGAACCCATCATTGATTGTTCTAGCCAGAAACCTTTAAATTATATTCATAATCAGAATTTTTTTTTGATATTCGAAGGCTTTGTCCGGAAACTTCTGGAGGTTTTCCTTTTGAAAAATTATATCAAAAGAAAGTTCAACCACATCGATTTCGAAATTCGAATTCGAAGAAGAAGAAGAAGAAGAATAGGAACAGCCTCATGTTTTAACGATAGTTTCTATATATGAGTGTTAAATCATACTTTTTGATTATATATTAAGTTTAGAAGTGTATAGAATTTTTTTTGAAGTTAAAAATACATAATTATAATAATTATTAGAGTAGTGAAAGTAATTTTGAAAGCTTGAATTTATCTGAGCAAAGAGTTGTTAAATGGTGAATAAAATTAATTACTATTCATCTCATGCTATATTCATTACATTAGGAGTTTTAATAAAATTTTAAGTTAATTTGATATGGGTGGTGACATTTCAATAACTAATTTTTCTGAGGCTAATGAGAATCCAAGGTCTCATAATCTGGGGATTGATTTAAGTCTTGCTTTGCAAGCAGAACAATTACACAACTCTTCGATGACTAATGATGAAAGTGTAAAACCAAATGTAGGTAATGGGAAAGTTGAAACCATGGTCGATGAAACTTGTATTAAGGATAATGCCAAGGACAAAAATATTGCATTATCTGAATTTGTTGTGACAACAACAAAAAGTGGAACTGGTTCTAATGAAATTTTGGCTAATGCTGAAGTAAGCAATACTGGATCTAATGATACAAGTTTTAATAATACTACAGTCAATACTTCTGTTGTGAAAGAAAACGATCAATTTGAAAAAACTGACTCAGTGAAAATAATCGCAGAACCAAATCAGTCTATTAAAGTACCAGAGCCTGTAGCAATTCAATTGAACGGTTTGATGAACTCTAGTGAAATCCAGAATGGCCCAAATGAATCGTTACCTCATCTTTTAACGCTTGCACCATCTATTACCGACACAACAACTACGCCAGTGGTTCCAACAATCACAAATACATCTGGATATTCTTATAATTCTAGTTCTAATGAAAATATTTACAGTAATATGAATGAATTGGGGAAAAATGGTATTAAATTCAGTGTTTCAGATACAATGTTAAAGAGTAACAAGTTACCAAATAACTCTACTTCGAAACCTCAATTATACAAAGATATACGGTCATTTAGTTCTATGACAAACACTAATATCCTTCCTCCCACTTCCAATGATAGAACTACTGTGACGGTAAAAATGTTTCAAAGAATGGATGAGTTAAGTGCAAGAATGATTGCCATGGAGGAAATGTTAGAAAAGTTATGTGGAATTATTGAACATCAGAATACTACAATAACGGATTTAAAACAAACTAATAATAGTTATTTTGAAAATGTTACGGAAAGAATGAACTTATTCCAAAAACATTTAGTTGAGTTAAATACCCAGACTCCAAATAACGACCATGATATATTTGCGATGGATCTGTTGAATTCGATAACAAATGTTAGCAGTGCATACTTACGAAAAATGAAGAGTAAGAACAACTCGACCTCTTCTTCATCTCATGCAGTAGGAGCGATACATAAAAAACCTGTTAATAGGAGCTCATTAACGAAGCAATTCAGTACACCTGATCTATCAAGTGTTGGACAATCAGGGTTCAAAGGACAAATAAATGTCCCTGGAAGGTCGACATTTACTTTAAATCCGAATGGTATTAAGAGAAGAAAGAAAGTAGTTAATCAAAATGATTTCTTAACTATAGTTCCTAAAGCCAGTCGTCAAAACCATTCGAATACTAATGTTGTAGATAATAAAGTAGACAACAATTCAATCACAAATTCATATCCTGATATTTCATCATTGAACAGTTTCAGTACAGTTAGTTTGCCAAATTTAACTTTGGAGAACACTGGAATCACTCCTCTTATCAAGGGTTCTAATGGTCATATGTTCGAGCATCCAAACAGCCATCCGACTTCAAGGGTGCCAACACCATTACTACCAGTAGCAGCTTCTTTTAATCCGCTGGAAACAGCTTTGAATAGAAAAGTGAGTAAGAAACAAAAGCCATCATCTGGATCAGAATCGAATAATGAGCTGATTATTGAAAATCATGATGATGACGATGATGATGGGTATCAAGAAGATGATGACGATGATAATGATAATGAGAACGAAAACGATAACGACTTCGAAAATGACCGCGCCAGGAAAACTGAGGTCGATCCAAAAAAGAAGTCGTCAACAACAATTGAAAATACAACTAATACTGACAAGACATTGAAATCAATTGGGTTATCGATGACAAGATCTGTTTCAAAAGGTGAAAAGGCAGATAAAGATCAAAAATCACATACTGAAGCAGAACATAACGATTCCGTCGAGGAGTCTTCTGAGGCCTTGAATTATACGTTATTGAAAGCACCAAGTAGTGTTAGAACTATTTGGGAAGAATATGTCCATGGTAAAGAAGGTTGTCCATCTGTGAAACAGCTAGAAGAAAAATACGGTAATAAATGGAGGGTCGATAAAAATCGTAAAACTTTTGCAAGAAGGAAAAGATTGTATAAATTCATTCTAAAAGGTATCGAGAAGGGAAATACTGCTGATGAAATGATACGAATTTTAGAAGATAGAAGACTATATCGTGATGAGAAGGGAAACCTGAAACGTAGAACGATAGGTTGGTTACAACAAAGTCTTTCAGGAACATAATATAACAAGTTTGATAGAGTTATAACAAATGTTCCATTTTGTTTTGTAATATTCTTAGAGATAGATGTAAAATAAATTATAGATAGAATTATAGACTTATAGATTATAAAATTAACAATAATAAAAACAAATATTGTTTTTAATACTAATTGTTTACGCGTCTTATAAATTATTTTCTTTATATTTGGCGTTGTTTTTGTTTATATGTTTATTATTTACTATTCATTTGTTTGGTAATCGTATATAATTCTACAAACCCGCATAAAATGCTCACGTTCGACAAGAAATCAACACACATGCATACAGAAATTAGATATATATGTATAATAATAGAATACAAATCAGCTAATGAGTTAATATCATGCAAAGTTGCTATATATTTTACAAAAACTCCCCCATCCCCTCCTTCCTTGTGGCTCCTTCATCACCATTAGATTTGTTGCATTCAATATTCTCTAATATACACAATATACCATACATAAATAACCCAATAGATGTAGAAGAAGGAAGCACCAATAAAAGTAAAACAACTAATTAGTTAAGAAAATATCTATCGTACTTTACTTACATGTCTAAAAACTCCAGGGAATACATTTAATTGTTGCTATTAACAAATCTATTCGTATAACTACATATAACGTTCAACTGTTTTTCGAAATCATCGAAAAGGGACTAGTTAAAATTAGTAATTTATTGGTAATTTTGGTAATTTTGGTAATTATCAATTGCTTGTTCTTTGAAATAGTAAATTATTCGGTTTAAATATAAACCTTCGACTCTCAGTATCACAATAGTAATCTTTTGGAACTTCAGTTACTCATTTGGTTAATGAGTTAGTGCATAGTAGTTGATTCCAGAAATTGGCTTTCCCTATTATAGGTATAATAGTTCAATTGCGCGATGAGCTTAGCTTATAAGCAGTGTATAGACAGATTTAAGAGGATGACAGTCTAAGGTGTTTATTTGTATTTTGTTATTAAATTCTTGTTTAGTTTGTTATTGTTATTATTATTGTATTATTATTTTATTGTTGTCCAGTGGGTTTAAGGTTTGTCTAAGTTATGAATAACGTAGGTTGTCAGTTTGTGGAAAACTAAAGACACAAATCAGCCATATTCCATTTAAAAGGTTTATACTCCTTCGTATATATACATTTATATTTTATATAAAGGTCCTTGGGTTGAAATATATTGATATCCATTATATATGTTGCTCTTGATGGTTCCTTTTTAGATAAAGTGATGTAAATGTATATGAACATTAGCAGTAATTAATTATATCCATAAATATAAGCTTTGGAATATTAGGTTATTATGGACATTTGTTATAAATAATGATAAATTTTAATGAAAAGGCAATTATCTTGACAAGGGCAAAACCTTTGCAAGGTATTTATAATAGTAACCATTTCCCACAGTTTAGGCAAATTTTCAGAAATGAACGATTACATAGCACCATCAATAAGAAAGGGCCGTTTAATGCAAGGGTGCCTTCCACTAGGAATTCAAATTTCCACACTATGAAAATAAGTTTAGGTACAACAATGCCAAGAAATTTATCAAATACTGAACATTTTCAGAAATTTTGTAATCCTATACTTGAGGGAACGATAAAAGTTTTAAATAATGACATCTTACCAACTGAACTAAAAAAGAATGAATCTTCACAAATTGAAAATAAGCATTCCCATACACATCAAATAGAAAATGTCCACAGTCATACTCATAGTCATAGCCATAGTCATAACCATAGTCATTTGCATGAAACTAATCCATTTTTGATATTAAGTACTAAGGAATTTAGAAATAATCCTGGCGTGAGAGTAACTTGGGCAGGTCTGGGTACCAATGTAGTGATAGCTATAGGTAAATTTATTGGTGGAATAGCATTCCACTCTCAGGCATTATTGGCAGATGCAGCTCATTCCCTTTGTGATATGGTTTCTGATATTTTGACTCTTTTTTCGGTAGGTCTAGCTGCAAATAAACCAGTTTCTGAGTATCCTTATGGTTACGGTAAAGTAGAAACAGTGGGGTCACTGGCGGTGTCTACAATTTTATTTACAGCAGGTGTTTCAATTGCATGGACTTCGTTGTGTAGTATATTGGGACCTATAATTCCTACTACTATTCTGCAAAGTTTTTCCAGTCTTTCTGGCGAAGTGCATCATCATGTTCATGTTCATGGCTACCACAAGATGTCACTAATATTAATGCTGCCTGGATTGCGGCTGGATCAATTGCAATAAAAGAGTGGGTATTTCGTGCAACTAAAAAGGTAGCACTTCAAACCAATTCAAACGTGTTAATGGCCAATGCTTGGCATCATCGTGTTGATTCTTTGACATCTTTGGTCGCTTTAGCTACAATAACTTCAGGTTACTTCCTTAATATCCAGATGTTGGATGCGGTAGGAGGTTTGTTGGTGTCTGGAATGATTATCAAAGCTGGGGCAGAAGGGATGTTTGAATCCACGAAAGAATTGCTTGATAATGCACTTCCAAAGGATAACGACAAATTTATTGAAATTTCGAACACACTTAAAGATACACTATCTAAATTTAAGGATTCTGATACCGGGGAAGTGTTATATAAAGTAAAACATATAACAGTGATGGCATCAGGACCTAATTTATTAGCATCTACACAACTTCAAATTCCTTCTCTCAAGTGGAGTAATATTTTGACAGCAAAAGAATTGGAAAATGTCAGTAAGAATTTGAGGAAAGCTCTATACCACAAGGTTCCAAATTTAAAGAATATAAACATTGAATATATTAGTGGTAATAGTTCACCCTAAAGGTTGGGATTGATTGAAATTGTACAAACGATTTAATGTTGTGTCGCTACACAATCCGGTAATATCTTTCATTACCATTTGTGTTTTCACCATTCAGTTAGATTTTTCCTGGTTTATTCAAAGATCTTATTATGCATTTGAGTGAGGAACCAAATTGACAACCAATATCTTGATCGAACAACATTTATAATGACTGTCATTATTCGAAATAACATTATTTTATTTATAGAGATATCAATAGATATATATATAACAATTCAATTGACTCGATATTTTTTAATTTACTCTTGTATACTTTCTCTCACTTCAAATGACCTTTACTTTTTGCCCACATTTATAATCAAACAGCTACAATTATGTAACCTCATCACAACTTATTGATCGAGCTATAGTCAAAGTATCAAAACTATTCTTTTAGTAGTTCATAGCTTTATCATTATTAATTAATGTCTTTAATTGACGTCATAACATCAATGAATATTTTGCTAACGCCTGCCTTTCCTGATCTCATCTTGAAAAGGTAGAAGCAGCAATGAGATATTTCATAAGAAACGAAATTAAGCTTGAAGATATAAATAAGATTTATAATAAATTAATGGTTATATTATTCAAAACAGTTTTAAAATGAAGGTAGAATATCACTATATCGATAGGTTTTCTGGTAAGACACTCTTCGGTTTTATTCTCATTGAAGCTAACAAAATCCTGCTGGCCTCCCTTTAATAATGCCTAAAACTACTGCTGCATGTTTAATTATTGGTGATGAGGTACTAAATGGTAAGATACAAGATGCTAATTCACCTTTCTTTGCAAAATATTGTTATAATTTGGGTATTGAATTGAAGGAAATTGTTACAGTTGGAGATGAAGAGGAACAAATTATAAATAGTATAAAGAGGCTTTCTAAGAAATATGATTTTATAGCTACTACAGGTGGAATTGGACCTACTCATGATGATATAACTTACGAATGTATTGCAAAAGCTTTCGGATTAGATTGTATTCTTGATGAAGAATGTAAAGCTAGAATGCAAATTAAATCGAACCCAGAGGCAAGGTTAGATAGTGAGGCCTTGAAAGATTACTATAGAATGGCTACCCTACCGACTGGATCAAATGTGAAGAGTTATTATCTTGTTGATGATCTATGGGTCCCTATTTGTTCAATTAACAATAATATTTTTATTTTCCCAGGTATTCCTCAGTTATTTCAGAAATTACTGGATTCATTTGTTGATGTGATTAAAGATATCTATAATATTAAAGATCAAAGCCATGAATATATGCGTTATTTCGTTAAAACTACTTTATCAGAATCCCAAATTTCACAATACTTAAGAAATTTACAAACAGAGGCTTCTTGTGTATCTGATGAAATTAAAATTGGATCCTATCCACATTTTGGTTTAGGGTTTAATACTGTTAGCATATTTGGAACAAAAGATAATTCCGAATATTTAAATAAAATAAAAATTAGAACGATAGAAAAGCTTAATGGTGAAGAACTATCTGCTGAGTATGAAGAGCAAATATCCAACCGCATATAGTAAGTTGAAACATCAGTCGTAGCTCCTACACTGGTGGATATTTTGTATAATTTATAATTGTATATATATATATATCCAATTGTTCAAAAAAAATCACTCTTATTAATATACATATTATTATATTATCTATCTACTTAAAATTATTGTTAAAGCACAGCTTTTATATTGCATCCTAATCCTCTTCATCTTCATCATCGGTATCAACTGGCTTAGGAGTACCCTTTGGTGATGACAACCATTCGATATAACGCAGACGACGACGTTCAACTTGGGCCTTCTTTTCATTTCTGGTCAATCTCTTCTTTCTTTGTTTAACCTTGATATTTGCTGGAGAATCATCATCATCAACAGATGAAGCAACTTTGCTAGCAATACCGACAGCATCTGGATTACCACCATCTTCGAATCTTGATTGATCGATTTCTTTAATACCCTTCTGAGTCATTTCACCATTTTCAACAATCCATTGCTCAGGACATAGGGCACCAACAAATTCATTGTTATGCGAAATCATGACAACACCACCAGTCCATTCACGAATGGCCATAGCCAATGCACCTAAAGAGTCTCTATCCAAATAATTGGTAGGTTCGTCTAAAACTAATAAATGAGGATTATTCCACATTGCACCGGCAATGACAACCTTAACCAATTGACCACCTGATAAAGAACCTAATGGTGTGTGGTTTGCAATTTCAGCATCCAACCCAACATCTTCAAAATGCTTAGTAATAACAGATGGTACCAATTCACGGTAACCTAAACCTTCTCTAGAAGCTTCGTGATCATCAAACTTTTGAACCAATTTCTCAAAACCGTGTTCTACCAAAACGTCCTTTGGAACCCAAGAGTTATATTTTGGCTTCCAGTATTTCCATTTAACTTCGTATTGGAAAGATTTTTTCAACTTTTGTCTACCGACAATTGCTTCAATTGCTCTCTTACCTCTACCATCATTGATATCAATTTCCTTTAACATCATTTCCTTTTCTCCCTCAGAAATCTTTCTGGATTCCTTCAACAAAACTTCACGGTCATCACCAAATTGATAACGCCATTGTAAGTATTGGTTTGCAGTCTTTTCTTTATGTTCATTAACATGTTGCAAGGCATGTTGAGCGATGTAACCAATACGTAAATTAGGATGCTTTTCAACTTTACCTTCTTTTGGAACTAATTCACCTGTCAATAATTTGATTAAAGTCGATTTACCAGCACCATTTGGACCAAGAATAGCCACACGTGAAGATAAAGATAAAGCACAAGAGGCATTTCTCAATTGTGGTTTTTCGGCACCTGGGTAAGTGAAGGTAACATTGCTCATCTTAGCAACCGCTCTAGTGTTAGACTTAACACCAGTTAAAATACCTGGCGGTGGGAAATGCATTTGAGCATTAGAATCAGTTAATGTATAGTAAGCTTTTGCTTCCGGTTTTTGTTCGACAAAATCTGCCAAATTACCCTTGTAGTATATTAACTTTTTGTTTTCATAGTGAATAATATCGGTACAAACAGCATCCAAAAATCCAGAGTCATGTGAAACAATCAAGGAAGTGATGTTGGTGTGTTCCAATAAATATTCTTCCAACCACTTGACATTTCTGACATCCAAATGGTTAGTAGGTTCATCCAGCAATAAGATATCAGCCTTTTGCAACATAGCTCTAGCAAGTTCTAACTTCATTTTCCAACCACCAGATAATGAACCGACAGTTTGAGCCCTTCTTTCTTCATCGAATCCAACGGATTCTAAAGCCTCAGCAATTTCATCACGGGAAGTGCTTTGTAATTGTTCATCTAAAGCGATAAATGAAACCAAGTCTAGATCACCTTCTTCACCTTGAAGTTTGTGTTCGACAAAACAAGTTCTTAAAGTATCTTTATCTGGGAAGCCTTCTAATTGGCCATTAGCAATGGATCTCATTAAAGTAGATTTACCGGCACCATTTCTACCACATAAACCATAACGGTGACCCTTCAATAGACGTAAGTTTGTCTTATTCAATAACATTCTAGAACCATACGCTAAAGAAAAGTCGGTATTAACAATTTCAATACCTTCGTCTTCATCAGCTGCAACCTTTTCTTGATGGAACAAAGCTCTAAAATCATGGATAAATGTACTTTGAACAAATTCACTGTTTGAATCACCAAATAAGTTGATTAAATATTCTTCTAATTTCTTCCAGTCGTTAACATTTGCATTGTAAGTTAAGTATTCGGATAGATAATCAGTAACATTTTCATCTTTTAATAGAGCTTCGACAGTGGAGCCTTTTTCGATTGGTGCATTCTTAATGTGTTTCAACAGAAATTCTTTGCCGAAGTCAGAAGATAATCTTCCTGGGAAACCCTCGGTATCTGTAACTTCACCATCTTCATTGTTCAAGACTTTCAAAGCTTTGCTAGCCAAGTCACGAACTTCTGGTAAAGATGCAGTTTCGACAACTTTCTGCACACCTGGTAATAATAGAGGAATAAAACTTTCGATTTCAAAACGGTTATTAACCAATCTTGTTAAATTTTCGATGACAATAACAGTTTGTCTTAATTGTTCTTGAGAAGAGGATGATAGATTCAAAGATCTGTTTAAAATAGGAACCAATAAAGACAAAGAAGGTTCGGTGACTTCGGCAACAAATGTCACACTTGACAATGATTTAACAGATGCTGGAACTTTTTGTGGATCTTGTAAAGTGTCTACAATCAGTGGGAAACGGGTAGCCAAATCCAAATTATCTAAGATGGAGACGAAGTCTAGCATAGTAGTTTTAGCTTGCTTGGCCAATTCTGGTTTGAAATCGGTAGCGACATCGGTTAAAACAGGGATAGTTTGCTTGAATTTCAATTCCAATAAATCGTTTGGAGAATCTTCTCTTATTCTATCAACGACAGATAATGCACCTAATTTAGATTGCCATTTAGCACCGGATTCCAAATAGTCCAAAATTTTTGGTAAGACAGTTGGAGCCAATGATTCTACTGGGAAGGCGTTTATCAATGCATCGGTAGCATGCTGACCTGCACGTTTGACGGTATTTTCTTTATCAGCGTATGAATCCAATGTGTATTCGAATAGAGGTAATAGATTAGCTTCTTCTGGAGCTTTATTAGAGTATTTTTCAGCTAATTTTGAAATCAAAATCATTGCAGATTCTCTAACTAGAGCAGTATTTTTTGGTTTAGCGAATCTAGATAAAACTTCAGGGATTTTCCAATCTTGGATGCTTTTACTGCAAACTGTAGGGTCGTTGAATTTTTCCATGACTGCTTCGATTTGTTTCTTACATTCTGAGATTGATTCACAAGAAGGTAATTTTGCCAAATCTTCAGAGACGGGACTCATTTCTAATTTTGACATCATATCTACTAGAGAAGTTAAAGAGGTAGTAGAAGCAGATGGAGTTGGTGTACCACTATTATCTGGAGTGACAGCAGATTGCTGGTATCTCTGATTGCCTGCATTATAGTTTTGATAATTTCCTTGATAGTTTTGGTAATTACCTTGGTAATTTTGAAAATTCCCATTATTGTAAGAGCTACCTTGATTCCAACTACGTTGTTGCTGTTGGGACTGTTGTTGGTTGCCGTTGTAACTACGCTGTTGTTGGTAACTGCTATTTTTCTTAAAATAGCCACCAAATGGCGATGCAACTAAATTTGGGTCTGCAACTTGTTGACCCAAAAACTCATCTAAACTCTGTTTCTGTTTTGGAGGCATCGTGTACAGTATTTAAAATATTGCAACAGTTCAGTCGATATTATCTCTATTGGCACTTCTACTCTTATGTTAAAGCAAAAGCAAGAATAAAAAATAAAAATAAAACAAAAAAAACGTTAATCAGTCTTTCTTATCTGGATGAAGATAACAATATATCAGGCCTGATGAGGTTGGAATTCAAATAAGTAGAGTAAATGAAATGATATAGAATTAATGATAAATCTTACCTTTAAAATCATTCGATGAGCTTTAAAAGTGAAAAATTTTACTAAAACTTTCTTTTTTTTGCTTTGCTCATCTCTCACTCTCTCTCTCTCTCTCTCTCTCTTTGCTGTATTTTCCGAAACGCACAAATCAAAAATAGAGAGAGAAGTATTAAGCCTGAAGTCATTGGGACTTTTGTAGCGGGAATGGGGTGTCGGACTGGGACTGGGACTGGGACTGTGAATGCGAATGAGAATGAGAATCCGGATGGGAAGGAAAAAGGACAATAGCCGAAAAACGTGAGATGTGGTGTTACCCGGGCACAGTGCGGTTGTTCACGGCACGTGATACGCACGTGGTAGGTTGAACAAAACAAAAATAAAAACTGAAATGACGTTCGGCTGGAATGGAATTAGGGGACTGGGATTGTAAGTAGACACAAAATCAAATTTAATTGAATTGAATTGATGACACAAAATCAGAAAAATAATAATAATAATTATAATAATAATAATTTAGTATATAAAGAAAGGCAGAGAGATGTATCAGAGATATCAATAATATTCATATTTCTTCTCATCGGTTTTCCTTTCTCTTTGCTTTGTAAGTGTGTTATTTGTTTAGATTTTTCTGTTCCCACTGACATCAACAACACATGACGATGTAAAAGCAATGTCCTTTTGTTTGCATAGCATACTAATCTGATCTGCTCTTCTCTGCTCTGCTCATGTCAATCAGACCCGAGTAACGGGCCCCCTCTGTATTAGCACTGCAGTTGCAAATATCTTTTTATATAATTCTAAATAGATTGCATGTTGTCGTCGTTATTCACATCTCGTTCTCCTAGAAAACGTGACATGACTTCACATGAAAATTTGCTCTGTACTATTTTTATTTTCGAGAGAAATGGAAATAGTACAGCATTACCATTACCATTGGAATAGCTCGAACATAGTTAGTTCATTCCTTCTTATTTAGTTTTTATCTGTACTGGGACTTTTTGGTGTTGTGGATGAAACAAACGCGATATGAAAAAAGAATAAAATAAATCGCGTAAAAGAAAAATAAACAATAATAATACGAACAGAACAGGACACTACTAATTTTAATTCGAATATTAATATATACAAAGAGAAAGATTTATTCAAGAAAATAAATTTAACTTATTGATTACTTGATTTATTTTTTTTTTGATCAGTTATAACTTGTTTACTATCATTGATATTCAATTGTTTTAGATTTGGATTTAGATTTAGATTTGGATGGAAACGATTTATTAATGCTACATTAATAACTCGAACGTTAATATTTTTATACTGTTTGTTTGTCTTTTTCCTCACAATTCTACCAATACCCAAAGACAATAAATATATTGGCATTTAAATACAACCACATATCTTTTTCTATATTAATGGATTAAACTAAAACAAAATAAAACAATTGGAAGAGAAATATATTTGTGTACTTATTTATTTATTAATTCATTCATTCATTCGTTCGTTCATTCATCAAAAATGGAAAAAATAAGTCGGATGAATCTAAAGATCATATATGACCTCGATAATAATACCAATAATACTTATTTGGCTTTATCAAAGAAAAAAGCTCCAATTAGAATCCTAAAAGTTCCACAATCCTCTACAGATCAAACTTCAGATACAATCCCAAAGTTCGGTATCACTTATTTATCTAAAGTACTGGATGTCATTCTGGAAAGCTCGCCGGAACTCATTGATCAGGATACCCTAGGTGATATTATTGATTACAATTTATACTATAAAGATTTTTATGAAAAGAGTGAACCTTTTGTAAGTATTGGATTACTCTCAAAACTACAAAAAAAAATTGCAAAAGGTATAAAGGTCGAAAATAATGAACCTATCGATGATTTGATTGTTATGGGGAAAATCGTTGTGAACACTTCAAATATATTCCAAAAGAAATCAACCGATAACTCTCCATCGTTTGATACTCTATTATTAAAGCTAAGACTTTCAAAAGTTACAATATCAAAACTAAGCAAAAAGACTTCGCCACCTGTTAGGCAGGCGCTTAAAGACATATCCCATCAAAATAATAAAACAAGTTCAACACAAATGTCAAGCTTGGCAAATTCGCAACCTTCAATACCTGTAAAGTCAATACCCGCAAAGAGGCAGACAAATCCAATGCCAGCTCCAAAGGCTAAAAGAACTCAGTCTTTACCAATATGGGGTCCAAAGAATAACCAAAACATTATAGATCTACCAACTAATTCAGTGGCCCATAAAATTTACTTGGCTGATAGAAAAAAGTCAGAGAACTTAAAATCATCACAAAAAAAAATCCGTTCCAATAGTAGATCCAATATTTCATCAAATAGTTCATCTGGTAATTTATCCGAAGATTCGGTAAGTAAAAGATTCGAATTTATGTTAAACAAGAAGAAAGATTCCTCTCAAACTAAAAAAACTAAGACTAACTTCATTCAACCAAACTCAGTTAAATTCAATCCAACCAAAAAATCTGTAGATTCAAATAATCAGATCAAATCAGGAATTGCCAGTGACTCAAATAAAATTGAAAAAACGAATACAAAAAGTATTGAGACTGACTTGTATTTACTGAATAATACAATCGATAGTTTACATGGTCCAATTGTTGATAATGTTGATAATAATTTAAATGGCAAGGAAATTGAAACCTTTCAGAAATTCACTAAAACAGAATCAGGGAAAGGTTACAAAACTGATGTACCTTTGTATATTAGTTCTTCAGAAGTAAATGGAGGTGGTAAAGCTGTGAATTCCAATTTTTTTGATTATTTTAATTTTATGGACCTATTGGATATAGATGAGTTGAATCCACTGCCCTCGAAAGAGCTTGACCATATTCCAACACCAAAAGATGGTCTCCAGGAGCAAATTACAGTACATGTGGATTCTAATGAATGTCCAGCAAGAAAAAGCAACCCACTAGAAAAAGAGGTATTGACCAGTGATTTGGATAGAACTTCTCCAATTGACACATTGTCAATGCCTTTGATGGAATTGGATCAGAAAGCTAACTCCCATATTGAAACATCGTGTAAAGATCAACTAAGAAGAATTCCAATTCTTACTCCAAAATCTAATGAGAAAAGTACACTGGATTTAGATTTCTTCGATAAAGAGAATATAATCAAAAAATCAAACGATCCAACATCCATAGTACTAAACTCTTCGATTTCACCTGGACATATTGGAGAATATTATATGGACTCCAATGACGTTTTCGTGGACAAAAGAACAGATATCTGTTCAAACATGCCCTCTTCGCCTGTAAATATGTCTAACTTCAGGACAAACGACGAAGATGGAAGTAATGAACAAAAAGATGATGATGAATTCTCGACTATTGATCAAAAAAATGATGTATTTTCATCTTTTGTAAAAAATCGTCAATTTTCAAATGAGAATAGTGATTCTACTCCATTAACTAGATACGGTGGTCAATCGAGTGATCCAAGTAAGCCATTTGCATAAGGTCATTTCTCTTTAAAGTTCATAGATTAGCATTTATAAAGCATTTTAAATAATATTAGCATTTACAATTATGAGAATATTTGTAGTATTTTGAACTATCCATTAATAATTAGGAAAGTAATCTAAATTGACTTAGAATGTCAAGACTGATTAATTGAAGTGAAAAATATGAACTTCATATTTTTTTTTTCATTCTACATAAAATGTTACTATGGAAATCAATAAACGTGGGATTCTTAATTAATTGTTAATACTATTACATAATTTTTTTGGTACCTTCAAAAATTTCATACGACAATGTAGACAACTTTCTTCTGATAATAGTACCATTGCTTAAGAATGTTCTTATAATGCTTGCGTATTCAGTACTATCATTAGTGATATTCTCAAAAGCACTTAATAAAGCTGGTGTGTTCATTTCCAATTCTATTTCGTGAGTAGTTTCAGTTTCCTTGTTTTTACTCCCTAACTTGTTATTTATGACTTTTGTTATATCTATTCTTGTGCATGAATCGTTATGGATATAACTTATACGTTCTTTAGATCTTTCATTTATAGGTGATTGGTCTTTATATTTCTCAGGAGGTTCATTTTCTGGGACCGGAAGTTCCAGATTTATCGATATTTTAACATCATAACTATCCTTTGGAGAATATAGCATTAATTGGGAAATGTGTCTCTTTTCTATAAATTGGCCAATACGACCAGTTTTCATATCTGTACTCATTCTTAAAAATCTTGGTCTTTGAGATGCAACACCGACACGATAGAGAGAGTCTGTAGTGTGTGATTCAATAATGTTGAATTTCCCTCTGTTTTCATTTAATTCACTAATACCTTGGACATATTTTATCAATTCTTTGAATAAAACTTCATCTACATTTGGTACCATATGTGCATCTAATTCTGTATAGACAGCTTGTGATGATATTGGTGGATTGACACGATCTGGACCTTTGGCATCTATTATAAGTCCAAATTTCATTTCCATTTCTATAAAAGTCCGTAATTCTGGAGGAATCGAAAAAATTGTAGCGTAAGCCCAATCCTGAACAGATTTAGTCAAATCATCATCTGGTATAAAGTTTAAGAATGATTGATCTATTTTAAAGTCCTTTGTGTCGATACTTTGTAGAGCTTTTACTGTAGGTTTCCATTTTTGGGCCCAGATTGGTGTGTTTTTATATTTATTTGGTTTCGAAGTAGCTGCTATTTCATTTAGTAAACTTAGTTCCTTCTTAATATTATTTCTTTTTGATTTGGAAGTCACTTTTTCTTCAAATATATTATTAACCTCGGATTCCTTCTCATTCTTATTGTCATTGGTATCGATTGGCTGTTTTTCCTCCTCTATTTTTTCTTCTTTAGGTTTTTCAACAGGGATATCCTTCGTTTGATTACTTTGATCTTCTTTGGTTTCCTTTGTTACTTCTTCTACTGGCTGAGATGGTATTTCTTTCTTAACTTCCACCACAGGCACAGTCTCTTGTTGAGTCTTTGCTGGTGCAGGTGAAGTTGGTGTAGTTGTTCTTGACTTTGGTCTTGGCTTGGGTTTAGATTGTTTTGGAGTAACTGCTTTAGGTTTAGGTCTTTCAACGAAATTTGTATCTTGTTTGTCATAATCGAAAGCCATACCTGAATCAAAGTTAATTTCTCCCACTTCATCATCAGTATCGGTTTCTGAATCATTGTTAATCATTGAAGAAATTGAAGTCACTGAAGAGGTAGACTTCACAACTGGTTGTTGAGGTTGAGGTTGAACAATTACTTCCTGTGGGATAATTACATTTGATATCGGATTTGAAGACTGTACGGTATTATTATTTTGAAGTCTTTCATTTTCAACAGATTGACTAATTTTCTGTAATTTTAAATTATCATTCTCATCATGATTCACTAAATCATCCAGAGATAAAGCTCTCTTTGTACTAGTTGGTTTTGCTTGCACCTCAGCGTTTTCTGAACTCATCAAAAATTAAAAAAAATAATAGTTAACAAAAATGAAGATAAACTTAAAAGTATACACTATGCTTCAAGAAAAATATAAAATTTTCTTATCTTTTTAAAATTAATCCCTCTGACTCCACTGGTATTAGACCACTCTTTAGCTTCACAATGGAAAAATTACGGAAAGAAAATTTTCTAAAACCTGACAAAATTAAGCTAACCTGCAAATGAATCAATTATAGCCCCTATAATGTCTATCAAAACTCTATATCAGACTGAAACTTCAACAAGATCTTTTGCATGTTTAAACATCAGTTCAATAACTTTTAAAACCTTTAATACTTTTATAATTTCTGCATGGAGCCGTCATCGTTAGACCTGCCGTTCACAATGACTGATATTTTTCAAAGATATTGCAACAAGACACAGCAATTGACGATGCAATGACTATAAAGATGTATGAATTGTCTATATGATTATGTATGATGGATCGAACCAGAGAATTGTAGATGAACAATTATATAAAACCTGTAGATAGATAATTAAATGGATGGGGGGATAAAAGATAAAAATAAAAGAGAAATAAAAAAAATGTTGATAAAAATAAACCCAGTGACAATAGAAGAGAATTAAAAGACCCTAATAATTTAAATGATGACATGAAAGTAATGTAACGTAATGTAGAAAATATATATGACAGAGATGGAACGACGTTGTCCACAATGCTTTATTCAATGGAAAGAAAGAAAAATAGCACAACAACCATGGTTTCCCGAATGGTTTAAAATATGTGAAAGAATTGAACTCTTGGATAAATCGAACAGTTCAATTAGTTTCTGGTCCTGAAGGATTGAAACTTTGTGAAGTATAAGGATTAAATTTAGGCTGGCCCATGCTTGAATCAGGCGATAATTGGTTTATGTTGTTGTTATTAAACATCATGAAATCCAACTGTTCGCAAGCCAGAAGTTCTTGTGTAGATAATAGTGATCTTGGGCAATATATCAAATCATCTTCAAAAGATCTACTAAGATCGTTTTTATTTCTTATTGAGTCTAACTCGATGTTGATATTGGCACCAGGACGATGATGTTGTGAATTGGCAACCGTTGGAGAACCTCCTTGAGTTGGGAATAGATTATGAGTTAAAGCTCCAATGGGAGGAGGAGACTGGGGTAGCTGTGGGTTAACGTTGAACATGCCATTGATACTAGGATGGATAGGGGTTAATTTACCGTTGGAAGGAGGTAAAGACATTATCTTAGCGGTAGGGTTTCTATTGTTATTAATATGGCTATTATTTTGTGCTGTATTTGCTGGAGTAGAAACAGAAGCAGGTTTAAAATTATATGCCATCATCATATTTGCATTTGATTAATTCGGATTTGATTTGAAGGTGGTCGACGTTTGTATATTCTTGTTGTTATTGTTTAGTATTTCCAAAGGTAACAAAACGAAACAAAACAGAACAATACAATACAATACAAAAAAAAAAATTTAAAATGAAATTAAGGTGGTATTGGGTGAGACAAGTAGAATTCCAATTAGATGTACGTTTCTAAGGTGAAGGGGTTGTAAAACATTCACTCTAATCACAAGGCAAGGTCTTTATAGAAAGAAAGAAAAAAAATATAATCAAGATATCTAGGAAATCGCAAACGTTTAACTCCAAGGGAGAGTTGACTACCCTATATATAAAATATTAAAGATACGAATGATATATGTATTCTTGACGTATTTGATTAATGAATGGGTTAGTTGTTGGGAACAAACAGTACTTCCAACATAAACTCCCCATCTAAGGAATAGTATTGAATAGTTTGGGAACAAGGGGGTTGAGCTGGACTTAGCAGCAACAGTAGATATATTAAGATAGAGGGTTTTCGATTCCAGATAAGTTGAACCTCAACTGGTCTTAAAAAGAAATTAAAGAACTGGAGTAGAAAAACAATTTATCGAAAACTGAGCCAGCCCAGAAGGTAGAGAGAGACGTTGTTGTTGTTGTTGTTGTTGATATTTCAGCTGGTAAAAGATAAATAAAAGCAGTTTGGGTGAACCAACAAAAAAAAAAAGCAACAAATTTCCTCAACCTGTCGTAGCGTACGTTGCTCGTTGTCATTGATCTCTGTCATTTTGCTATGAAACAAGCACTTGAAAGAACTTCAATTTTTCTTTATACCTGGTAGTTATTCATGTAAATACCTCAGTCATCCTGATCACTTGCCATTCTAATTATAAACTGTTGGTTTAGTTTTATTATAAACTATGGTATTTTTTATGAGTTTGTTCTGTAAGCTGTAACTAGTAGAGTCGAACTCTCTCTCTATGTATGTACTTCTTGGTTTAGAGTAAAGTCACGTGACTAGAACAGAATTTCCATTTTCCCCTTGTCTTTCTCTAAATTGGCACATGCAGATGTGTGGCTGGAACACATGACTGGTTATTATGCTAGCGCCATGTATTGTATCTGCCATTTTCTCGTGTTCTTCTCCATGGCCCAACGTCCTACGTGCTATTCTCTTAGCTCCTTCCTTCCAACTTCAGCATTACTCTACTTGGTCAGTTCTCCCATCATACGAAAATGTAATCTGACCTGCTTCTGTCACTCACGCATATCTCAGTTCCAGTCCCAGTTCCAGTTCCAGATTAGTACATGGTGAGATCAGGTGACTATATTTCATTAAAAGGACATAGTATTATTTCCGTGGGAAAACAGAATATATATGCATACATGTGCATACATGTGCATACATATACATACATATACATACATATACCTGCTTATACATACACATCCTTGCATGCACTTATAAATATACATCGATATTTTAAAAATCGCTTGATAACTACAGGATGGCAGTATATCTAAGATGAACTATACTTGCCATTAATCCAGTCAAGTAAGGACACATGGGCGTACTGAAATGAACTATTACAAAATGTGCAGACAGTTAATTAAGCATATGAAAACGTTAAATCATGTAAAAGATGCTCTTTTTTGTTGATATTCATGACCTTCTCCCACGGAATTAGCTGGGTATTTTGTTTCACCATGATTTCATTAATCTTACTCTAAATTCTACTATTTTTATACTTGCATTGTTGAAAGAAAAAAACTTACATACATCAGATCACTCTCAAACTAGTAGAGTCAGTAACTTAAAAATTATTATATTATTATTTAGAATCTATTATATTAATGGAAATTATATAACCATTACGCATAGCAACAATGTCACTAAATGTATGATATTATTTATTATAATCACTAACTAATCTTGATATTATTAGTGTTATTGTTATTGTTATTGTAATTGTTATAATTACGTGAATGAAGTAGTAGTAAACTTGTCGTCAACCGTACTTGTAGTAATGGCGAAGCCTGCACCAGGACCTAATCACTCTATTAAACCATATATTTCTTGAAACAAAATATCTTTAAAAAAACTTCCTTCTTATGCATGTATATAAATTTTAGAATCTCTTTTATTTTGCAATAATGGCTAAAATCAGAAGAAAATTAAAGTAAAATAAAAACCAATGCAATGTAACCATATCCCCTCAGCTCCTTTTCACCTTTACGTTCATGTTAGCATGTATTGAACGCTCAATCTAGAATCTTGACCAGGTGTAAATGGAGGTGTTGGTGGACCTTGTAGGGTTCTTAACTCACCAAATTGTTGTTTCATAGATGGGATACTATACATATTATTTGGATTCATATTACTCTCTTGAAGATATCTTGACATGGTATTATTATTCGATATAGGTTGGTGCATCTGCATGTATTGAGCTTGTTGTGCTTGTGGCAATGGTACTGGAGCTACACTTGCACTTGGTGTAGGTAGCATAGTTAGACCTTGTTCCATATATGGTCTTGGTAATTGAGACATATTATGGTAATAAGCGGGTGTTGGTACAGGTGAGACCCCTTGATAGCTATAAACTGGTTTATTAAATTGGATTGTGGAAGGGGTTGGTTGATATACTGGTTGAACTGCTACAGGTACTTGTGCAGGCACTGGTACTGGCATTGGCATTGGCAACGTTCTTGATTGTATATCATGATATGTTAAATTAGCCGGTAGGGTTGGTGATGGTGGTAACATCATATGAGAATGATGTAATGGTGTGTGTGATATTATAGTACCATTTGGATTAACCATAGTTTGTGCATTAGAGCTATTAACAGCACTGATTTTTGTTCTTTTAACAATAGCGGGATGGATTCCATGAACAGATTCAATATGTTGCTTTAAATTATCTATTCTTGAAAAAAATTTTAAACAAACATGACATTGGAAAGGCTTTTCACCGGTATGCTTTCTTCTATGTCTCACTAAATTTTCTGATCTTGTGAATTCCATAGAGCAACCTTTGAAACCTTTACAAATGTATCTTTTTTTCAACTTCTTAGCTGGAGCATTACCAGTAATATTTTTTGATCTTTTTGCGCTAATTACGGGCATCTTGTATGTAGTTTATGTATTATAATTGTTGATCTAAGTCTTTAGGTTTAAACTTGTTGACTTAACTTAAATAGTTAATAGTATAAATGAATTAAAAAATAGTTAGGCTATTAGATAATGATGTAAAACTATTGAGTCTTTGGTATATTAAGCCAAGATTAAATAAAAAAAAATAAAAAAGTTTAGGAACCAAGGTTGTATTAAGGACACATTTTAGAACTTAGACTTTTCAAATAAATGAATCCTGACTTATATATATATATGTATATGTAATTATATTGATTTAGATATAGACAAATTTAAACTAATTTTGCCAAGTGAGAAAAAGAGTAGTTAAGATTTTTTATTTACTTCGATTCGACTGAATCCACCCACTTACTCGGTAAAATGACGTTACATAAGACACCAATCCTGCTAATACCCGTACCAATCAATCGATCGATAGTGGAAATAAACAGTTATAAGCCAATTTTTTTTATTTATAATATAAATTCCTTCATAATATCTTTACAGGTTTTTAAAAACCTCTATAATACCAACGATGTCTCAAAAGACCAAGCCGAACCCAACCGAATAGAGGTTCAAGAATAAGACATGTACAAATTAACAGGAATAGCATAACAGTACGTTACATTACATTGCATTACACTGCAACACAATACAATACCACATATTCGCAGCAGTGTCGAGGGGAGGGGGAGGGGGTATATTTGGATCATGAAGGTGGTGCCGTCGTAATTGGAAATACAATGATATCAGAAAATTATCGTGTACAACAGCCAAGAACAAAAGAACTATTGAATTTTAAACAAAAATTTTTCTTGAAAAAAAAAGAAATAGAAATAGATATAGATATAGCTAAAAACAGGATTTAAAATGTTAAGTAAAACAGCTAATTCATTATAAAAACCTTGTGCTTCCTTCTTGTGTAATCCACCACCATGAATCGAAAGAAATAAGGAATACTGCCTTTTCATAATGAATTCTCAGAAATTGCAATAGAAGGTACAAGATAATTGTGTATTGTACACATAAATACTAAAGTATGAAATATTTAATATCTAAAATCTAATATTATCATTAATGGCTGAAATCATTGTAGTATTAATAATAATAATAATAATAATAATAATAATAATTCAAACAACACACAATTTACAGAGAAACTACTGTACAGATTTCTAAACAAGCTACTGGATCTACTATGGTTCACCATCAGTGAAAAGGCAAAGCTTGAATTTTGAGTTTGCTCAGAAAGAAAATGTGTTGGCTGTTTTTTTAAGTTTGAAAAGCTTTGATATTTTCTTCTCAGTATGTCCTTCGGTATCCGCAATGTAAAACTTGACAAAATTAAGAAACTCTACCAAAACTGGGTATACAAGCAGGATTTTATTTTTGTGTAAAAGAAGAAACAAATATATTTCCAAAAAGAAAACCGCAAAAAGAAATAGGTGAAAACCTATCCGCAGGTGTAACTCTTAGACGAGACTATTGCCGGGAGAGACTTGTCTATTCACGGAACACGGAACCGCTGGAAAAAAAAGATTTTCTCTTTTTGATTATATTTATTTTAAGACTTTTGTACACTGCTTTCTCTGGTCGTTCTTTAGAATTTTACGCAAAAATGAAACACTAGGCGGAGCCTTCCGTCGACGGTTTGTTTGGTCAGAAACAAACAGAGGTCTGCCTAGAGATATACAACAAGAAAATGCTCCTGCTGGGCAGGGCCGAGACTTCTTCCCTCCTGGATGTATCCGAGACCTCGGATCCTTGTTCGGGTCATGAAACTATCAGACGGAAATGTCATTCCGAGTTTCCGTTTCGCTATTTCTTCCTCAGGCTTGTTCAAATGGTGAATAACCTATCATTCACTAATTTCTCAATCCAACATATTTCTTTCTCTATTTTTGTTGCTTCTCTTGTGCATCTGGGTCTGAGATCTACTTCCGGGAAAAATGTTTGGCCACTTTTCATTTACCTACAGCTGTTCTATTCATACAAAAACAAAGTACCGTACGTAGGTCCTAACCAGAATAATAATAATTACTGAAAATGAAATTTAAATTCAAATTGAGAAATTGAACAACGAAAAATGATTTAGTACGAGAAATTGGTATATTCCACGGAACTACGTTTTCCAACCTCCCCCCTGCTTCCTCTTAGCAATCAACAAAGTACATCATTGCGCATTTTTAAGCTGTCGATTTCTTTTTTTTCTTCAATGAAAATATTGCAAAAGTAAAAGACGGATGTCTATCTCCTTCCCGAACTGCTGTTCCTCAGGAGCCTTCCCTCCCTTCCTCTCCCCTTCTTGTTACGTCACTTACCAAATTACCCTTCCAATACAATACATCATCTCTCATTTGATCTATTATTTGCAACTGAAATAACCTGTTATATTCCTCTTCCTCTACCTCTTCGTAGATTGATTGACTAATCGATCAATCGACTACAAGTAGAATTCCTTGACCTTATTGATTAAATGTATGCCTACTCTTTTGCTCGTTCTCTAAGCCTTCTTTGCTCGTACTACCTTCGCAGCAAATTGTAGCAGCGCTAACGCACCCTACCTAACGCCATTCTGTATGTTTTACCACTACCCTTTCGAATCACCTTACAAATACCATTACGAATAACATTGCGAATAACATCACCACTACAATCAAAAAAAAAAAGTGATGAAAAAAACCTCTTGGCACTGGGTGACGTGGCTGCTATAGTGAAGTAAAATCATACGCACACTTCATTTTCTTCTTGCTTTTCTCCGGTATTCCTCTAAATCTTTCTTTTTATGTATTTTGGGTAAGCCTCTCCCCTCCGCCCCCTGTTCTGCAGGGAGTTTGCAGTCCAGCACATCTGCTCCTCTGGATGGGTAACCCTACTTTTGACTGACACCCGTCCGATGGGTTGTTCCCGCTCACCATCTCTGCCCAGGTCTTACAGGCAACAGGAGATAAATAGATATACCTTTCCATTTCGGTTCCATTTTATATTTTGTTGGTAAAAATAGGAAGCCCTATGCTGTCTCGGAAATGTATTTTCCGATAATTCTAAAAGCTTCCGTCCTGTAGGAGTCTCCTTTCGGAATTAAAATAGCAAGATCTCTTTCTATTTAGGATTTTGGATTGTTTAAAATGGGAAAGTTCACATTATTAATTACCATACGATATATTGTTTTACCATTCATTATGTTATACCAGTAGGTTACTGAAGTCAAATTACTGGTAACTCTTTTTATTGTCTTGCTCTAGGACTATGTTGGAAAAGTTCTACCAATTTGTTCTGCCCCTCTCGAACTACTTATGGTAATGAAAAGCTCTATTTAAGTATTACTTGCTAAGCTTGTGTAGCACGATTTAATACAATACAAGAATATGAATTAATTTGAATTTAATTTATTTTATTTTACTTTAATTAATTAATCTAATTTAAATTGAATTATATGTTGTTCCTCTTTCGGGTTCCTGGGATTACTTACGGGACCCTACGGGTGCCAAGACGGAACAACTATAGTGAGAATGCCAAGAAAAACGCTTATTCAATCTTGAAATAGAAAATATATAAATTTTTATGATTGAAGTGAAAGTTAGATAACAGATCTCCTCGAATCTTTCAACAATTGATTATTCTTGGATTATTTAATTACGTGGATACAATGATGATAACAAAAAATATAAACGATTTTTTCAATAAATTGTATTACTAATAGACTAAATGATGATGGCGTATTTCTGAATTAGAAGGAAATGTTCAGCAACTAGTAGACCTTATCCTCAGCGGATTAAAAAGCAATCGGTTTCTTTCTTTTTGTTTTTAAGTTGATGATTACGTATATATAAATTAATTAATTCACCTAAAAATTAGCTTTAATAAGAAATAACAGATTATTCCCTTTATATCATAGGTACACAGATCAATCACACATGTCAATTGATATATGTATTAATAGTATTATATCATTTACGTAGTATAAAAAGTTTATTCGTATAAATGGTATCATATTCATTTGCTGATAGCCACTGCAACTGCTTGGAAATCGTCGTGGGAAATGGAAACACTGATTTCAGTAATTTTAGCCACTTCAGCAGCTTTCTTGGCATCGCCATGTAATCTAACTTTTGGACCTTCTCCTTGTCCACGTAAGATTTCAATTTCCTTCAGTGGTGCGCCGCCTCCTTGAGATTTAGTTCCCAAACTCTTGAAAACGGCTTCCTTGGCAGACCATGTTCCGGTAAATGAACTTTGAACACTAGCTTGCTTACGACAATATTCAATTTCTGATTCTGTAAAGTTACGTTCGATAAAAGTCTCGTTTTCAATATTTATGGCACTGATTAATTCAACGTCGACGCCAACATTTTGTTTTCCCTCTTTGGAACCACTCATAACATTTTCTACCAATTTGTTGATAACTCTACCAGTTTCGTGATCCTTCTTATTTATATAACTATGATCATCTTGAATTTCTTTCTGTTTAAAGATTAATTCACCGGTCTTGGAACATTTACTAGCACGAGCTAATGGATCCAAATAAACTGGTTGTTCTAGTTCATCTGCATATGGTGGATGTTCTTTACTCATGAATAATCTGTTATGGATCATACCATCGTGGAAAAACTTGGAAGCAGATCTTTCTCTGCATAAAACTCTTGATTTATAATTGTTGTACATTTCCTCAGATATAGCACCATACAAGTAATCTGGATGAACCACAATAGCTTGACCACCTTTTTGACCGAAACCAAATGATGTGACAGAGACAGCTTTGATACCACTTGTCTTCAAAGATTTAGATGGGAATAAGACATAGTCAAATTCTTCCAATACCTTATCAATATTATCAGCATTACGGTTACCTGGAACAATACCAGTATTTAAAATTTGTAAAGCACCATTCAACATCCAAGCACCAGCGGCACCTTTTGGATGACCAGTCAAATACTTTTGGAAAACACCTATCACTGGATTACCTTCAGATCTTCCCAAATGTTTCATCATTTTGTTAATTGTAGCAGATTCGTTCTTATCATTGGCCTTAGTTGAGGTACCATGGAAGGAGGCAACATCTAAGTCATCAATTGTCAAACCAAAGGCGGCTAAAGCACCTCTTAATGGAGCAATACGTGGATCATGTTTGAAGAATTCATTACCCCATTGAGATTGAGCAGATTTGATTTGTCTACTAGCTTCACGCTTAATTTCTTCAGTACGTTCGGAAATGAAATCATGACGTTCTTCAGCTGAAATTTCTTCAGCTTCATACTTCAACATATCAATTTCAGTTTCAATCCATTCCTTAATTTGGGACTCACGCAACTTGAATTGACGTTTTCTGTATTTGATATCCATAATAGGAGATTTAAATTTCAAAGAACCGTGATATTCTCTGGCAGTAGTCAAAATACCTTTACCTGGAGCTGGGACAGATCTACCGATCTTATCAGTAGCAGTAGCACTCATTGCAACAATACCATAAATTGGAACACCCATTTTCAAAGCTAAGTCAGCTTGCATAATGATTTGAATACCGGCACCTTGTGCTTCCATGAAACCGTTACGAGATGTAGTGGTAGGTCTAGACATTTCAGCTGGGGTACGGCCATGTTCAAATTCTTCTAAAGTGTTGGAGGTAGCCTTCATGTTACCGAATTCATAAGATCCTTCTTCTTGGAAATCATCATAACCACCAACAATACAGATCTTAGCTTCACCACCTAAAATAGTTTCAACACCGATATCAACAGATTCAACGGCAGTGGCACAAGCACCGACAGGTGTCTTGATAGGACCGGAAGATGAGATCATCAACATATTAACCCAAGCAGACATGGTATTAATGAAGGATTCTTGTAAAATGTCGTTTTGGACTGGAATATCTTTGTAACGATCTTTGAACATACCACGCAGAGCAGAAACACCACCCATACCAGAACCAGAACAGTTACCAACTTCAGAAACGTGGACATATTTGTACATTTCATATGGATCAGTAATACCAGAGGCGATGAATGCTTCAGCAACGGAGACTAAGACATACAAAGTCAATGGATCAACTTGGTTAATAGTATCTTCGCTGATACCATATGTTTTGGCATTCCAACCAGATGGAACTTGACCAGCAACCAAACGGTCAAATCTCAATGCCTTTGGTATGTATAAGGTAGCACCCTTCAATAATTTAACGGAATATTCACCGGTTTCAGCAATTTCAAATACATCAACCTTGTCACCATGTTCGTGTTTAAACTGTTCGGCAGTTTCCTTGGATGCTTCAAATGGTTCCAAGTCTTCTTGAACAACAACTTCTTGGATCATTTGTTTCTTCTCTGGGTTATAGCCGTTAAACAACTCAGGTTCGATTAATCTTATACCAGCATGTTCCAAAATGTGACTTTCGAATTTTGGCTTAACATCCTTATCATCAATAGGTTCATTGGTTTTGGCGTCTACCCAACCAGTGTATGGTCTACCTTTCAAGTTACCGTTATGGTATTTAATTAAACCCATAATCCAGGCCATTTCAATACAACCTTCCAAGGAAAATTCACCATTTGCTTCCATTTCCCATCTGGTTCTTGAAGAACCCCATGGACCAACTTCAGCAAAACCAGTAACAACAATGACTCTTTCCAAATCTAACAAACCTTCCAATTCAGATGAAGAAATCTTCTTAACTTCTTCGTATGTTTTTAATTCAGGGAAATTCATTTGAATGTTAGCCCTTGGTTGAATTTCTACTTTAGCGTATGCAGCATCGGCATTATCACCACTAACAACCTTGTGTTCCAAAGCAGTTTCAATGGAAACAGCTTTTCTGACTTCTGAGGTTTCAGTTAAATCACTACGTAACTTAGCGGTGAATTCCTTCAAATTAGTCAAGAATTGCAAACCACCGTTCAAATCAGCAACGACAGGTGATTTTTGGCACAATTGAACAACTTCTGGGATTAATAGACCTAATAAGTTAAAGGCCATTTCCTTTTGAGAAAATGTACGGACACCCATTTTTTCAATACCTTCAGCAATAATGTTGTTAGCGCTCATTAAACCAGTACCTCTGGTCCAACCAATAATAGCACCACAAATAGTCAATTGATCTGACCAGGATTCTGAGTGCCATCTATTAAATAAGGTTTCCAAAGATAATTTAGATTCAGAGTATAAACCATCCCCACCAAAAGTACCGTGGTTAGGAGATAATGGTAAAATAACTTGAGCTGGTCTGGTTTCAATACCTCTAGAAGATTTTTGCTTCTTAACACATCCCATCAATCTCAAGATATTGGTTAACATAATTCTGTGAGCGAATTCTGATTTGGAGTCAATGTTATCTAATTCAATACCATTTTCTGGGATGGCAGCAAATGGGATAATAGCATCCAAATCCCAGCCTAAACCACCATTCTTTTCATCATCGTAAATGTAATCAATCAAAGCTTCGACATCTTGTTTAGAACCTTGATTAAATGGAACGACTAATAAGGTAGAAGATTTAGCACCATATTTGGCATAAATAGATTGATAGTAGTCTGTGACTTTCTTTGAGAAACGGGAAGTAGTTACTATAACATTAGCACCACCTTGTAATAAACCTTGCAAAACCTCAGCACCAATGGAACCTTGACCAGCACCAGTAATTAAAACATATTTGTCTTTAAAAGTGACACCATTAATGGATGCTCTTTCTAAACCATCTAAGAACATTGTTGTTAATTGACGATCATACTTCCAGTCACCACTTGGTAATTTCTTTTTCAAATGTAAGAATGGAACAGTGTCTCTTGGAATAGTTGAGGAAACGGTATTTGAAATAGTCGACTTGTTTGGTAATGAAGCAACTTCTTTGGTTGAATCTTTATCTAGATCATCATCGATGACACCGGCTAATTGGGTGGTTTGGGAAGAATCGATTTCATCAGAATTCTTCAAGAACTTCATTAATTCACCATATAACTTTTCAAATTCAGAGACGGTCAAGCTAGAAATATCTTGTTGAGAAGCCTGAGCACTGATAGCCTTGTAGACACGAGTTAAATCGTCCTTAATAGTTGGTTGAGGTTCCTTAGTTAATGGACCACCGATAGCCATTTCTTGTACATATTGAGACAATTTTCTGACTTTTTCTCTTGGTTCTTCAGAGTAAACGATATTACCATTCTTATCAATAACAGTCTTTGGACCAGTTGGTTTAGAAATATCTTTATAGACAGGATCCATATCAATAACTTGTTTACAGTTTTCAATCAATTGTTCACCCAAGGTCTTCGCCATTTGAAAGTTTTCACCTTTTGAAACGTCGGTGTTACCAACGTGATATTCCATGAATTTGATTAAAGTTTCATTTGATCTGTTCATGATATTGATAGCCTCTGTGACAACTTCCCTGTCAACATTTTTCAATACACCATGGATAATTTCAAAGTATAAAGAAAGCAATGATTGTCTTGCCCAATTCCAAGAAGAATCGAAAATTCTAGCCTTCTTTCTAGAGAAAGAAGTAGCAATACCGTTGACGAAGAATTCACCTAATTCGGCATTCAAATAATCCAATTGGACTTGTAATTGAGTGGCAGTATCTTTTTCTTTCAAGAATTTTCTTTCGCCACTATCTAGATCCATCTTCAAATAACGAGCTAGAACTTGCAATTGTTGACGAGCCAAAACCTTTTGATCTTTAGTTAATTCATCAAAAGCAGCAGCATCGATAGTAGCAGTGGCACCAGCAGCAGCAGCGCCAGAAGATCCACTTGATGATGAAGATAAGTCGACACCATATATGGAAGCATATTTTTGAGTCATTGAATCAAGGAAAGCCTTAGCATCGTTTTCTGAACCTAAACGAGAGGCTGGTTCATTGGCTAAAGCAACTAATAAGACAGAATCTTGTCTGTTAGAAGGTAAACCCCAACGAGTTTGTAAGTATTTTCTAGCAACAGTGATGGTGAACCCACCAGGCATTTTGGAAGACATTAATCTTGAGATCAAAGAATTTGATTGTTTACCTAATGAACCAGAGAAAGTATCTTGGAAAGTTTCTGCCAATTCATCTAATGGAGTTTCTTCTGGTTTTTCTGGAGTATTACCAAATTCTTTGCCTAAATCACCCAAGATTTCATTTTGTACAGTAGACTTACCACCGACCAAATCTTTAATAGTTTTTGACATTGGAATAGCATCCAAAGGCTTCTTCAATTTATGAGCAACCAAGACTTGTAATAACAAAGCAGCCTTAACAGGTTCATCTGACATTTCAGCAACTGGACCAGAGGCAGCAGCAACTGGAGCGGCAGCAGCAACAGGAGCAGATGGTGCTGCTGCTGGAGCGGCAGCTTCGTTTGGAGTACTTTCAGAAGAAGCATTGCCAGTAGCAGCAGCGGCAGCCAATTCTGATGGATCAGGGGTATAGTAGATTTCTCTGGCATCCTTACCATAGCATAAAACTTGTCTTTGTAAAGATAAAGCAGCGTCATAAGATTCATATTTGTTTTTAATGGTTCTTTGAGCCATACCAGCTAAAGTTGGTGAAGGACCAATTTCCACAACTCTTTCAGTTTTGAAATCTTTCAAGAAGACATCTTGAGTTTCGATCCATCTGACAGGAGAAGCAAATTGATAAGCCAATAACTCAGTCAATAAGACATGAGCTAATTCTTGTTCCACTTCAGGTTTCATTACCATTTCAAACAATTGACTCGAAAGTAATATAGGTTATCCTAGGCAAGCTAATTGACCTTTTAAGACTATACAGAATAAGCAATACAATAAATAACAAAGCAAGATACCAATCAAACGAATACTTCCCCAAGTACATATATATATATATCCATATATAAGAGGAGGTATACATATGGATACAACAGATCAATGCATAATTTCGAAACTATATTTGTTGGTTGTGATAGACCTCCTATACGTAATTTGATGAAGGTTACGATATTGCAGGTGTAAGATTAGATTTTTTTTTTCTTTGTACTGCAGTTCCATAGTGGACAAGCCAAAGAAAAGAAAAAAAAACACCGAATTAATTGATATCCAACGACTGCAACAATACCAACCAAACATTCCATTATCAGCATATTCTCCTAAGGAAAAGCTGATATATCAAGAGGGTTCTTCTACGTTTAAAGGCATTTTGTTAAAATGGTAGTAAATTTCAACAATTTTTCAAGTTTCGAAACTAGACTTCGAAATGAGTTAATTACTGCTTGTTTCTTCTAATGTATTCATCAAGTAGTCTTGAAACGTTTAGTATCGAACCAGACATTGACAGAGATAAATAGTTTATGTATTTGGTGGTTTATAGTTCAGATTGATTGCATTTCACTGTAGCGTCTTCAAGGTGGTGGTGGATGTATATTTTAGTTCTGGAATAATATATGCGATTAGTATTGTCTACCCAGGCAGGAGTCCGGGTGATATTGCTAAGAATGTAGTTATGTAGGTCTGTATTTATATATATATATACATGTTATTTGTTGAATGATAGTATTTCTAAAAGGAAAAGTCTAAGAGAGAAAGAGAGAAATATGACATTTAACAGGTGTGAAATCTGGACAGCATAAATTAAATATGTAATTGGTTTAGCAAGGGATTTCTTTGTATTAATCTTTAACTTAACTGAGTTTCTGACTTCACAGCTCTTATATGTATGGGGAAGAATAGCTTCAAACCTAAACCTGAAATTTTAATACTTTTTGTGCGGGTAACATCATTTGGAAAAAAATTTTCAATTCGTTCGAAGAATCTGAATGCAAGAAGTTATAGTAACTCAACTTCACTTGTCAAACAAGAACTGTTACTTTCAACTAATTGTCACCGGCAAGATATCGTAGACTTTATTCAGAGTATATAAATGGAGTCTAGTTTCAATCATTTATAAATTGTTTTCTCTTCTGATGGAACTTTATTTCCTACTAATCGAGATCTGATAGATTCACCAACAGATAGGATGACACTTGAGAAGCTAAACTCAAAGTGGTGTAATAGGAACAATCAGGAAGTTTAGTATCAGTTACATCATCTTTGTAGTAGACTTTATTTATTTATATTGTTTATGAGTGCCACAGTGGTAGTACTGTAAATAAATATAATATAATGTAATTTCTATTCTTAGCATTCATTCATGTCGTGTCATCAGGATAGAACCCAAAAACATTTTAAAGCCTTTCATTTTACTTTGTGATTTATTCACACTTTTAGGACCAATTACCGTAGTTGCGACTGCACCAATTGTTTGTTCATATCCCCAAAGTTTATTGAAAACTAGTTTTTGGAATAATAATATATCTTCCCTATTTCCACCCTGGTTTACCCTAGTTAACTCGTATATTTATTATAAGAATTAGCAGTCATGGTACAATCGGGACTAAATTATTTAGGGTTACATACAATCTCATAATTAATTAATTACAGTCTTGTCAAATTCTTATTTGTATTACATAATGCGAAACAATTTAGGTTCTTGTAGTCATTGGTTGATTTATTTTATTTTTTTGTATAATTAAGTTAAAAAGGTCATATTTATAAATATTTTACATATTAGAACTTAAAAGTTACGTTATCAGATTACTAAACAGATATATTATTAATACACAATTGGAAAAAAAAGATTAGAAAAAAATACTGCAAATGTTCCTAAAGAATTAAAAAAATAGGAGTTATTAGTATATTATTGAAACTCATTACAATATTTTTACATTATTAAAATATGTTTTCTTTCGGATGATAGAAAGGTTATTGCTGATACTATCATTTTTGCTGGTTCCTTTCCCTCTTTCAATCTTGCAGAGTTTATATTTTTGTTTTAGAGAAAGTTTTAAATTAGGTTTGGCGAAAAGCTAATTGCTTTGCTGATACCAAGTTCTTTGTCTTGTGTGTCCATTACGTGTTGTTTTGATATGTTTTGTTCATTGCATTAATATAATTTCAATAATATTTTGAGTATATGTTCTTGTAGGGAGGGTGGAAGAATGTGATAGTGGTGGTGTAAATTATTTTCTTGTAGAAAAAAGTAGATGGGAGGAAGTGAAAATAGTTTTTCAAAAAAAGATTAAGTCGTTAAGTTGGGAATAGAGATGAAATTTTATTAATAAATATGCACTAAACTTGGGTAGCAACGACAGAAGGAACAACAGATGCTACGACAATGACAACTACAATTAGGAAACAAATAATATAACATCTTCTCTTGTTCTTTCTTGCATTTCTTGCACTTTTAACAGCTTTGTTAGTGTGACCAATACCTTGTTCAACATCTTGTTGAGCGTCTTCGATATTTTGATCGATAACTTCGATATTTTCTTGTTGTTCGATGACTAATTGTTCCATATCGTTGAACAATTGAGTCAATTCTGCCATTGTCTTTTCTAATTGTAATAATTCTTGATGTCTAGCTTGGACTTCAGCCAAGGCTGTCTTTGCTTCACCACGTCTATTAGCGTTCAATAAAGCTTGTGAGAAGATTTGTTGGCCACCTACATCTGTGATAGCTTCTTCTACTTCGGCATCGGTTGCCTCTGGTTGGATAACTTTATATTGTCTAATAGCTTGTTGTTTATTTTCTTCTTTATAATTTGAGTCGATAATTCTATAATCTTGAATTAATTTCAAGAACTTTTGTCTTGAGTTTTCAGCTTGAGCTTGTTTATTTGGATCGTGTAGACCCAATCTTTGAGCATTTTTGATTTTATCCTTTAGAGTGAATTGTAAATCAGAAGCTTGAGAGACGTAATTATCTAAATTTGATCTCAATTGTAGCTGTTGGTCTTCGTTGACTTCACTTAATAATTTTTTATGTAAAGAATCGATGTAATTGATGATATCTTCGTAGTTATCTAATTCTTGGTTTATTTCATTGATACTTCCCATGAATTGTACGAAATCGTCACTACCATGTTGGTTAGTGTTGACTTGGTCCATTTCATAGTTTTCCTCGTATGGATTTCCAGTAGCGTACGGATTTCCACTCATTTTTCAAATGTGTATGTATAAAATATATGGGGAAGGTGGGGGTGATTAAGTATGTCTAAAAATGAAGGATTGTGCTATTGGTATAATCAATTGTCGCTGTAAAGTATCCTAAAAATTAGCTAATAATAGTTGTGGATGTGGGGGATGGTGCAGGATTTGGAAGTTGGAATATTGCTAGATTATATTGAATAAGCAATAGCAAATATATATTTGTATATGTATATTTTAATTTGAATTTGAATTTCTAATGTTAGGATCCAACTTAGTTAGTTATCACAAAAACTGATAATAGAAAGCCCAAAAAAAAAAAAAAGAGGAAGAGTTAACCAAATAAAAATATAAACCAAAGAGCTGGAGGTGGGTTTGGAATAAAGAAGTGTTTTGTAGAATTTGGTTTGGTGTTTTGCAGATATGAAAAAACAGAATGCCAACTTTGGTGTTGTTGAAGATTAATATAAATTTAATTTTTCTTGTATAATCCAGTTTATTATAAAGGAGAATAGGAAAAAGCTGATATGAGTTGAAGCAAGCAATGGGGATAGAATAGAACAAAGTGAAATGAAATGAATTGAAAAAAAAGTGAAGTGAATCTAACTCAAGTGTTGTTTCCAGTTTTCAACTTTGAATTTTGAATTTTGAATTTTGAATTTTGAATTTTCAGCATTTAGTTTTTAGTTTTTAATGTTAAAAGAAAATTTATCTAAAAGAGAGAGAGAGAAAGAGAGAGAGAGAGAATGGACAAGACGCGTATACCGACAAGCGGACGGACAGCGAGAGAGAGAAAGAAAGAGAGATAGCAGTGGATTGCATTGCAGTGCATGAGAAAGGAAAAAAAATTGCAAAAGTCCAGTAACCAGACAGAAACACACTCAAACACACACAATGAGAGAGTGAATGAACCAGAACAAGTGAATGAAATACATGAAATACAAAAGATTATAAATAAACTCAGCACCTGCAATGGTTTGGACTAGATTATTATATTTCCCTGTTTGGTTGGGTATATAGGAGGGAGGGTAGCGTGTGCATAGAGTGTATGGGTATGTGTATGTGTATAGATGTCAGAAGTTTCGTATACGCAACGGAATACAACTAGCAAACGCCAGCGAGAAGTCGAAGGTGGGAGTGAGAGTGGGAGGGAAAGCACACTGGTTGGTTTGGTACAAAGGACAACAAGAATCGGATCTGAAGCAAAAAGGTCTCTGTAGCGAGGATAGTTCTTGCCAAAGCCTTGTGTTCTGGTGAGACTTCAATTGAAACTTCAACTTCAATTGGAAAAAGTCCATTAGGAGGTATTCCTGTTCATTTTCCACGTTCAGTTGGGTAATAGCATTAGCTCAACAGGGAAATATAAATCGAAATAGGAAGGGGAAACATAAACAGATGTTGTTCTTGTTCTAGTTCTAGTTCTTGTTCTTGTTTGGGGGGGATGGTATAACGTTCGTTGGTTGGCTGATGGCGTATGGTGTTTGTTTGTTTGCTTGTTTGCTAGTTGATTGGAAACTCTTCCCATAACGTACGTAGCCCCTCGTCGTCGTAGTGGATTGGATGTGTGTATCTTTTCCACATTGGTACTATTGCTGCTAATTTTGGGAAATATACAGAACAACAACAACAATAACAACAACAATAACACGATTGCAAAATAAAAACACAAACACAAATGTAAACACAAATGTAAACAAACCACGCGCTGGTTGGCTGGTTACAGGTTTGTCCATCCCGTCGGTGTCTTACATCTCTCTGTCTGTGATTGTTGCCCAACGGTGAAAGGGTGGTTGATAGCGCCTCGTGGATGCTTTTCTTCCAGTACACATGTTCTCCGGTGGTTTGCTTTGGTTTGGTAGCGTGAGTCTGCTGGCCGTCAGTAATGATACAGGAACGCGTCAAGTAATTAGAAAGTAAGGCAAAACAGAGAGAGATGGGGAGGGTAACAGAGATTCTAACGCTTCTTTTGTTCTTGAGCTCCAGTTTCCACGGAATCAATCTTCCCCCCCATTCGATTGATAGATACACAGGTAGTATCGAGGATATCTTCTCATCTGGTTTAACAACCGAACTCGTGGTTGGTTTAGGGTTTTCTCCATATCTCATACCAGAAACTAGGGTATTCGTTATTGCTTTGCCCTGCTTGCTTGCAGGGTAACGTTCTTCTTTTCATTCCATATTTATATACCCCCTCGTCATTCGTGATGGCATGTGATTCAAGTTTCTCGGCTTTCACCTTTAGCTTTCCTATTGTCCGTCCACCCACCCCCCCCTTCCATATCGTTATCTCATCGACTTCTCATACCTATCCAATTGACTATTGTCTGTCTCTTAATCTAGTATTTAATAGAAATATAAGTGTGTCACTATATATTCATCTGTTCTATATGCAATAATTACTTATACACTGTCGTTCCCCCCCCCTCCATATACTTTTGCCAACTTTCCAACTCTATTTACTTTCCATACCTACATCCATACACATATATATCATATAACTTATATTTCCCTCCTACTGGCTATAATCTACTAATAATAATAATAATGTCACTAATTTTAAATTTATTGAAAAATTGTTTTTGTTATGATGGTTTCATAAATAATTTAAATTCAGAAATTACTATCAATGGTAAGTCTTACTCTATTAAAAACTTATTATATGAAAATTCAACCTCATTCACCTATTTAATTCTAAATAACACTAACAATTTGGCTCTATTGAAAAAAATTACTTGCTTCACCACAGATGACGTTAAATTAACCTTAAATGAAATAGACCACTATAGAATCTTCAATAACGATAATCTAATTAGATTGATCGATTTTCAAATAACACAGGAAATTGAAGATGATAACGATTCAATCTTCAGATTATCAAATAACCAAACAATTTCATTGGATTATTCAAATCAGTCCTTAAAAATTTGTTACATCATATTGCCTTATTACCCATTGGGTACTTTACAAAATTGTATAACTAAACAAATAATTAACGGCGAATTGCAATGGGATGATTCACAGGTTCTACAAGTTTTAATGACTCTATCAAACGGTATTAAATATTTACATAATAGAAATCCATTAGAAAAAATTTCATCTCCAGATACTTATTCGAAAATCGATATTAAATTCGACGATTTATCGACTTTGAAAAATAATTCTCCACTAGACCCATTGGATGATTCATATAATTCCGCTACTTTATCCTCATCGACTAATAATGAATTAGAAAATAATCATTACTACATCCATATGAATTTAACTCCGGAAAATATAATGATAGATAACACTCAGGATTCTCAATTAAACGCAATTATTTCAGATTTAAGCACTTGTATACCCACTACAATGATAAGGAATACAATTGATTTCAAAGAATGGATTGAAGATCGTTGCAATATTTTTTACAAATCCCCAGAATTACTAAATAAAAATATAAATCTAATATCAAAGAAAACTGACATTTGGTCATTCGGCTGCATAATCTACCAACTGCTTTATGGATTATCTCCTTTCCAAAGAGAAGAACAATTGAAAGGTGCTTCTATCGTATATTCTATTTCAACTTGTAAGTATTCAATTCCAGAAAACATTGAAATATTTAAAGATGTTACAATTAAAAATATTAATGAACTTAACGAAATAATTAAAAAATGCATACAATTAGACCCTTCTAAAAGACCTACCATTGACGAGATTATTGACGATTTAGAGAAAATCAAAAATAATAATGTATAAATTTGATCCATTTAAAAGACACTGATAACTCAATATGAAAACTTGAAGACCAAGTAAAAATTAGTTATCCTGCACAGTTATAAATAACAAACAGAAATATTACTTCCATTTTTTTAATTCAATGAGTTGGTCATATATTATAATATTTCAAGAGTTGCTAATTAACACTCAAAAGAACAGTAATGAAATTAGGAACAGATCCTGACCTTTCCTGCATGATATTAATAAAATACATATTACATTTAGGTAAAATAATTAATTTATTTATTGTTATATATATCATATTTTAGCTTCTATTTAAATACATCATTTTCACACTTGGTAGTCGCTTCCTTAGAGGTTTAATCTAAACTACGTCTATTTAAAATACTTCGATGTTTATGGGTTTGAATATTAATCATCTTTGGCCCATATATTTAGCTTCCAAAACATGATACATGGTGAGTATTATATTAAAAATGATTAAAATGAGATCTGGCGTTTTTTATATGTTTACTTTATTTCTTACTTCGAAATTTGTTCATGTTGGTCAAAAGCCTGTCAAATAATGACACCAAGAACTAAAGGATAAAATAAAAAAAATAAAAAAGCAATATTTCAATATTATGAGATTAATAACGAATTAATTTAATAATTATTTCTGTAAGAAACCTAATAGCCTCTCATTTTAGGAGTGATGCAAGACTACATATATTATAATAATATTTTTCAAAATTTAAAAAATAGGACTTTGATGGCCATATATTGATTATTTACGAATTGAACAGCTCAAAAGTAGCTAAAAATTCCAATTGATAAAGGTGACCATATATAATAACATTCCTATTCTTTTTTTCATTTTAAAAGTTTTTGCCAGAATAGATAAATATTTAATTATCCAAGAATTAATTTATCAAGTGACACACTTCTAGGAAATAATTTCCAATAAAACTTGAAAAATATTGGTAAATATCGAAAATGTTCAATAAAACAAACTATGTCTTTAGAATCTAAATTCACAGTTGGTGTATTTAAGGATTAAGAGTGAACTTCAGAAGGAAGATCTATTCTTTTTTTAATTAAAAATGGGATTTGTTTCTTGAAATTCATTTTAAAAATACAACTAATGAACAAACTAGTAAATTTTAAATACATAAGTTAACAATTAACATAAAATATGTACTCTTTTTATACTATCTACCAACAATTGGGAATGAAATTTTATGGAAACATAAATCAATTACTAGTGACAAATATATAAACATGGATGTGGCAAAGTCTCAATTAAATAATTCATTGAAGTTGTTTGGATCACCCATTCAAGCTATATTATATATTTCAAGAAACATTAAAAAGTAATTTACAAATTTATTACTAAATTGCCCTAAATTAAAGACTCTAAAGAAAAAGAGTTCCTCCACTTTTTATGTCCCCAAAGCCTATGGTTGAGATGAATTGTAAATATATAAGGCTACCAAATGCTACAGGAATAAGATAGCAAATGAAGTAAAACATTTTACTTAATTAACTCTTCTTATGATGTGATCAACTAATATTTTAGTATCGCTAAATTTTTTATTCTATGGAAAAGTCAAGATTAATTTTCATGTGATCTCCAATACTCTGAGTAAATAATCTTCGTCACTCTATCACTTGCAAGGAATATCTAAGGCGATCATTTTCTCATAAATAACCTTAATTATTCTTAATTTACCACTCAATTACATGACGTCTAATTAATAGTCTCTAATGTGATGTCTAATTTTAAAATAATATTTCATAAAAGACTTCTAATTTACTTCAAATGCAGATCACTTCAGGATATTAAGAGCTTAGAATTAAAAATTCTTTGATATCCCAATTGATTTTCAGTATTACATATCTTTAAAGTTCTAACAAATGACTATATCTAAAAGAGAAATGATCAGCCACTGAATTTAAAAAAATTGAATCATTTAAATGCACCAAGTTAGAAAAATATAAGATATGGTACATCTCTATTTTCGATTAACTGTGGGTTTAAAATTGGAACGATTTTTTTTCATTATGAACTATAGAAAAGTATGAATAACACCTCAATCGGAGCTGGTAAAGATGTTAGATATTTAGTTCTGGATAAATGCACTTTTCACCTGTCATCGTAAGTTGTCTAATATATAATTTGGGAAAAAGAACTTTAGTCATATGACTACTGCTTTTGGCAACTTGTACTGAATCTACTCGTTTATGGTTACAATAATTTGACGATAAATGTATCAATTGAAGACTGCAAACGAGATGTCAATCCTCCCTTCCCAACCTTTTTTTGGGCGAAATTATAGTGATATGGATTATCATTATCAGACAAAAAATTATTTTATAGACAGTGAGGTTTTCTCGAAATCTTTTCTTTTGCAAATTAAAATATAGCTAGCTACTTCATCTTATATGTATGTATATTTTTAAACGTAGATCAGTTAATTGTACAGTTAGGTAAAAGTTTCAACAATATTCTTGGATGATGAAAGGATTAGATTTGCAATCTAACGATTTGGAAAATACTGAACAAATAGATGTCTCAAATTGGAAACATCCCATAATCTGTTATGGACAGATGTATCAGTTTTATATCTTATTTATATATCACCTTATCACTTTCCCTCTCTGTAAGTGTCTCAAATATTATCAAAAAATACATCTCAGACAAGCTATTGTTTGCAAGACATTAAGAATTGAATAAAAGTTGTTTCTTTTTGGAACATCTTTTACTTGCAGAGGTGATCGCTGTATTCCATCAACTGTTAAACAGGCCAAGCTTTCAGAAAGCCACTGTAGGATCTGACCGTTTAAAAAGAAATTGCTTAGCAGTTAACAACTCATTTCTCAAAATAACAGTTATCTATTGTTAAGTAATGGGTTGTTGCAGATTTCGACTAAAATAGATATTGACATTCAAAAAAAATAATTAAGCAGTTTATCTAAATTAGGCCTTATTCAGTTTTTAGAGGAAGTTTTACACAGGTAAAAGTTACCTTTTGTCTTGAATCTCAGGTAACCCTAATATAATTAAACTAATATAGGAAATTTATGCTTTAACAATCAACTGCACAGTATACCTAGACCAAGATGGAACGACTTCCGGAACAATCGAAAAAGTTATTTTAAGAATCTAATGTAAAAAGAATGTCTTTAAAAAAAATTGTCGATATAGGTGAATACCCGAACCTAATAATTCAAGTATTAGGCAGAGATATTCAGATACTCAGATATTTCATTATAGCGAGACTATTAATGATAGCTCTCTATAATGGTAAACTTTTCTTGTTAACTGGTAGGAAAACTTTAAATGATCCAAAAAACCTGTTGATTTATGTATCTATCCTAAAACAATGATGTATTTGTCGAGGAAGTCCTATACAAAAATACTTAACTACTAAGGAGTTGGTTAGTAAGGAAATTTTTATTGCTAATTACGTTATTGATTTTCAAGTCATGAAAAATACCTTGGAAGAATAGTAAGTCGTAGTAGAGTTAGGTTGCTGCTACTTTTTCATATATTGATTATATCTGCACGTTTGGTTAATTGAGCATTTTTCAGCCAATAAAAGATTATTAGCCTATGGAGATAATTAAGTCACGCACCTTACGAAGTTTATATAGTAAACCATTGCAATAATAGAAATAGCATGTGTTTATTGGCATCTACAATCGTTGTTTAACAAATATTTTATTATCATTTTTTGCTATTCTTGATAAACCGGCAGCTTATTCTTTTTTTTTAAAGATTGGCCCATTTATGTAGCACGATGAGCTAAGGGTGCTTAAAGTAACACTTCCAACGGATTAAGGTGTTTTTTTTGGATATACACCTGCATTCCGAGTGGGTAAACTTCTTGTAAAACCAGTCTATCTGGGAGTTCATTCAGAATAACGCTAATATCATGTTAGTTTTGTCTTCTACATCTAGGTCCTTTCATATTATTGGAATGAAGTTTTATTGAGACAAAATAAAGAGAACTCATTTTTGAAAGGGGACTTCTAAGAAAAGCATCTAAATTGCTCTCTCTACCAGTGCCAATGATATCTTCAAATACATTACAAAAATGATGCCACTTTAAATTACAGACAATTCAGCTAGCTTATTGTGTACAATAAAAAGAAAGTGAGCACCTGAATCTTATTGTTACACTAGGGTATCCTCCTAGTTGCTATGCATTAAGTAAAGGATTACTTAGAAAGCGATAAAATGTCCTGACATTTGTTGCTACGTTAAGCTAGTAACCATTGATATAAGTATTGATTTTTATGTGCTTTCTTTTCTTTTAACTTCATTTTGCAAGATTCATATTAATTCAAGTAACAAAAGGTAGACAACTACATAATAAATCGTACAGACAGTAATATTTTGTCATTTATTGAACTACAAGACCATAATACCCAGCTAATTCTCTTTGATTCATATGGCAGCATTGTCTTTTACTTCGGTTTGCTGTGAACCTTATTAAGTTCTACGGCCGATTATCATAATGACGCAAGAATTACACTTCCCAAGGATCAAAAAGAAATATAAAAAGAAATGCCAGATCTGGAAATTTTTCGAAGCTTAAAAAAAAAGAAGAAAGATCTGAAGAAAGAGAGAAATAGAGAAGAATATTGCAAGGAATCTCATTGAGAACTAAATTTCATGTTTGAATGTTTCAGTATTTTGCTTGAGCAACAACAGACAGAGAAAAGTATTTGTTCGTGCATAATTTTACTTATTCTCGCATGCTAAATTCACAAATTTTGATGATAAAACATTCGTGGTTAACCTCACAAATTGAAATCATATCTGTGTTTGTAGAGATGTAAAACAAATTGTTAAAAAAACATCACAATAGTAGCAAATTAGACAGCTGCTATTGCAGAGAGTGGTTCGTTTGTAGGCCAGACATTGCAAGGTTTATGTAAATCTGAAATGGTTTAACTGAAACCAAACCATGATTAATTTTTATCCCATCCTATCTTCCCCTTAACATAATTCATTTTCATCGTGCTTGTAA